CTGCTTGGATTTCTGATAATTCATGGCCTGATATATATAGATAGATTAAAGGAGTGTCAACAATTGATGCATTCAAAGGATTTGATCAGTTTTTCATGGATAATACAGATTAATTTAAAGGAATATGGGATTCTTCATAACCATAAAAGGAATAGTTACCTGAACCATGGTAAGGACAATTGACTTAATTTGAAAAATTAATCTTCTTAAAAGCTTTAAGACCTGATAAATTAGTGCCTGCAATTTAAGATTATATAGATTAATAATTAAATCCTAAATTTACAATTCCACCTACTTTTGATTTGGAGAAATGTTACAAAGATTCATCACCAATGTCACCTTTAATTTTTGTATTATCAGCAGGTAGTGATCCAGTAGCAGATTTTCTTAAATTTGCTGATGAATAAAATATGGCCAAAAGATTTGATTCAATATCTTTAGGATAAGGTCAAGGACCTAAGGCTGAGAGGATGGTTAAAGATGCTATCTAAAGAGGAGGTTGGGTACTCTTATAGAATTGTCATTTGGCTATTTCATGGATGAATGATTTAGAACGTATTTGTGAGGAATTGAATGAAAATATACATAAAGATTTTAGATTATGGCTAACATCAATGCCTTCGAATTCATTCCCAATTCCTGTATTGTAGAATTCTGTTAAAATGACAATTGAACCACCACAAGGAATTAGAGCTAATTTAATGAGAACATATAAGAATTTAGATGATAAAGAATTGAGTGATTGTACAAAATAAGACATTTTTAAAAAGTTATTATTTGGTTTTTGTCTTTTCCATGCTATTATTTAAGATAGAAGAAAGTTTGGTGCAATAGGTTGGAATATTCCATATGAATTTACAAATGAAGATTTAACTGTTTGTAAAAGACAATTAAAAATGTTATTAGATGAGTATGATAAAGTGCCATATAAAGTAATTCAATATTTAGGAGCTGAAATTAATTATGGTGGTAGAGTTACTGATGATAAAGATGTTAGATTAATAAAGACAATTATTAAAAAATATATTTGTCATGAAGCTTTAAGAGATGGATATAAGTTTTCAGAATCAGGTATTTATGTTTCTTTAGCTTCAACCAATTAAGAAGGATATCTCAATTATATAGATTAACTTCCTTTAAATCCTGATCCAGAAGCATTCGGAATGCATGAAAATGCTGAAATTACTAATTCATAAAATACAACTAGAATTTTATTAGAAACTGTACTCTCCATTTAACCAAGACAATCATCAGGTACTGGAAAATCAAGGGAAGAAACTATTGAAGAAATTGCTACTTTTGTTTAAAGTCGTACACCTGAAGTTTTGCCATTTGATGATATTTTTAAGAAATATCCTACTTCCTATGAAGAATCAATGAATACTGTTTTAGTCTAAGAAGTTATTAGATATAATAGGTTATTGGCAGCAATGAAAGAATCCTTGATTAATGTTAAAAAAGCACTTAAAGGTCAGATTGTAATGTCTGATGAACTTGAAAGTCTTGCAAATTCACTTTTCGATAATTAGGTTCCTCTTATGTGGGCTGATAAAGGATTTCTCTCTTTAAAACCTCTTTCTAGTTGGACAAATGATCTCTCAGCAAGAATTAATTTCCTTTAATCTTGGATAGACAATGGAACTCCCAAAGTCTTTTGGATAAGTGGTAAATTATTTAATTTTACATTTAAGGTTTCTTCTTCCCTTAAGCATTTCTCACAGGATCATTATAGAACTATGCTAGAAGACATGTTATTGCAATAGATAAACTGAATTATGAATTTAAGATACTTGATACTCTTTCACCATAAGATATAGAAGAGAAACCAGAAGATGGATGTTATATTTTCGGTATCTCATTGGAGGGAATAAGATGGGATTACAAAAAACATTATATAACTCATCCTAGACAAAAAGAATTATATTCTGAATTACCATTAGTTTGGTTATTACCTTGTATTGAAAAGGAGTATCCAAAAGATCTAGTTATTTATTAATGTCCACTTTATAAAGTTGTTTCAAGGTAATTAAAATACTTATTATTTAAGAGCTGGAACATTAAGTACAACTGGACATTCAACTAACTTTGTCACTTTTCTTGAACTACCATCCAAAGATTCTGAAGAGTAATGGATAAGAGCTGGTGCTGCTGCATTTTTATCATTAAGATATTGAATAATATATAAACAAATATCATTTTATAAAATTTATTCTATTTTAATTATTTTTATATAAATTTAATTAAATAATATATATATATTATTATTTATGATCATAAATATAATATATTATTAAATAATCAATAAATATAAATTATATATTCTAGTCATTCATTTTGTGCAGAACTGACTTTGATTTATCTTAATATATATATCCATAATATTATTGATTGCAACAACATTATTTTCAATTTTTAAAGAGAAAATAATTAAAAATGAAATTTGTTGTATATAATCAAAATAATATTATATTAATATATTAACATTAGTATTTTCTTTATTTCATTAATTTTTCAATCATATCTCTATTCCATTATAAGAATCAATATCTAATATAATCTAAATTAATTTATATTGATTTTATTATATTATTTTAAAGGATTTTATAATCTTTGTAGAAATATATCATTACTATTTCTATTTTCTATCCTTTTTTAATCAAAAATTGTCTGCCAAATTAAAAAATAATTTAAATTGAAATATAAATCATTAACTAATGGACTTCTACAATTAGATTAATGCATCATTAAAATATTCATCTTAATGAATTATGTATTTCATTATCTTCTTTTATGCTTCAAACATTTAGTCTAATTATTTTTATCTATTTTAAATCAAACAATCATTATTAACTTTTCTTAATTATAAATTAATTGGAGAAACTTGTCTTCTCACTGTTTGTCTGCTTGTTAAACTTTAGAGCTATTTATTCAACTAGATTAATCTCAATTATTTTTCATTTCCTAATGACAATTTTGGAATGTGGAACCTTATTTATTCTTTTTATTAGCATTCATCTTTTAAAGCTCTTAAAGATAAATTTGATATTTATTTATTTTTTTCGTTAATGTTTTCCTAACTGCTCCAACAGTAATTATTTTTCTTATTAAAAATTATTCTTCTTTATTTTTAAGAGATCTCAGTGCTCATTCTCTCTGTTTAAGGTTATTACAGGGAATTCATTACTTATTTATTACAATTTGTGCTTACTCTTTTTTTGGGTATGTAATAAAATTTTTGGTTTATCTATTCCTCTTAACATTTAATCATAGCTTTTTAACATAATTTCTACATTAGATTTATATGAAACTTTGAATTTTATTGCTGATTTAATTCTTAGTTCATAATTTTATTAATATTGATCTAAATTTAACAAAATATGCTACTTTTCATTAGTATTTTACAATTATTAAAGTCTATATTAATAGTTTATGAGGTTATCAACAGACTTTTCACAATTACAACATTATTTATAAAATTTTAGGATAATAATATAATGTAATAATTACATATAAATCTAAAAAGTGCATCATACTAAAACTTATAAAGAATTAAATCTCTTGATTTACTTAGCCCAGTATCATAAAGAGTTTTAGAATAAGTTCGTATTCAAGAATTAAAAAATATTAGAACAACAAAAAAAAAATTCAATTCACAATTAAAAGAAGTTTTACATTTAGACACTAATAAAAAAGATCTCAAAACTCATTTACCAAGCATAAGCTAAATTCCTAATTAAGATCAAGAGATTACTAATAAGATATCTAAAATTAAACTGAAGATTGTACCCAGAGAAGAAAACGAGTCAAAACTTAATTTGTAGAAATTTAAATTTAATGATCGAAATACTATTAAACCAAATAAAGTATGCATCAAAAAAAAGGAAATAGATAATCAGTAAAAGAGAAGTTAAAGCTTTAATAATAAAATACATATTAATAAAGTTTAATATTAATTTATGGAATAATTAAAAAGTCTCTCAACAACAATCTTATATCATCTATCATAATAAACAAATTAATTAGATCGTTAATTTGATTAATTGGAAAATTAATTATCATTTTGATAAATTTATGTACATAATATCATTTGTTTTAATACGTTTCTTGTCAATATCATATATGAATCATATATATAATCAAAGTTATAATTATTGATTATTATTTTCTAATTTAAAATAAATAAGAAATAAATGAAATTACAATTTTTTATTTTTGTCCATTACATTTTCTACATAAGTAATCAAATAAAACAAGTACATTTGTAAGGCTCACCTAAAGAAAAATAAATTTGTTTAAATTATAATAAGGAAAAATTTAATAACAGTGATTTTAATGTTATCCAATATAATTCTATTTTATTGAGTATTACATTGATTAACCATATTTCAAATTATAAATACTCTTTTAAATTCTTTAATTAAAAGATATGATTTATTTAATTAAATAAATAAATAAGTATCTAATAAAATTAAAGCTTAAGAGTATTGTTTTAATGATGAATAATCTTAAAATAAATCAGATTATATATTGGTTTAATTAATTCAAATAAATTAAAAAGATAAACATATAAACTTTATTATAATTAGTTAAAATTTATGAAAGATTATTTTTTGAATCAAAAAATATTGTGATTAGTTTTTCTTTTATTAATATTTTAGATTTATTTTTTAATAAAAAATAACTTATCTTATAACAATTAATCCTTTGAAATTTAAATTAAACTATAGATTTAATCCTAGAATAAATTTTTTAATTTTATTTTATAGAATCACTCAATAAATGAGTAACAATTTTTAAATATAAGTGGTCAAAATGTAAAAATATCACATTTATTTCAAGTAGTCAAATAAAGATAGCTTATTTATAAAGTATTTACATTAATCATAATTATATCATTTAATTTTAGCAATAATGAACTTTTGATAATTAATCTTTAATTATTTTTGAGAAAAAAATCAAATAATTCTTAATATTTAATCATAATAATTTTAATAAAATTAATGGAATTGGAAGGACTCTATACAAATACAAATTCTTGGCAATATATTTAATAATTTGCAGAATCTTCTCAGAAATATTTACTTGATTCTATTTATTTGATTTATATTTTAATAGGAGTAACATCATTATTTGTTGGGATTTAAATTGGGTATTTTGATTTTTTAAATATTTAGAAAATCAGATGTATTAATTTCCAAGAAATAAAGATAGAAAATAGAGTAATATAAGAACTTGAGAGAATAAAAGGAAAAATCTAAAGAATATTTGTTAAAAGAATAATAAAAGTTAAGCAGATTTTCTATTATATTTTATTTCCTAATAGTTATAGCCAACATAAGCATAAACTATATTGAAATACAAATAGTAAGATTCGAAATTCAGATTGCCATTAGTATTGGTTTAATTCTTCTTACAGAAGGATATAAAAAATATGAAAAATATAGATTAAGCTCAATTAAACATAATTTAGAGTAAACTGCAAAAGAAACAAAGCAAATAATTCTAGATATTCAAAAAGTAATTATTTAATATATTATTAAAGAATTTAGGAGATGACATACTAACACTAATAAAAAATTAATTTAGTCTTCAACAAGGTGATTATATAAAATAAAAGATTGCTGCTACAGAGGTTTAATTGTAAAGTCAATTTGAATAAAAGTATAAAGATTAGATTGAGGAATTAAAGAAAAAAATTAGAACCCTAGAAGATAAGGAATTTTAATAAAAGCAAGAACTTCATAATTTTAAAAGAAATACTTAAAGTCATAAAACAGAGCCTATTTTAAAATAAAATCAGAATCTAAATGATGATGGCATTTCACTTTTAAAGAAATAGATTGTACATTTATAAAAAGAAGGGTAAATATAAAAGGATATGATTTCAAAAGTGATCAATTTTGAATGGTGTTAAGATTGTATAGCAATGAAAGTACATTGCATAGAAGCATATTTTTAATAAGCTAAAACTATAGGTGATGAATATTAATAGAAATTGGAATAATTAGAGAAGGATAATTGATAATTAGTATTCAATCAAATATTTTAAAATCATTAAATTATTATATTTATATAAATGGAATTCACATTAACAGCCACAATTTTTAGTTTCTTTGGTTGGAATGTTTATTTATTAATAAAAAAATATAGGGAAAAGATGAGATAAAATTACTTGCAAAATCTAATTAATTAAGAATCTGATTATCTAATTATGAATGTAGCTCCATACAAAAAAATAAAAGCAAACGAATAAAATGAAAAAATAGTCAAACCATCTTAAATAGAAGATGCAGAATCAAGTTCAGATGATTATGAAATTATTTAATATAGAAGAAGAAAGACAATATTAGATGAAGTAAGATAAGAAAAATTTCAAGAGCAATCTTACATTTAAAATACAATACCATTTGATATGTTAAATGTTCCTGGTAGAAAAGATAGAAAATAATATAAAAATAATAAGGATTTTTCATTTACAAGTTAGAACTAAGATATAATGCTAATGAAAAGATTCAGAAAAAACTCTAAAATTAATATGGATGATTCATTACCATTTGAAAGTCCAAAATAAACTAACAAAAACTCTAGCAATAAGATTTCAGAAAAAAAGATAACTTAATTTGAATTTACAGACTTAAAAGATAAATTCGAAACATAAGATTCAAAGTAAGAATAAGTGAAATGTGTTACAGATTTAGTTTTTTAATTTGAATCAAAAAAAGATAATTAAACCTTAGAAGAGAATAAAAATGTATCTATATAGATACCTGTATAAGAAGATAAATCAAATAATTAGACAAATGATTAATAAAATTAATAATAAGTAGAAACTATAAATATTTTTGGAAAGTTTATAAGTTAGGCACTATCATAATAAAAGGAGAAATAATAATAAGAATAAAAATAATTATCCCCTGAATAATCATAAAAAAAACCAGAATAAAAAAATATTGGATTATTTTCAAATTTATTAAAAACAACTAATCCTGATTTATTTCCATAAAAATAAATATAACCTGTTTAATTAAATGAAATACCTTAAGTTCAAATATAAAATCCAAATAATCAGTTTTAAATAAACAATAATGTATAATAATAATAATAATAATAATAATAATAATAATAATAATAATAATAATAATAATAATAATAATAATAATAATAATAATAATAATAATAATAATAATAATAATAATAACATACATCTCTTTTTCAAAATTCACTTTATAATAATAATAGTTCAGTCCCTAGTTTTAATCTTAATAATTAAAATCAAGATAGTCTAAATAAAAATTTTAGCAATGATACTAAATAATCAAGTGTGATTTAAAATAATATACCATCAAACTTTACATTTGGTATTAACTCAAATAATTAAACAAATTCATAAATAGGTTTATTTGATAATATGGTTAATAAAAATGGTGGTTTATTTGGAAATTTGACAACTACATCAAATATTTGCCAAGATTAAACTAATAATAAATCAAATTTGTTTTCATCCCAACCTTAATAAACTTAAAATAATTTAATTTAAAATTAACCTAATAATTAAACTTCATTATTTGGAAACCTCCTTTCCACACAATAACCAAAAGAATAAAACCCATAAAGTTAAACAAGCGGTCTTTTTAATTTCAGTTCAAATACTCAAACAAGTAGTAATTTATTCTCAAATTTGTAAAAGAACTGATTTTGATATAGTTTATAAAATTATAGTTGAGTTCTATGATAAATTCTAACAAGCATTTATTATAAAATTATGAGTGATTAAGGTATTTTAAATTTCAGCTTAACTAGAAGTTCAAAATGAAGTGCCAACATAAATTTAGCCTTAAGAGAACTAAAGAAGACTCATGCATCTTTCAAGTTTGGTTAATTAAGTATTAAGTTCATAATATAAAAATAGTTGATTGGTCAAGGTAAAGATGATCCTGAAGATTTAGTTGAATTCAGTGTACATGGAAAACTATTAGCTGTATGTAGATGTTTATTATCCTTAGTATACAAGAAGATCATTGAATTTATTTGAAGCTGAGAACAAAATTAGATTATGGGCAATATGGATGATTGAGTGGATGTATATTTAAGTTTAATTTCACATAGCTGGTTTGATAGATTCATCATTACAGTCATATTATTAAATTCAATTTTATTAGCCACATAAGATTATAGTTGGAGAGAGACTAATTAAGAAGCACCTAGTACTTGGACAGACAGTTTCGAATATTTATTTACTGCAATATTTATTATAGAGTTCCTATTGAAAATGATAGCAATGGGATTCTTCCTTGATAAACAAACATACTTAAGAGATGGGTGGAATTTTATCGATTTTATCGTTGTAATAACAGGAATAATATCACTTTTCATTTCTGCTAGAGTATCAGCTATTAGAATTGTAAGAATAATGAGACCACTAAGATCTATAAATTCATTGAAAGAGATGAAAGTTCTTATCATAACATTATTAGATTCCTTGCCTGCTTTGGTTAATGTGGTTATTTTTTTACTATTTATAATAATCCTCTTTGGAATATTGGGATTACAAATATTTATGGGAGCTTTAGAAAATAGATGCAGAATGACAGAATATCCTGTAGGGGATGTTTGGAAAGTCTCAAATTATACAAAATTATGTTAGGATTCTTCAAACTGTCCTGAAGGAACATATTGTGGAAATCCAAATACTTATAATCTGCCTTAACAAGAATCTGATGATGCGACCTTTAATTATGGGTATACAAATTTCAATAATATTATTTGGGCTACATTTACTATTTTTTAAGCTTTAACAACAGAAGGTTGGACAAAGTTGATTTTTATTTATTAGGAAGCATTTTCTACAGTTATAGTTTATATTTACTTCTTATTACTTATTTTTTTAGGATCTTTCTTTGTTGTAAACTTAATATTAGCTGTTATTAATGAAAGTTTTATAGATGTTTAAATGAGAGCCAGTGTTAAAAATTCTTAAGCATCTGGTACATCTTTTCTATAGGAAGAATAAGATGAAGAGATAGAATAAAATGAAGAAGGAGAAGGAGAACAATAGGTTGCTTTGACTAGTAATATCAATAATGAAGATTAGACATAAAATAATTAATTAGATCATGAATAATAATTAAGAGAACCAATTACTTAAAATATTAATGAAACTAATACCTTAAAAAATTAAGAGAATCAAAATAATGGTGAATAATAATAAATATCTAAGAGCAATACTATAGAATAAATTCAATAATCAGCTAGATCTTAAAAAAAATAAAGAAGTTTAAAATTAAAATAATCTAAGTTTAAGTAATTTCAATTACTTTTAATTGTCATTATAGAAACAAAGTAATTTTATTGAATAATAATATAGGTATTTTTTGGCTTTTATCACTTCAATTATTATATTAAATACAATTACTTTGTCTTTAGACAGATATCCTATATCTAAAACTGAAAGTGATATTTTAGATATAGCTAATTAGATATTCACAGTAATTTTTACAATTGAAATGATTTTGAAACTACTAGCATTTGATACAAATTATTTAAAGGATTCAATGAATATCTTTGATGCTGTTATAGTTATTTTATCATTAATAGAATGGATTCTTAGTAGTGCAGGCAATGATTCAAGTGGAGGAAGTTTTTCAGCTATTTAAGCTTTTAGAACTTTAAGATTATTTAGATTATTTAAATTAGCACGTACATGGAGTAGTTTTAGAAAATTGTTATCAGCTATTGCAGCTACAATTGGTGGTATTGCTTATTTTATTATTTTGTTATTATTGTTTATGTCTGTTGCAGCTCTTTTGGGGATGGAATTATTTGCTTATAAAACACCATATAGATACAATTTTAATAATTATTTGACTTCAATGTTAGTAGTATTTATGCTTTTAACTAATGAATCTTGGAATACAATTGCTTATACATTTATGTATGATTTAGAATCTATATATCCAGTCATTTATTTTGTAATAGTAATTATATTTGGAAATTTTATACTACTAAAATTATTCATAGCTATTTTGATAAATAATTTTCATTAAGCAAATATAGATTAAAATTAATCTATAGAAGATAATCGTAATCTTTTTTCAAGCAGACATGATTAGTCTATGGCAGAAAATCATTAAAGTATAAAAATAAATCAAGTGTCACCAGAATAAATTTAACAATCATTTTAAGTAATTAAATCTGCATCTAACTAATAAACAAATTATAATTCAGCTATGAGATTCAAAAATTTATCATAATAATTTATGGCATCTACAATTATTTTAAATAATACTATGAATCAATCATTGCTTGAAGGTGTTTCTTTATATATATTTCCACCTTAAAGTAAAATAAGACTTAAGATTAATAAATTAATTAATTAAAAGTATTTTGAATTCTTTATTCTAACAATTATAATTATCTCAAGTATTTTGTTAGCTTTAGATGATCCACTCTCATCATCTAATAATGTAACACTTAATGTAATTGATGAAATAATTACAGCTTTATTTATTTGTGAAGCCTTATTAAAAATAATTAGTAAAGGATTTATAATTAATGGACCTGATAGTTACATAAGATCTCCAGGTAATATATTAGATCTTGTAGTTATAATCTTTTCATCTTTAGCATTTGATCAAAGTTAAGCATAAACATTTTCAAAGATTAAGATATTAAGAGTTATTAGAGTATTAAGGCCTCTTCGTTTGATAGTAAGAAATGAGGATTTAAAAATGTCTATAAATGCTTTGTTCAATAGTTTATCTTAGATGATGAATATTGCATTAGTTTGTTTAATTTTCTTTTTGTTATTTGGAATATTTGGAGTAACTTAATTCAAAGGAGCATATTATTATTGTGATATATAGGAAGTAAATGATAAATTGGAATGTTTTGATTAAGGTGGATCTTGGTCTAATAAGAATTTTAATTTTGATAATGTTTTGAATGCTATGATTACTTTATTTGTTATATCAACAACAGAAGGATGGATAAATTTAATGTCTGATGGAATTGATAGTAGAGGTATTAATCTTAATCCAAAAGAAAATAATGCTTATGGATGGGCATTTTATTTTGTATTTTTTATAATAGTTGGTTCATTTTTTATAATTAATTTATTTGCAGGAGTTATAGTTGAAGCTTTTTAAAGTGAGAAAGATAGATTAAGTTATATGAAAGATTTAACTAAATAAGAATTAGAATGGTATGAAATTTAACAAAAGATATATTCAAGTGTTCCAATTGAGAAATTTAAAATCTCAAAACAAAATATAATTAGAAGGCTCAATGAAATTATATCATCAAATCATTTTGAGATATTTATTTTGAGTGTAATAATTATGAATACTTGTGTTATGATGATATAATATTTAAGATCTCCATAAGAATTAGCAGATGCTATTTAAATATTGAATTGGATATTTTTATCTATTTTTTCTATAGAAGCAATATTAAAATTAATAGTATATAGGAAATTTTATTTTACTTCAGGCTGGAATGTTTTCGATTTTACAGTTGTATTATTAACAATTTTAGGTGTAATATTAGAATAAAGTAATGTTTTAAATAATGTTGGTACAGCTACATCTATTTTAAGAACATTTAGAATATTTAGAGTATTAAGACTAATAAAGAGTGCAAAAAAATTAAGAATTATTTTTGGAACATTTCTAGTAACATTACCTGGATTAGTAAGTGTTGGTGGTTTGTTAGGAATAATGTTATTTATTTTTGCTGTTGTATTTATGAATTTATTCCCATATGTAAAAAGAGGTGAAGGCGTAACAGAAAATTCAAATTTCAGTTCTTTTGGAGTTAGTTTATTTACATTATTTAAATGTTCAACTGGAGAAGAATGGAATTTAGTAATGATGGATACTGCAAGAACTGCATAACCAAATGATATTTGTTTTGATTTTAATGATTATACTAATTATGCTGAATATGGGTTTATGGGATGTGGAAATGTTGGTGGAATATTATTAATGATTATATTTATGATCATAGTTTCATTGATTATGTTAAATTTATTTGTTGCTATTATCATTGAAGTATATCTTATATAATTATTAAATAGGGATTCTAAAATACTAGCAAAGAAGAAAATGCACCAATTAAAAAGTTAGATATAGAGAACTTTTAACAATTATGGAAAGATTATGATAAAGATGCTACTGGATTTATGTAATGTAAATATTTTACATAATTTATGATTGCTTTACCATAACCATTAGGAGTAATTATATTCTTATATTTCTTAGTGGTCAAAATTAAAATATTCAGCAACTCAATAAAGAATACGTGTGGCTCAATTAAATTTACCTGTATATAATTTGAATGGCAAAAATATGTATTTTTATCATTAAGCACTTATTTGTTTAGCTTAAGATTTCTTAGAATCAAGTGGATTTATAACTAAGTAAATAGATTTATATCTTAAGTTTTGAAATATCCAAAGATATTGTTAAATTAAAATTGTAACCTTTAATAGAAAAAGCATTTTCTCCAGTTTCTAATTTATAGACAGAATTTGACAGTGGTTAATATATGGCTGCTGTTTTAATATAATAAAATGGAAAAAGGAAATTATAAAAATTAAAGAAATCTAAAAGTTCTGTAGTTTAAGCTTAATATACTAATGATGATGAAGTCTAATAATTCGTTTCTTGATCATTTTATAAATTTATTATATTCTATGTTATTATCATCGTTTTAATAAATTAATAATATTAGACATTATTATGAATTAATAAATGCCTTTTATTGTTTAAAGAATTTAGTTGTTAAAAAAATAATTATTAAAATGAAATCAATTTCATTTTAAGGCAACATCTCGATTGAAGATTTATCTAATAAGAGAATTAATCTAGATACATAGTTAAAGCTTTCTGATGATTAATATGTTCGTAATATTTTACCATTAAGAATTCAAAATTTTGAAATTAAACGATTAGAATGGAAAGATTTTATTGGTAAACCAGATGATGAATCTCCTTGGATTGCTCATTGTTATTGGAACAATTCTTACGAATATTACTTTAATCAAGATAGAGAATAAGTTAATTACAGAGAATAATCTCCATTGCGTTTACCAAGAATACCATTACAATAAATTAATTAAGTTAATTAGTTAAATATCAAAACAGAAAGTGTAAGGACATCTAGTGTTAATAAAATTAAAAGATTACCTACCCCAACTATTAGTTCATCACCTTAAAGAGCTGTTAATAGAAGTAATTCAAGTTCTGCATTAAGAAAATAATCCCCAAGTGTTCAAAAAATTAAATTAAATGTTAAATGTAAGTTTCTTGAAAAATCTTGGGCTAAATCCAAAAAAGATGATTTATTATTAGAACATGAAACAGGACATTATTTAATTGGTTGTCTATCTGCTTTAGAATTTAAAAGAAAAGTAGAATGCTCTGATGTAATGAAATCAAATAATCATTAATAATAAATTAGGAATATTTTTAGATAGAATTTAAAGGAATACATACAAATTGAAAAAGATTATGATGAAGAAACTAATCACTATAAAGATGTTGAAAAATAAAAAATGTGGAATAGAAAATTAAAGGAATAATTACTATTTTATGAATGTTATTTTAATCATTGAAAACATAAGATTTCAAATAAATCAATTAAAATTTCTCTTTCTATTCATTTTCTATTTATATCTCATTATTATTTTTCAGTCTTGAATTAAAAAATAATAATATATAAATATTTCTAATTGTGATTTTTACACTTCATTAACAGAACTATATGAATATATAGACCAATAGTATCTACATAATATAAAGTAATTTATTTTTGACTATGTTTTTCAAAAATATTAAGGATTGAATATAAAACTATTCAGTTATATCATTATAAAAACATGAAATATCTTGCTTCACTCTAATATTACTTCTCTGTAACTAATTCTAGTTGATTTTTTTATATACTATAAATTAAAAGTAGATAAAATATGATATCCTGGATTCTGGTAAAAAAGAATATTATATCATGACAAAGGATAATATTTGAATTTTCTAATTTCAATCAATCACAACACTTTCTCATTAATTTTAATTACTCTGAAATTCATACTCAAAATTTCTATTTTATAAATATTTCATAATCCTTCTTATAACAAATAATTTATGTTCCAAAATATGCTCATGTATACTTTAAAAAGTTTCCTCTATATTTTAACATATAAACTATTTTCTATATAAGGATCATCCATTAGTTTATTATATGTATACTATGTCATAGTAGATGGCACTTTTGCAGTCTTTTGATCTTTCAATTATTTCATTTATTTAGATTTGTTAAAAGTAATGCAGAAATTCCATTATAACATAACATCTAAGCAATCGTTATTATAATTATAATTATAATATCAACATTAATGTATTTTTTTAATTAAATATAGAGTAAGTAGAAATTAAAGTACGTATTATTAGAAAATAATTAATAAGATTTGCTTAAATTCAATTATTTTTAAGATTTAAAATACACTAATCATTTCTATTTAACAATGTTCTTGATTTCTCTCCAAATTTCATCTACTTATCTCTCTGCATTGATCTCATGCAAAATACTTCTCCTACAATAATAAATATGAATATATACTATCTATAATAATCAACAATTGGAGATGTTTTACTCTAATATATTCTTAATCTGTTTCTAATAGTACTTTCTTTATCATCTTCTCTCTATATCAAATCCTCTCCTGTAATATCATCTTTTCCATATTATTTTGGAGGATTGAACTTATAGTTGTATGTTCTTCCAGAAGTTAGATGGGTCCATCTACCTCCTAAACGATCAATAACGGTATCTTCTCTGACGTTCATGAAGATAGCTTGATCAATCTATTATCCACTAGATTTTAAAATTTCATCTAATTTCTGAGCTTAAGGAATAGTTCTTGGAAAGCCATCCAAAATAGCTCCATTTGCACATGCAGGTCTAATGTTAAATATATAATTACTTAGATAACTAGTGTTTGATTAAATTACACATAACTTCATCCTCAATTAACTCTCCTCTATCCATAATACCTTTAAGGCGCTTTCCAAAATCACTACCCGACCTTACTTCTTCTCTAAGAAGGTCACCTGTAGATAGATGACACATGCAAAAACGGGCCAGCATTTTTGCTGAATGTGTACCCTTTCCTATAAATATAAAACGCATAACTTACCAGCTCCAGGCATCCCCAATAATACAATACGTTTCTTCAATCCTTCTTCTTAACAACGATATCTTCTATACAACTCAGTAATTAGGGCCTTCTCAGAGATTTCTGAGTATGCTTTAGTATCCATTATTAATGAAAAAATAATTTTGTCAACTAATTATTATAAAATTTCATTAATCAACATCTTCTTCTCCAATTTCTTCTTCTAGCTCATCTATAACTTCTTCACTCTCAGATGCTATGTATATTATATAATAATAAATACCAGCATAATCAGGATTTTAATGATTTTTTAAGTGGGCGGTAAGATTGCTGGACTAACTAAATCTCTTTTGGCAATCAGGATACTTGCATGAATATGGTTTTTCTCCTGTATGAGTACGCATATGAGTTTTTAGATTGAAATCTAAGGAGAATCCTTTCTAACACAACTCACATTTAAATGGTTTTTCTCCAGTGTGTACTAATTAATGTCTTCTTAATTTAGAATTGTCAAAGAATGTCTTTTTACAAGTAGTAACAGGACAGACATAAAATTTAGGAGCAGCAACTTTTTTAATTTTAGGTTATTAAGCTACAGCTTACTAATGAGTAAAATAATTGGGTTACCTTTTTCATTTGAGTCATTTTTTGTAATAGTTAACTCAATTCTTAAGTATTTGTAGTACTATTAGCTAAAAGTCTCTGTAATTCTTAATGTGTTCTATTGATAGAAGCTTAATAATTAATTCTAGGTTTTTATTGTTTAGTATCATAAACATCATTGACTTTAACCCATTTTTTGATATAGATATCTTTGGCTCCTGGGAGTATATTTGGTACTCTAACTCTTTTGAATTCCCAACATTTTTGTGGTAGATTGAGAAAGTACTCATCAGCATCATTGAAATATTATTATTCACTTTCAGAGTCGTGTTGCATTAATAAAAATTATATGTAAAATAAAGTGACTTTCAAGATAGTAAATACATCAGACCCAAATTTGGCATTCAGAACAGTATCGTAATTATAATAATTAATGAAATATAGAGTACCATAAGAAGCTCCATTTAGTGCAGTTGTTAAATATGTTGCAGAAGAGGTATTATAATAACATAATAAAGAATAGTTTAAAGTGAATCCAGCTACAAGTGCTATAATAACAAATGCAGGGACTGGAGTTTCACTTTAATAGACATCAGGAAATGTATTTTTGAAACATGGTTCAGAATTGAAGATTATTCCTAGAGATCGTGTAGGTTATTGTTGATATAAATATCATAAATACAATTTTAAATCATCCCATATTCCTTCTTTAATTACAGCAGCAATGTTGAGATCATACAAAGTTTACCAACAGATTTCAGCTGCTTTTTATTTACTTACTAGTTTATTACAACTCTAAATATTAAATTGTAATCCATATTTAGCATAATCTTGGTTGGCTACAGCAAAACGATATTTAATATATTTGACTGGACCATTGATAATAACATTATAGAGATAACATTATTAAATAGCTTTTATAGCAGCATGTGGATAATGTTCTAAAAATTTTTTACGTTGTTTGATGTTTCTCATTAAATTAAGCAATTTTAGATAGAATATAATTTTATGGAAGTCTTCTGGAGTAATTATTTCTGTGACTTATTCAACAGAATCATGAGTAGCAAGATGATCAACAGCATCCATAAGTATTTTAAAGTATTTCCTCATTTCTTAGTAGAGATCATCTCCACACTCATATCTTACAATTAATAAGAAGATTGAGATTGTAGTATCAAGCATCTCTTTAATGAAATTACGACAATGCATCTCAGATCCCAATTTAGAATGAAGGACATGTAATTTTGATCTGAAATAAGTACAAAACATGTTGAATCTTTATTCACGTGCCATCCTTCCTGTAAACTGAAAACAGTATGATACACATCTTAATTTCCCTTATTCCCAAAGTTTAACTTTATCTGGCTTATTCTAATTACAAGGTGTTTTTAAAGCTTCTCCACCAGGAATGTAGCGTGATAGATCAAGTTGTTAAATATATTGCATGATGCTCACAATAATTGATGCATATTATTATAAATGATAATTATTTTGCTACTTTTTTATATGCACTCAGATAAATTTATTCTGTTGCCATAACCATTAAAAATTCTTTAATATCAACCCTATACAATCTCATTTACTATTTAAGTTTAAAAATGGAATTGATGTTTCAATTATTCAAACATTCATTACCTTTCACATTGAAACTTTATTTTAATTCATTTAAACTAATAATATATGACAATTATGATATAATCTAATTAGTAATAAATCAATCATATTAATTTTGAAGATTTATATGAAGTTTCAAATCAGGAAAACATGTATTTGATCTCTTTTTGTATTTCAATTTAGATTTAATTCTGATATCAAATAATATTTTACTCAAACAAAATATTTATAAAACATACATTTAAGCTGTACAATAGTTTTGATTAATGAACTACAATTAAATTATTTAAGTAAGGAATAACTAATTTTGATAATATATAATAAAATTAGAATAATTAAGTGAGCATTTTAGTTATATAAAGAATAAAAGAATTGGGAGAAATATCAAAGTTTTTGATTATATATATTTTTTGAATACAAATTATAAAGTGAGATGAAACAATTCAATTTTTAATAATTATTTATCAATTACACTTTTTTACATAAATTATTTTATGTTTATTTAAAACAATATATAATGATAAATTAGTTATTCAAAATAATCATTATTACATTTACTATTATTTTAACTTTTCCTCTTATTCATCTTCAAATTAATTGAGCATTTCAAAAAATTGTTTCTATAATTATTCAAATATAGGTCTATTTTTTGTAATTGCTTCATTCTCTTATTCTGGTGTAATTTCAGCCAATCCATATTATTTCCTTGCTCTATTTTTTATATAGAATTTCTACCTTTCAATATCATTTTCATTATCATCAATGTATATTTAACATGCTAAAATACATAAGCATGCCTATCTTAAGAGATCAAAACTTAAATAATAAGAAGCTGCTAAAACTTTATCAAATAATTCATCTGATAACTATAAAACTTGAACTGATTATTAGTCCAGATTATCATTTATTTTATTATTGATGATTGGTTTTTTAATTCTTATTGCTTCTCTTTCATAATTATGAACTTCACAAAATTTCTTAATGATATTCAAGACAGGTAACTATAGTTTTAAATTGAATATTTACATCAATTGCAATTGGCAATGGTTCATCTATATCTTTATCTTATAATAAATCACAGAAGTTTATTAATTCACTCTTAAATTTAATGATTTGATTATCACTAGTTTAAAAGACCCATTCTTATTCTTAAGTAGAATTCATGTAATAAATTAAAATTAATTGATTTTTATTATATATTATCATTCTAACTAAAAAAAAGTGTATATGATAACCTTAAGTATTCATCAATATAAAAGTAAAACAGTAATACGGTAATACAGTAATACAGCTTTTATATAATAAATTAAATTAATCAAAAGTCATCATTATTATGTTCACTAATTTTTTTATATAGACGAGAATAATCATCAATTTTTTAATTGTTCTGCCTCAATTTACGCATTTAAGATTTTAAGAATTTAGTCACATTTTATTAGTCATCATTTGTTTCATAAGTTTACTATGTTGTACCCCTATCACTTTCATCTACTGATATACTTTATTAATATTAATTCTATCGTTTATGATCGAATTTCATTCTATCTTACATAAATGAATTTTAAATAAATTAAGTTCTATTTTATAAATCTCTATATTTCTTTTTCAATTTTTCATTAATCTCTTACAATATACAGCTTTTTTATTACTCTTCTTCTAATTAAGAATGAATTTCAACAATTTGCTTTTTTAATAACTAATTCTAATATCTTTGAGCTTTATAATTTTATTATGCCAATTTGTATTTCTTATTTAATTCTTCATGTTTTTATCGAATAATGTTAAATTTAGCAAATAATATATTTTCTAATTAACTATGGTTTTCTGAATTCAAAGTCAAACAATCAGAGCTTTCATTTAAAAAGTTTATATAATCATCCATTGCATTCATAAAATTCTTAAACTCTCCTTATTTAGTTGATTAATGCTCATCAAATATAAATTTCTTTTTTGTTACTTCTGTCTTCTAATCGGTCTTATCTTAAAAAGTAAATGGGTGATTTTTAAAGTCAATTTAATGATCATCACTTTATTATTATAATATTCATATCTTACAATTCTAATTAAGACAATTAATTCTTAAAGTTTGGTTTAGTTCTTTGAAGCGAAACGGGAAAGGACTCTGTAAAAGTCTTATCCTTTAATACTTCACAATTAAATACTTAAGATAGTTTGTGATATTGCATGAAATCAGTATTTACAGATTGTCTCCTCCCAGTTTTCCTTAATTCTTTTAAATATGAATAAAATATATTACACGCATAATTTATGCTCATCCTTAATTTGATTTTAAGGTAGTTAGTATATTAAAATAAATTTATAAAACATAATTTGTATTTTAATCAACTAATTGACTAAATGAAATCTCAACGAACTTTGCATCTTTAAGTCCAATATCCAATTTCTTATTCTTATTATTAAATTAATTTATTTAGATTGACTTTTATTTCCAATCTACGCAAAGGTGAAGGAGCCATAGATGGATTTGAAAGTGATCTTAATAACATAGAAGGAGAACAAGTACTAAAATAAATGATATTCATTACTTTTATACAGTTGTTGGTGAAGACATCTGTGATGGATTCTTTTTAATTTATTTTGGCTACTCTATTAATAATAAAATAATACCAAATAAACTTGATATTTTTTCTTTTTTTCATTTTCTTTTTCAAATGTACATGATTAAGTAGGTCCACTTTATGCCTATTGAATAATGCTTTTATAAGATGCATGAAATTAATAATTGTCAGATTTATTTTTAGATTTCTTCATATTTTAAATAAGTTTAAGTAGCATTTCATCTGTAATTTGTTTTCTAGAAGATCCACCTTCTGCTCTAACAGTACCATTACCATAACTTGAACCATATGCTTCAACATGTCGAGTATCATTACGTTCTGTTAGAATTTCTTTCACTTAAAATCTTTTTTACAATATTTGATCATATTTCTTCATTAAAGATTAAATACTAGTGGATTTATTATTATTATTATTATTAGCAACTGTAGTTGTTGAAGATTTAATACTGTCTTATAATTTCAAAGGTGGAATAAGTAATTTAGGCTATTGAGATTATTAAGATGGAGGATTCTTTTTAACATTTGCACTAGTTGGCAATTTCTTCTTTAATGGAATCTTAGTAATAGCTGATAAATTCTTTGATGTCTAGATATTAAAATCATTAAAGATATTATCAAGTTCTTAATCATTTTAACAATTAAATAATTTATTATGATCTCCAGATGTATTAATAATTGAACATTAACATTATTATGTTGGTTTATTTTATGGTAATGATTTCTATGCTTCTACTTATGATATCTCATAGATATTATGAGATTTGCTGTCCCAAGAAATTTGTTCCTTCGGATAGGAACTAAATAAGTATGTCGATACTACTCAGATACAGATTCAACATAATTCTCACTAAATATATGATCTGGAATCATTTTTTTAGTGATTGGTTGTTGATTCTAACTATTTTATGCTTTTTATTGTAATTTTAACAATTTATTCTATCTCCTCTCCATAAACTTATGAGCATTAACTTTACATAAATTTGGTTATATTATCTATAGTTATATTATGTTTAATTATTTACTTTATGTTACTCAAAGTAGAAATTGCAAAGTAAATTTAATCTTGGATCTTACTCTTCTCTTTAATAAAAACGTTTCATATATTCGTTTTCATCATGCAAGTACAATTAGTCTTTAAACAAAATTACATGATCTACAGGAACATTTGCTAATATTTCTGTAATTGGCTTAGCAAAATAGAAATTAAACTAATCAAAGTATCTATTTATTCATATTAATCAAATACTTTTCATGTATTTCTTTCTAAATAAACTTGCTTTATCTTAATTTACAAAATTGACAGTTATAATTGTGTTGTTGGTTATTCATTAAATTCAAATATAAATAATTAAATTTTACTAATTTTTCTTATAAAATTTCATTTATTCAAACCTTCTAATACTTCAATGTCTTCATCTACTTTTCTCTTAACTCTTTTTCTATTTCTAATTTTCTAGTATTCTTTTCTCTTTATCTCATAGTCTCTCTTGCATCATTTCTACAATCTAAAACTATCATTATACTCTATCATTAATTATCGCTATCTTTATTCCTCTTCTAAAATCTATTACTTTCTTCTTTTTTATTCCTATTCCCATTCTAATTAATTTAATCTTTAATTAATCTCTAACTATTTTATTAAATGTTCTCCTGCCTTCTCTTCTTAAAATATTTTTAATCTTCTCTCCTTTAATCTCTAACCTTAAGCTTAACTATTTGATCTTCTTTCAAATTGATATTTAATCAATTACTCTTTACTTGCATCCTCTATAGCTTTATTCTAATTAAAACATTACTCAACAAATTACAATCTAAAAATTATGCATTTTATCTTCTTTCTCTTTATTGACCTTAATCTAATATTCTGAAAATGTCTTCTTATATTTATCCATATAACTTAACTTTTTCTTTTCTTTCTCTTCAAATTTCTCTCTCCTTTCATAATCCTATGCTGCTAAAATTTACTATATTAATAAACTAATAATCTTATACATATGCTTTTTCTATTTTCTATTATTTTAATGCTGATTATGTTTATAATTATTACTTTGTCCATTATTTAGATTCCTCTATGTATTTTAATTTCTTTAAATTTTATTACTCTTTTTTTTCTGATTACTCCTTTTAATATTAATTAAATTTATCTTTATCATTTAAAGCACCCATTGATTTTTAAAGAATTCTTAAAAAATGTTCCTCTTTTATTTATTTTTGTTCTTCATGAAAATCTTGTAATAATGACATCTACTTTTTTAATTGTTTATCTTTTCTCTACATCTTCTCCTCCAATATAGCCTATCTTTATTATTAATCTTTTTGCATTCTATCTTTATGTAATTGTAATCTCTTTGAATTTAATTCCTCTTATTCTTTTAATTATCTAGCTTACCATTATTAATATTCCTCCAAATTCATTTCAGCTTTCATTTACTTTGCTTCAATCTCAAAACGAAACTTCTAAAATTCTTTTTCATCTTCAATTAATTTTCTTTATATGCTATATTACTTCTCTATCCATTTCTGATTATGTGATTGAATCTATTAATCCCTTTAAGCTCGATAAAATTGAAAACTGCTTTTATACATTCTAGTTTAACCATCACTTGTACTAGACAATAAACCTCCAGTTTGAGTCATTAAATCAGTTGGAGCTGTTTCAGGTTTTATATTAGGTTAACTTTATAATCTTAAAAATCGTTGTGATTTTTGCTTTAACTATTCTAATTTATCTATCTCAAACATAATCGAATTTATATGCATATCAATATCTTTAAGCAAAATTTTGTAATAATCATTTTCTGTTGAATGGGGCTCTACATCTCTTCTCAATAATCCAAACTAATCTATTTTTTTATTATTACATCTTAAACTAAAGTTATTCTCTTTTCTACTTTAGTTTGTGAAATTTTATTAATTTTCTTTATTTTATCTAATTCATCCCATTTAAATCCTTCTATATACAATAAATGAGTTATTGATTTATCATGTTCTAATTCTTCTGTATTGCGTTTTTCTAAATCTTTATATCGTTCAAGCAGTTACTCCATGAAGACTGACTTCAAAATTAATATAAAATTTATTATTGATTATAAATCTTTATATCTAGTTATCTTATATTTTTTAATGATAATTAACATAATTAGTTAATCAAATCACCATATTTCAAAGTGATACCTTAAGATAATTCTTAATTCCTAATTCAATAAAAGAATAAGCAATATTTATGAAAATTACATTCTATTATTATAAGATATTCATTATTATCATCATATAAATTATAGTTATCTCATTTGCTTTCAATAATATTAAAGTATAGTATTATTGCAAAAAAAATAAAATTCCAAAATATTCCTAAATTAATTCATAAATAAACTCCAATTTACACATCAAATATCTACTTTAAATAAATAGTATATTTAATAAAAAATATATATACTACTTTGCTAATTAATATAAAAATTATATTGATTTATTTAATCTTATTTTATATCTTTTCTTTTTTATAAGTAATATATTGGATTTCTCAAATTCTTTAAGTATGTTTAAAACTACTATTCAATATCATAAAATTTTAGTTTATTTATTTTTTAATAGTTAGATATCAATAAATATATAAATAGAATATCAATAAATTAAGATTAAAAATTTTGGATTTTCATCCACAATTGAAATTTCAAATTAATTCTAATTAAATTACAATTGAATAATTGTATAAATGATCATAATATACATTATTTATTGATTATTATTTAGATAGTTATATAATGGATCTTATTAAAGTTTATAAATCTAGAAATATTAACTTCATATTAATCATTTTTATTTATTTATGATAAATATAAAGTTAAAATAATTTGTTCTTTATTATTAATTTTTTGTATCATATTTCTTAATTTCTATTAAAATATTATGATAAATATCAGCATTAACTCTAAAAAAACTTAAATAAATATCATAAATAATTAATTATTTGGGGAATCCAATAATATTATTATATCATATTAATTCATTTTATATTGGTTAAGATAAAAGTTTTCAAATATAATGCAAAGTTTAAGTCTTAAGTAAAAACAAATTAGATTTTTAAAAATAAATGCTCAAATTCCAAAAAAAGAATTAAAACTAAACTTAAACCTGCTTTAAAAAAGTATATGGAAGCATGGACCTATTCGGATAGCCTCCTGCGTTTAAAATTCTCAAAAAAGAAAAATTTACAACATCCTTAGGATTTTTGTTTACGGTTGGTATTTCAGTGGTGTGTGTTCTTTATACAATAATATAATTGGATGATTTATACTCTCAAACAGGGCCTAGAGTAACAATGTCTGAAGAACAAGTTGTAGACACAAGTGTAATAATTAAAAATAATTAAGGCATACTCGTTGGAGATGAAAAATTATACAATTGGAATTACGATGGCTAATATATCATTAGGATCTCTTTAAACACTAGGAACTCATTTTACAATGACTGTATAAAATTGTAAAAGAGTCAGATCCATAGACCCAACCACTAACAAAACTGTGATATCCTAAAAGTAAATAAATATTCTATGTAGTTGTACTATATACCCAACTGAGCCATGTGGTTAATAACATTTTGTAACAGATTTATAAAAGGCATATTTTTCAAAAATTAAACTTGGATTTGTTCAATGTTTTAATGTAGAATAGTGGCAAAATAATCCACCTGTAAGTATATTTTTCTAACCTTTAGTAACTTTAAGGGACTGTTTAAGGAACAGTATATTAATATCTATAGATAACAATCGCTCAATGTAAAAATACCACAAATAAAACTGATTGTGCTCCTTAAGAAAAAATATGGAAAGAGTTATAAACAGGGTATTATGCAGTTCATTTAATTGATAATTTGGTTTAAATGAAAAATCCTGGGACTCCATTCAAAGACATAATTAATTTACAATATACCACATTTTCAAATTCAACATCAAAATCTATATTTTAGAGTTTCAAGATTACTCAATCTGATACAGATACTGGATATATAATGGAAGATATTTAAACAGAATATGGATTAGTTTAATCATAAAATAGAGAAAGTCAAGATAATTATAATAATTAATTTATTGTCTAACATATAATAAATTTAGATTCAAGATAAGCATCTTATAATAGAGAATATTAAAAGCTATAAGATATTTTTGGTAATGTTGGGGGTCTATGGCAAATTTTATTTTTGGCCATGAGTGCATTATTACAGCCAGTAACATCAACATTCATGAATTTGCAGATGGCTAATAAATTATTTAGATTTGAAAATGAAAGTAATCAGGAAGGTTTATAAGCATAATAAAGTTCAGATTCAATAGATGAAATAAAAGAAAATATGAAAAAGTCTGGATCACCAACAAAAGTAAATGTTAAAGGTTCTTAATAATTTGATCTTGAAAGTAGAAAGTCTTATACTAGCAAACGTTCTCTTGGAGGATAAAAATCTATGAGTAAATCAGTTTTCGTTAAAAGTGTTGATAAAGTTAATAATTATAAATAGATGATAGAATTATTAAAAAAGAGGAAATAATCTTTAAATTTATCTATGAGAGATATTATAATAATGAGTTTTGGATGTAGAAAAAAAGAGAAATAACTTATTAATTATGCAACTGAAAAATTTATGAATAAATTAGATATTGCTAATTTGATATCAAAAGTATATGAAATAGATAGATTAAAATTAATATTATTAAATGAGTAGTAATAAAAACTATTTAATTATTTACCTAAACCCATTATTCCTGAATCTCTATTTGGAGATGATTTTCATAAGAAAATGAAAATTGTAGAATAAAAATAAGCATATAAGGTTATACTTTAAGATGAAAAACCTGAATTTATGAGATTATAAGAAGCATTCGTAGCATATGTAAAAATATAATAGAAAGATGAAATTTCAGAAGTTGATAAAAAGATTCTTGATATTCTTGATGAAGATATCTTAGAATTATTCGAAAATTTGCATAGTAACACTTCAAAATTAGAAAACATCTTTTAAGATAGTCCTATGAAATTACAATTATAATTTTCTGATATTGAATCTCCAAAATCTAATTTCTAACCTGAATTTGATGAAGATATGGCTAATTAAATACCGGTTCTTCCTGCCATGCTTAGATCTTAAGAATGAAATATAGATATTAATATAAAAATTAAATTGCTTTATTTATAGTTTTATTTACTTACATTTATTCTAAAGAAATTCATAAATTAAAAAAAATGAAAGTTTTTTCAGTAATATGATATTATAATTAATTTTTTAATGAATTAATTAATACTTCACATTTTAATGTTAATAAGAAACCTTTTATTAAGAATTTTATTCCTATTTACAAATTATATTATCAATTAAAATACATATTACATATGTCTAATTTTCTATATAATCAAAAATTGGGTAAAGAAGAAAAAATCATCTGTTCATCTAAATCAATCAAAAAGGAAAAAAGAAGAAATTAATATACTATAGAATTCAAATTCGGTAGTGATATAGATGTAACTAAACTTAAGTAAGTTATTCAAATTAATCAATAAATCCCTGCTTATATACCATTAAATATAACATTCAGACTTGAATCTGATATTTTGATTCCAATTTAATTGGATTCTAATCTTTAATTAGGTGCTTTATCTATAGATCCAATCTCCTATAATTATCGAATTGTTTAGTATGTTAAACATCATAATAATTACTTATTTTATTTTGAGCCAATAGATAGACCCTTTACTCCTCTCTAAATTGTAAAAACCACCTTAGAAAAATATCATCCATCTTTAGGAGAGCTATTTGAGTCTTTTCATTTCAATATGTTGAAAAAAAATAAATTCACTGTTTCTACTGAGGAAGAAATTAAGGAATATGAAAACAGCATTAAAAACTCTTTTGCAGTTTATATATAAAAGAAATAAAAAGGCAAAATAACTACTTTGATAAAGTCAATTAATGCCTAATACTTGTAATTAATGGGAATCAATGACTAAATATTGCAGGACTATATTAATTAAACAGGACTGTTACCATGGTGTTTTTCTAATGACCATCAATAATTTATAAGTTAAATAAGAGGAATGTTTTAAGGAGCCCATTAGCAAATTAAAAGTTCAATACAAGCAATAAACTATAATGGATAATTATTTCAAGTAAATATAACTCCAAAAATATTTCATACATATAATTAAGAAGATGATTCTTATTTATAATTTATGTACTTTTAATAAGAATATAATTCCTAAATTATGACTTAAAACTAAATAGGTTAAAACATGATTGAATATTTTAATTTAAAATCGAAAATGGTTAAATAGGATATTATTGAAAATGATTAAATTAGAAGATGCAAATATAGAACAATTTGATAATATCACAAAGTATTTAATTTATAAGACATCATATTATATAAACAATCTAATATAATATATCCTTTTTCGAAAGTTCTTTAATTCTTAATTAAAATATAAAATATAGTTATAAAAATAAATATTATAATATTTATAATGAATAAACTTACTCATCCAAATATCATTAGTAATGGTGCCACAAAAGGACAAAATATTGTTATACATAACTTGATCACATTCCATAACATTCCTTTTCCTAAGTATAGACCTATACCTGCAACCATTGTTTTTGACATTGGCATATATTGTCCCACTATAGATAATAATGGAGCAGCAATATATGATGCTCTTTTTAATGTATTAATCAAAAACTTAACTACACTTTGAGCTGTTTGAGTTTAAGGATTTTAAGTTGATCTCAAAGCAACTTTAGCTGTCTTTAGAGTAGGCATTAAAAAGGGTTATAAAGCAGACAAACTTGTATATAAAGGGATGGCTATATAAGCAAACTTTGAAATAAATCCAAGAGCTGACATAATCTTATTACTATAAGTTTTAAATTTTTCTACAGCTTTTTCCATCCAGTGTTTTGGTTTATAAATAACTTCAATATAGAGTGGTTCATAAGCAAATTAATATTATTACTCATCTTGGGAGAACATTTGATTATTGAAAAATATCTAAAAGGACTTGACATTCTATTTAAAGAACTCACTGATTTATATTAAATTATTTGGAGTCTTTGAATTTGGATTAACAACAAGATCAACAATTTTCTTTCTTATAGATATAAATTACCTTTACGTGTATAGTTTCATCTGATGTTAATATTGTTTATCTAAAGTCAACTTCATAATACTAAGTTAAATCTTAAATGCATATTATATCCTAAAGATGTTCATTATTGCTTTAATCAACTTTATTCTTGATTAAGGCTTTATCTTTCCGTATTTTTTATTTTGCAGTCATAAATTCAATATGAATAACATTCTGTTAAACTTTGTTACTATTACCCATTTTCTATAAAATAATTATAATATGTATAAAAATAATTAAAAATGCTTATAAATTTATTTTCTTAGTATTATAGAGTTTCCATTAAAAAATTATTAATAATTCCAACTTGAAGACCATTCATTTTGAATTAACAATCTTTGCAATCTTTTTAAATTCTTATTTATATCAATAAATGACTTTTCTTATTCAAACTAATCTTCTCTTTATTTTCTTATAATCTCTATGGGTTTTTCTTTATAGTTAATTCTAAAAAATATAATTTATCTAATATAATATAGAATTAGTGAAATATATAATATTTATTAAGATTAGAGTAATATTTATTTTAAACATTTTTCATTATGTTTGAATTTTGTCAATTAATAAAAAAATCTAAAGTTATTTATAAGCGCTCTCTCTCAATTACTTAAAATAATTTTCAAAATTTTCAAATATTAAATATGCTTTTTACTATAAATATTTTGATTGAAATCTAAGTAAAGATCGGTTAGATTAAATATTACTTAATTAGTCATATTTAATATTTTCAATAATGATCAAAATTATGAAAGATAAAAATATTTGTAAGAATTCAAAATATCCGTATTTTTTAATTAATATCCTATGAAGTTATTGTAAATCAATAACCTTATTTATAAAGAATACTAGTGACAATATTTAAGTGATAATAATGAGTTTATCATTTTAACTGTTTGGAAATTTGATATAATAATATTATTGGAACCCTCATATATGATATTATATAATTCGGTTTCATTCTAAGAAAGGTGTAAATTTGGTAATACTATAAATGAAGTTGATCTAAAAGAATTCAAGGATTCATGTCATAAATAAATCTTTTAACGATGTAGGTAAACTGAAAAAAATAAGCAAAATTCTTAATTTATGTTCTACTTTATAATGTGATAGCTTAAAAACAAATATTTAACACAAAAATTTCAAATTAATATGTTCTAATATTCAGGAGGAAAATAAATATATATTGAGTACTTATAAATATAAAATCTAACAAATTCATTAATAAAAATAAAATTTTAAATTAGCAACATGAAATAGCAAAAAAAGATAAGGTATAAGATTAATAATATCATTAGAAAGACTCACCGACGCATTATATAAGTAATATAAATTATTTAGGAAGACTGCTTTGACTCTTGGGTGAATACTAACGAGTATTTATTAACAAAGTTCAGCACTCCTTCTTGTGGCATCTCTTAGGCTCCAGGATCTATGTTAGATGTTCTTTTAAAATCTGATTGAATTTAGCTTCTACTTATATTTATTTAATTAATTAAAAAGAAATACAGACAAGTTGAATGAAGTGGATTACCAAGATTTAATGTTCAAATGAAAATAAAAACATAAGAACAAATCAGGATCCATAGATATTTAATTTAGAATATATAAGTCTTAACTTTAAATTTTCTATTATAAATATTAATATTATTTGATGTATATATATTATATCATTCTTGGTTTGAATAAATGGAAGAATATAAATGAGATGGTTAGTAAATCTTGAATACAAAATTTGAACTAGATCTGATTTAATTTAAAAGAATAGATGTTAAGAACATTTTTTGAATTGAGTTTATTTTAACTAGAATAATTGATCAACTTACTAATTTTGTGTAAAAATTATAGGAACTAAAAAATGCTATAAGAAAATTTGAGTTTATTTGATTTGGAATGATGGAATGAATTATGAAATAATATGAATTTATGTGGGTAGAATGGTTATAAGAATTTACAAATGAATTAAATGGAGAAAAAGATTAAATGATATTAAAAAGGTCTTATTTTTATTTTAAATTTCAAAATAATTATTAAAATGAATAATTTTGAAAAGGTTGATGCTTTTGGATAATTGCCATTAGCTAGGTTTGGACATACAATTACTTATATTGCAAAGGGAAAAGCGATCTTATTTGGTGGTAAGGATAATTAAATTAATTCAGGTGCAACTGGTGATACTGGGAAATATAACATTACAGGTGACACATTCTCATTTGATATGCAGACTAAATAATGGAAAAGGATTGAAGGTAATTAAAAATATAAAAATTTTAGTGTAGGGAACTGCACCTAACCCAAGAGCAGCACATGCAGCAGTGTGTGTTGATATAAATTAAATAGTAATTTATGGTGGAGCTACAGGAGGTATAAGAATTGATTTATTATGGTAGGTGGTAGTTTAGCATCAGATGATTTATATTTGTTAGATTTAAGATCAGCAGATGATATTGGATAATGGACTGTAGTACCAGTAGTTGGAACAACTCCAGGAAGAAGGTATGGACATACACTTACATTTACTAAACCATTTTTAATTGCATTTGGAGGAAATACAGGATAAGAACCAGTTAATGATTGTTGTATGAATTAATCATTTAAAATAAGGGTGTGTTAATGTTGAAAAGAGTCCTATTACTTGGGTGAGATTAGAATGCAAATCTGAATAACCAATAGCTAGAGTATATCATTCAGCTAGTATTTGTACAAATGGTAGTGCAAATGGAATGGTTGTAGCATATGGTGGTCGTTCAAATGATTAATAAGCATTAAATGATGCATGGGGATTAAGAAGACATAGAGATGGAAGATGGGATTGGGTAAGAGCTCCATATAAACTTGATAAAGAATAACCAATTGGTAGATATTAACATTCTACTTTGTTTGTCTATAGCATGCTTATTGTTATAGGAGGTAGAACAGGGAATGTAGGTGAAATGCTCACAATTGATGTTTATGACACTGAAACTTCTGAATGGTCTAAATTCAATAGTATTTAGAGATTCAGACATTCTTCTTGGTTGGTTGATACCAATATATATGTTTATGGTGGATTCGAATTAGATTCACCAAATATACCAACTGATATCATTTCTAAAATTAATTTGAATAAATTACTATTACCAAGTGAACCTTTAACTAATAAGTTAGCCTAATATTAATAAGCATAAAGAAAGTATACTCTCTATATTTATTTAGTGTATCCCCTCAATCACTTTCACCTTAGATGAGTCCTGCTTCTACAGATACATCCAATTCTTCATTAAATAATTCATTGATGCAAAAAAAAGGAACACCAAATAGTTAAATAAATACTTAAAAATAATAAAAACCATTTTTATAAAATCAAGTTGAAAAACCCTCTTTTAAATTCATTAATTAGGCTATTGTTGCTGAAGAGAGTAGAGACTCAAAAGTCTAGAATAAAAAACCTAGGCTTCCATAATCTGCTTAAGATAACAATATTGCTCATTTGTTTATTAATACACTATTATAACCAAAGACTTTTATTAACCTTCAAGAAAATGCTAAATTTTTATTTTAAGCATAACATATTATTATGCTTTGTGATTAAGCTGAGGCAGTTATCAAAGAATAACCTATGGTATTAAGATGCAAAGCTCCAATAAAGATTTTTGGGGATATTCATGGATAATATTCAGATTTAATGAGATTCTTTGATTTATGGGGATCACCTTTTGTTGATGGTAAGGATAGTGATATTGAAGCATTTGATTATCTCTTTTTAGGAGATTATGTTGATAGAGGTAACCACTCTCTTGAAACCATCTGTTTACTTTTAGCATTAAAAGTCAGATATCCAGAATCTATTCATTTAATTAGAGGAAATCATGAAGATAAATGGATTAATAATGGATTTGGATTTTCAGAAGAATGTGCATAAAGATTAGGTGAGGATCCAAATGATGATGATTCTGTTTTTGCAAGAGTTAATAGATTATTTGAATGGTTACCATTAGCTGCTATTGTTGAAGATAAAATAATCTGTTTACATGGTGGTATTGGTAGCTAATTAAATTATGTTGCTGAAATTGAAAATCTTTAAAGACCTCTTGAAGTAATACATGAAGTTACAACTCCAGAATAATAATTAGTTGTAGATATTTTATGGTCTGATCCTACTGATTCTGATTAAGATTTTGGAATCTAACCAAATATTATAAGAGATCCTGCAGGAACTGGAAACATTGTAAAATTTGGTCCTGATAGAGTTATTAATTTTTTAATAAAAAACAGTCTTTCTCTTATAATTCGTGCTCATGAATGTGTCATGGATGGATTTGAAAGATTTGCAGGTACTATTATTCTCTTATATATTTAGGTGGTCAATTATTGACTGTATTTAGTGCTACTGATTATTGTGGTAGACATAAAAATGCAGGAGCAGTACTGATTTTAAAAAGAAATCTAGAGATTGTTCCTAAATTAATATATCCATAAAATCTAAATGCTCACAATTGGATTGAAGATGAAGAAACACTTAAAAAAAGGCCACCAACACCACCTCGTTGGAAAAACTAGGGTCAACGTAAAAGTTACGAATGATCTAAATTAAATTAGTTATTAAATTATTTTCAATTTCTAATTAAATTTTTAATAATAATTATTATTATATATAGTAATAAAAATTCATTTTTTGAATGAAGGTGAACAATATTTTTCACTTAGATCAAATGAGGAATCTCTTCTCAATAATTATGTATAGAAATTATTAGTTTTTAGTTAATTTTCATTAACTTTATTCAAAATCTCCAAGAATTTACTTGGCTAACTATTTGATCTTTATTTATCAGGAGTTTAATTTGTTGGTGTTGTTACTTGAGTTGATTAAGGTGACATTAACCTTGATACAGATTATCCCTATTATTATTCTGTTTTCAAAAGAGATGTTTAAACTATTTTTATCTCTAATTCACTATCCTCAAATAAACCTCCAAGTATTTTTTAATCCGTTGCCTTTTTATATACTCTTCCCAAATAAACATTCTAAGTCTCCATTTTACCAAGACTTTATTATATATCTTACACTCTCTTATTATATTGACCCATTATCTATTTATATGGTAGTAATTCAATTTATAGAATTATATTATCAAGATTAACTTCAATGTCACTATACATTTATAGTAATTCATTGTGACTCTCCTTAATTTCTTATTACTTTTATTCAAACATAGTTAAAGCTTTGCTTTACATTTCATTTAAATAGTCAATTTATTCTTTTAGTTTGTGGTCTAAAGTAGTTGTCATTATATGATAATGTTCTCGTACTTTATCTTTTTATTTTTCACAAAATCGAACCAAATCTTCTTTTTTCTCAAGAAGACTTTATTCACTTTGATCTATTGTTAAAAATGTTTATGAAATTGTTTCAAGAAACTGTTGTATTTATTCTTATCTAACTTATGTTTAATCAGACTCAATATCATCAACCTATTTCTAAAATGAAGTTTACCTTGTATCCTTAACTAACCAAAGCAATTGCACATTTGGAACAAACTAAATCAGTCAAGTTAAACTTTGGTTTTGCAAATGGAACACCAACAATTTTATATTTTGCCTAATTTTTAAGCTTTTCTTACCTTCTTATTTTAATGAGCTTTGCAAATTGGATCAGCCAAATTAAATACTTCATTTTCTTTATTCATCTGTTAACGATTAAAATTAATTGAAAACACTAATAAATATTATTCAGTAGAATAATATTTATTTATTCCCGCTATTTTTATCATGCAGTTATTCTGTAGTTTATATATTAATAGAAGATTAAATTAGATCTAACAATAATCTAGAGATATTTTTTAATACAAAAATTTAATATATCTATATATAAATTTTACACATCACAAACTCTAAAAATTCATTATATTTAATTTATAAGAAGCAGGATCTCTTATATAAACTGGAATTTTATAGATATCCTTAACAGTAACTGAATACTATAAACATAATTGCTAAATGACTTCTGTTGTAAATTCATTTTATGAATTACTTAAATATTTAAATAAGTTCTCATATAATGGTTCATAATATTCTTTTGTAAATGCTAATTATTATTATAATAATTTAATACTTTCAGCAATATCTATTTATATTTAAGATTTAATTTATTCATTTATAATTAAATCAATTTCAAAAAACAAATCATTTCTGAATCCATTTTCATCTAATTAAACTATTTACCTTAAAAACTTTTTAAATTAATCCTTTGACAATTAAATATTTTTTTCTCTTTATTAAACCTTAAATTTTTAAGCACTTTCTGTGATATTTTCAATTTTCAATTTTTAAATTAAATCACCCAAAAGCTATTAGCATTCTTTAATATAATTATTAATTGTATCTTAAATTTCGAGAATTTTCATCTCTTGCAATTGATTTATATATATTTATAAAGCATTAATTGAAAATATCTTTGATGATCTATTAAAACTATTCTGATTTAATTTCATTTGAATTAGCTATTAAAAAGGTTACCAAAGATTACATAAGATCTCTTATCTTTCTTCTGGTTTATTTTTCTTTAAAAAATCATACATCTAATATAATTAATCTTTTAAAGGCTAATATGATGAAAATTAAGCTATATTGAACCTTATAACTTATAAATTATGAGACATAAATTGAACACTTTTAATTTTTTAAGAGGAACAAAGTTATAGTAACTTAATTAATCCATTATTAAATTACAATTAAGTATTCTTAGATTTAAAGAAATTGATAATTTATTAGATTTGAATATTTACTTCATAAACTAATATTATTATTATTCAATAAATACATAAAAAATAGCTTTCTACAAATTTTAAAGTTGCATCTAATTACTATGCATAATCACAACATATATTATCGATAATTTAAGGAAAGATTGAAGAGGCATTCTTATCAAATATTTCTTCTGTTTAATTAAATGACTATCTTAATTAAGAAATCATTTTACTGTATTTGAGAATCTAGTGTTTTAAAAAAGGATATAATTGATTATTCATCCATAGAATTGATTCCAGCTAAAAGAGGTATTAATAGATTGCTAAATTTATATCTTAATACAAAAATGATTTGATCATTTACTTTATTTTGAAATAGTTTATTAATATCTTTTAATTCATCAATAGTTATCATTTCGTAATGTTTTTTTAAATGGGCAATTATTTTACTTAATGCTGCTGATCTAATAATATCAATATTTTCAGTTAGTGATCCTCTTAATTGTGATGGTCCTTATCCTTATGGATCATCATAATTAATAAGTTCTTTTGTTAAATTTTCTTATTCATCTAAGATTTTAAAAATTTAATAAAATTCTTAATCAATTTCTATCTCTTGACTAATTAAATGCTTATGTTATTCTCTAGTCAAATTAGACTTTTAATATAATGTATCAAATTCAATTTTCTCTTTCTCTAATTACTAAATAATATAGATGATATATTACTTATTTTTTATCTTGCATTGCTATTAATTTTTCAATGATAAATTTATTCTTTCTAGATTCTTTTTGTCTTGATTCCAACTCTTAAAAAAGTAGTTCATAACCCTCTATTTATTAAAACATTATCATAATAGGATCATAAAGTTATTAAAGTGGTAATTAATACTTTTCAGTCATAAATTTTAAAGATAAATTAATAATAAAATTCAAAAGGTTTCATTTATTACAATGACAATAAGCTGTACTCATTCCTTTATTTAGAAGGTAAGTGCAATTAGGACAATGTAGTTTTCCAGACTTATTCATAATTTTTGATTTAGATTACATTGTGAAAGATGGATCATAACGTCTAAGAATAGAAAATTAATTTACTCAATTACTTTTTCAGTATTCATTTTTTTATTGATTGACTTTTTTAATTTTTCTCTTATTTTTTCAATTTATTATCTATTTTATATAATTTGAATAATTACAAAACTTCTACTTCCTTATTTAATTTATATAATCTTGAAACATCACATTATAAAGAAGTTTTTGATGGAAGTATTAAAGTATTAGGAAATTAATTTTCAGTTAAATTTTATGGTAATTAACTATTTGATTTAAGCTTTGAAGGAACTACATCTATACTAACATCATTTCCATCCTTCTCTTTAAATTCAATTGCTGATATAGGTAAATTTTGAAGAGAACTTTACTTTTTAGAGGCATGACTTTTATGTTTTTATTTATGTTATTCTTCTATTTAATTTTTACTATCAGAATCATTTGAATTATCTTCTAAAAAGTAAATTTATAATATAATTACCTTAATATTAATCTTTTGAGTTTTATTCAGGTAATTCATCAATAATTTCAACTTCAGTTCTTGATTTTTTTTTAAAGTTTGTATTTTAAATTTAATTTTGATTTTAATTATCAGATGCAGAATGATGAGATGATTTTTTTGAATTTGAAGCTAATTTTTTATTTTTTAATTAGTTTTATTACACTGGTAATTCATAAACTCTTTCATTATATTCTTATTCATCTTCCTCTGAATTTGATTAAGTATATTGTTTTAACTAATGTTTAAGTTTTATTTTCTATTTATTTTATTCTTTCTCTTCTTTATTAAGACTATCTTTCAATGATTCAAGTTCTTATTAAAGATTTGAAATTTCAAAATCGAATTCTTCTATTTTACGTCCCTCTTATATATATTATAATATGCATTACTTTTCCATTCAATAGCAGGTTCTTAATTTTTAGATCTCAGTGATTCAAGTCTATTATTATAATGATTGACTTTAAGGTCTGATTATTAAAATTACTTAAAATCAACAGAGAATGAATCAACTGATGTCATTGATGCAGATTGATTATGTTAATAATTTCTTTAAAGAGTAGATTTCACACTAGTATTCAATTCTTATTCTAATTTCTTTATTCTTGATTCAAGTGTTGATTCATTTCCAATTTTGAACTTATTAGAATCGTTATCTAATGATTTAAGTATTTCTTATTACAAGTATCAGATAGATCAAATGTAGCATCATCTAATTCTTATTGTTGTTGTTACTCTTCCTTTCCATATACTTTCTTATTTATCTATAGTCTTTTCTTTTTTATCATATCTGTTAAACTTTCATCTGATGATGATGATTTCGAATTTGAATATCTGATTGTTGATTGTTTATTAGAAGATTCAATTTTGTAATCACTCATATCAACTGAATCATCCGAACTAAATCCTTCATGTTTCCTATTTAAATTCATTTTAATTAACGAAGAAAATTAATTATTAATAATAAGTACTAATTCTATTTAAAACTATGAAATAACACTAATAAGATGATCAACCGAAACTATTTTCTTGATTCAATACCAAATCCAATAGATATAAAAACAAGATAACAAAATCTTGTATTATTTCTCATTAAAATCACATGATTCTCATGTATATTAATGATGTCTTACATAAATCTTAAATATCATACTTTATTATAGATTAGATGAATGATATTATAATTCAAAAGAATTAGAAATTTAATGAAAATAAGAAAACATTAATTTGTTCATGAAATCTATTTAAATAATAAGTACTTTATAATATCAAATTATCAAAAACTATAAATATTTATAGAAATATCATAATTAATCATTAAGATTACCTATTATTTAATTAATGATTGTTGTAGTTTTACTTCTTCAATTTTTAAATGGATTTTCAATTTAATAATATAATTAAACTAAATAATGAGTTATTTAAGAAATATTTAGAAATAAAATATAAATCTGGCTATTTCTTATAAGTACTTCAAATTTTTTAGTTAAAATGCACTTTATAAAACATGAAATTTAAGAAATTTTAATATGATAAAAATGATCAAATAGTTGAATAGCTAAAGTATTGGTTATGGTGAACATTAAATTGAATGTTCTGATTAAGAAATAATACCTTATGACATTCCCTAAAATCTAATCAATTATTTAGAATCTCAAAGTAATAACACATAATCATTATAACTATGTCAACCAATATCAAAAGATGATTTATAGTTAATTGAGCAAAATATATACAATATTATCCATGTTTAAGACTTTGTAACAAATTAGGAATGTTCTGAATTCTAAAATTTAGAAATATCCTAATTGAATAGAAAACAATAACTTATTTTAAAATATTCAAAAATATTTATCAAACTCAACAATTTCAATTATCCACTTTAGAATAGTTTAATATTATAATTATAATTTCCTAATTATTTAAGAATTTCACTCTAAATTTTAAAAAAAGTCACTCAAACAATACAATTATCTAATAATATTATTTAATTTATTATTAATTATGCTTAGAATAAATAATTAGAATAACCTTATGTTGAACTTTCATCAAAGATTATAAAATTATGTTAAGAATTTGATAATTTGGATTAATTTTAATTAGTAAATTAGGAAAATTTGTTGAGTAGATAACCCAGTGATGAGCCAAATTTATAAAATACCATCTGGACAAGATAATAAATGATTTAATGTTTGATTCTTTATACTATTGTGAAATGTGAACTATTAATTTTTAATCAAAAAACTAAAATCTCATTCAATTATGAATAAAATATAGCAAATGTTTCTAAACATATTAATATGTGTACTTATGATTATTCTTGGAGTGAAAATTGTTTAGGTAATATTAGAGATTACCATCCTAAATTAGCAAAAAAACTTAATAAACGTTATTAAACTGTTAGAAATCTAGAAGAAACTGCTTATGATAAAGAAACAAGTACAGCCATATTCAATTATACCTAATCTTTATTAGGTTATTTTCATCATCATTATTCATATTCTTAAATGTAATTAAATTAAGATGTTAAAAACAAAATCAAATCTATACTAAATGGAAAGATTACAGATTGCGATTTAAGTTTAGTTATAATTGTAGCAAACGCTATCATGTTTGTTCAAATTTTATATGCTTTGAAATGATTTATGCTTTTGAATTTATTATAAGTTATTATATGTTTAATTAATTGACAAAATTACAAATATATAGTATTATAAAAAATTGTTTCTAAATATTTTATATGTCAAGTAATATCAAATTTAAAGTTTAGATTATTATAGAATAATTTTATTCAATTCTATCAGGTTGAATATAATAAAATGAATGGATCTTTAAGTATTTTAAGTTTAGTTAGTTACATACCATTCTTTTTAATTATTATTAATCTATTAATTAAGTACTTGTTTCATTTTATTAATGAAATTAAATTAAAATTAACAGATGTATATAAGGATTTATTATTTAATATAAAATTAAAAAATGAATGCTTTTAATAACAAAAATTTAATATGAAGTTTGTCTAATTTTATGTTTAAGGGATGAAAAATCTATAGACTCATAATAATATGATTAAATTTATATAAAAACAATAGTATTATGTATTCTATTTTTTTGTAAAGATTGAAGTCTTTTATATTAGTTAAGTCATAGAATATCCTGCCTAAAAAGTACAACTTTTTATTCTATTATGGATTAAAATTTAGTTGATTAAAAATTATTTGAAAAGAAATATCAAAAATTATAATAGAATGCAATTTAAATTTATTAAGAAGTAAAAAGATCTTCTTTGATAGAACAATAATATTAAATGAAGGGTGCCTTAAATATATAATAAGAGTATATACTAGATGAAGAGGATATAGTTCCTTGGATGACTGAATTAAATGAAAAAAATGATAAACAAGAGATATATTAATCAAAAAACAACTTATAAAATAATAATATGAAAAAAATGAAGTCATTATGATGATATTTTAAATTAAAATAATCTATTAAACTCAAACTTATATAATTATTTTATATAAAAAAATCATTCTGATAGACTAAAAATTATTAAATAACATTTTCTACAACCTTCCTTTGAAAATTATTTAAAATTTAGTTTTTTTCAGTCTATAACTATAATAATTTTCTTACATATCCTGCTCCTCCTAATACAATTATAACATCATCAGAAATTATTTCCAAAGGCTGTATATTAATTATCACTTAAAATTATAAATTTCCTAATTTAAGACTGTATTATTATAGATGTAAAATCTGTCAAGTTTTCTAATCTTAAAGTGGATAATTAAATTTCAGATATATTATTATTGTGTATACTTAGATTATGCTCTTAATAAAATAAATTGAATATAATTAATGAAAAATATAATTGCAGCCACATTGACGACTCTACTAATTGGTTTGGGTTTCTACCAAGTAAATTTAGATACTGCTTCTGATTTTGAAAGATGGACTTTGAAATATGGCAAAATTTATTATGGAAATGAGAAAATATACAGATAAACAATTTATTATCAAAATAAATAAATGATTTATTAACATAACAAAAGAAATGATATTACTTATTAAATGGCAGAAAATCAATTTATGACTATTACAAATGAAGAATTTATTAGACTTTATTTAAATACTAAATCATTTGAATAATTAAATGATTAAGATAAAGTTAAAAGAAATAATATACATTAATCTTCTGAACCTATTAATAAAGAAAATAAAAAAAGGTCAATTGATTGGAGAGGTTTGGTAAACGGTAATTTTATGGTTCTGGTATATTTTCTGATTGCAGTTCTGGTTCTAGCAATACAAATTATTATGCATTAGCTGTTGGTTATGATTCATCAGATATTTGGTTTGTTCAAGCATCTTTTGGAACTAGTTGGGGAGAATCTGGATGTATAAGACTAGCTCCAGGAAATACTTGTGGTATTTTAAATGATGGTCACGATGTGCAATTGTATAATTGATTTATCATAAAACCATTAAGCATAAAATAAAAATTTCACCCAATCTCCAAATATTAATCATTTCAATAAGAAAGGTCTTTCTAAATAAAATCAAATTCACAAAAAAGACAACTTGAATTCTGTTTTAAATGCCTTCCTAAATTATTTATCATCTGATTAAGTTTTCTCTATATATTATCATAATAAACAACTATATTTAATAAATATTTTGAGAATTAACCTTTTTATTAAATTAAATGTTTAATTTTGCATAAAATTAATAATAATGAGTTTATCAATACTTATTTTAGAATTATAACAATATACTTTTGAGTCTTTCAATATTATAGCTTTATTTAAACTTATATGAATCAAGAATTCTGGATTTTAAATGGATTAGTACTGATTGAAAATACAAAACTATTGTCTCTTAAAAGATTGATCTTCAGAGGGGAATATGAGACCCTCAAAAAAGTTGATTAGTTATCAAATTAAGGAATAAACAAAACTCATCATTATGTATTGATATAAAAGTTAGTTGATTGATTTAGGAAGAAATAAATATAAAATAAAATGATAAGAAATGTATTTAATGAATGTATATTATAACAATGATCATTCTTCTTTTGGCTACTTTCTTTTTGAGTTCTTTCTCTTTCTTCTTCCTTCTCTTCCTTATCCAAATGGAGATGTAACTGCAAAATCAACTAATTTTTCACTTTCCACTCTAACAAGAAATGATGGTGAATTTACTAATCTCTTTCCAACTCTATTTTATGATAAAAATGTCAAATGTACCTAAAATGTCTTTATCTAATTAAGGTTCTGGCATGATGAATTGATGATGCTTGATTGCTTTTGAAAACAAATGTTTAAAGTCTTCTTTCCATCATTTTTTATGTAGTCAAACCCAAAACATAATCTAACTTTCTTTCTTATTCACTTAATAAACCAAAGCGAACCATTCTTCTAATCAAGGCTTCTCCTTCAAATAATCTTCTTGGGTCTTTTGGATCAAGTGTTAATAATTCTCTAGCAGCCTTTCTAATTCTAGCTAATGTAAGTTAAACTCTCCAAACTTCTCTTTTATTCTTCAATCCATATTTACCAATAATTTGCAATCTAATTTATAATTAATATTACTCATTATCAAGACGTTCTTTTTCAAATGGTTTTCTTGGTGTATCAGATGTCTTTGATCTGTTTCTATAATTTTTTCCCATAAAAAGATTTAAATATAATTTTAAATTTTGTATTAATAACACCAATATACTATTGTATAGTATCTCTTCCTCCTTCATAAAGTCTCCATCAATATTTATGAGAACAACAATCAATTTAAATTCAAGTTCATATTTTCATATTTATACTCAATATTTTCTCATACTAATACTAAAGAAGTCTTCACCTTTTTCACATAAGTTCTGAAGTAATTAATATAGATGATACTTAAATTATATTTATTGCAAAAAATACTTCACTTATATCTAATTTTTATCTTTCAAAATATTACAAATTGTATAAACTATCTCTCCATCTTATTTTTAATATCTTATAGTTTAATCAAATATATCTTATTAGATTCCATATTAAATCTACTTCAATTTATATTTTTTATATCTACTCTTCTCAATATAATTTTTACTTTATAAAATGCTTCATTTCCTTAGTATCTAGTTGGTATAATTGCATTTAATCTTATTGTAAATGTATTAATGCAACACAGAATTCATAAATCATTGCTCAATCAATTAATTATAAACTAATTAAAAGAGTCTGAAATAGAATGTATTTATTCATCCCAATTGAGAAAAATCGAATAATTTATCAAAATTTTGATCCTTTTCGTAATTAGATATATTTGATATTAATAACATGTTCTATCCACATCTTTTGTAAAATTAAAGAGTAAAGATCGTTTCTTATTAGATCAAATGTTTTTTAAGAAATTATGGTATGCTTAGAGGTTTAAAATGTTTTGGTATTTTTTAAATACTCTATTGGAAATGAATCAAATGGCTCTCTTGAAACATCACCATTTGTCATAATAGCCTTTATGTGAGTTTTAATAAATAGTCTTAAATTGATAATAAATAATAAATTATAACGAATATGAACTTAATAAAAATGCATAAGCCAATTACTCCAACTAAATCATAATCTCCATATAATTCAGGTAAAAAGAATCCGGATTACATTAATCCTACATTTGTTAGTCAAGCTGTGTTTCAAGACAACTAATTATAAAATAAGGCTATGTAACATGGACATACAAAATAAAATAATTGTTATTACACATATTATAATTAATCTTAAAAATTATAAATTGAAAAGACTTAAGGAACAATTGAAAAATAGCGATATGGAAATATTTTGAAGTTTGAAGAAAAGCGATTTGAAACAAATGAGAAAAACTATTTTATTGATAGGAAAAAGTAATTATCTTAACATGAACTCACTCCTGATTACTCACTCAATCGTATAAAACGGAATAGTTAAATTGAACTCAATATGTCTTGGAACAATGGAGTTTAGGATCATTAAATCAAATAAGATATCAAAAAGGATGAAAAAAGAAAACTTTATACTGAAATAGAGTAAACGGAGTAATTCTATTCATCAGTTAAAGAGATAAATCAATCTGTTAAAGATTTCAAAGCATAAAGCTATTTAAGAGGATTGTAATTGCAAAATAGACACAATTAATATTTAAAGGAAGTAGAAAAGACTAAAAAGTTAGAAGAAGAAATCATAAGATCCCAGGAACTCAAAATATAAGAATTAAGGAGATAGTAAGAATAACTAAGTATAGCTAAATCAAAATTTACTAAATGATTATCATTTATAAAATATTGCATTGCGATATTCTACTGCCAATATTAAATTAAAACTCTATATAATAACTCCTATAATTGCATCAACTAGAGATCCAAATGAATTATATAAATTGTTTGATAATGATCGATTTCCATCTTTTCCTTCTTTAAGTTCTTTATAAATATAATGTCTTAATTTTATTACTATTAAATTAAAGTAATAATAATAATCAATTAGAATTTTATATAATTCAACTTTTGGAAAAAATCTAAATTTTCAATTAATTTAAACTTAAACTTTGATTTAACTTTAATAGTAATATAAATAGTTGATAGAGTATTTATAATTATCAATTAATAAATAATCAATTATCAAAGCTTATCTTGTTAATTTCTAAACATAATATAAGAATAAGTTAAAATAGATTTATAATTTAAAACTATTATTAAGAGTTATTATTAATGTCTATGTTATTTAAAAAAAATAGAATTATATTAATTTTTCTTAATACAATTTTTTTATGGCTACAAATTGTTTTACATCTTAATTTTTTTGCTTTATAGAAGATTGAATTCTCTTATTTGTAAATTTATGTCTCAGAATAGAATTACTTTTTTCAGTGAATAAATTTAATTCCATCAATTATTAGAATTTATAAATAATTATGAATTTCTTTTGGTGCTTTGGGGTTGATAATTAAACTATATCAGATTGCACTTCTTAATTATACTTTTCGAATAATGCTTATAGTCCATACTAAATTCTTGAAGATATGAAGGACCCAAAACTGGAAAATTTATAATTAACACTTTATGGTGAAGAAAATTATTCTCTAGCCAGAAATACATAACTAAATGTTATTTCTCAAGACAACTCTATTTCAAAGAGTTTACCTATTGAAGTGTTATAAATGATTGTCTAGAAATCAAAAAATATTGGAGAAAGACTACAAGTATTTATACCTTAATCAAATGATGTATAACTACTTAAGTATTTCATTTAATAACCAAAATTCAAAATTTACACTTTGGAAGATAACCAAGAATATTTAAACATACTTAAATAATAGAAAATATTTAAATAATTGTAATATATATCACAAGATTTTAACAATAGCTTTGATTTAATAATATTTAATTGTTCTTCTTCATAAGAAAGAATTTTTTCATTTTTCTAAAATTATTAGATGAATTCCTTCAATAATAAAGTATTTATTTTAGATTATTGCAAAAATATTAAGAATATTATCAGTTAAATAATGAAAGATTAAGAAACCTAAAAAGAAGAATTAATGAAAATTAGTATAAATGGTTATTTTAGATATTATTTATTTTTTACTGGGAAAATGAGTTCAACCCAGAATTGTTCAAGACTAAAATCCATAGAAGCAATTTTACTATAAGATTATGAATCCCAAACCAATTATTAAACTCTTATAAAATAAATGTTTAAATATCTTAAATCATAAAATATCCCATATTCAGAAATTTTAAAGATCATTGGAAAAATATAATAAGAAAATCATGATGAATTGAAAAAATAATAATCGGACACTATGCTTTAGAGATTTTTAAGCAAAATTATAGGTAACAAGAATATTGATAAATCTAAAATTTTTGAAATTTTTTAATCTGTATATCGCGCTGGCTAGTTCACAATAACTCCATCTCAAGAATAATTTTCTAATAATTAAATAGATTCGTATAAATGTGCTATATTGTAAAATAATAGTAGGATGAAAGATGATATATGATTAATTATTTAAAAGTAGTCCTATTATAATAATGATATTATAAACAACAATTAAAAGATTACAGAGGAGGAAATTTCAAACCAAATTTTTAATAAAATACAACATTTTATTTATCATTATTAAATTTACATAAATATATTACTAATAATTATATAAGTAATTATAATCTCTATGATAGTTCTTCAAATCAATAAATCTATATAAAATTTCATTTTGGATCATCATTTAATTCTCTTTCCAATCTAATTTATTAACTTAATATAATGCTATTTAATTAATATTTAATCTGAAGTTCAAATTTAAAACAATAATAATTTTGATAATTTTAAGTCTATATTTTTTAACAGAATTGATAAAATAGAAATAATTGAATAATTTATTTAGTTATAAATCATTCAATTTGAATTTTGTTAAAATTAAAAATATAATCATCATTATTTCTTTAAATTATCATTAGCTCTTACAAAATTAATTTTTGGAGAGGAAAAAGATAGAAGTACTAAAAAGTGATTTGGAATTAATTGCTCTTAATTATTATAAATTTTACTTTGTTGAAGTTGTTTAATATCAATAAGATAATGAATTGATTCAAAAATATTAAAGTAATTTTATGACCAAAAAATTAAAAGTGGAATTTGATAAACAAATTTAAATATAAGAATTAATAATTATCTAAATTCTCGTTTAGTAACTTAAACCAATATCTATAGTTAATTTCATTTGATTAATTAGTCTAAATAACTTGGGCAATAGAAAAGAAATTAGAATTTTAAATAATATGAAAAAACGATTTTTTCTTAGAACATATTAATATTCATATTAAATTTATAACGATTTTATGTACTTTCACTAAAATGCTCCTGTTCATTAATATCAACCAATTAAAACAATTCCAACAATTCCATTAGGATAACATGCTCCAATTTATCCTGCAAATATAGCTTAAATTTATTAGACATAGTCATAAATATAACCATCATAATCATATTCAAATGTTAAATATATGCAAAATACTTAACCATTAAAGTAATCAACCCTTAGCACTTTCTAACCTTATAGGCCAGATCCAGAAGTAGAAAAGATTATTTCAAAATATAATACAACATCAAAAAATTCTTAAATTGAATAACCAGTGACCCATTGGCCATCAAATAGTATTCAATAGAATTCACAAGACTAATTTATAAACAAATAACAAAATAATAATGAGGAATTTGAATTTAAAGATAATAATACACCACTACATTTTTAATTTGATGAAATAAAACAGAGAAAACCAAATTTAGGTTTGAAGAATTATTCACCAGATATCAATGAATTTTAAGATTTTAGTAGTTAAAATTAAAAATAAGTAGCTCTACCTGAATAAAATGATAAAATTGTTAAATTAATGGTTTCTGGTATTATTGTCTTATTAGTTGTATATATCATATCAATGCTAGTACTATAATGATATAATAAAGTTGAATATTAGGTTTGTTATTGAAAACTATAAATAAAATAAATTAATACAAACTCAAACTTTTATAAAAAGTTAACAGTTCTGTTTTGCCAATAATATTCTACTTTATTATAGAAAAAAATGTTATATTTAACAAAGAAAGAATCCTATATAACTTAAAATAATAAAATATCTAAATTATATTTATTCTGGTTTTTGTATTAAGTAATTTAGTTAAAATTAAAAATAGATAAATTATATATATATAAGAATTTTAGTATTATATTCCTTAATTTTAAGAATTAAGTTTTAATTTATTGTTAAATTAGGTATCATGATAATAATCTTATTTAATTAATATTGTTAAATTATTAAATTAAGGTCATTCATTTATATTTTTATTTCTCAGATACAAATAATTTTGAAAAATTATTTAACTTATTCAATGAACTATTAGTAGTAGTTTTAGGAGATGGTAGATTTCCAAATTGTTCTGTTTTGATTCTTTCTGTAATATTTTTATGGTTTTAATCTGGCATAGTTGTTGTTCTATCTGAACAGATTAAAGCTTTGGATTAATCAACAAATAATTTGAATTACTAAAATAATAATATTTATTTACTTTTAAATCTTATAAAGAGTTTTGGGCTTATTACATTGTTTTTGAATAGGAATGTCCTAATTTAGTAGATTAATGTAGTAATTGAGATGATTTTGTCAACAAATCATGTTTCTTAAAATAATCATAAACTTCACTTTTTCCAGTTTATCTATTAATTCTTTTCCCATCTTAAGGAGATGCAAGTACTGACTATTATGAATAATATTCTCCCTTTTATTATTATAAAACCTTCAATGTTTTATCAGGAGATTAAGATTCAATAGGAATTGCTTAATTTTTTAATTGATTAAGATTAACCTCATTTGTTCTTTTAGTTTTTTCAAGTCCAACTTAGGATTCTCTTGAATAATAAAAGTTTTTTAATACATAATTTGCTGTATCAATATTCTAAATATTAATAAATAAATATTACATGATATTCTTTTTACATATTTGTCTAATATTACTTTCTAAATTCAGCATCTCCTTTATTAAATTCTTCTTCATCAAAATTATATTTAAGAGGTTCTGGTTTATAAGGAGTTTTTAACTTTTTATTGGCAATTGCTTCAAAGTCAACATCTTGAAACCATTCATGTGTAAGAATTTCAACAATGCCACCATTATAACCTAATCTTTCTGTTGGATCTTTTTAAAGTAATCTCAATATAAGTTCTTTTAAAACTGGTGATATTTGAACATATTATGGAAATTCAACAGTTTCAGTCAAAATTGAATTATATATTTCTTATGTATTATGAGAATAAAATGGAGGTAATCCTGTAACTAATTCATAAAGTAAAGCACCTAAACAATAACAATCAACTAAATAATTATGACCTGTTTTCATTAACATTTCTGGAGCCATATATTCTGGTGATCCACAAAAAGAATAAGCAAAATCATCTGGTGACATATCTGGCTTTGATAAACCAAAATCACTTAATAATAAATGACCATGTAAATCTAATAGAATATTTTCTGGTTTAATATCTCTATATACAATATTTTAGGAATGTAGATAAGCCATACCAATACAAATTTCTACAAAATAGAATTTAGCATCTTATTCATTCAATCTTTTCAATTTACGTAAATGATAAAATAATTCACCTCCAGCACAATAATCAAGAACAAATGCAATATAGTATTTAGTCTCAAATGCATAATGTAATGGAGTAATAAATTAATTCTCCATCTAAACCATAATGTCTCTTTCATTTTATACTATAATCTCTTTTTAATTATCTAAAATGAATTTCTTATCAATAAGTTTCAAAGCATAAAATTTCCCATTATCTCTCTTTCTAACCATATAAACTCTTGAAAACCCACCTACACCTATACATTTAACTAAAGTAAAATCCTTTAATCCAACTCTTTTTGTTGTAATAGGTTATGTATATAATGGTTGAAGTTATAATGTAATTCCTTTGAAAACATCTAAAGTTAAATCTGGAATTGTTAAGTAGTAATCATAGGGGATATTTTTGGATACAGTTTAAAATTAATATATTTTATTTAATTCTAAAAATGTTTTATTTTTTAAATACCTTATTATATTTAATCTACTTCAGTTGAGCCTGTTCCACTTCCAAGTTTTGTAAATGATCTTTCTATACATGCTATTTATTGTATTAAATAATTGTACATATCATCAGTAGTTTAATTTTAATATTCGTATAAATAATTGTATCTATTTTATAATAATATATCTTACTTTTATTATTTATAATAAAGAATTATTTATAATTATTTGTTAATATTATATTATACAGTATCTTCTTTGCACTTTTATTTTATGAATTATTAATTTGAACCTGATGAATATTCTGTTTTTATATGACTTTAATTGTTTGATTTAGATTCACTTTCATTTTTTTTAGGTTTCTATGATTAATATTATATGGATCCTTATATAGATCCTTTTAGTAGTTTTTAACTAGAAAACATATCCTCAATAGACTATCTATGATTTGATGAAGTATTGGATTAAATAGATTATTTATTCTATTTTAAATTTAAATAATTCTAACACTCATTAGAGCATACAGTATTTTTTAGCTAGATATATTATATATAATACTAAATGCATATCAAATAATAATTGATCTTTTTATTTCTAAATAGGTTATTTGATTTAATTTTATGGAGATTAGTTGTAAGATTACTTTGTAGTTTAAGGTTATTTTGATAATTAATTTTTCAACATTTTATCAATATTTTAAGCATCTAATGAAATAGTCGCCAATGATAAGTTTTTTTATTTTAAAATTTATCTTTTAGCACTATTACCATCATCAGTTTAGATACGTACATCAACCTATATAGAGTAATATGTAATATATACATTAAATTAGCCAGTTTTTAAGCGTTCACTCTTCTAACTTAATTGTTATAAATTATCAATGCTTTTACTTCCTTATAATATTCCCTTTGATGAGTTAGCAACTTAAGTTAGAGTGTTCCTTTCTTTCTTAAAATACTCAAGCAAATCATTCTTCTGAGTCTTGGATTAAGGTCTTTCTGTATTGACAGTCTTAGGTTTACTTTTATTTTTTTTTAGGTCATTATTGAATGGTTTATCTTGTAAGCTATTTTTGTTCATTAATGTTAACATCTATTAACTAATTTTCTTCATTAACGATGTGAATAATTTATTTAATTCAAATTATATATATATATATACTCTGAAATTACATAAATAAAATAAATGAATATCTCTCATTATTATGTTTGTTAAGCAGGTTGCTATGGTTCTTCATCTTTCTCTATAAGGTACTTTTTCATAAATTTCTTTAAACCTCCCTCAGCTTCAATCTATTGAAATGCTTTTTAAAATTCAGGAGTAGTAAAATCATATTTTTTCACAATCTTATTTACTTTTTCATCATAAATATGTCTATTCTATTTTTAGAATGGTTATGAAAGCAAAACAGGAACAAAATAATATTTTTTTAATACTCCGAAAAAAGATGATCTTATTTTTATTTATATCTATATATATACCTAGATGTCAATGCATAAATTGGATTTCTCATTTTCAAAATTAAACAAAAAGTAAATGTAGAAAGCACTGAGAAATACAAAGTAGTTGAAACTCTTGATCTATGTTCTTGTAATGCCAATTTAAATTCAGCTGTATCACTTTACTTATTTAAACTTATAATTTACTTCAATTAATGGATATGGTGCTTTAACTTTAGAAAATATAGTAAAAGCTAACAATTTATTTTAGCATAATTCATCATAAGATAATTGCATATTCTTCATAAAAATTATATAATTCTAATATTGAAATATATTATTGGAAAAATATTCCAATATATTATTGGAAAAAATTAATATCTAAAATTATCTTAATCACAATCATTTATATTTATAATTATAATACATATAATCATGTCTCATATTACTCTATGAATTTGTTAATAATTTAAATTAGTTTTATTTTTAAACTTAATTAAAAAGACATAAAAGTAATATTTTATTTTGCTTTTTCACTTTTTATCTTTTTTATCATTAAAACAATTATCATTAATATTAGATTTATTAATTTTAATTATCGTATGTGATATGACATCAAATATAAATTTATTTAGAAACAGGTTAAGTTGACTTAACCTGTTTTTATTTATAAATACTTTTTTAATCAATCATCAGTCTTCAAAATAATTTTATAAACAAATTATATTATTCTATCTATTATATATTTTATATGATTTTATAACTAAAAATAAGAGAAATAATTGAAATATAATACTTTTTTTTACAGAATAAGCCTAATAATAATAGAATCTATGTTAAACATATATAAAAAGGTAGAAGCTGATAACTGGATACAGAATCCATTAAAATTAGATAAAAGAAATGCAAAGTTATTATTATAACTAAATATTATATAATTTTCCAATCATTTTTATGGATAAAATGCATAGATTTTTATAATATATGCATTTTAGAAATAAGATATATTGAGCTGTCTAACTTATTTTGTAATGAATCATAAAAATTAAATATAAAAAATGAATTATAATTTATAAACCATTATGATAAAAAAAATATTATTTTATAGCATTGAAAAAATCAGTTTAATTTAATTTTAAATATTAATTAAGTGATTCTTTTTTCTTTAGATAACTAATATGCCAGTTTTGAAATAAGATGATCATTATTTTAGTTTGATTAGTAAACTAAAAATAATGCGTTTTATAAATATTTGATATAAGTGATTTTATAAATATTTTTATTATTTATTCTTTACGATTCTAGTATTTAGAAGGTACTTAGTTCTGAAATAAATCTGTTAAAATTAGAGAGGGTAATTAAAAAGTCTTCATCTAAATATAGTACTATTTTAATTTTTACAATCCAATTAAACTAATTAATTTCAATTATATATATATTTATATAATTAAAATTGAATCTCTATGATCAGTCAATAAAATTTATTATCATCATTTTCTATAATTATTTAGATATCATTTATCTAATAGACTAATTGTATTATTTTATTATCTTTGGCAGATCACTATCTGGATAATTTAGTATCTAAATTAATTCTTTAAATAATTTTGGTTATACATGAAAATAATTCAAGAAAAAAGCCTAATAAATAGTATAGTATCTAATAAACAAATTTTATGCATTTTTCAATTACAAAAAGATGGAGTAATTAAAAATATGCAAATAGAGTAAAACAAGTCTAATAACTCGTTTTCAAATAGTAAAAGTATAAAATTTATAAATAGTTTCAAATCACTGTTTTCTTATTTTTAAAAACCTAAACATAGTGTTATAAGATAGGTATGTATAAATATTAATATAAAACTAAGATAAATTTACAGATAGACGAATAAATTAACGTTAAATACATAGATGTCTTAAAACAATTACCTTAAAGTTAAGTAGAAATATTTCTATTAAATAGAGTTGAATATTAGTTAAAATGTTAGTATCTCAAAAGAAGTATTATTCTTTATGCAATCAAATTATAAATCTAATTGTATTTAAATTATGAATAAATATTGAGCTACAGTATCTAGAAGATAGATGTTGGATAGAATACTATTGAAACAAATTCTATAAAACAAGTTAAGTCTATCTATGCTTTAAAAGGAGAATAGATTGATCCCTAAATTCATTATTTATTTAACTTAAATCAAATGAAAATTTTGATAACAATAAGTATTTTACTTCTGACTGCGTCTACAACAGATGTAGCAGTCTCAGATTAATGTAATTGCGAGAAGCTTCTCTCTCAAGCAGATTGCAAAGCTAAATAAGGATGTAATTGGTCCACAACAACTTCTCTTTGTTCTAAAACAGATTCTGGAAGCAGTTCTTCAGAAGGATACTGCGGACTAATAAGTGATGCTAGTACTTGCGCAAAAACAAAAGGTTGTGCTTATATAGACTCTGTTTGCTAAATATTTGCAGGATGTTCAGCCTATAAGGGTGCAACTGACTCTGAGTGCCAAGCTATCTCAAAGCAATGTAATTCAGATGGATAAGCATTTTGTGTTGATCCTGGAACTTGCACATCTTATAAAACGGCAGAAGATTGTACTGGAAAAGGGAGTAGCGGAGGTTCAGGTACTTGTGTTTGGGATACATCTTGCAGAGAACAAAAATGTACTGAAGCCGATGTTTCATTCAACACAGATGCTCAGTGTAATAATTTTATCAAAGGATGTGTAACAACAGGAAAGGGATGTGTAAGTTCTTTGTAATTATGTTCTACATATAGTGGAGATATTGAAAGTTGTGAAGGATTGAAGGGATCTGATGGATTTTGTAAAGGAGTAGAAGGAAAAGATAAGTGTGTAGTAAAGGTATGCACAGATGCTGACACAACCAATACAACAGATGCTGCTTGTGCTAAGTATTAGGTTGGTTGTGTGACAAATGGTTATGGTTGTGTCAAGTCCCCTTTAGGAGCATGTTCTACTTTAACAGGAGATGATATTATTTGTGCAAATAAGAAAGGATCTGATGGTAAATGCAAAGGAGTAGTAGAAGGGAAAACATGTACAGTTGTAGATTGCAAAGATGCTCCAGACACATATTCAACTGATGATGAATGTAATAAGTATAAAGCTGGTTGTTTCACTACTGGTAAAGGATGTACAACTTCAAGAGGACTTTGTTCTTCATATAAAGGCACTTCATCATCTTGTGAAGGATATATTGGATCTGATGGTAAATGCAAGGGAGCTTCAGATGCTGAGGCTCCTTGCTCAGCCAAAGTCTGTAAGGATGCTGATGCTACATTAAATACAGATGAGAAATGTGATGAATATTAAACTGGATGTAAGACAACAGGTAAAGGTTGTGTCTCAACTTTATCAACTTGTTCTTCTTATACTGGAGATTCAACAAGTTGTGATGGATATATAGGAACTGATGGTAAGTGTGCAGGAGGAGCAAGCAGTGGTAGTTGTTTCCCTAAGAAATGTTCAGATGCACCTGCTTCTTTAACTACAAATGAAGATTGTTAAAATTATCAAACAGGATGTATTGCCACTGGTACAGGTGGTTGTATGGAAGTTGGTGCTTGTAATACTTTAGTAAATAGCAGTCAATGTGATGGAAAATCAACATGTTAATGGACACCTTAATGTGTATAAAATGTAGCTTGCAATGATCTAAAAACAGAAATTTTATGTAAGACTGTGACTTTACAAAATTCAAATACTTGCTGGTGGGTGACTGGTAGTTGTGTAGCTAGAACATGTGATTAAGCACCTGCTACATATAATACAGATACACTCTGTGATGCTTTCTTAAAGGGATGTTTGACAAAGAAAACTGGTTGTGTTGCACCAACTGCTACTTGTAGTAGTTATTAAGGAACTAAAGCTACATGTGAAGGATTCACTATTAAATGCACTAATACTAATAGCGCTACTGATACTACTGCATGTACTGATCCAGTATGTACAGATAATACGGATGCTACCACAGATGATGCTTGTAAATCATTTCATGCAAAATGTTTAACAAAAGGAACTGGATGTATAGCAGCTAGTGCTGCTTGTACTGCTTATGTTGGAGCAAGTACAGATGTTTGTGGAAAGTTTAAAGGTAATAATTAAACAACTCCTTGTTGGTGGAGAAGTGGACCTAATTGTGTAGACAAAGCTTGTAGTGATGCTCCTAATTCTAATACAACTGATGATTTATGTGATCAATTTTTAAAGGGATGTGTGACAACTGGAGCTGGATGTGTACCAAGTTCTTAAGCTTGTAGTGATTATACTGGATTAAATTAAGCTGGTTGTTTAGCATTATCAAAAGGATGTGCAAGAAGAGAAGCTTGTACTGCTGAAGTTACTTGCGCCAGTATAACTGGAGCTACTAATTAGGCAAGTTGTGATGCAATTTTACCAAATAGATGTGTATTTATTAATAATGGATGTGTCCCAATCGGAAATTGTGATACTTACACTGGCAATTCAGTAGCTGCTTGTAAGGATCTTGTTAATGGAAATGGTGAAAAATGTTATTGGACAGCTAATAATACTTGTATTGATAGAGCATGTAGTTAAATTACAAATCCAGCAGATCTAAAGACTTGTACAGATCATAAATCTACTTGTGCAAGAAAGTCAGATGGTACTGTATGTGAAAATGCTACATGCACTAATGTTACAGGCCCAACTTCTGAAACTTCCTGTTAAAACTATCATCCAAAATGTCATTATGGTATGGTAAGTTCAGCAGCTGCTTGTAGTGAAGGAAGTACTTGTAGTGTATTTGGACCATCATCAACTGGTACGTGTCCTACTGTGATTACAGCTCATGGTGGTGCATGTAAAGCAAATTCACCTACAACAGGTAATTGCATAGATGATGTTTGTTCTGCTTATAATGCTAATGCTAATGATTGCAAAGCTAAAAAAGTGTCTTATTCAACCCAATATTCAGGAACTGCTACTGCTTAACTCTGTTTCCATGATGGAACTAATTGTGTAGAAAGATCATGTGCAAATGCAAATACACATCTTGGAGTTACAGTTTCATCATTTTCATAATGTAATTCATATTATGAATTATGTGTATTCTCAAAACCATCATCAGGGGCTACTTGTGTAAATGGAAATAATTAAAATGGATCTACATTTGGCTGCTCATAGGTCTAGGGTACTCAAGCGGATTGTTTAACTTTAACTGGTAAATACTTAGTTGGTTCTGTTTGGGAATATAGATTATGTTACTAACATAATACACTAAATGGTGTTGCGGCTTGTGTGGATAGAGAATGTACTTAAAAATCAGATGGAAATACTGATGCAATATGTTAGGCATGGCTTCCAACTTGTAAGACTAATGGAGTCAGTTGTGTTAATATTACATCAGCATGTACAACAATGTCAGGAACTTCAGAAAGTTGTTAATAACTTACTGGAATAAAGTTGGGATCAAAATGTTCAGGTAATACATCTGTAAATGGTGGTTGTGTTGATAAAAGATGTTAAGATAATGGAACAGCTACAACAGATGCAGATTGTAAGAAATTTATGGATGGTTGTATAACAACTGGTAAAGGATGTATTGCTAGTACTACTCCATGTTCTGGTTAATGGGGAAATCAAGATGGATGTAAATTATTAACAGGAAATGGTAAATAATGTTGGAGTCTATCTTTGACTACTAGAGGTCCTTGTATTGATAGAACATGTGCTCATAATACAACAGCAACTACTGATACTGATTGTGCAGCCTTCATGAAAGGATGTGTTACAAAGAGACCAGGTTGTATTGAGGCTACAGCTGAATGTACATCTTATTAAGGAGTTTAAGCAGATTGTGAAAAGGCAATTGGTAATGGTAAATCATGTACAAATGATTCAACAGCAACTGCCACAACTGCTTGTAAAGTGAAAGATTGCACTAAATTGGTTGCTGATGCTTATTCAGAATCAGTATGTTAAGCTTATGGTATATAATGTCATTATAATGGAACAAAATGTGATGTTGTATAAACATGTTCACAATTAAAGGGTAACTTTGTTACTTGTGCTTAATATGTAGCTTCAGATGGACCATGTGTTGGTACAGCACTCTAAACTGAAACCCCAACAAGTTGTTCACCTGCCAAATGCTCAGATGCTCCTATTACATTAACAACAGATGCTGAATGTGAAGCATATAAAAGTGGATGTAAGACTAATGGTTATGGTTGTGGTTCAACAATTACATGTGCAGATGTATAATCTTCTACATCTTGTGCTGCTGTTAAAAGCGGAAATAGTTTTATTTGTAATTGGGCTTCTTAATGTAGAGATGTCTAATCAACATGCAGTAGTTTCACTGCAAGTGGACAAAGTGTTTGTGCTACTTCTGAATCTACTTCAGGATTTGGTATATGTGTTTGGAAAAACAGTGCTTGTACAGAAGCAAAATGTGAAGATTTACCATTGACAGTTGGTTCAGAAACAGATTGTACAGACTATTCTACAACTTGTACTTTTGGTGGAGTTGGAAATGGTTGTGTTACATAAGGAGCATGTACTAGTTATACAAGGAAGGAAGTATGTTCAACAGCAAAATCTACAGATTCTATTGGAAGTTGTACTTGGGATGAAACTGTAGTTACAGGTACATAAATAAAAGGATGTAGAGCAAAAGATTGTTAAGATGCATCTACAACATTAGTAAATGATTCTGAATGTGATGCATTCATTTCAGGTTGTGTTAGTAATGGTGCTGGATGTATGAAATCTACATACACATGTGATATGTTTAAGACTTAAGTAAAATGTCTTTAAGATTCTTCTTTATAACCATGTCTTTGGAATAATGGTGTTTGTCAATAATATTATAGATGTTCTGATTTAGCTTTGAAAACAGTAGCTACATGTTAAGCAGCTTCTAAATATTGTACAACAGATGAAAGCAAATGCACTCCTTTAAAGACATGTAGCAATTACACAAAATAATTATAATGTTCAATTGGTACTGATGGTGTTTGTGGTTGGGTTACATCTACAAAGAAATGTCAACTCTTTACTTAATGTACAGACTTAGTTTCTAAAATAAATACTGAATGTTCAGCTTTCAATTCTAAATGTATTAGTAATGGAACAAATTGTATTGAAATGGCTGAATGTTCTGCTTATGCTGATAGTGAAATTGCTTGTAAGATAGGAGGAACTGATGGCACATGTTAATTTGATAAGGATACATCAACTTGTAGATTGAGACAATGTTCTGATGCAACAACTTCTACTTCAACACATAATGGATGCTTTGGATATTAAATTAATTCTACTACTAAATGTACAACTGATGGATCTAAATGTATTGCTTTGGCTGATTGTGCCTCATATACAAAATAAGCAGGTTGTGTCCTTGATAGTTAATTCAAAGCTTGTGCTTGGGATGGTACAGCCAAAACATGTAAAACAAAGGCTTGTTCAGATACTAAAAAGACTAAGACATCTGAATGTGCTGCTGCCTTAGCTGGATGTATATCAGATGGAACCAAATGTATTGATTAAGGAAAATGTGCAGATTATACTACTAAAGAATCTTGTAATGCTGGTGGAACAGATGGAGCTTGTGCTTTTACTCCAGCCTCTGGATCTACAACAACAGGAACATGCAAATTATTTTCTTAATGTTCAGATGCCAATTCTGATTAAACTGCTTGCCAATCCAAATCATTAACTTGTAAATGGACTGCTGCAGTTGGTACTACTGCTAGTTCTTGTTCAAATCATAATTGTGATACAGCTGCTAAAGGAACAGCAAAATGTGTTACCATTCCTAGTTTTGATGGCAAGAAATATACAGTTTGTCAAGTTTAAGGTGGAAAATGTGTCACTGGTGATCCAAGTGCATTGACTTAAGATACATGTTATAAGATGAGTTAATATACCTACAGTTGGAATGCTAATACAAAGAAATGTGTTGCTTGTGGATCTGGTGCTACTAATACCAACAATAACACTACTGTAGATAACAATTAAAGCACTGTAAATGATACCACTTCCACTGACCACGGATCTTATCTATATGTTTTACCCCTTTTAATTTCCTTAGGTTTCTAATGAAAAACAACATGAAATTAATCATATTAAAGAAAATAATCATAATCTAATCTTTTATATTACTTATTTTATATATCAATAATTACTTATTATTTTTAATGTCTGATACTCCAAAAAATAAATCTGTCCCTATTACAGATTATAAGAAGAAATCTAGATTAAAAGAGATCTAAGCTAAAATGAAATAGAAAATGATATTAACTGGACCTTAATAACATTCTTAAAATAATACTCGTTTTAGTGTTTTAGAAACTAAATTAGGTCTAAGAGCTTTATCAAGATCAGATAGATTCGATGTTGTACTCAAAGAATTTAAAGGACTTGATACATTTTTTACTATCAATGAACTATTATAAGAATTAAATACTGTTGGTGTTGATGATAGGAGAAATGAAATCTAAAGAGATAAAATTAAAATATTGTTAGAATAAGAAAAAATTAAAAGATGGAAAACTTAATTTCCTTAACATTTAGAATTTGAATCAAATACAAGGTTCAGTGTTAAAAGTGAATTACTTTTAAAAGCAAGAAATTAGCTGAATTTAGAAAAATATGAACCATAATTATTTGAAACTATTCAAAATCTAAAACCATACCTTAAAGATAAATTCAAAGATATAGATTTAAGAGAAAATCCATAACTTTAATTATTTAAAGACATTACTGATATTAGATAAATAGAAAAAGAATAAAAAAAAAGTATATTAGCTAGATTAAATACTAATATTGAAAGCATGACTTAAATATAACCATTAAAGGAAGCTAAAAGTCAAGATTATTATGATACTTTCTAAAGTGAAGCAGATAAATTAAGAATTAGACTTCGAGAATAATAAATGGAATTTTTTAATAAAAAATGGGGTAATTCTATTGTCAAAATGAAAGTGAAAGATTAATAATTCAAAAGACAAGCTCAAAATAATTTTAAAAGAATGCAAACAATATAAGTTTAAAATTATGAAAGAAAAAAAAAAGCAGCTAGAGAAACTATAACTGATCCATTTATGAAAGAATTGATTTCTGATGTATGTTATGAAGAAGCTGAAATGATGGAAGAAAAAAAAGAAATTTAATAGATTTTCCGTCAAATGTAATAAACTCATGATGGTTTTTATAAAAAATATGAAGATCCAGAAGTCATAGGATTGAGAATGATTACTAAATGAACTAATTAAAAATTATTCATTATTTTATGATTTGTAATTAATATCAATTATGATTGATATTAAAATCATTCAATTACTATTAATTGTATTTTCTTCCTCTATATTTTAAGTCTCTTAAAATTATCTTTTCCTTTAAAATATATCTTTAGGATATTCTCTTTAATTTTTCATTGTACTCTGAATGTAACTTTGAACTAAATACTCCTATTATTAATCTTCAGTTGATTGAATTGAATTCTGTTAAATTTTAGAAATTGATTTCCTTCTATTTTTATCGTATTATTAATAATTTAATTCATTTATTTATTCATCCTCATTAGTATCATTATTTAATTCTGATGTTGATTAAATTTTTTAAGATTCTTATTCCCAATCATACTACTAGCGTATTTTTTCCTAATTCTTTACATCTCTTAGAATCTTATCACATAATTAATTCCCTTTTTAACATTTACACTTAATTTAAAGCATTTCAACCGCTTTTTTCACAGCCAATAATGAATTTTGATTATCTATTTTTTATTTTGCCAATAACTCTTATAACCAATTATTTTATTGTATTATTCTATTAAATTAAATGGAAAACTCTTTATGCATCAATTTCATCCTATGTTTAAGATCAATTTCCTTTTATTTTTATTGATTTAATTAATTCGCTAACAATCTATTTGATAAATTAGCTTATTTTAATTTCTATTCTAGATGAATATATTTGTTATTTGTAGAAGGTCTAAAAAATTGAATTTCTGATTATTTATGATATTCAATTGCATTTTCAATAAAATTTAGAAATTCTGTTCCCTCTTAATATTTTTTATTTGTATCCCTTTAAATAGATTCTTTCATAAAATCACTTTTTGAATTATTTAGTTTAAAAAATTGATCAAACAATTTGTCTTCATCCAATTCATCTCTATCATGTAGTTATTTAATGTGTCTATAAGAATGTTAATTATTTTCAAGAGTTGATTTTGCTCTTTGATTCTTAGAGTCTAGACTTGGTTTTCTTCTTTATTAAAAAGATTCTTATTTTTATTAATTAACCTTATTATTAAAGTATTCATATAAACCAAATGACTATTAATCCTTTGGGGATTTCTTATGTCTGAGTTCTCTTGAACTTATTATTAAATAGGATACTTGCATAATTTATTCCTTGTTTGCTTGACAGTTAACTTAGCGACATTTAATTAAAATTTATATATATATAAAATCAAATTCTAATAATAGTAGAGATTCTAAGAAAATGAAAGTTAAAATAGGTTTTCATGAATATAATAAATTTATTTGATGCTTTCATTTAAATTAATAGAAATTATCAATTATTTCTTTTTAAAAAATATTTATTAAGTTAATAAATATACTTACTTACTTATTTATGAAATATGAATTAATATATTTGGTGATCTTGTATTTCTTATAATTAAATTTTATTCAATTAATATTTATAATAAAATGGATGATCGAATGTCAGAAAAATTAAGCAAAGTTGAATCCAATTTAAGCTTCCATGCCAACATTAATAATACTAACCTATTGAATGAAACATAAGAATTAATTCCTACTGCTTCTAAGCTACCTCCACAAGCATTATGTGGTATATATGTATTATGCTAATTATTACAACTAATGATTGGATACTCATTAGTTTAAAATATTGATGCAATTACTATTGCTACATAAAGATGCATTGTCAATATTATTATGACTTTGATGTATATATAATTTTTTGACAAACGTCTTTTTCAGCTAGACTAATCATGCTTCAGAGTGATTGGTGCTATGGCAGGATGTCAAGTTGTAGCTTCCTTAGTTGGATTTTGGGCGATGTAAGATTATTAATGAAATTAGGTTTTATTTTCCATTTTCAGAAATATGTGCTTTTCATTAATTAACTCCAGGATATATATAAGTCTTTAATCATTTTCTGTATTAAGCAGGAAACTAATTAAATCTAGTTATTTCTTTGATGCAAACTCTATCAACTTTACTATTTGGTCAAAACTTACTATATGTTTTTGTTTGCCTTCTCTAACCAGTATGTTTGGCATTTTCTCATGTTATTAAATTTCTGATGAATAAACAACTTCCTTTTTTCACTTTGATGCTTTATTAAAGTCTTTTTGGTCTACCTGTATATATTTTACTAAATCTTATGGCTTAAGAAGTGTAAAATATTTTTTCTGGTGCTTATTTTCTGTAATATATTATATGATCAATTTTTAGAGAGATAACATTTATGACTATTTTATAAATGATTGCCTACGTAGCTTAAAATGAAATTTAAGCTTAGAAGACAATAAAAATGTGGATTCTACCAGGTGCAGTTNTAGAGATTCTAAGAAAATGAAAGTTAAAATAGGTTTTCATGAATATAATAAATTTATTTGATGCTTTCATTTAAATTAATAGAAATTATCAATTATTTCTTTTTAAAAAATATTTATTAAGTTAATAAATATACTTACTTACTTATTTATGAAATATGAATTAATATATTTGGTGATCTTGTATTTCTTATAATTAAATTTTATTCAATTAATATTTATAATAAAATGGATGATCGAATGTCAGAAAAATTAAGCAAAGTTGAATCCAATTTAAGCTTCCATGCCAACATTAATAATACTAACCTATTGAATGAAACATAAGAATTAATTCCTACTGCTTCTAAGCTACCTCCACAAGCATTATGTGGTATATATGTATTATGCTAATTATTACAACTAATGATTGGATACTCATTAGTTTAAAATATTGATGCAATTACTATTGCTACATAAAGATGCATTGTCAATATTATTATGACTTTGATGTATATATAATTTTTTGACAAACGTCTTTTTCAGCTAGACTAATCATGCTTCAGAGTGATTGGTGCTATGGCAGGATGTCAAGTTGTAGCTTCCTTAGTTGGATTTTGGGCGATGTAAGATTATTAATGAAATTAGGTTTTATTTTCCATTTTCAGAAATATGTGCTTTTCATTAATTAACTCCAGGATATATATAAGTCTTTAATCATTTTCTGTATTAAGCAGGAAACTAATTAAATCTAGTTATTTCTTTGATGCAAACTCTATCAACTTTACTATTTGGTCAAAACTTACTATATGTTTTTGTTTGCCTTCTCTAACCAGTATGTTTGGCATTTTCTCATGTTATTAAATTTCTGATGAATAAACAACTTCCTTTTTTCACTTTGATGCTTTATTAAAGTCTTTTTGGTCTACCTGTATATATTTTACTAAATCTTATGGCTTAAGAAGTGTAAAATATTTTTTCTGGTGCTTATTTTCTGTAATATATTATATGATCAATTTTTAGAGAGATAACATTTATGACTATTTTATAAATGATTGCCTACGTAGCTTAAAATGAAATTTAAGCTTAGAAGACAATAAAAATGTGGATTCTACCAGGTGCAGTTACAATATTATCTTTATTTGTCTAATTAGGATACCATTAAGTTGATTTGAATTATGGTACTCTTTCTATCATTTTTATTGTATTTACATCAATTAACAATGAGAAATGATTATTCTTAAAAAATTTACATAATTTATAATATTTTATTTATAAAGTTATTATCTTAAAATATTTAATCTTTTAAGTAGTTTATAAATGATTTAGAAAATGTAAATTAATCCAATAGATTTTTAATATAATTTATTTAGCTAAATTGTTAATAATAAAATATATTGTTATTCTTATTAAATAGATATATTAAGAAAGTCTATTTTATAAGTTAAATTAATTTTTTATATAATATATAATTTTATACACTTTAAAGTAGTTTTATCAAATATGATAAGGATGACGATTAGTGTATTTAGTTTTTGAATTATACAAAATATTTTGCTTTTAATTTACAGTTAAAATTTAAAATATTATAATGTAAGACTATAGGGGGAATTTCAAAAGAATTGAATTCGGTATTTAATAAACTCCTGCTAAATCAACAACAAATATGAATGATTTTTAATCATCTTAAAAATTGAAATATGATTAAATGAGCAATAAACCTTAATCTTCCAATATTAGTTTTATTAATGCTCCTATTACAACTGTCTCAAAAGAGCTTTTTACTTTGTAAATTCCTGTAAAAGTGAAATAGATGACAGATGATTGGAATACACAATTAATTTTGAAAATGATTATGCAATAAAGTTAATAATAAGCTCATGGTTAAATATTAAGGATTGAATTAACAGATGATAACAATTTATAGTTCTTATAGATACTTGATTTGACAGAAAGTGAATTTTTAGTATTAAAAAATGAATAAAGTTTGCATGTTGATTTTGCCACTTTTCCTATGAAACTTGCAGATTTGTTATAATTATGCATAAATAGTTAAAGAGATGAAAAAGTGAAGTAAAAGATGTTAGATTATTTAGTTTTTATGTTTGTTTGGAAACCAAGAATGGAGAATCTACACTAGCAGTAATTGAAAATAATGAATTTAAAAAATTGACACATTTATCTTTGAAATTACGTAGTGCAACAGATGATGTGATTAAAGTGTTCTTATCAAATAAATTAGCAATAGAAAAATAAGATAATGAAGAAAAATAAAAAAGAAATAAAAAATTAACAGAGTTATTAGAAGAAAAACATTGGGAATTAGAAAATTTAAAGTCAGAAATTAGAAAATTCACAGAAGATAAAGATTCTGCTATATAATAATTATTATTAGATGAATAGAAGAAATTCAATGATTTTAGAGAATTAACTTTGAGTAAAGAAACTAATTTTAAAAGAGAGAGTGAAAATGAAAAACAATTTATAATTGAAAAATATGATAAAATTGTATTAGAATTATAGAATAAACATGCACAATTATAATAGATTAATTCAGAGTTATCTGAATAAAGATCTCTACTTATTTAATAGGAGAGGGAACTCAAAAATAAATTAACAATTCTTTAATAAGAAAATTTATAATATTAAAAAGAGAATTAAGAATTTAGATAATAAAATAAAGAATTAGATACTCTAAAATTTACTTAAGAAAGATAATTAATAGAATTAAGAATTTAAAAAGAAGGATTTGAAAAATTGATACGTGATAAAGAAGAATATTTGAATAATAAATAATAATTAGTAGATAATGAGAAAAAATAGAATGTAATATATTTATGTAAATTCTTAGACTATTCTTGAAGAATAAGTTATAAATTAAAAAAAATAAATTGAAAAACTTGAATCAAGAATTAATGTAATGAGTGAAGAAGTAAATAAAGGAAATTAGATTATAGAAAAACTTGAAAATGAACTTAGTAAATAAAAAGATAAAATTAAATTAAAAAATACTGTTGTACTTTAATAAGAGTAAACTGTACAATAATTATAAGATGCAAATGATTTAAATCATAAATAAATTAATGAATGTAAAAAGTTATATATATTAAAAATAGTAAGAAGAGAAAAAGACTCCTTAGAGATTAAATTGAAAGATCAAGAAAATATGAATCTTGATTTAAAAAACAAATTATCTGAAAGTTAAAAACTACTTGAATCAAATAACTAAATGATTCAATATTTAAATAAATGTTTAAATGAAACTAAAGTATAAGTACCAGCTTAAATGCCTGGGATTTCCTCCTTAAAAAGTTAAACATTTACTAAATATACATCTCCAATCCCATTATAAGAGGATGTAATAATCTATATTAACTTAGTAGAGAAGTTTTCGTAATTAAAGTGTTACAAATTAATAAAATTAAAATAACATTTCCTAGATCTCAAATGCTACAATATCAAATAAATTTAATTTTTGAGAATAATATATCACATCCTAAATTAATGTCACAATATATATATTCATACTTGTGTTTATTTTAATATTTTATAATATTTTTCATTAATAATTATTAATCTAGAATAACAATAGAATTTTAGATATTAAATAAAAAAATTAATCAAATTAAGTTTAATTAATCAAGTCACTTAACATAAAACAATAGGATATAATTCTTGATACTTTTTGTTTATTTATTTAGAATAAAGAATTAAAAAAAAATTGACTTATATATATATTAAAGATTTTAAATTTTATTTGAAATGACAAAGAAGATAAAGAATGTAGGAATTAAAGAAAAATATGGTACATGATATGGAGCATCATTAAGAAAGAATATTAAAGAAATTTAAATTTCTTTGCAGTAAAGAAATTGTAATATCTTTCACTGGAGCAGTATAACTATTAATAATTATTTTTTTTAGCATTCCCTAAATAGATTAACTATTGGTATTTGGAGATGCTCCTAAACTGGATTACAAATAGTTAGTGAAGCTTTGAAGGTGAAGTCATAGACTATATTAACTAAATAGTACTCATGCTGGATTGTTTGCTAAATAAGGTATGTTGAGAATAAAGAAATTAAAAGATGATGTAGAGGTTGATTTTAAAGAAGTAAAAAAATATAAAATATAATTTAATAGCAAAAAAAAAGTAGAAAATCCTAATAAATAAATTAAAGAAGCAAAGAAAATTTAATCTTAAAAAGCTTAAGGAAATAACAATGATAACGTACATCATATATATAAATTATTGGATTTTCTTAAGGAAGTGATACTATTTTTCAAAAGATTCCTACTGATCTGGAATTTTTATAGAAAATATTAGTAAAATCTTGCAAGAATAATAAGTTTTGCTATCAATTACAATAAATAAATTATGATTTTTGTATAAAGTATTTAGATAGAAAGTTGAAATATATATATAATAATTTTATAATTAATAATTTAATTCCAAGTTTTTTCTATGTCTTTTACTTAAAAATCTGAAAATATTTTAAAATTGTTCTCCTATATTTTAGAATAAAATTAATAATATTTTGTATTGTAATTATTGGATATATATATTCCAAAAGATAATGGCATTTAAAATACTAATGATAATTTTATACTTTAAAAATGTGTAAACAAATATAGGAAAGATATAAGTTTATAAATGAGTTAGATATTTTACAATTCAGGTCTAATTTGATAACAATTTCTCTGAAAATTGATAAACCTTTGTTGTATAATATATATAATAATTATTATATAATTCAAAAATAAATGAATATAAGGGAGAAATTATTGAAAGTTAAGTAATCTACACCATTGTATAAATTGTAAACACCTCAGGTTTTATAAGAAGAGTACCTAAATGCAAATTCAAAAAAATGGTTGACCAAAGGAATTGATATAACAGATTATTTTAATTATGGATTTAATGATGCCACTTTAAAATTATTCATCTAAAAGCTGAACAAATTAACTGATCTCAATTTAAGTAAGCTGCAAAAAGAATATACTGCTAGAATTACTTAATAAAAAGCTATGGTTTTTAAGGATAATATTCCAATGGATTATGGAGGTCTTGGTATAACTTCAGTGTCTGAATGTCTTCCTGTAGAAGTAGATTGTTCAAAGGAATCTTTGATTTTTTAAAGCATTGATTATGAAGGTGATTTGATATTTACTAATGAAACAATCCTTGATATATTTAGACATTACAAATAGTATTTAGAATAACTAATTACAAATGGTGATTATTTTGATTTTGAAGTAGTTATGTAGTATCCGAAAGAAGAAAATAAATGGTAAAAAGAATTAGTAAAACTATTAAAGAAGGATAGTAATTAATTAGTAGATGATTTACCTGATAAAAAAAGAATTAAAAATGAAAAAAAGAAATCAAAAAAAGAAAAAAAATAAAAAAAGGAGAAAAAAAAAAAGCATAAAAAGAAATATTCTTCAGATGATTCAATTTAGATTGTTCCACAATAAATTGTAGTTAGATAAGATTCTCCATCTATAGAATCTAATAAAATAGAATGTGAATTATAAATTGATTCACTTTCAGATCATTTAAGTTAATAGCCTCAAGAAGAAATTTAACTTTCTTCCCCTTCTCCAATTCCAGAAATTCAATAATAATAAATACCACCACCATTAACTTAAGAGCCTATCAGATAGAGAAATCATAATTGGCCTAGAAATTTAATTCATGGAATTCTGTAAGGAAATAAAAATTAATAAAAAAGATGATTAATATTTTAGCCTAAATTAATTCAATTTTCTGTTGCAGAATTTATTCCCTACTTCTCTTCTTAATCTACAGGAGGCTTGTTTTGCTATTAAACATTTTATTTTTCTTCTGTAGTATTCTTTTTACTAATAAATAGCTATGTCCAAGAAAACATCCAATTAAATAAGTCTCCTATTGACAGTCCTTAGTCTTTATCCTAAGGATATCCATTTTTCATAATAACTATTCTAAAGCATTCTATCAAAATTGCTTGGAATAATGATATAATAAAGAATAACATAAAGAAATAGTAAAATAGAATTACTATCATTGAAACTATTGGAGAATAGTTTACAAATTAGGTGATATTTAATTATCCTTAAATCTAAGATTAAATAACATAATATACCATAGTTAGTTAACTAGCAATTGCTAAAGTAAATGAAGAATATTAAGGAAATACATTTCCATAAATAATTTAAAAGACCATAACAAATCCTAAAAATAAAGGAAATTCTATAGCCAAAAAAGGTAACAATTCTTTAAAACTTTTACTATATGTTAAAAAGATAATAGCTACTCTATCATTTAATTTTAAAACATAAGATAATCTTAAAAACAAAAACATTATACTAATTGTTAAGAATAATTCTGCCTTTTTATATAAATCTGCCTCTAATTCTAAATGCTATTAAATTAGTTTAAATCATTTACCACAAAATCTGATTAATTAACTAGATCTTAAGGATCTTAACCTTGTAGTGATTATTATAATGACATTGCCACTGAAATAATTGTTAAAATTCCTACTCCACAATTAAAGAATCCTATTTCCATAGTTACATATAAAAATGCAGGTCCTAATTTACCAGTATTAATTTTAATCTTATAAAATCTATATGCAACAAAAGCTAATAATATACTAGCCATTATCAATTTTGTTATATCAATTTAAAATAAACGTTAACCATCATCTCCATAATATACATTAGGTATAAATCCTGTTAATTCTGCTCTATAAGGTGTTAATTTATTTTAAGCATTTCTTTCTAATAGAAAATTAGCTTATATCCATAAATTGATACTAGGGTTGTAAATAACAAAATGAATAAAGATAACAGCAGTAGTAGCATCTAAAAATTATTCTTTTCTTAAATTGTTTATTTTCTCTAAAAATGCTTCTGTTGTGATATCTCTATTAAATTCAACTACATATCCTCCATCAGTGTAAGTAGTTAGATTTCCTTTTTGGAAATATTTGATTCCTAAATCTTCTGCTGTTTAATATGTATAATTTAGGAAATCTGATTTATTTGCTTTATTAGAATCATAGACTACATCAAAACAACTAAATCTTTGTAATTCATTAACATATTTTTCACATTCATATAAATCACTTCTAAGAATTCTTAATTAAATGCCTCCTATTATCTCATAATTAGACCGAAATGGATTGTCTCCTTTATCAGAATTATACATTGTTGCTCCCAAGAAGTTTTCCATATAATAATAAAGTTCAGGAATTGAAGTAATCTTATTGTATTCTCCATTTGGAGTAATTCCTATTAAATTATTAATGAATGTAAAATTTAAATTTACAAATTAAGGACTTAAATAAGCTGTATAGCTAAGTAAAGTTAATACTAAGATGACTATAATAGAACTCAAAATTAGGCAATTCATATCATCTAAATCAAATTTCTCTTCTTTTGTTTTATCAACATTAGCTTTTTCTAATTCTTTCTATTGCTCTAGAAATTCTTTTTAAATTTATAATTCACTAATATAATATTTTAATCCTGGGAACTTTTCAAAAAATAGATTATATGTATCAATAGCTTTTATTCTATTTTTATGTACAGTAAATGCTCCTTAATAACTGGCAGTTTTATTACCACCATTTATTTTTATACTTTCTATTTATAAACTATTTAATGCAGGTTTCACTGTTTTTTTTTTTTAAAGTAATAATGTAATCTAAGTAATATTAGAGATTCCCCTATTTGTAAAAAATTCTATAACTTTCTCTTTTAATTCTATTCTAGAATGGTTTTCATCTGTTAATTCTAAATCATCCATAATTTCACTATCCTTTTCATCAAATTTTCTTAAATATGGAGCCAAATTCCAATAATAAAATGCCAGTTCTTTTAAATTTTAGAATGTTGTTGCTGAGTCTAAACGAAATGATGAACTTTCACCTTATTCAATACCTTCAATAGTGTATTTTATATTAATAGTAGGATAAGGATTAATATACTCATCTTTTTCTCCATTTTTTTTTCTATTCCCTTAAAACTTAACCATCTATTTATTCGTTTAATCCAAATATTAGTTAAAAAATTCTAACATTTACATTTTCTCTAATTAAATCTCTTACTAAGGAGGTTTTTATATCTCAGTTTAAGGTTAAACTTCTTTTGTAGTTGTTGAATGTTTAACAGTAGCATGTCCTACACTTAATGTTTAATCATTCAATTCAAGTACCTTTTTTTCTCTCTACATTTTCCTTACTTTTTCCTATCTATTAATTATTAGATATATACTTAAACCCAATTTATTTTTTCTAATCTTAAAGTATTATCATTTTTTAATTTGGTAATCTCTCTCTTCTTTGAATCTATTTCAGAATGAAGCCTATTAATTTCACCTTGAAGACTTTTCATTTAATCCTACAATGACTCTCCTTTCTTTTCAGTCATCTGGGATTATAATAATTTAATAAATAGACATACTAATTTTTTAATCAACACTATAAATTTTATAATCAACTATCCTAACTACAATCTTAATAAATAGAATCAATACCTTTTTTTTTAAGATATTTAATTTAAATACTCATAAATTCTATATGTAATCAATAAGATAAGATGAAGTTTCTTATAATAGTTTTATTTTCCTTTTATTTTTTTGTTTGTATCCTAATATCAAAAGTACTAACATTGACAACAATAAAATTTAGAATGAATAACCTACTTGGTTCTTTTTAAATAATAATTTGTTATAAAAATTTTTAGTTTCTCGTTCTAATAAATTGTAAAATTGATTTAAATTATTCTTAATAATATTTCATTCCTTTTCTAAAGTATTCATTTTTAAAGATTTATTTTTTAAATGATTAAAAGTTTAATTAGCTAGAGGATAGGATTTAGTTGAGAATGAATGTAGGTATTGGGTTATTGAGAAATTGAATAAAAAATTTAAAGATTTAAATCAACAAAATGAATAAATATAAAAAAATAATAATTAGAAATTACAATTTTATAATTAATTTTAAATATATCTTTCTAAACTTTCTAAATGATTAAGTTCTATTAGAAGATTGAGTAATATCAGAGTTATAGTATTTATTGTATAATACAAAAATTATTCAAATAACTTATGGATACATTTTATTGGAATAAAATAATTATAAGGAAGACTTGATGCTTTTTTCAAAGATTTGTATTATATAAATACAATTAATTACTTTTTAATTTGATTTCCATTAATTAGATTAATTAGTACTACTTTTTATATTTTTTCAGCTTGAAAAAGTTTGTTATAATGAATAATAAAAATAAATTATCAATTTTAATTGTGTTTAAATTTTTATTTATTAATTACTTCTCTTCTCTTCAAAAATATCTTTTATTTCACTTTTATAATGTAAATTTATTTTACAATGTTTATTTCCTATAGAATTGATTGATAAGTCTTGAATAAAAATTCAAATATATTAAATTCAACTAATCGAATATCCAATTATTAAAATCCAATCACATTTTATGATAATTAATTTTATAATTATGTTTAAGTTTTTTTCATTTATTAAAAAGCGTTATTGATGCAAAATACATGTACTAAAAATTGATTTACAAATTTAATACTCTTTTAAAAATGATAATTTTTTGAGGATTGCTAAGATTCCACTTTAAAAAAATTTATCTAAGAAAAGTTTTTAATGATTTTTATAAAGAAGAAATTGTGTGTAATAAATATATAAATCAATTTTCTATGGAATCAATTTGATAAATTATTATGATTCATGTTTGATAGTTGATAATAATTGTATTTCCTAATACTTTTTTTATTTATTCGTATGTCAACGAAAAAATTATCATTTCCTTTTCTTGTTTCTTTTACATCACATGTTTTCTTTAAGTTTATTATGCTAGTTATAGCTGTAGGAGTTGGTCTTTTATTCTTTTTATAATAATGAATCAAAGACTTAGCACTTGAATAATTCATTCCCAATGATTTCGCAACCTAAATTTAGTATACAAGGTTATAACCTGTTTTATTCGTTTTCCTTATTAAAAGACCATTTAAAACAATAAAATTTGTGTTTTTAATGGAATTTTATGGTAACGTTTAGCATCAGCATCGGTTGTTTAACTGCCTCTACATTATTGTAATTCAAATTTAAACTCTGNTATCAGAGTTATAGTATTTATTGTATAATACAAAAATTATTCAAATAACTTATGGATACATTTTATTGGAATAAAATAATTATAAGGAAGACTTGATGCTTTTTTCAAAGATTTGTATTATATAAATACAATTAATTACTTTTTAATTTGATTTCCATTAATTAGATTAATTAGTACTACTTTTTATATTTTTTCAGCTTGAAAAAGTTTGTTATAATGAATAATAAAAATAAATTATCAATTTTAATTGTGTTTAAATTTTTATTTATTAATTACTTCTCTTCTCTTCAAAAATATCTTTTATTTCACTTTTATAATGTAAATTTATTTTACAATGTTTATTTCCTATAGAATTGATTGATAAGTCTTGAATAAAAATTCAAATATATTAAATTCAACTAATCGAATATCCAATTATTAAAATCCAATCACATTTTATGATAATTAATTTTATAATTATGTTTAAGTTTTTTTCATTTATTAAAAAGCGTTATTGATGCAAAATACATGTACTAAAAATTGATTTACAAATTTAATACTCTTTTAAAAATGATAATTTTTTGAGGATTGCTAAGATTCCACTTTAAAAAAATTTATCTAAGAAAAGTTTTTAATGATTTTTATAAAGAAGAAATTGTGTGTAATAAATATATAAATCAATTTTCTATGGAATCAATTTGATAAATTATTATGATTCATGTTTGATAGTTGATAATAATTGTATTTCCTAATACTTTTTTTATTTATTCGTATGTCAACGAAAAAATTATCATTTCCTTTTCTTGTTTCTTTTACATCACATGTTTTCTTTAAGTTTATTATGCTAGTTATAGCTGTAGGAGTTGGTCTTTTATTCTTTTTATAATAATGAATCAAAGACTTAGCACTTGAATAATTCATTCCCAATGATTTCGCAACCTAAATTTAGTATACAAGGTTATAACCTGTTTTATTCGTTTTCCTTATTAAAAGACCATTTAAAACAATAAAATTTGTGTTTTTAATGGAATTTTATGGTAACGTTTAGCATCAGCATCGGTTGTTTAACTGCCTCTACATTATTGTAATTCAAATTTAAACTCTGATGATTCTGATTAACTCTCTTGGTTAAATTCAGAATAAAGTTACTCATCAAAGGTAGTTTTGCTCATTTGAATATATATTTACTATAATTTATTAAAAATGATCCTATGTTATCAGGTCTTAATTATATTTTATTATTAAATATATAAATATTCAAACAAAAACATGGATCTAATTTCTAAATTCCATTATAAATTGCAACTATTATCTAACTAATATTTTTATTAACAATAAATATAAATACTCTTGCACATTTTAATAAGAAAATAAAAATAATTATTTTACTAATTTTTATATAATGCAATCTAATTTAGAAATATTCATATATTGAAGAATCTAATTCCTAATTTCATTTTGTATTCTATTTATATAAGACCTTGTTTCATAACTAATAAAATTATTGAATCCTCTGAAAATCTAGTTGCTAAATAAATAACTTTGTTACTTTATGAGATTTAAAGATCTTATAAGAGATTTTTAAAAATATTTAAATAAATCAAATAAATTAAAACGACTTTTCATCAAGATAGCTTTTATAGTAATAATACTAATCTCAGCTATTAATTTTATTCTCATTTAATCAAGAATATAAAAAAGAAGTTAATTAGAAAATTAAATTATTTTAGAAAATCTAATTTAATTTTTATGAAAATGAAAAATGAGAAATCTTAAACCCCATAATTAATAGATTCTTTTTTAATTTATTTAATGTTATTATAATAATAATAATAAATTATATGTAGCTTTTTAATAATACCAATATAACTAATTTAATTTTAAAATCAACTCAAATAAGTTCATAAAATCATTAAAAAATTTAAATAATTTATTAGATATACATAAATCCTCTTAAATAATTATTTTAGATTATATTAAATATTATGATATTTCATTCTTTCTTTCCTTTAATAGAATTCCATAAGGAACTTACATTTGATTTAATTTAATTCCAATTTTTTTGAATATTTTCAACACTATCTTCAAAATTTTTGGCTTTATTTTAATATTCTTCCTAAAAAATATTAAATGATATTTAATACAAATTTTTCTCTTTAATATTATTCATATTCTCTTTATCTTAAATAATCTTCATATGCCTCTCTTTCCCTTTCATTATAATATTAATTTTTTCTCTTTTCTTATTCATAATATTATTGTCTTGCTTAGTGTTCTCGTTATTTCCTTAATAAAGCTTCCTATGCAAATTAATTTAAAGCTTCTTCCCTTCTCCTCATTTCTTCTTCATAATTATTTCTATGACCCTTTTATTAATATTATTATTATTATTATTGCTAATAGTAAAAATTTTAAGAAGCTTATTTAAAGGCTTATTCATATGCTGTTCTTGTATTCCATTTTTAACTTTATTATTATTTTCATATACCTATAATTTTAATTAGTACGATATGATTATTATTATTGATTAGCGTAATTTCTACGAGGATCTTAATATTACTCAGAATGTTAATAACTTTATTAATTTGATCCAAGATTTCTCATATTATCATAATCTCTTTTAGTATTTTCATCTGAAAGTATCTATAGAAGTATTCAAAATTATAACTTCATAAGCTTCATTGACTTCCTTAAACTTTTCTTCTCTTCCTTAATTAAGATCTGGATGAAATTTCTTTGCCAAAGCATAATAAGCCTTCTTTATAGTATTTTAATCATTTGTTTAGGATATATTGAGTATAGCATAGTAATCTTTATGGTGATTAAATTTAGCAATAGCAAAGAAGCATTTATAACAATTCATAATAAGAATAATATAAAAATTGTGATTTATTTATTTATGCTAATTATACACTTATATGTATAATAAAAGAATTCCAAATTAGATGATTTCAATATTTCTATATATAACTTGTATATGTCTAAAATATAATAAACTCATTTATTTTTAATTTGAGTTTCTTACTATTTAAGTGCTTCTTGTATATCCATTATATTTGTTTCTACAACAATTCCTGCAACAATAATTTCATCAATTAAAGCATTCATTTTATCTGGATGATAAAGCACATCAAGTTCACATGCATTTTCAAAGATCTTATCCATTAAATCAACAATATTTTAAATTAAGTCAAGAACACCTAATTCAGATTCATCTTCATCAATTACTGCAATGAAATACAAAGTTCCGAAAAATCTCATAACAATTTTACATTTTTTATCATAAATTCCATCCAAGTCCTTAAAGAAATTGCAACTATTTGGACTTAATTTGCTTGTCAACTATATTAACTTTTATTCAATTTATTGCTATCTAGCGACTAATTTTAAAGAGAATTAATACACTCTACTTCATCGTAAAAACGACGAATACGAATTTTTCCACTGCTATTTACAATTAAAAAAACTTTAATCATTTTAATTAATATGTAAATATTTTATGTAATATAAAATTAATTTTTTATTAAATAATGCCATGTAATTTGATCATATATTATAATTGGGGAAATCAAGAAATTATTAAGTTTATCTAGTTAGTAAGTAACATCTTTTTTAGATTATCATTTAATAAAATCAATAAGTGATTTATAAATTCATTAAGTATAATTATAGAAAATTTATTAATTTTTATTTATTGATTTCTTTATAAAGACTTTATATTGAATCCTGTGAATTTTATTAACTAATAAAATTGCATTATATATATTTTAAAATATGAAATCAAGTATGCAGTGAAAATTCAATTTGATATTTATTGAATTTATTTGAATGACTTTTTTGAGTTATAAATATTAAAAGATGTATAATTATTATAATACTAATAAAATTATGATTGTTCCATTTAAAAAAGATTTAAGGATAAGTGAGTGTAAAATATTTATTAATTTGATGATTTAAAGTAGAATTCGTTAAAAAAAGTCTTTAAATCAAAAAAATTTTCAATATTCATATAAAAAATTTGATAAAAAATGGTAGATGTATAGGAGTAGTCTAAATAGGCATATTGATATAAGTAAAATATATTAGAAAAATTTTCAAAAAAGATTTCAAACAAAAAGTAGTTCCAAGAAAGAAAATAATGATTATCAATTACATATATTAATTTTTTTTAGATAGTATTAGCTTACAAGATAGAAGCTCCATTTTTAACAAAAAATATCAATTAAAATGTTAAAAAATCCTAAAGCTCTGATCAATAAAAAAAGGTACATTAATAAAAAATTAATTAAAAATAGTTTAAAATGTATCTTACATTTTACGAGATAAATTTTATTTATTTTTTAGAATTGATGTATAATTATAAATCATATGATTATGAAATTACTTAATTAATTTTTATCTATAGTTGTTACTGTATGACATAATTAGAAATGTTTTTAAAAAAAATTAAATGTTTCATCCTGAATAATTGTATATTTTTTAATAAAATTAAAATTAGAATTATGTTAAATATGCTATGATTAGATTTAATTAATTTATGAAATATATTAAAAACTTGATCTTAACATTTGAGAACAAGAAATTAGAATAGCAATATTAAATAGAAAAAAAAGGTTCAATCTAATAACCGATTTTCATTTTTATTATTGTGACATCTTTTATTTCAAACTTAGTTGTTCTTGGATTCCATTTTTTTGATCATTAGATTGAAACCTGGTATTTGAATATAGCTTTTAGTATCCTATCTATTTTACTATTCGTCTTAGTTGTAATAATGAAAAAAATTAAATACCTCTAAGATGCTCTTACTATTGTTAATATCACTTTAGGTTTTTTGGAATTGAATGTTGATCCAGCAACAACTGAAAAATTAGAATTTTACTCATATGGAAATACATTTATGTAACTATAAGCTGTCGTATATATTGTCTCTAATTTTGGTCATGCTTTCATTCAAGTCTTTTGTCATTTAATTTGTCGTTTTGTACTTACAATACTTTTATCAAATAGAACTGATTATCTCCTAGTTTTTATTAGTATAATAAGTAGTTTTGTAATACTGGTGACTATTTATTATAATGAAAAAAATTCAAGAAAGTACTTTATATAGAATTTGAAGGAAAATTATTGGGAAAATAATACTTCCTTTATCATAGAATAACCTTATATTAGATTTAATTTTCGAAAGGAATAACTATTATTTAATTTAATAAAATGCCATAAAATTGAATGTTTTCCTGGTTATGATAATTTTTATTGTGAAGGATGTAATATTAGAAAGTTATTAAGAACTTATTTTATTGAAAAAAATATCTCTGTAGAAGATTTATTACTTTAGTATAAAACTGAATTGCCCTAAAAATTTTTCATTTCTTATAAAAAACGAAAATATTTATTAAAAATATGTAATGTGGATATACAATAAGTTCAGTATTTAATAATTCTTGATAAAATTAATAATACTACATCTTAATAAGAGGAAAAAAAAGAAATACAATAAGCAAATTTTATTAAATTTCTTAGATCAAATAAAAAACATATTTATTAACATTTTTTTAATTGGGGAGCTTAATCTTTATTATTTTTAAATAAAAAAATTATAAAAAAAATCAACTTATAAGAATTAATGATTAAATTACTTAAGGTATTTAGAATTTATATATTTCAAAAAATATCTATTAAAATTATAACATAAGATTAGAATACTTCAATATTTTCATTCTATTATTAAACTAAAATATTCATGATGTAGCTTTTTGAAATACTTTCTACAATGTAAAGAACAAATCAATTATAATCATAAATAATACTAAAAAGAAAAGGATGTGATATCTTAATTCAAATAACAAATATTGACCAATAATCTTTTATGAAATAGTTTGAATCAAATTTCTTTTTACAAAATCTTTCAAGTTTGTTGCTTCATAATGTTGAAATGTAATAGAGTATTTAATTGCATTTTCGGAATTATCCAATAAAATCATTTGCATTTAATCCATGAATTTGAGTTCATACTATTTCTTTTATTTAAATATATATAAAACTTTATATCATATAATAAAATTAATCTGTTTCTCCAATTTAAATTTTTTAATTGAAAATATAAAGTAAACAAATCCTAATGATAATTTATATACTCTCTAATTTGATTTGAAATCCAATTGAAATTAGTTCTAAAAATAGTTATTAAGAGTATAAAACTAATGCTTTAGAATTTTCTAAATAACAAATTTATTGTAGGAGCCATTTAAATTTAAAACGTGTTGATCATTTACATATTGATATGAATTTGTTATAGATAATTTAATTGAATCTATATTATGAATAGATAGATTAATAATTATTAAAACATATTTGTTTAGTAAAATTAACTTAGAAAAAGTTAATGAGAGGAATCTATTTTAAATATGATAAGTATTATTATTTAAGGTAAATGATTTCTGTTTATTTCTGGCCACGTCAGCAAAATAATATATTAGTACTTTTTTATTCATTTTTCTGCAAGAATAATAAGTTTAACAAAAAAATAAATAAATGAATTTTATTGATTAAGATGATTGTAATATACCTTTCGATTATGAGGATGATATGATTTTTCCTCCATGTTATGAAAATATAGAAACACCTGAACATAGCAAATCTACAGATTTAGAATAAAAGTTCAAAAACGATAGAAAAGAAAGAATTTTAAAAAAAAGAATTGAAAAAAAACACAAAACAAAATCTGAATCAAATAATAATCTTTCAAAAGAAGAGCTAAGAAAATTAAGAAATAGAAATTCAGCTTAATAATCAAGAGATAGAAAAAAATAATAATTTGATTCTTTAATCTTAGAGAACCAAAATTATTAGATGCTACTTAAATAAAAAGAAGATTAAATTTAATTATTAATGGAAGAGAATAATTAATAAAGATTAAAAATATAATATTTAGAAGAGTTAAAGTATATATTAATAAAATGTTAATTAGTTAAAATTATAAATGTATGAATTGTGCTTAAGAAGCAAGTCATGAGATGATAAGAGTAAATGTCATTACTAAATAAAAGATGATGAATTATGGTTTATTATCTTTATTGGCAATTACTTGTATATTGTCTATTGTAAATAATGATTATGAATTTTCACCAAAACCTATATCACTTCATTAAATTTCACACTAAAAATATGACTTTTTAGCACCAAAACAATAATTTTCAAACTCAACATAATTGGCAATCTATAATAATTTAGCTATACCAGAACATTAATTTAATAATTAAACACTCTTTTATAATTGTACAGGTAATGAAAAAGAGTGTTAGACGTTTTTAAACATCATAAAAGCTGAAAATGCTAATAATTTATATTTTGTAAATGATGCCTCAGATCAAATACCTGCTACATAAGACCATCATTTCGATTAAGGAGAAAATGTCTATTTAATCAAAATAAAATAAGATGATGAAGATAACTTTATGATTTTTAGGGCAAAATGTTAAATTACAGAAAGTAACAAGTTATTGTTCGAGAGGGATAGTTACGATTCATTTAATAATAATAGCTTGTAATACTGATTTTTATTCTCTTCATTTTATATAAATTCTATTATTTTTTTATAAAAGAAATTAATAAATTTTTAATATTTTATATATTAAAATATTTTACTCAAATAGTGCCAGTATTTATCTACTATTTTAACAATTTGTACAATGTAAGAATAAGATAAAATTTATTTGTTATTAAATAAATAAATTTATCTAATTTGGCTTATAAACTATTAATAAGAATGTTATGAAATCAAAAATAATGGTCAGATCATTTAAATTATTATTAATTTATTGCCAGAATTACGATAAATTTATAATTCTTATAAATAAAACTAATGATTTATTTAATAATTCTATCCTATTTTTAAATTTCTAAAATTAATTTCTTTTTATTTTTATTTCATCTTATTTTACTACTCTTCTATTCATTTATTAATTGGTTTATATTAAATGACATAATTATTCTAGCTAATAATTAAATTAATTAGATGATATTTATTATGTTATTAGATGAAATATAAAAAGTTTAATGGATAACTTTTTATTTTATTTTAATATTGAATGCTTAGATTGTAAACTTTAATTTAATTTTTTATTTAATATTTCTATCAAAATAGAAGATTAATAAAATAAAATGTTAGTTTTAGTAAAAATTGACATGCATAATATTTATAATATAAATCATATTTCTAATTTCATTTAAGGCTTCTCTCTTTCATATTGCATCATATGGTTTTATAGATCCATTTGTTTTTACCTTAATTTCATTATTATGTAAAAGTGGATGTATTCATCTATATCCAGAAAATGTCACCTATTAAAATTCCACTTTTTGGTTATTCTTATTTATTTAATTATCCTTCTTATTATTCCACTTTTAATGAACTTTCCATTGACAAGAACATCTTCTTAGCCATCTTCCTCTAAAATATTTTTTTCCACCATTATATATTAATAACACATCAATAATAAATTGATTTTATTTATATAAATTTGTTTTAATAAAAATCTATTTTATTTAATATTAGAATTATTTTTCTTTCCAATAAATTTTTAAATGTTTATAAAAATCAAAGGTTTACTATTTGTTGAATTTAGTTATATAATATAAATTTTAATTAAATCTTATTTATAACAATTCAATTATTATAATCTCCTAAAAAATAATTATTCAATCCAAGTTCTTCTTATTTTTGTTCTTTTTTCATTTCAAAATAGGAAAATTATTATTATCTTTAAATTTCCTCTTTGGCTCTCTTTTACAATGTTAATATTACACAATCAGGATAAACTTTCTTCTCTCTAAATTATTCAATCCGACTCTATTATAACAAAATAAATTTACCTTATCTAATGTAATTAATAATCCTGCTGCTTATTTTGGTTCCAGAACATCCCATATTTCATCAACTATAGTTTAGCATTTTTAACTCTCTTTAACAATTGATTGTTGTATTTTATATATCTCAATAATTAAATTATCATAATTTGATCTTTATTCTTGTATTATTAATTGCATATTTTATATTTTTAGAATTTAATCATCGTCTAATCCAAATGAATTTAAGCAATTTATTTAACTGTCACTCATATCAAAGGAATAAAACTCACTCGACTATCTTTCTCTTTTGAATATATCAACATCTAAAATATTAAAAATTAGATTACTTTCTGAAGCAACCCAAAATAAATATCTCATATGCATTGGTAATAATAAATCAATAAGTAATTCACATACTTTATTAATTGCCATTAAACGACCTTAACCTGATATACCATATTTAAATCTTAATGAATTTGTAATAACTTTTATATTAGCCTCATTTCCTTCTTGATATGCTTTCTCTAACATATCAAATTATTGTTTTCTATCAATTAAAAATTATTCCATTAGCTACATCAAACTAGGTTTGGATTCAACTTTCTTATTCTAATTTAATTGAGCAGTCAATTAAGTCACCTCACACTTTTATTAATTTTAAAACCTTTTACTCTAAACTCTCAATGTATGCCTTCTTTCTCTATCTGGTATTTTTAGCACTTTATCTTGCTTTTTCCTTTTTATTATTTGTATCTGGAAGATCCAATTTGAAGTCAATTTTATCATGGTACTTCTTTCTTATTTTTTTTTCAGACATTATAATTTTATAAAAATATTGATATAAATTATCAAATTTACCAATCATTAGCAATATACTCTAAAGAAACTCTAAGAGTAGTTACTGTTCTTTTCTCAGTTTCAATTGTGGGATCAGTATTACAAAAATCATCCACATAATGAATAGATGCAAATTTATTCTAAAATTCACTATATAAGATGATGTAAATCATAACTGGTAATTCATCATCCATTGTTGATAATTCACAATTACTATTTTCATATATTATAGCTAATCATATTATATATTAAAATCAATACATTTTATTAGACATATCATTTATTATATTGATCTAAGTTTATCTCTTGGATTTGTAGATTTATCCACTTTATTTAATTCAGCAATCCCATTCCAATATTATTGATTTAATCTATATTTATTTTTTATTTCTAGGAATTCCATGGTTTCATGTTCACTACACTTGGCAATTATTTGTTATCTCTATTTTCATTTATCAATACTTTTTGATGTTAAATTGATTTTCATTCTTTTCATTGAAATCAATATAAAAATGAAATAGCTTATCATAAACCGATTCAAACACTACTTTCTCTATTGCCATCAAATAATATTGATAATCATATTTCAATGTTTTTTATTTAAACTGCTAAAATGTATCAAGAACCAATTACGAACTTTCTTGCATATATTTCTATAACTATTATTTCTTTGGCTTAGCTATTGAATCAATGTCTTTTAAAATAGCATTCAACTTTTATTTAAACTCTTAATTGTCTTCCAAATAAATATAAATTCTATTCATTGAAATTGCTGTAATAGCAAATGGATTAATATGACTCATATCATCTACCGGCTCAAAATCCTTATGTGTTTGATTATATCTTTTAACAACAAAACAAACAGACAATAATACATCTTCATTCAATTTATAATTCTAATTATAATGATAATTATCTTTACTCCAGATAATGCATCAATTTTGAGTTTCTATTTTGAATATTTAACCAAAATAAGGCTATTGTTACTTTAACTTGCTATATAAGTGGGAGTACACACATTCTTAATGATCTTTTAACAAAAAGAATCAAGCTTAGTTTAAAGAAACATCATTTAATTAGCTTCCCTCATAATACAAGTGTAGTTACTTAAAATATTAACAAATATAAATTACTATTATTTAAGTTCAAGTGCTATCTAATCAAATACTGCTGGAGATTAACAATTTAAAGTAATTTAAGGTAATAGATGACCATTTAATTGCATATTCGAGTGTTCTATAAGACTTTAGGATTCTCCTGTTCTACGTTTTCTAATCTCTGTTTGCATAATGCTTTTCTAAACTAAAGTTTCAATTCTTTCACTATGACTGTAATCTATCATGGCCTTAGGAGAATCCCCAAGATGGAATTATGATGTCATCAATCCACTATCCCCATCAATATGTCCGTAATTATGCATGAACAATTATTTAATATATAAAATTTTGAAAATTAATGAATAGATAATATTAAGAAAGAAATTAAAACAGAATTCAAAAAAGAAATAAAGGAAAAATGTCTTTTTTTTATGAATATGATTTTATTTAGAAAAACATATTTCTTATTGAATTGATTAATATTTGGAGATTGGGTGAAATTTTTATTTTATGCTTAATGGTAATATGATAAATCAATTATACAACACCACTTACCAAAAATGATTTAAAATACCACAAGTATTTCCAGGTGCTAATCTTATATATCCAGATTCCCCCCAAGTAGTTCCAAAAGATGCTTAAACAAACCAATTATCTGATGAATCATAACCAACAGCTAATGCATAATAATTTGAATTGCTAGTGCAATCAGAAAATATACCAGAACCATAGAATTACCGTTTACCAAACCTCTCCAATCAATTGGCCATTTTTTATTTTCTTTATTAATTGGTTCAGAAGATTAATGTATATTATTTCTTTTAACTTTATCTTAATCATTTAATTATTCAAATGAATTATTATTCAATTAAAGTCTAATAAATTCTTCATTTGTAATAGTCATAAATTGATTTTCTGCCATTTAATAAGTAATATCATTTCTTTTGTTATGTTAATAAATCATTTATTTATTTTGATAATAAATTGTTTATCTGTATATTTTCTCATTTCCATAATAAATTTTGCCATTTTTCAAAGTCCATCTTTCAAAATCAGAAACAGTATCTAAATTTACTTGGTAGAAACTCAAACCAATTAGTAGAGTCGTCAATGTGGCTGCAATTATATTTTTCATTAATTATATTCAATTTATTTTAATAACCCAAACAATATATTCTAAATTATTATATAGAAAATCTTTTTATTCTATAAACTCAATTTAAAGTAATCTTACCATAATTTAAATCAGTTATAATAAAATTATATTAAGTTAAGAAAAATACATTATATGGTATATATTCTGTGGATAATTATAATTATCTATGTGTATTAACTGAAATCATACATTCATATATAGATTATATTAATGAGTTTATTTAATATTTAATGATATTTTATTAAATATAAAATTAGTTAAACAATATTTGTATCCATATATTTGAGTTAAATTTCTAATATTATGTTATATTCAAATAATAGAGATAATTAATCAATTTGTTTTATTCATTAAATAATGATTATCTTAAGAATACACAAAGAATATAGTATAGAATTAGTTTTTATTTCAGACTCTTCAAATAAGTTCATTTAATTATTTATCTATTTAAATGCATATCTAAAATGAATAATATTTTGATAAATCAAAAGTTTTCTAATTTTTATAAAGAAATATGGAAATTTCTAAAGAACATTATAATTCTTAGAAATTAAATTGATTTAATGATAAGAATATTTTGTAAAATTAGTTTAGTAGTAAAGAAAATGATAATATTTCTTTCATAGTATAATTATCTTGAAATCAAGATTAATTTGAATATCGTTTAGTTCTATTAGCAAAACTTATTATTATATTCTAATCAGATATAACGTATGTTTATTGACAAGAGTAATATAATATTAATTCATTAATTTATAGATAATTAAGTATGCATTAAAAGACATCTTCAAATTAAAAGGTGTTCAACAATTAATATCAGATTGTAAAAAAGCTTTCATCAGGTTCATTTGGTGTAGTATTTCTTGGAAATGACTTGCTGACAAAATAAGAAGTAGCAATAAAAGTTGAGAAAGAGGAAAATGAGGAAGTTCGTTCACTTGAGAGAGAAGTGTAGATTCTAAAAAAATTAGATGGAGCAGAGGGATTTCCTAAATATTATTGGTCTGGTGAAGATTAAGGCTATAATATTTTGGTAATTTAATTGTTGGGGAAGGACTTAGCTTATCATTTTAAACAATTAAAGAAATTCTCACTAAAAACAGTATTGACAATAGGAATATAAGCTGTGCAGATTTTAGAGAGGTCTCATTAAAAAGGAGTTATTCATAGAGATCTAAAACCAGAAAATATGATTCTTGGGATTGGTAGAGAAATCTCAAAATTATACTTAATTGATTTTGGCATAAGCAAAATATATAGAGATTCAAATGGGAAACACATGTAAGATAGAGGAATTAATAGATAGATCTTTTAAAGAATAGAAATCCTTTTTAGGAACTACAAGATATGCATCGATAGCAGCTCATTTAGGACATGAATTAGGAAGAAAAGATGATCTTGAGTCGTTAATGTATATTTTATTATACTTTTTACGTGGGTATTAAGTTATTTAATACTTAAGATAGTTGCCATGGTAGAATATGGTTAATGTCACTGATGATGAGAGAACAAAAAAGGTTGGAGAAATGAAATTATCACTTGAACATGAATTATTTAAAGATTAGACAGGAGAATTATAAAGAGTATATGAGTATAAAAATTAATTAGATATAATAGTTACATAAGAAGATTATAATTTAAATAAGAACCTAATTATAAAATGATATTATAAGAATTGAAAAGAGCAGCAGATTCTATGAATACTGTTATAGATGGTAATTTTGATTGGACTGAAATAAAATCATCTACACATTATTAGACAGATACAAATTAAAATTTAAGTCGTAATAATATTCCACTTAATTCTAATGAGATGAAAAAGTCTATAGAAAAATAATTATCAGGTCTTGTATAACATGGGTATTCTTTAATTATTATAAAGCTCTAATAATCTATTGGCTCCTCCTCCAGTAGGTTCTACTCGTAATGCAATATAGAGAGATGATATTCGTAAGAATTCAAGTCTCACATAATAAAGCAGTATTAATTATTGTTAATCTCTCAATCCAAATTATTAGAAATCAATTTGTGAAGAACCATTAAATGAAGAATAATAACGTTATTATTATGATTTTGATAGTGTTGAAATAAGTGAGAATTAAAAAACAGATAGTTCTCTTCATAAAAAATATGACAAAATTAAAATGGGAATTTATGTGTAATTTATTAAATAATATTTATCTTAGGCATTTTCTCCCAAAAACAATAAAACTAAAATGATTTTTATTATATATATAACTTAATTTTATCATTATTTTTTAAGTTCTTTCAAAAAGGCTTAAATAGTTAAAGAGGTTCTCTTTTTCTTTAATAAATAGGATTTATTTTAAGTATATAATTGTATCAATCGATATACCATTTACAGACATAAAAAGATCTCCAATCACATATGTTAATAGAACCTAAATGTATTTTATTTATAATACCAAAGATACGCTGAATATACCAAGATAAATTATGAAATGGATTAAACTATAGCATTGGATCATAACCCAAAAGAGAGATGATAAATCAAGTAATAACGAATGACAGTTTAATTTTAATGATTAAAATATTATTATTATTTATATATAAATATATGATATAACATCCTTTTCCTGAAAGAGTCCTCTCAACACCTTTACACCAACTTCCTTATATTGTTAGTCAAATAAATAGTCAAATTCACAAAACATCACATGATATGACTAAATATTTAGAAGAGAATATTTAAGTGTGTATGGAGTAACATAATAAAAAAATTCAACTTCGAAAATAAATCTATGACACTAATGAATAATATAAAATATTAGAAAATGTTGGTGCACAATTATAGATGGCTATAGCTAATTTAAAAGGGCAATCAATTGAATAAGAAAACTAATCTCAAGATAACGAGGAAAAATTAATGAATGCAATTAAAAACTAAAATTATGATGAAATGTGTAAATTGTTCGAAACAATTAAAGATGAAGTATTATTAATTAAATGCTCTAAAATTGCTGCAAATTTATTGGCAACTCCAACAAAAAATTAAAAGAATAAAATCAAATAATTTCTTGAGATTATTTCTAGTCATCCTCTTATTTCATAATAATAAAAGGATGAAATTATTGAGATTTGTGTTAAGGTTTGTATTTAAAAATGCTTTAAAATGTACTTTCAATAAAATGTATGGAATACAAATAAAAATTAAGCCACTTATTATTCAGATATTATATAACTTTATTAAAAAAGGTATAAATAGATTATGATGTAGTTTTAATTGCACATTTAAACTTTTATCAGTCTTTAATCTACCTAATTATCATTAAGCACATATTGCCAATAATATATTTCAAAAGTTTAATTAGAATGTCTTAAATCATTTAGTTACTCATGATAATAAAGAAAAATCAATAGCAGTTATTTTAAACTTTAAAAATGTTTAATAAAATAATTTATTCTATCATTTAACTAATATCTATTGTAAAAATCAATTAATTCCAATACTGAAATAAGAATTGCAAATTAAAACACTCTTACTTATTATAAGAAATCTATATATAAAATAAGACTAATAACTCTTAAATATAGTAAATAAAAAGGATACTCAATAACTTTTAGAATTGTGCAAATAGAGTAAATAAATTAATTATAATTTAAATTTATTTTAAGCATTATTTGATACTGAAATGTAATTATAAATTGATATGCTTATTTGATTTTAATAGTTTTATTCATTTTTATATAATATCAAACCAATAAATCATAACTTTAATTATTTTAATCATATAGTTTAAAAATGGATAAATTAATCTTTTTAAAATATATGTTCAATTTTGTAATTATTAAAATATTATTTATATTTATTGATTTTGGAATAATACAATTTTGAATTGACATATTTGATAATCATTAATCATTCAGGATGGATAAATTTTTTACTTATTATTATTTTAGCAACATCTCCAATTAATTAATTTAATCGAATGTTTTTGCATTTTCAAGTAATTTCTTAATATGATCTTTATCAATTGTGGCATCTTTCAAATTTACTAAATTCATGTAATCTGTCAATTCATCAGGTTTAAAGGATTCAACTGCTTTTTCACGTTCCTAAAACATAATTATAGAGGATTAACTGCCAATGTCACTTTATTGAAATCTAAAACTTTGAGATTAGGTAAAATGGCTATAACTTTATAGCGATAATCAGGTTGCTGAGTAATGAGATTACCATGCAAAATCAAGCGCTTTAACTTTTTGCAATTTCTTAATTAATACATTTCATTAATATCTGTAAGTCTATTGTTCATTAGAATCAAATTTTCAATGTTAGGTAATGAGTCAGAAATATCACTTAATTTGATGATTCTGTTATTGGATAAATTTAAAGTTTTTAATCTAGAATATTGAATTAATAATTAATATACCTTTTCAATAAAGTGAGATTTCCTAGTTTCTTGATATCATTATCACCTAAATCAATATGGTCAAAAAAATCCTATCATAAAGATTTTTGATACCAAAGTAGCTCCTAAATTTTCAATGGCTGTTATTTTCTTGGCTATAAAGTATTAAAGAATAGAAATACCTCTTAAATCTAATTATCGTTCATTCAATGGATTGATGAAATGATGGGACCCTTGAATCAACTCAGAATTAATTTTCATAAATTATATAATTTATATTTAATCATTTTATGAGAATCTAAAGAATTAAAAGTAAAAGGTTTATTAATTCCCTCTAATATCATAATAAAACATATTCAAAATTTTCTCCAAATAATTTATAATATTTGTATACTTCCTTAAAAATTCAAATAAATAATTAAGATTTTTTAAAATTCATGCTTCATTTAATAATAAAGTTATTAATAATTGTTTTAAATGATATGTAATAATTAGTACTTACTAAAAAAACTCACTAATTGAATATCTATATTAAGTACACTATTTAATCTATTTAAAGTTTATAGATTATTATTAATTAAATAAAATTAATAAAATCATTACATGTTTTTTAAGTAAGAAGTTTAATATATAGTAGTTTTGGTCGATTCTATGGATTTGGTATGCAATCTAAATTAGATAACTTGCTTAAACAAGAAAATCTTACATTAGAGACAATCTTAAATGAGGATGACATATTATAAGAATTAAAAATGTCTAGCTCTAAAAAGTTTGCTGACTTGTAAAATTTTTAAATAGTATTTTAGCATTATTTAACATCCTAATGAATACAAAAAAATGATCCATTACATTATTGATGATGTCTAGCCATAAGAATAAGATATTCCAAAATACATTAAGTAATTTGTTTATGAGATCATATAGATATCAATTTATCATTAGTGAAGTATTTGGTTCCGAGAATGAAAAACTTATTAATTATTTATTTGATAAACCTATTGAAAATACTCAAGAAGATATTTAAAATCCACATGATGATTAACAAACTGAATCTCAACCTACTCAAGAATAAGAAGAAAAAGAATTAATTAGATAGCAACTACTTGAAGATTTCCTTCAAGTTTTAGAAAAGGATACTCTAATTGTTACTACAGCTGGCTATTTTAATAAGATTATTGGAGCCATTATTCATAGAAGAGGACATGATGTAAAAATCTATTACAATTATAATAGTTTTGGGATTTTATAATAAAAATTCCAAAAGTCATAACAAATCTATTTAAGCATGCAGAACATAAACACATAACTGAAATCATCGAAAAACTGATCATTTTAGACACAAATTAAGAAGAAAATGATGATAAATTATATATTAATGAAAGATCTGAATTAATTACAAGATTGCAGAAATATTTAACTGTCAATTCTAATTAAAATATTATTGTCTCAAATGTATGCGATATATTTATAGAACTTTACAAAAGAGCTTTAATCTCACTTGAAACAATGCCATTTTTGAGAACTATTTTATTTAAAGTTCCCTAACCATAATATTTCATGAATCTTGCAATTTTAACTCAAAACACTTCAGTTTATAACTTATTAAACATTCAATTCGAATTTTATTTGAAAATAGAATAGATAGAAAATGGAAAATATGCAGTTGATTTAAGAGATCTTTATTCAAATTTAATTTCGCATTTACCATAAGCTCTGATTTAGCAAGATATTTTTAAAGTTGCTTTTTAAACTTCTAAAGGTGACCAAGTATTTCCACTTGGTGATGCTAAACTATCATTAATTTCATTTATTATATAACTTTGTTAAAGATAAGAAATAGCAAATTAATTTACTTAACCAACCATTTTCTTAAATATTTTAGATTTAGTAATAAAATATTAATCTAATAATTAATTATAAATATTATTCGATAAATTGATAACTGTAATTGTTCAAAGTAAGAATTCTCAATTATAAAAACTATTATTCTAAGATTAAGCTATTTTTATATTTCTAATTAAATATAATGGATCTTAATATAGAAAATAAAAACCTGCATTCTAAGGAATTTTAACAAAAATTACAAATTATCTCAATTCTAATATTAATGAATCAGATGAATTAGCAAATTCTATTAATCTAATAAAAGATGAATGGAAAACTTATATAGATGAATTAAGTGAAGTAAACTTAAAAGAACTACAATGGATGTGTGGAGTCAATCCAAGAATAAAGGAATAAGCTAATATTGAACCTTCAAGTCCATTTATGCCTGATCGTTTGATTTCTTATTAAGGAATAAGAAAAGTAGAAAGTAATGATGATAATTCAATTAATTAAGACAAACAAGATTTTAATCAAATTGAATAAGAGGATAATTTAAATATTTAAATTTAAACTGAGAATAATGAATAATAATAATAAAATTAATAAGAATTTACACCAATATTTCCTAATCAAACAAATGAAAATGATAATAATAATTAAGAATAATTGTAAATTTAAGAACATCAAATTACAGATAATATAATTTAAGAGCATGATGAATAATATGAATAAAAACTAAATGAATTGAAACCAGAACCAGAACCCACTGAATTGATTGATTAAAATTAACAAAATTAGTTAAATCTAAAATATTAAGAATAAGAAAATTAATAAGAATTATGTGAACCAGAACCATAAGAAGAAAATCATATTTAGACTTAAGAACCTTAAGCAGAACCTGATTAAAATTAACAAGTTCTAAACTCTAATTCTTAAATGTAAGATGAGAATTGAAATAATATTATTATTAATATTATATTCTTTGTTCTTTTATTAATGAAAACCTCAAATCATATACTCTATTATTGTTTATGTTTATTAAATTAGAATTTTGAATCATAATTAAAAATCAATTCTAATAGAAATAAAGTACTATGGAAAATAATCAAAAATGCTAAAATAAATTTTATATTTTATAATGGTAGTTTTTTATATATTCCATTTTAAATTAATCAATAATTTTTTATAGTTATTTATGTTGCTCTTTAAATATCCATATCACCATAAAATAATTCAAGAATTTATACAGTATTTTTAGAATAGAACTCCTCTAACTCATACTCAAGTAATAGTATTAATGATCTTTCGACTAAAGATTGTCCAAGTGAACATTAAGTTGGAGGAGAGCTACTTAAATTAGAATTATTATAAAAAGATAAATGAAGTTTAATTCATCTTTAAATGTACTTTCTTAGGTTTATTTTGATTTAACTATGAGATCAAAATTAATGAACTTTAATAAATATCTCTTAATTCCTTTAGACGATCTAGAAAAGTATAAAAAAGAGATTAAAGCCTCTAAATTGATAAAATAAGATGAATAAATATAAAAGTGCTAGCATAAACTTAAAAGTGAATAAATTATGTGGTTATTTAAATAGATATCATGAAATTCTCAAAGATATTAAGCTTTGGCAACTCTATAATAAAGTCTATATTCTGGAACTGTAAACCTTGTAGTAGCAAAAACAAATGCACCAATAATTCCTATATATGTGGCTTAAGCAAACCAAGTGTTATGAATTTTCATTTATGATATTTTTAATAATATCTAATTTAATTTATATCACTTTGTTGTAGACCTAACTAAATAGAATTCAAATAACATCTTTAGACACAAATGCTTTTCACTTTACACTACTATTATCAAAAAGTTAAAAAATTGGATTGATGGATTGTTTTATTTATACAATTAATGATTAATTAATTTCTCTCCTTATTTGCTATATTTTTCTTGAGATGCATACTATCCAATTTTTAATCAAGCTTATAATTACTTGAATCTTATTATAAATATTTTGCATTCTAGAATTACTTATCAGCATCCAAAATCTTAATAATACTTTCTTGATTCTAGAATTATTCAAATTTAGACTTAAATATCTAGCAAAACCTCAAATATTATAAGACTATCTGATCATACATCAATTTGGTTAATAATTCATTTGTCCAAAAAAAATTATTTTAAACTTAAATTCCCAATTAAGTATTAATTTAAATAAATGGATTATTATCATTGTTTTTAAAACTTGATTTTATTAAATCTTTTATTTAAGTTTAAAAATTTTCATCTATTGAATTTATTCACTAAATTTTGATGTTATTTTAATTATAATTATTTATATATTTATTATTTTTAGTAAACATTATGAAAATTTACAAATTATTTTACTTTTTCTAAAATTGGATCATTTTTTAACTTAATAATAATTTTTTGCATTATTAATTTCGTATGTTTAATAAGTACATTTTGTATTTCTCAAAATTATTATTAAATATATTTTTTTTATGTGAAATCATCAAATATGAGTTGAAATTTCAAGCTCAATAATTATGCAGCTTGAATGAAGAGATATAAGTAGTTTATTATGATAATTTAGAGAATACATGAACAGATGATAAATAATTTAGGAAGGCAATTAAAACAGAATTCAAAAAAAGAAACAAAGGAAAGATGTCTTTTTTTTATGAATATGATTTTATCTAGAAAGACATATTTCTTATTGAATTGATTATTATTTGGAGATTGGGTGAAATTGTTATTTTATGCTTAATGGTTTTATGATAAATCAATTATACAACACCACTTACCAAAAATAATCTAAAATACCACAAGTATTTCCAGGTGCTAATCTTATATATCCAGATTCCCCCCAAGTAGTTCCAAAAGATGCTTAAACAAACCAATTATCTGATGAATCATAACCAACAGCTAATGCATAATAATTTGAATTGCTAGTGCAATCAGAAAATATACCAGAACCATAGAATTACCATTTACTGGCATCAACTTTCATTGATATAGGTTGTTTCTCAAGATGCCTTTAGAAGTTATACCAATAATTATCAGTCCACATCCAGTAATCTGCAATTTTCCAAGGTCCATTATCATTTAGTTAACAACTCTATGTTTCACCACTATATGGATATTAGTATTCATTATATAATCCATATAACCTTATGTATCTTAATGCCATAAGGGCTGAATTTCTACCATCATTAGGATCACATCCATCATTGAGCCATTGACAATCCACAACTTATTGTGCTGATAATGTTATAGATATTCCTTTATCAATTGCATATTTTGCTTCGACTACACTAGTTGCTGACATTGCATAAGAAGAAGGACAAGATCCTTAATTTTTAACTTTTACCAAACCTCTCCAATCAATTGGCCATTTTTTATTTTCTTTATTGATTGGTTCAGAAGATTAATGTATATTATTTCTTTTAACTTTATCTTAATCATTTAATTATTCAGTTGATTTAGTATTTAAATAAAGTCTAATAAATTCTTCATTTGTAATAGTCATAAATTGATTTTCTGCCATTTAATAAGTAATATCATTTCTTTTGTTATGTTAATCAATCATTTATTTATTTTGATAATAAATTGTTTATCTGTAAATTTTTTCATCTCCATAATAACTTTTGCCATGTTTTAAAGCCCATCTTTCAAAATCAGAAGCAGAATCTAAATTTACTTGGTAGAAACCCAAACCTATCAGTAGAGTCGTCAATGTGGCTGCAATTATATTTTTCATTGATTATATTAAATTTATTTTAATAACCCAAACAATATATTCTAAATTATTATATAGAAAATCTTTTTATTCTATAAAATCAATTTAAAGTAATCTTACCATAATTTAAATCAGTTAAACATTAACCTTACAAAAAAGCATCACAAAGATGACTTTAAAAAAACTCTCAAGAAATTTAATGAAATTTCCATTTACTTAAATTAATTATTTTTAGGAAGAATATAGAAATGAGTAATTTTTGTACTAGATAATAAATGCCAATAAATAATCATTCATCTCATATATTAATTTTGACTTGCAAAATTTAAAATTAGAGCATTATCTAAGTATACACAATAATAATATATCTGAAATTTAATTATCTACTTTAAGATTAGGAAACTTGACAGATTTTGACATCTATAATAATACAGTCTTAAATTAGGAAATTTATAATTTTAAGTGATATTTAATATACAGCCAGCCTTTGGAAATAATTTCTGATGATTTTATAATTGTATTAGGAGGAGCAGGATATGTAAGAAAATTATTATAATTATAGACTGAAAAAAACTAAATTTAAATAATTTTAAAAGAAGGTTGTGGAAAATGTTGTTGAATAATATTTAGTCTATCAGAATGATTTTTTTATATAAAATAATTATATAAGTTTGAGTTTAATAGATTATTTTAATTTAAAATATCATCATAATGACTTCATTTTTTTCATATTATTATTTTATAAGTTGTTTTTTGATTAATATAACTCTTGTTTATCATTTTTTTCATTTAATTCAGTCATCCAAGGAACTATATCCTCTTCATCTAGTATATACTCTTATTATATATTTAAGGCATCCTTCATTTAATTTTATTGTTCTATCAAAGGAGATCTTTTTTCTTCTTAGTAAATTTAAATTTAAATTGCATTCTATTATAATTTTTGATATTTCTTTTCAAATAATTTTTAATCAACTAAATTTTAATCCATATATTTTATTATTTCCTCCTCATAATTATTAATTAGCTATTCAATATTTCTCTTAACTTTATGTTCCAATGAATCATATTTAAGCTAAATATTATTATAAATTAATACAGTAATGTAATTTTTTATTTTTTGAATTTCATCATATATTTTACCTACTAAACATTTCTAGAAATCTTCTTTTACACCAAATCTTGATAGTAGTATAAAATAACATTCTAAAAATCAATTAATAATGTTACTTGCTGCTTTATCATATTTAGCTTAATAAACCCCAAAGTCACCTTTATATTTGAAACTCAAAGGTGGTTCCTATGGTTTTGCTTTAGGATCATCGGGATCTAAGTATTTCTTCATTATTTCTTTTTCTAATTTGTTTCTTTCATTTGACCATGTTTTGTCAATAGGAAATCCTCTTCTTATAAACATGAAAAAGAATTGTCTATTATAATCATACATCATAAAGCATCTAAAAACCTTTGTCAATGTTTCTATACTGAAATCTTTTTCTGTATTAAATCCATGTCTGAATGTCTAGGATAATAACATTATTTTACTGCTTAACTTTGAAGTATGTTTTGGTTTGATGTAAACATATTACCAGAATTTGAAATGAGAAGTCCCCCTTAACTATTATCAATAACAGAATCTTATTTCATCTTAGTATCCCTTTATAATTGATTCTCACAGTCTTATATTAAATTTTCAATTGCCTTCTGCTTTTATTTTTGAAGCTCATCAGACGGCAACTAATTTAGTTTTAACCTGATGTACTTAATTATAATTGGGGACTTCTTAAATAAGCTAAGAAATCCTATCCAAAGTCTAAGTTTATAACTTGTCTTCTAAATCAGGATGAGAAAGTAAAATAAAATAGAATCCTTCAACATAAAATATTAAAATTACTTTAAGTAGTATCTTATTAACATAGATAACATCCTAAAGTTGATTTAAATTTAAATAATTGAGGGACTTAAGTTTTGATTTCAATAAACTTGGGCTGCAATTCTAATTTGATTGAACTTAATTATGTGTTCAGAAAAGTCTTATCACCAGAAATCAAATAGAACTATTCCTTTGAGCTGTCATACAACGTAAAGCACCTAATTAGAGACATGTTTTATGAATATCGACAATAATTAGATTTTATTATTAAATTAAGTTGTATTATTATCTATGTTATAATAGCTACAAACATAATTATATAGTGTTTTGATAATAGTATAATATGAAGATGGTTGTTGATAATTAAACATAATCAATAACTTATAGTAAAAATATTAACAATTATGGCAAAAACGAGTTAACATAAATGTTACTCAAAGTTTTCAAATTAATTATAAATATATATATATAAATATAATGTATTAACTAAGAATAAAATATAAATATATATTATCAAACTTGTTTAAGGTTTCTATATCTATCTTTGAAATTACTATTGATGGTAAATTATTTAATTGAATTTTAAAAATTATTTGTTTAACTCAGCACATTCAATTTTTTAAAATCTAAATATTATTAAGGTTTATCGAAAGCAGATTAAATAAATTAATCCCATTAATTAATAGGAAGTCGTTTGTTGAGAACTTCTTTATATAGAATACAAAGAGGAACTTTTTAGGCAGGATCATTATTAGATAGTTATGCCTTAACATTCAAACATTTTTAATAAAATAATCTCTAATTATTATTATTAAAACTTTAAATATCCTTAGTTCCCTGAATTTCTTCATCGCATTATGAACTAGACATTTAAGTCAAAATTTCACCCTTTATATCAAACTAAGATTTTTTTAGGTGTTCACTTGAGATTTTTGTAATTTGATTCTTTCTAAGTATCAAATTTTATCTCAAATAATTAGTGGTATTTGAAAATAAATAACCATGAGTTTATTATACTTAATCTTACATATCTGAATGTGTCAAAAGTTTAAATGATTAATTATCAATATCTTAGTATTATTAATTGTTTACTAATTAATACTTTTCTTTTACTAAAGATTTCATATTCTATGACTTAACTAATGCCAAAGAGTTCAATCTTTCCAAAAATAATTGAATAAACAATATTCCTTTATATGACTCAGTTATCATTTTTATCTCTTCTATAATATCTAATACTTTTCTGTATTCTTTTTCATCAAAGTTCTACAATTTAAGTAGTTAAGTGCAAAGCTCTTCTGCTCTCATTAGATATTTTTTATTGTTTAGATTTGTTTCTGATTTAGCTTAAATTAGTATTGATAATCTTAGTTTTTTGATCTTAATATCAGTTTCCTCGCTTGCTGTTAAATCTTTAAGTTAAGAACTTTGAGTAGATTAATAGAATTAGCAGTTTTAAGTATGTTTATCAACATCAGCTATTGGAATAAAAGAATCGCAGTTTATACATGGTATTGAATAGTTTAAGTCTATGAATGCAGTTTTAATACATTCACTTTTAGAACTCTTATGAGACAATGAATACAAATGATTCTATTTGCTTTACATTATATTATTTAATGATTTATCATGACTTTTAATCATTTTTTATTTTCAGTTTAGGGATATTATTTTTAAATATAAAACATAATTATATTAAATAAAAAATAATTGGTAAAATTTTTATTTTTGATTATTTAATTCATAACAATATTAATTACTAAATTTTATCAACTATTGAATATGTCATGCTACCAAGTTCCAATAATTTATTCTTTATTTTAATATTCAAATTAACCCTTCCCATGTGCTTAATCACATGAGAAATTACCCATAAATTTTGATCCATCAGAAAAATATAGAACTCCAATTCCATTTTTTTAACCTTGTTTCATTTATCCTTTATACTGGACCCAATCTTTTCTTGATAAATTCATATGACTTTTTTCAATCTCTTACTTAGGTTGATTATAAAGTATAAAATCTCCTTCAGGTACATCAAATACCCACATCCCTTCAGAAATCTTTTAGTTATCAGAATTATAGTAAGTTCCTATACCATGTCTTCTTCTATTACAAATTTAGCCTATGTAATAAAATCCATTTGAATAATGCAACTTTCCTTATGATACAGTTATAGTATTATCGAATTTGTTTTATGTTTAAATTTATTAATCTTTAATAGAAGCTTGACTTATGTCATTCTATTTAATTTTTTAAGTTTCATTTCTTAGATGCTATGTTTATTATTAAGTTGATTTTATCAAATTTTATGACCCTATAAGAGTCGATTATTTTGATTATTTGGATTAATAAATATTATTACTTAGTATTTCATTTTTGATATCAGAATGCTTATCGAATGAAACAATAAAAAAATCTTTTAATTAATATTTTTCTTATAAACGATGCATTTAGAGACCTAAAAATAATTTATTGACCATATTATCTAATTCTATGAAATCTGGTCTTTTATCTTCTTCTATTGTTAGCATAATTTCTATAAGACGTAAGAATTTTTCATCGAAATTTGTTACTATAAGATCATCTTGAACCTTTCTCAAAGCAAAATCATCTACTTGCCATTTCTTCCAGTCATAAACTTCTGGATGTTTAGCTTATATCAAATATATCAAAATTAAACCGAAATTGAATACATCTGATTTATATCTATTATGTTTGAGATACTATTAATAAATATATTAATTACCTTGTCTTTTTTTGGAATAGCTTCTATCTGAGCAGGAGAAAAAAAGGCTGTTTTTTTCAATTCATTCAGAGCTAATATGTTAATAAACATTAAATATACTTTATTTATCATCATAGAGCTAAATAAAATCTTAAAACAAATTTGTGCGAATCGGTTTTTAATACCTATCTACCAACTTATAAATTTCAGTGTTAAATGGAGTCTTAACAGTTACAATGTCTTCAATTTCGAATCCAGATGGATAAATTTTATTTTATTATTGAAATGCCAAACCAGAGACTACACAATCTAATAAGAACAAAATCTCATTTTATGAAAATGGTTATTTCATGATGACTTTTTTATGTCTTGTTAAAGGTTGAATTGGTTTATCTATTAGTAGTATAATATCAGTATAAGGTATAAATATTTTCATAGATTCAATAATTGAAACATTATGAATTGATAATAAATTAGGATGATTATGCAATTCATATTTTGTTCTCCATTTTTTAACTAAATTCTTCATCTTATCTGACGAATCTCCCATTTTCGAATATATTAAATCAAAATAAGGAATTTTATTATGCTAAATGCTATAAGCTGTATGAGTCAATAATTACATTTCTACTTATTTCATTGTTTAGAATATTCTATATTCATCTATATATGGCATAGGAACTTAAAATTTGGTCATAATTTCCCTCATTCTCAAATCTTATTGTATATCTAAAGTTGTCCCTTAACATGAACCCATATTGTAAAAATGATTAATAAAATAAACGAATAAATTTCTAATCCAAATCTATTATATACTTAAAAATAATGAAAACTATGTAAGGAATATAAAATTTTAATAGTTTTTCAACTTAAATAAGATTATAAATTATTAGCCTTAGAATCAATAGTAATATTCTTTATTTAAATTCGGACTAGATAAATTAATTTTTACTGATTTAATAAAGTGCAGATAACTTTTTAGTAAGTTTTAATGAAACAGATTTATGAAATTCTTATTAAGAACTATAAAAGTGATACAAATTTGATAAGGTCAGACTTGAAACCCTCCTTATAAATTATAATAGATCAATGATTTAATGATGTTTCATTATACAATTGTGATTTCTATATAAATATTATCTGCAAAAAATATCAAAAGAAATTATTGTCTAAATAACCGAAGATTTTATGGGTAATAGAATCTGGGAATAATATTTTTCTTAATGAATTATTATAACTTATTATAATATCATTCTTTTGTAATAATCCTTTCCATCTACAAATTTTATCAGGATTAATCAATTATTATTTAAATAAAAGACTTTTCAATAGGATTAGTCAAGGCTGAGGACTGAAAAATAAGCATTTTTATATATTTATACGGTTAAGTCTAAAAGTTATAATAATTTTTATTTTCCACTCCGTTTTCAACAGACTATGACTATCCAATAATATAATTTGATTAAATGAAGAATTATTAATTTTATTTTACATACTACTTATAGAGCTATCTAAATAACATTTAATATGAGATTCTCTTTTAAAATTAATTATTAGCTTGAGATGATAAGATGAAAATAGAGAAACAATATGATTACTTATATAACTTGAGTGTATAATATGGTATTGCTCATTCAAATCAATAATATGAGCTAACCTATTCTATTGGAAATAGGATTGATTTTGTTAATTTATTAAAGAAAATATAAATTACTAGATTTCTAAAAGAATTTCCTATTTTACATTGAAATCTTTTAAGTAGGATTATCAATAGATAATAAAAATATTATCAAATATTTAAAACAGAGTATAATTATTAGTTTCTTTGCTATTAATATTTTAATTAAAATATAATTTGCTAATAAAATACAAATATTCTTTTTGGAGTGAAAAAAGTAGCTAAATAATAAAAATGATAAATAGAAATTTAATGTTTATTTAATCATATTCTATTTGTTATGCATGGAATATTATTCTAAGCTTAAGTGTTGATTTTAGTCTTTTAAAGCAACTAATCAACTCTGGCTAATAAATCATAGTTTGGAACATAGGATCCAATTTGAGAAGTTTATTTTTAATCACTTTGGGTATATTAAATTTATCCTGATGATGATTATTGAACATAAGTGAAACCATTTGTTTGAGAATTTTTTTAGATAGGTAATTGAGTATATGAATGAGGTGGGGTTTAAAGATAATTGGTTGATGTTTGAGGAGTAATGTTCTATGATTTCACTTATTAATAGCTTAATGGAGATTATTAAGGTTAAGATTTCTCAACTTTAATTTAATATTACAATTAATTTTATTGATTCAATCTTTAGTTTTAAATTTAATCTTAAGTGGGACATTAATCTTTCTTAGAGTCTAATCTAATATCATTCTTAGTTTCAAATTTTAACTCATTTTTAGAACCTATTTTGTTATCAGATTTGATAACATTTTTTTCTTCTGATTTTATCTCTATTTTATATTCTTTTTGCTTTTCCTCTTAAATATCTGTATCTGGTTTTTGCTTATTTTATTTACTATAAATTGAGACTCTTCTTATTTTATCTTATCTTGATTCTAATTTGTTTTACATTTATATTTGTTTCTCATTCATCATTATTTACAATTCTTAACTTGAAACATAAACTGATTCGACATTCTCTTTCACTGAATTATAAATTGATGCAAATTATTGTGTATTGTTTTTGAATTCAGTCTATGCCAATCTTAGTTTGCTGAGAACTGAGTTCGTAAATTTCTCATCTGATGTACTATTCAATCTGATAGGTTTGATTTGACTTCCTTCTAAATTTTTTTAAGTTTCCATATAGATAGAAAATGGTGTGACCTTATCATCAGCAACTTTATTTTTCAATACCTAGCAAAATTAATGAATTTGCTTTTGCTCTATATAAGGCAATAGCTTATCAATTAATATAGTAAGAGCGTCACGTATATATTTAAGATCGGATTAAAAACTCTACATTAAATAATTAATGTTATATCAATTCATTAAAGAAAATTGCTTAAGTAAGAAATTTATGACAACTTAAGAGTACTTTTTTAAACCTAAAATGAAATATTGTAGAAAACTTTAAAGTTGTTTTATTTAAAGTGATTAAATCATTAAAAGGGCATATAATGTCATTAATTAAGAATACGGTTGATAAAAAAAGCAAAAATTTTGATTTAGAACTATCAATAATAGTTAGTTGAATTGTATTGAATTGAATTCGATTTAATTAAATAAATAATTTATTTACCAAATCAGTATTTTTTATTATTTATTGAAAAATAATAAATAAATTATATTCTAAAATTGTAATACTAATTTACATACACCTATATAATCATAATATAAATTTCAAATATTGATAAAATCAATTATTTTTCTTTAATTTTGAAATAATTAATGTAAAGGAGAAATGAATAAATAAAATATTTTTATTTTCAACAAAATACTTTTTAATAAATATAATAGAGAATTAAATTATCATATATATATATATATATATTTATAATATAATGAGAAAAAGATTATTTTGGAACAATAATTTAAATTATAGGATTTTATATTTATAATTAACACTCATATATATAATAAAAAATGAATAATTTATTGTATTTATATATTATAGGAGGCACACTAGTTGGAGTTACATGTTTATATTTATTGAAATAATATATAAATGGAGGAGTATGTAAAATCAGAAAAGATATGACTGGAAAAGTAATTTTGATTACAGGTATTAATATATTATTCATAAATTAGGTGGAAATGCTGGAATTGGAGCAGAAGCTGCTAAAAAATTAGGAGAGATGGGTGCAGATATAATAATTGGTTGTAGAGATTTATACAAAGCTTAATAAATCTTAGATCAAATAAAGTCTCAATCAAGAGCTAATCAGAAGCTTGTTATGTTGAAACTTGATCTAACTGATCTAAGAGACATTGACACTTTTGTCTAATAATTTAAAGCATTAAATATAAAGCATATAGATATTTTAATAAACAATGCAGGTATTATGGCACCTAAAGAATACAAAATAAGTAAATAAGGATTTGAATTATAATTTGGAACTAATCATATTGGTCATTTTTACTTGACTTAAAAACTAGTATTAAGTTTAATTAAAATAGCTACCATTTTTGAGAAATTCATAGAATCCAAGATTAGTTAATGTCTCTTCTTTGGCTCATAAATCTAGTGATGGTTTTGATTTAAATGATTTAGATTGTAAAAGATTTTCAAATTCATCTTTATGGTCTACAAGATATACAATGAAAGCATACAGCTATTCAAAATTATGTAATATCTTGCATGCCATGGAATTTAGTAAAAAATATGGAATTCCTGCATAGTATGTATTTAAAATATAATAATAGTTCACTTCATCCTGGAGTAGTTAGAACAGAGTTATTTAATGAAATATATGGAGGTTGGAGAAAAATAATTTATTTTTTAATTTATCCTTTTTGGTGGTTCTTTACTAAATCCCCAGAATAGGGAGCTTAAACAACATTATATTTATCATTAGAAGACTAAGAAAATTTATAACCAGGAGGTTATTATAAAGATTGCTCTTAAGCAACTCCCTTATTTGCTAATGAATAATTAGCAACATAGTTATGGGATAAAAGTATATAAATGTTAAGAGAGAAACAATTTGATATATCATAATAGTGATGTCATTATAATATAAATATATATCTTTTTAAAATCCATTGATGATTATTATGTATCATTTATAAAACCTTAATAAAGATGGGAGTACTCAAACTTAGAAATTATATTGATATTCTATTTATAATAGTTATATGTTTTACTAATTATAAGTAAAATAGATTTAACTTGATAAAGGTAATAATACATATTATATAATTATTAAAAATGGGAACTTGTTCAAATCGTACAGAACATAAGTAAATATCAGAAAATTTACGATTAAAAGCTATCATGATCTTCTAAAAAATTGATATCTACAACAAAGGGTATATAGATAAGGAAAGAACTTTACAATTTTGGAAATCAAACTTTGCAAAATTAAATACAGAGGCTTTATTTTCATAAGTTGATTATAAAAAAAGCGGAAACATAACCGTTTAGGAATGGTTAGCATTTTGGGATATTGTAAAATAACAAGGATATTCAGAATAGGAAATATCAGATGAAGTATTAGTTGCTAAATATATGAATGCAGTTAGATCAATTATAAGAAGGGAAAGCTTGGGTGTAATTCTATAAAGTTGATGCCTACATTAGAGCAGATAGAGAAAGACATAAAACATAAATCGATTCTATTGTTTAGATGGAGAAAAAAACATTGTAGAAATCAAAGTCTTTTAATTATAATTGAAATAAATAAATTTAAGATTTAAGATGTCTTTAAAACTAAATTATATCTCTGGCAATCCTAGAGCAAATAAAATCCTTGTTGCTGCTTAACTAGCCAATGTTGATGTTACTTCCCAACTCTTAGAATGGAAAGATTTGGAAGTATACAATACTTTTTATTCATCTTAGACCCCAGAATTCTTAGCAAAGAATCCATTAGGCAAAGTCCCTGTCTTAGAGACCCCAGAAGGAGTATTGACTGAAAGCAATGCTATCCTTTAATATGTAGTCAGAGGAACTCCTTTGGTTGGAGCTAATGAATTCCAATAAGCCAAAGTCAAATAATGGTTAGACTTTGCATCAGGAGAAATCGAACCATCATTGATTTAACTCTTGTTGCCAGTCTTTGGACATTTCCCAATCAATCCAGCTTAAGCAACTACAGCTCATGCTGATTTGGATTGGAAATTTAGAGTATTGGATGCCCATTTTGCCAATAATTAATATTTGGTTGGTGATTAATTAACAATAGCTGATATTAATTTAGCTTCATACTTTTAAGGAATATTCTAATTCCTTTATGGAGAAGATGATAGAGCTAAGTTAGTGAATATTGTCAGATGGTATAAATAAGTATCAGAACTTCCAGCTTTCTTAAATGTATATAAATAATTAATTTTTAGTTATTCGGAAGAACAAGATTTACAAAGAAACCATTCCCTGCATTGTAATTTGCTGGACACCATGGTCATGAACATCATGAAAAGAAGGAAAAGAAAGAGAAATAACCTTAATAATAATAATAAAAATAAGAAAAACCAAAGAAAGAGGAAAAACCATAAAAGGCTGATGATGAAGATGAAGAAAAACCAAAGAAATAAGTATGTGAATTTGATACATTACCACCATCAACTTTCAATATTGATGATTGGAAGAGATAATTCTTAGCATCAAAAGATTAAGCTGCTGAATTCTAACACTTCTGGAATGTCTTTGATTCATAAGGATGGTCTATTTGGATTGTCAAATATATTAAGGCAGAAGGTGAAGGAAAAGTTCTTATTTCCTTTAGAAACAATTGCAATGGATTTTTATAAAGAGCAGATCCACACTTTAAGAAATGGGCATTTGCTATTCATGGTGTTTATGGAGATGTTCCAAATCTTGAAATTAGTGGTGCTTGGATCTGGAGAGGAGTAGATGTTCCATAATATTTGGTATTAATTTATTCGAAATTTCTAGAAAGATCATCCAACATTCGAGTATCTTTAACTTACAAAGCTTGATGCTACCAAACCAGAAGATAGAGCTTTGTTTGAAGAATACTGGCTTTAATAGACTGAAGATGAATCAAAGGTCTAAGGATTAACAGCAAGAGCTTTATATTATTTTAGATGAAATGTTTATCTAATTATATCGTACACAATAAATAGAAATATAGATCATCATTATTTTATTACTATTTCCAAATGCATATAATCGATCTCTTCCTCTCCCATTTCTCTTAAATTTTGTAATAATAATTTTAATTCTCTATTCAAACCATTATCTCCTGTTTTTTTTAAATAATGTAATATAGCTTAACTAACAAGTTGAACTTATTATGGGCTTTTATTAGCTCCCCAGCTTTTAAGCAATGTCTAATAGATAAGTTCCTTAAGTTCATCACTGCTTATTTCTTTTTTTAAGATAAATTATAAAATTTAGATAATCTAAAATATAATAGCGCGATTAATTATTGAAATGCTTAGAAATAAAGTAGTAATTATTTAAATTACAATTTAATTGAAATAATCTTATCCTTTTTCAATAAATTAAGACAAAGTTCTAATAAAATTATATCAAAATTTACTTAAAAAAATTTAGAATTTCTCTTTGCATTTCATATGAGTTTAAAGTTAAAAAGGCTTCACTAATTATTTCCATTATTAAAAATAGATAAGGTGATTAAAATAATGCTTATTGACAATATCTTGTGCATTCTTTTACAAATTCAACATATATCTTCATTAAATCTGAATCTCTCCAACGCTTATATTATTCAATGCAAAATTAATGAATTTATTAACTATTTTATATTGTCCATTAAGAAATAAATTAATATTCTTAAGATCTTCCTATTGCAATAGTAATTAATTATAACCATTAATATTTTTAGGTTGGATTTTAATAAAATATTTAAAATGAAATTTAGAGTAATTATATAATAGATTATGAATGATTTTAATAGTTTGATACTTTCATTATCATCCTAACTAATTAATAGAGTTCATCATTATTTGATAAATTTTATGATTCTTTAAATAGATTAATTAATGGTTCACTTATTGAAGAACATAATAAATCTGATATCTATTTTACTTAAGCATTGATCTCTTCAATATTAGAATTAATCCATGTTAATATAGCAATAATTAATGTATTTATATATGTAAATTGTTATTTAGTCAATAAATTAATATTTTTTAAAAGTTGAAATTAATTATTTGCAAAATTGAATAACTATAAATATATTAATAAAATAGATACCTAAATTATGCAATCTATGTTACCTTTTGAATAAATACGATAACATAATTTTAATATGCCTTCAACAAAAGAATTTAACTGAGATTAATTAATAAAATCATTAAAATGTTGTTCTAAGAATAATACACAATCTGAAATTAATTGCTAATTTATAAGTTCGCTATTATTACTAATTTATTCAAAAGCACTAATTTATATTAAATATTTACACTCCAGCTAAGGATCCCAATAAAGGATGAAGCATATATTAAAAGAAGTATTTTGTTATTGAAAGTAATAATTCATTATTTAAATTTATTTAATTAGTTAATCCACTAAACATCTATAGGGTTGTCTTTACAATAATATCATAATTTTAATTGTTTGGCAATTAAAGAACAAATTAAATTATTTATAAAACTAATTAATTATTAATTTAAAAGTCTGTTTCATCAATAATTGAACATAGGCAAAATAATGCTGCTTCACTTTTAATAATTTATTCTATAGATTCAGGATTCGTAATAACCAAATTTGATAAGATGATTTAAAAAAATGAATTAGTTTAATTAATTTATTCAACATTTTTATATATGTTAATGAATATTTCTTTACAATGTTCTCTAAAATCAGAAGTAGATATATTATTATCCTTACTTTCATAATCTGTTTTATTAAAATAGTCATCTTCATCTTCAGATTCTCCTAATAATGATTATTTAGTTAATTTAATAGATTTTACTTTGCATCTATCAATCAAACATTATAATATTTTCAACCCAACACCTTAAATTAAATTATTCTGTCTCATTTAACTCCAGAACTCAAAAGTCTAAAATACTATTTTCCTTTAAGGATTATTTACAATATTCACCATCATATTCAATATTGGTTCTTCATATTAAGTATTTTAGATGATTGGATAAAAATCACATATAAATTTAGTTGCAAAAGATGCAAACATAACTGAAATTTAAGGATTATAAATCTTTAATATAAATTCGAGCATTAATATTAAATTTTATTATACAATATCTTCGGTAATTTAATTTTTATTATATTATGAATAAACAACTGCTTCGTATAGTAAAGAGAACAATTTATCAGAATATTCAAGTGCATTATTTTACAATGCATGTTATATTAATACAATTATTTGTTGAATCAATTTTGAATCTTTGAATAAGCGATATGAAAATTAGACCCATGATTCAATGCATGAAATTGTTTACTTAAAAATATTCAAATCCTAGACACACAATAAACTTAGAAATATTTCTGAAAGTATACTTTCTTGTGTCTAGAATTCTAGTTGCAATTTCTATTATTCCTTTTTTGAATGGCATTCTTTACTTTAAATTGCAATTTAATTCAGAATTTCAATTCCTATTGGCATTTTTACCTTCATTAATTGTATTAATTCCTATAGTATTCTAAAAAGCATATATAATACTCTGATACCCTTTCCATAGCTGAGAGTTACCTACAATAATGACAGCAAAAGATGAGCAAACTTAATTCAAGGCAATATTTGATAGTGGTCTTCCTAATAAATTTAAAAGATAAGGTTATATGGTAATGTCACATTCTTCCTTTAATCTTCTATAAATCAATTAACAAGCTATGAATTAATATTCTTATTAAATATTTTATTAATCTAATATTTATTAGGCAACAGTGAAAGCTTCCCTAGTTTATTGCAATTTAAGGATATATTTATTAGCTTCTTGACTTATATTCTTATCTGGATTTGAAAGATTCTAATATTGTTTAATAAATTCTTCTATGCTAAACATTTAAGTTAATAATTATTTTAAATTAAATCAATTTTAATATTGAATATTGTAGCATACTTATTTCATTTTATCTCTCTTATTTTTCATCATAAATTCCTTTTTGTTTCTTCAAATTTTGATACAAATTTAACATCAAATTTAAGATTAACATAATTATATAATTACAAATAATCTATAATAATGAACTCTCTTTCAGTATTGAAGACAATAAAAATCCCAATATGATACTAAAGAGAAGAGTAACAAAAAAAGAATCATAATATAAAAATTTATTGTCCTGGAATTGTTGATTTGATGAAGTTTTTTATTCATAAATTAATTCTAACTAATAACAACAACTTTTGATTAGACTCAAATCTATATTAAATATCAGAATATATGAAATCAAACATGAATCATTTTTTGAGTCCAATTCTCCACTTCTAATTAAATTAAAATCTTATGAACTATAATCATTATATTAAACTAATTACTATCCAATAAATCAATAAATCCAAGTAGGTTAGTTTTACAAAAAGTAAAATATTGCAAAGAAGTTATTAAAGAACAACATCTGAATTACTTATTAACTTATTAATTAGCTCTAAAGTTATATTAAAATTCATACATCCTTAGTTAAACTCTTGTGCATTGTGTATTTAATCTACTATAATGAAGAAGAATTTTCTAAAAATTACAGAATCCCTTCATTTTAGATATTTAATATAATTATATTTATTTCAAATCAAATTAACATTCATAAATTAAAAGTGGTTGATATTTTTTATTTATAAACTTAATACAAAATTTTACTATTACTCATTATTATAATGTATAATTCATTCCTTCTTTTATTAAGACAATTTACTTATTATTTTACAAATGAATATGTAATCTATTTGATTTAGAATTAATAATTTAAAATATAATATATATTTTAATGAACAAATCTAATTAAATATAATGATATTATAACAATTGTATCAATTTAATTATGTTAATATACAATACATTAATAGATTCTCTTGAATAATATTATAAGTATAATATTAATAAATTGAAAATGGAAAGGTTCTGTAAATTAAGAAAAAGAACATTCTTGATAGTAGAATTATTGAGATGGAAAATTAGTAATATAAATCTAAAACAACCACAAAATTGTTTTTATAAAAATAAATATTGATAATAATGTTTGTTAGAGCTCTTCGTCTCATAAACCCAATGGGATTCTAATATAGAACTTTTAGATTCTGTTCAACAACTTAAAACAAGGAGTTATTAGAAGAAGTCACTTCTAAAGTACTTCAAGTCATGAAATCTGCTGCAAAATGCAAAGTTGACAAATTATCAGATAAAGTAAAAAAGATTTCATATGTAGGCTACATTTGAAGAATTAGGGTTTGACTCATTAGATGCAGTTGAAATGGTTGTAGCTTTGGAAGAGAATTTTGGATTTGGTAATAATATCAACATATGAATTTATTAGATATAGCAAATGAAGAAGCTGAAAGAATTAAGGGAGTGGGTGAGGCAATTGCTGTTTTCTATAAATATGTTGTGCAGAGGAACTAAACTTCAGTTAAATAATGATTAATAATCAATTAAACAAACAATATAAGTTTTTCATTTAATTCATATTAGATTTAAGTATTTCTTATAGACAGAACCTCAATTCTTAATATTACTTTGTTTTTATCTTTTCCATAAATTTTTATTTGTAAATACAAAAAAAGTTTTAATATTTTCTTAAATTTGAAAAATGAATAACGATTCAAAAAAGCTGTATTTGTATAAATTGAAAGAGTATATATATAATCTAAAACTTCTATTAAATTATCAAAGAACATTTAAGTGTTTATATAATATTAATTATAAATGAGGATAGTCGTTCTAGTATTTATGATGATGCTAATAATGTTGTCTGAATAAAGAAAGCATTTTATGGGAGAATAAGAAATTCATAATGCTGCAGCACCTCCAACAGCAAAACCAGCACCTCCAACAGCCAAACCCTCCACTTCATCTCCTTAACCACCACCATAATCTACTTAAATAAACAATTCCACAGCCATAAATAATGGCCCGACCAAAGAATAATTACAGGCAGCCAACCCAGCCAGAAATATATGGCAAAGGTTATTTGGACAGTTAGATTCTGTTCAGATTACTGCAGTTATGATTGTTATTACATCCATTTTAATAATTTGATTTATTAACTGATGAACTTAGACAAACTCCATCATCGTTTTTACAAAAAAGATAGCTTAAATTACAAAACTTCTTTTCTTCTTTAACACTAATAATGTTGAACATGCATGGTATTCAAAAGTATCTATGGGTTAAATTGTAAAATAGTATCATAATCTTATTTAAATTTAAGAGTGAATCAAATCATTGTCATTTACAAGCAAGAATTAGATATAGATAAAAAAATAATGATATTTAAAACTAAAATAGTTTCAAGAAAAATTAAAAAGAGAAATAGGAAGCATAAAATACAATAGAAGAAAAAAAATAAGAACTTGTAATTTAATATGAAAAGAGATAAACTCAAAGAAGTAAATGAATTAAAAAATAGATATTAGATTGTTTCTCAAAATAAATTGACAGGGATGTCATAATAAAAAAAAGAGTATCATAAAAATAATTAGAAGAGACTATTAGAGAATGGAAAAATAAATATAATTCTCATATAAAATGATTTATATAAGGTTTATCATTTGTTAATGCATAAATTATACATGTTTGAGGAAGAATATTTATTATTAACATCATAATTATTATAATCTAATTAGCCTATATGAATAAAATATAGACAAATTGAATATAAGGAAGTTAAAGTCGAATTTGAATATTTAAATTGATTAAGTAGTTTAAATCTTATGTCTAATTCAAAGTTGAATTTTTAAGAAAGTAAATGAAAAGATGAAATAATTTATATTAGAATAAATTTAAAGAGATAATGATTACTACAAAATGTTTAATGTTAACCTTACAATAGGAACACTTAATATTTTAGATAATAATCAAAACCATAACTGGTAAAATGCAATAAAGAAAATGAACTATCATTTTATTTAATTTTCAGTAAATTATGCAGCTTGTACAGCATTCTCTATTTTTTGGTTTCTCCTCTTTTAAAAGTGAGTGCAAGAGTATTTAACTTGTTTTTGGAGTGTTTTCAACCGAAAAAGTAGGCTGTACACAACTGCTAGAATAAGCAAAATCCTCATTATTTTTTGATTTAATTAGAAACTCTTGTTGATGAGTTTAGGTAGATGCATCAATTTTATCCTTATGAACTTTTGGCTAATTTGCAATTTATTCCAACTCTTCTTCAAGTTTTTACTTATAATCAGTGAGTTAAAGATATTAGATATAATCTACATCTTCTTCTGATTCTTAACGCTGATGCTATACAAATTAATTAACTTTTATTTTCTCTTCTTTAGAACCTTCTTAAGGTATGGAAACAGCATCCAATTTCATTTTTTATTATAAATTTTATATGATTCTCTGATTTTCTTTATTATGAATGTCTTACAGCATAAACTATTGACTTAATTCTTTTAGTTATTACTATCTTTCAAATATGATCTATTGTGTAATTTTTATGTATTATTCATCTTAGTTATTTTCTTATTAGTATTGATTAGTCAATTATTCCAACTCATGCAATTACTAATTGAAATAAGCTTCATACTTTAAATAATTAATCAAAATCTTCTTGTTATTTCTAACTTATCTCATCTATGTCTTGTAATTCCTTAAGCTACTATTATTGAATGGTTGAAATTATTTCTTGAAAATCACCCTCAACATCTTCTGTCTAATTTTCATTCGAATTTTCCTTTTTATTAAAGATAATTAGTACATCATCCAAGATCATTTCATGTTATTCAACTTTCTATTGCAAATCAATTATGACCTATAATGCCCCATAGAGTTATTCTTCATAATAAGGAATAGAATCTAGTGTAAGTTAATCCACAATTTCTTAATCCATAATAATTTTATTTATTATACTATATGAAATAATCATCATTATCTTATTCTATGTTCGATCCAAAAATAGAAACTACAATATTTAATCATAGATAGAATTAGAAATATATAATTTTTGTATATTATAAAAGTTAAAAAATACTTTTTTGAACATATATATTTAAAATGCTCTAGTTATTAGAAATACAATGTTGATATTTATTGATTATATAATATCAAAATTGTGTATCTTTCAAAAATGATTCTTATTTATATCATAAAATATCAAATTAATCAGTAATAGCTTTTAAGTTCAAATATTTTTTAGTTGTCTTTCTCAAAAAAATTCAGTAAATATTATAAAATTTTATATAAGATTGATCGAGATATATATACAAAATAGAGGTGATTATTTATAATTAAAATATTTGATTGAATAATCAATAGTTAAAATCAAAAATTCTAATCAATAATTAGAATTAATATTTTATTATTTTAGTAAAAACTCAGTGTTTACTTTTTGTTTAGGATTAGATCTTAATTATGCTGTTGGAGAACTTATATTCTATATTTTAATTTAAGGGATTTTTATATTAGATAATTTTTATAAAACTTCTGCATTTACTTAAAATGGAACTGTAACTTCTATTTTTTAAGGATATTATTATTATTATTATTATTATTATTATTATTATTATTATTATTATTATTATTATTATTATTATTATTATTATTATTAGACTAATTATTGAGTTTAAATCAATAATTAAGGTTTAGTTTAAGGAATCTATTATAATGGCTTAGTTATTTCAGGGGGCTCATTTGACTTTATTTTTTGAGTCAGCATCTCAATTTTAGGCATATATTTTTATTTAACTTTTGAAATTTCTTCCTCCATTTACAATTGCAAGAATGCCAAAAACTTTTTTCTCTCATCTTAATTCATGTTTTCCATTTATTATTCATCACTTAATTATTCATCTATAATCTCATTTATTATTTTTTCCTTTTTAGCATAAGTTACAAAGTCTAATTCCTTTTCGCTTTTACTTTTAACTTCTTCCTCTTTAATTACAAGTGTTCCGCATTCCACTACAGTACCAGATGATTGTTCTTCATCTTCACTATTTTCTTATTTAGAGATCAAGGTCTATACATTTTCTAAATTTCCTTGAGTTTTTGATTATCTATACTCATCAATTTAGTTGAGAAACTTTTCGATTAGATTTACTAATTTCTTTTAATCTAATTTGCCTTATTTTATGAATGGAGACTAAAGTAATTGTTAAGCAGTCGGTCTTTCTGAGACTTACACTCTTAAGCAAGATTTTACGAAATCGTTAAATTCCTTCGACCATTTTTCAGGATTAGTTAAACCCTAAGGTGGGTTATTTTTTATTGCAAACATTGCTCTTACAGGATGAATATGAGAATAAGGAGGTTTTCCTTCTGCAAGTTCAATAGCAGTGACTCCTAATGACCAAATGTCTGTTAGATGGTTATATCGATTCTTAGATATAACTTCAGGAGACATGTAAACAGGGGTGCCTATTACTGTTCCCTTTTTATTAGAGTAAAAATACTTTATCTGCATTCGTATAAATGAGTTGTGCAGCTACTCCAAAATCAGCAATTTTAATTGTTCCTTTTTCATCCAATAATATATTTCCAGCCTTTATATCTCTATGAATTTTTTTATTTGCATGCAAATATTCGATTCCAAGTAGTACATGATATAAAATTGCAGCTATCTCTGACTCAGTTAATGTTTTTTAAGTGATTTTCAATAAATCAATAATTGACCCTCCTACACAATATTCCATCACTAACCATAAATTTCCATCTTTATAAAAGGAACCATAATATTGTACTATATGAGGATGTTAACATTCCTACTTACTTTAATGATAATACTTTCAAAATCTAAATCTCCTTAATTAATGATTGAATTTCACCAGTTGAAGGAACTATTTTTATAGCCACAATTTAGCCGTTCTTATGTCTCCCCTTATAAACTTTTGCATAAGCACCTTCTCCAATTAATTCATTCAACTCAAACTATTCCTCAGGGTCTTAATTAGAATACATACAAATTATTAATAATTATGATTATTCAGTATTTTATAAGGATAATCAAATTATACCTATCAATACTTTAAAATATAATGTTTGAGAGGTTCTATTGAAAAGACTTGATTTTACAAATTTAATAGAATTAGATTTAATTTCACCTTTGTTTTTAATAATATCTTGCATGAAAATTTGTCGATCTTTTAGGATTACTTAATTTATTGTAGATATATTTTAATTATTCTGTAAAAATAAATTTATAAACCTAACATTTATGGAGAATCAACAATCCAATCAAATAATATATCAGTTATTTTTTTGTATGAGAATATAATCTTTTATTTCTACTCTATGAGTTTATATTAGTTTAGATTTGTATAAAACATATAAAGTATGAAGATTTGATGAGAAAAATTATTTTAGAAAAATATAAATTATTAAGTTATTTCAAAAATATTCTAATTCAATGAACGTTTAATAGGTTCCAATAACAAAACCTCCATCTCGTTCACCTATGCAAACTTATAACATAGCAAAAATAATAAAAACAGAACCATCACAATCTGATAGATAATTTTCAGCTGGTCATAGATGTGAACGATCAATGCTTTCACCTAGTCTTCTTGATGAAGGGTCAGTTTTGGTTCAAAAATTACCACCTAATAAATTAGTAATAAATGTAAATATCAAGGTAAAAGCTTCAGGCAAATATCCAGAATTTTGTATTCGAGATCAAGATACAGGCAAAGTCATTGATATTCGTTATTAAGATTGGAGAAATAATTGGTTATTCTATTTTTAATCTATTAGGAATACAAAGAGTCCAAATAATGCCAAATTGATAAAAGCAGTGAAAAACAATTCCTATAATGAGGTTAGAGAAATCCTCTTAAAAGACAAGCCTGACATCAATTCAAGAGATACAGAAGGACATACAGTATTACATTTAAGTGTGATGAGTGGAAACTCTAAATTAGTTGGATTACTATTATATCATGAAGCTCAAATAGATTCATTAAATTCAAAATTATAAACACCTTTAATGATTGCTTGCAGTTTAGGGGCTGAAGAGATTACTTAATAATTAATTACAGCAGGAGCCGATATCAATGTTTAAGATATTAATAAAAATACTTGTCTTCATTTAGCAACCATGAATGAAAGATAGAAAATTATAGATTTATTATTAAATAAACAAAGTTTGAATCTAAATTTAAAGTATATTGAATTATTGATATCTTAGAAATAAAGAGAATAAAATTGCTATGGATTATTCTTCCAATTAATAAATATTTCTTTAGGCTATGCAAAAATAAAATAATAATTCAATAAAAATTTATGATGCAAGGACTGACTTTGGAAGTGAAAATTCCAATTCATTTAATGAAGATAAAGTTGGTCCACATCATTTTAAAGTACATGCCCTTATTGGAAGAGGCAGTTTTGGAGAAGTTTATTTAGTTGAAAAGCTGGATACAAATTAATTATTAGCAATGAAAGTTCTTCATAAATCAAAAATATAAAGTATTAATAATTTATAATATTAGAACAAAATCTTACAAGATATGCATTAACAGAGAGAAATGTATTATCATTAACTAAACATCCCTTTATTGTCAGGTTAAGATATGCATTCCAAACTGCTGATAAGCTCTGTCTTATTATGGATTATTGTCCTGGAGGAGATTTAAGTTCTCATTTAAGAAGAGAATAGAGATTTCCGGAAGAAAGAGTAAAATTGTATCTGACTTAAATGATTCTTGCTTTGGAAGATTTACATAAGAGAGATATAATTTTCAGAGATTTGAAACCTGACAATATTGTTTTGGATGCAGATGGCTTTGCTATGTTAACTGATTTCGGTTTATCAAAAGAAGGAGTTTAAGAACATTATTCTGGTGCAAGATCATTTTGTGGATCTGTGGCTTATTTAGCACCTGAGATGCTAAAAAGATGTGGTCATGGAAAGGCAGTCGATTGGTACTTATTAGGAGTTGTTATGTATGAACTTTTAGTTGGGCAGCCTCCTTATTATGCAAATGATAGAGAAGAACTTTTTAATAATATTTAAAAAGCTGATCTAAAACTACCAACATATATTTCCCATGATGGGATTAATCTATTGAAAGCGGTAAATAATTCGTTTTAAATGCTTTTTAGCTATTATAAAGAAATCCAGCTAAAAGATTAGGTTCTGGTAAAGGAGATGCTGAAGAAATTAAAGCTCATCCTTATTTTAATGATATTGAATGGGGTAAGGTTAAAGAAAAATAAATAAAAATGCCAATTTTGAGTAGAAAAACAAGGTTCATTAAGGTTGAACATAATGTTTTTGAAATTGGTAGCTTTTTAGAGTAATCTCATTTAGCTGGATGGTCATTTGCAGAACATAAAATATAATAGTGATTTTCGTTAATACTTAATACAAAATTACAATACCATTAATCTTAATAACATTATTTAAACTATAAAATTAATTATATTTCTTCAATAGTATAAAATAATGGATTGATTTATTTGATTAATTTCATTAAAAAAAAAGCATGGGAAAAAATTAGCGGGAATCATTAAAAATGAGATTAAGATGTAATGAACCTGGTTCTGAAAATAAGCGAATAAATTATTTTAAGCTAAACTAAGGTTATGATATTACAGAAGATGATTCAGAATATATGGATGAATAAGACTCATATAAGGCATTTAAAAAAATTAGGAAATACAAAACAAAATCCAAAAAAGATAAAGTGTAAATTGTTTTTAGTTAATTAGAACTTGTGACAATTTAGAAGTGTTGTTATAATGGAAAAAATCAATTAATACTCAACCATATGAAACAGATCAAAAAAAGTAACCATAATATTCTAATCTAAGGATTGTTGTACTCAAAAAGATTCTAGGGACAGATCTATCCCAATATGCCAAAGGAGTTTAAGGAATTTTTATTGATAATCATTTTAAAAAAGATTTAGTAATTACCCTTAATATATATAGAAAAATTTAGATCTATCCAAAAAGCTAATATCTAATGGAATTTTATTTATTTGGTCTGATAAAGGGCTTATAAATGAAATTCTTGAAACTATGGAAAATAAAGGATTTACATATATTGAGAATCTGGTTGTAGTTTAGCTTAGTTTAGAAAAAGCTTTAGAAGAATTGAATAAACATATGAAAATTGAACAGACTGAAGATGCTGTCTTAGACAATTTAAATTTCTTATAATAAAAGGTTTAAGTAAAAGATTTGATCTTGCATCGTCCTTCAAAAGTTTTAAATTAATCAAAATAAGTGTTGATAATGTTTAGGAAATTTGATGAATAAAAGTCATAACTAGAATTAAGACATTAAAGAACTCCTGATGTATTATTTGATATTGTAAGTAATGGAAAATCATCCTTAAAAACAAAAGAGTATATTTATTAGACCATTGAAACATTGCTTCCAAAGTCTTAATTGATGGAGATTTTTGCTTAAAAAGATTAACCTAGAAAGGGGTGGATTAGTGTTTGTGAAAATAAATGATAAATATATTTAAATTCATTTTAATATAGATTCCAAAATTTTATATTAATTCTTAAAAAGCCTTATTATATGCTAATTACTCTCTTAATCATTATTTATTTTAAGATCAGCATCATTTATTTTTAGAATTTATTTTATTAGTTTTGTCTTAATCGATTAGTAGCACATACAATAGATTTAAGCTTAATCTTTCTCAATTTAATTTATTATTAATAATTCTAAACATTTGGTATGATATATATGAAAACATTCGAGTTAGTATTGATCTTATTATATTTCTTAATTGCACTATTAACATAAGGGAACTAATTATTTCATAGAAGAGAAAGAGTTATCTAAGGAATTGATTCCTATTTCAATTGTTACTTCAGATTAATCTAAATCAAGTAGAATACAATTGTTTTATATTTATTATGGTTATTCTTTCTCTTTATATACATTAAGAAATTTTTAATGATAAAGATAATTAATAGAAATATCGATATTTTCTAACTAAACTTATGAAGAGGTTCTTTTTATTCTATTTTCTTTTTCAGAAACCTAACATAAATCCCTCTATGAATGAAATTTCTGCTAGTATTTACGAGCTTTTATTTTCTTCAATTAAACTGTCCTCTATTTGAGAAATTCATCAATTTCTTAAATCTCTTAATCATCAAGAGAACTTTCAGTTAACAAATCTGATACATTTTCTTGCATCAATGCAAAATGGTTAAATGGATTTACTTAATTTGGGACTTCTAATGACTAATTTAAATTTTTTGGAGTTAATGGACTATTATTATTTTCTAAATAATCTTTAGGTAAAATTTTTTGATTATGTTTCTAAGAATCATGTTATTTACTATTTGCTTGGGTGAAGAGGCAACCCATAAGACTAATAAAATATAAGAAAATTTTATTAATAAAAATAAATTAAAAAGTTTTGTTTAAAAGGAGAATTTTGCTTGTTTTTTGAGCATTAAAATATATTAATAAATTTTGTTTGATTTTCAATATTTTTATTTTCAATAAATAATGAAAAAGATGATTATATGTTAAGAAATGATGTATGATTTCTCTGTTATCAATATTAATTTTGAAATTAAGTCTAATAATTTATTTGAATTTATTTTAATATATTTTTATGAATAAAAATAAAATAGAAGATCTTTCATTTTTATTTTACCTATATATTGACTTTAAATAATAAAATTAATAATTTATTCTTTGTATACTAAGTATTCATTCATTTTTCATTCTGAATTTACATTGACTATGTTAGTTGGATCTTAATAAAAACCAGATGAATCAAGCAATGGAAATTTATAGAACTATTTAAATTAATGAATTGAAAAATCTAATAATATTTCAGATAGATTAACTATGAATAGATATTATACTTACTTTTCAAAAGGAAATCTGGTATAATCTGCTTGTCAAAATATATTGTTATTTCTTGTTTAAACTAGTTGGATTAGATCTTTTCAAGTTTAGAAAAGTTCTCATCATCTTTGATCATTTCTTAAATTTCTGATAGCAATAAGTCTTTTTTTTCAACCATTTATTTAAAATTTTTCGATCCTTGTTGCTATGTTTCACTTTCATAAGACAATTGTAAAAAGTAAAACATTTTCTATTCTAACTCTGATCTATTATTTTCCAAATAATTTTTAAATTATCTAAAATTTTCATTAATTAAACTTTGTTATATAAGAATTGTTCTGGGCTATAAACTTTACAGATTTGAATTGAGTAGGAAGACTTTTCAATTTTTCCACTTTTTAATAGGCACATTACTCAATTTTCTTATCATAATCTAATAATAGTTTAACTTCCTTCCACTTCATAATTTAGTTGTGTAATGAATATAACCTACATATTCTTTATAATTTTTACCTACCATCCATCAAAATCTGTTCTACTTTATGCTTTTATTTAATAAGTTTTTTAATCACACTTTATAAGAAATGTTAAATTTTTATCTGGCTGTTTCTCGATTTACATTGAATCAAGTGAAATACAACTCTGTTTTGTTCTATTTTTTTCATGTTTTTCATTTTTTTCATAAATTAAGGTATCTTTTTACAATTTAAAGAGTCTCTCTCGAAACTATCCTGTTTTACTTTTTTTCAATAGAGTTCCTTATCTAAAGGAATGATCTTTAGAATCTTCAAATAAATATAGTAATCATTACTTATTGTAATATGATTCCAAATTTTTTGATGATAGGATTGACTTTCCTACAATTTTAAAAGCTTGATTTCTTGATAAATGATATAAAATTCTAAGTTTTGTGGAGTATTTTATAGAATTTTAGCTATTTACTCCTACTTATTAACAATTCTTTGTGAAATACATTTTTTATCCTTCTAACAAGTAATGAGAATGAGCACTTTTCTCACCTAATGATACAATAATTATAACTTCATCTCCAAGTTGATTTTACATATCTATCTAATCTAAAATTTTTTAACATTAAGTATTATCTTCTATGTTTAGGTTTTGGAAATAATTTTAACACTATTCATCTTTATAGATCTTAATTCTAATATTATAAAATACTTTTATCTTCTAAAGTTTAGATTATTATTTCGTAGATGATGTAAATAAACTTAGAAAGTTCATTCTATATTGACAAATATTTGTTTTTAATTATTTAACAAATTATTTTAATGGATTAAATTGAAATTGAAATAAAGGAGATGGATGCATTATATTTTGACAAAGAATATGCAAGTTATCATCCTTCTAATAATGAACTATTATAAAAGGACATCCATGAATATTAACATTTTTAAAATGTGATCGCATGCTTTTATAATTATACAAATGATATGAAAGTAGAACTTTAAAGAATAAAAACACATTTTGAAACACTTAAACCTGAACAAAGAAATAAATTATTAATGAATTATTAAGAAAGAATAAAAAAATTAGATTATTGCATAAAAAAAAATGCCCATTTTTGTTTCTTGATAGTTGCAGCTTATGTCGATATGTTTCCAGAGATGGATTTAAGTCAAGTAACATATATATCAGAGCTACCATATTTTCCTCATGCTTAACATGGCGATATTTCAAAACTAAGAATAACTTTAAAATAATTTTATAGAGGTAAAATTTATAGAAATTAATTCCAGATTGGAGTATTCAAGGTTAAGTAGAAAGAGATTAATCTTATAAACCTATTATTGATTGCTTATAATAATATTATCCAGATGCAAAAACTTAAGATAAGAAATATTAGGTACTTTTACCTGGAGCAGGATTAGGAAGACTTGTATTTGAATTGGCAAGTCGAGGCTTTGCTGCTTAAGGAAATGAATTCTCATATTTTATGCTTTTAAGTTCTCATTTTATTATCAATCTCACTTAAAAAAAAAACTAATATGAATTATATCCATTTGCCAATAATTTTTGTAATCGATTAAGGTAGTTTTATGAGTTAACTTTAGTGAAAATGACTAATTTGAATTAGTTTAAATACCTGATGTAGTTCCAGCAGAAGTTTTAACTGAAAATGATCAAATGTCATTTGTAGCAGGGGAATTTATTACTGTGTATCATCAAGAGAAATACTTCAATTTTTGGGATAGTATAATTACTTGCTTCTTCATTGACACAGCAAATAATGTTTTAGATTATATAGATACAATCTATGAGATTTTGAAGCCTAAAGGCTGTTGGATTAATTTTGGGCCTTTGGAATATCATTTTGCTAATTAGTTCTCAGAAACAAGTATTGAATTAAGTTTTGAAGATTTAAAACATTATATGAAATAGAAAGGTTTTGAGATATAATTAGAATAAATGAAAGAATCAACTTATAATCATTCAAAATTAGATTAAAAATACTTAATGTATAATTGTATATTTTTTATGGCTGTTAAGAAGTGAATATTAAATGATTTTTAAGATTTTTTTTCTTATAAAATACGATATTTAAGAATTTAAAAATAAAATTTAGAAATTTGTAATATAAATAAATAAATAATTATATTAATTCCACATGGCCAGCAAGAAGAAGCAACTTTTTAAAATTATCATTTTAGGTGATTCAGGGTAATTTTATATTCTAAATAACTTTTAGAGTAGGAAAAACATCTTTAATGAATTAATATGTCAATGCAAGGTTCACATAATAATACAGAGCTACAGTTGGAGCAGATTTTATGGCAAAAGAAGTTATGATTGATGATCGTATGGTTACTCTTTAAGTATGTTGACTTTTTTTTATTTTTATTAGATTTGGGACACTGCAGGTTAAGAGAGATTCTAATCATTAGGTGGTGCATTTTATAGAGGAGCTGATTGTTGTGTATTAGTTTATGACATCACAAATCCAAAATCATTTGATTCATTGGATTCTTGGAGAGATGAATTTTTAATGTAAGGTTAACCAAAAGATCCAGAACATTTTCCTTTTGTTGTATTAGGAAATAAATTAGATAAAGCTACAGAAAGAAAAGTTTAAGAATCTAAAGCTTAATAATGGTGTAAATCTCATGGAAACATATAATTCTTTGAAGTATCAGCTAAAGATGCCACAAATATTGAATAAGCCTTTTAAGATATTGCAAAAGCAGCTGCAAGCTAGGAAAAAGATGAAGAAATGTAATCTCATTATTTATTATCAATATTAGATTTTTCCCTACAACTGTGACATTAACTAAATAGAGTCAAAAACCATAAGCTAAATAAGGAGGTTGCTGTTGATTTAATGAGATTTAAAACAAATTTCATAATAATATAATTTAAATTTATCCATATTTGTTAAATTTTTTTTAATAAAACAAAAATAACTCCAATTTGGTTATTATTGATTTTTTTAATCCTCATAATATTTTATCAAAATATTTATTTATTCCAACTTTATTTTAATAGATCTCAATGGATCTTTAGAATTATTATTTTTTATTTATTAAATTAGTTGCAAAATATAAAGATAATTATATCCAATATGATAGTAAGCACAAACTTTCTTCTTAAGGTTAATTAATGATTACTTTTGGAATTAATAGCAATTTTTATAAAATCTAATTTTAAAGTTGTAACTAATTTTTCGATGAGTTGTAATAATCAAAATGAAATTAATATCTACAAGATTCTAATAGAGTTTTATGGAACCAAGATAAATACAATCATCCAACTTTTATAACATAAATCCTTTTCATTTTATTTTAGAGAAAATAAGAATTTTATTTATTTTTTTATATTAAATATCTTTTTTCATTATCTAACAAATATTTAATGATAATTTCTCAGGAACAATAAGTTTTGAAGATATAAAACATTATATGAAATAGAAAGGATTTGAGATTTAATTAGAATAAATGAAAGAATCAACTTATAATCATTCAAAATTAGATTAAAAATACTTAATGTATAATTGTATATTTTTTATGGCTATTAAGAAGTGAATAATAAATGATTTTTAAGATTTTTTTTCTTATAAAATACGATATTTAAGAATTTAAAAATAAAATTTAGAAATTTGTAATATAAATAAATAAATAATTATATTAATTCCACATGGCCAGCAAGAAGAAGCAACTTTTTAAAATTATCATCTTAGGTGATTCAGGGTAATTGTGTATTCTAAATAACTTTTAGAGTAGGAAAAACATCTTTAATGAATTAATATGTTAATGCAAGGTTCACATAATAATACAGAGCTACAGTTGGAGCAGATTTTATGGCAAAAGAAGTTATGATTGATGATCGTATGGTTACTCTTTAAGTATGTTGACTTTTTTTTATTTTTATTAGATTTGGGACACTGCAGGTTAAGAGAGATTCTAATCATTAGGTGGTGCATTTTATAGAGGAGCTGATTGTTGTGTATTAGTTTATGACATCACAAATCCAAAATCATTTGATTCTTTAGATTCTTGGAGAGATGAATTTTTAATGTAAGGTTAACCAAAAGATCCAGAACATTTTCCTTTTGTTGTATTAGGAAATAAATTAGATAAAGCTACAGAAAGAAAAGTTTAAGAATCTAAAGCATAATAATGGTGTAAATCTCATGGAAATATATAATTCTTTGAAGTATCAGCTAAAGATGCCACTAATATTGAATAAGCCTTTTAAGATATTGCAAAAGCAGCTGCAAGCTAGGAAAAAGATGAAGAAATGTAATCTCATTATTTTTTATCTATATTAGATTTTTCCCTACAACTGTGACATTAACTAAATAGGACCCCAAGAAATAGCAAAAATAAGGAGGATGTTGTTGATTCAATGAAATTTTAGTCAATTTCATTATAATAATAAATTATAAAAATTGAAATTAGTGAATCTCATTACCTAATTTTGAAAAATCTTTCTCTTTTTATTAATCATAGTAGCTGGTGTAAATCAGAAGATATTTAAGATAAATTTTTTAATTCAGTTTTTCTCAGCAGAATTATTTTATCAAATTTATTATTTAGTTGAATTACTTTATATCAAAAATGCCATAATATTTGTACTCTTAAAGTATTCCTCGAAAGTTTTCTGGTACTTTAATGCTATAAACATTTTTTACAATTTAAAGGTAAGACGCTTAATATGAATTAAAATTAGCAATTTTCTCTTTCAATATCTCCAAATAAATTTATTAGGAAACAAAATATTTAGAATAGATTTGAGAGTATCTTCATTTTCTATATTAAATTAAAAATATTATACACTTTACTATTAGATAATTTAAAAAAAAATTATTTATCCAATTATAAAAGTTGAAATTTTATATTTTGTGAAATATCTTTGAAAAGTTAGAGAATGTTGAAAATTTTTTTTCTATCATTTTACAATAAATATATTTCTTTAAACATCAATAATATGCTATTTAGACTCAAAAATTTTCTAGATTTTTTAAATTTCTGAATCTATTCTAAGTAAAATTTTCTAATATATCAGAATCTTTTCTCCCTTTTATTGGTATTTCTTATCTAGTACAAAAAAAATACTCATTTCTATATTCTTCCTAAAAATAATTAATTTAAGTAAACTGAAATTTCATTAAATTTCTTGAGATTAATTATATAAAGTCAACTTTGTGATGCTTTTTTTTAGGTTAATGTTTAACTGATTTAAAAAATTACTTTAAATTGAGTTTATAGAATAAAAAGATTTTCTACATACTAATTTAGAATATATTGCTTGGGTTATTAAAATATATTGAATATAATTAATGAAAAATATAATTGCAGCCACATTGACGACTTTACTGATTGGTTTTGGTTTCTACCATGTAAATTTAGATTCTGCTTCTGATTTTGAAAGATGGGCTTTAAAACATGGCAAAAGTTATTATGGAGATGAGAAAATTTACAGATAAACAATTTATTATCAAAATAAATAAATGATTGATTAACATAACAAAAGAAATGATATTACTTATTAAATGGCAGAAAATCAATTTATGACTATTACAAATGAAGAATTTATTAGACTTTATTTGAATACTAAATCATCTGAATAATTAAATGATTAAGATAAAGTTAAAAGAAATAATATACATAAATCTTCTGAACCAATCAATAAAGAAAATAAAAAATGGCCAACTGATTGGAGAGGTTTGATAAAAGTTCACAATTAAGGATCTTGTCCTTCTTCTTATGCAATGGCAGCAGTTAGTGTAGTCGAAGCAGCATATGCAATTGAAAAAGGAATATCTTTAACATTATCAGCACAATAAATCATGGATTGTAATTATATGTTTACTGGATGTGATCCTAATTTTGATAGAAATACAGCCTATGAGGCATTATTATACATAAGGTAATATGGATTATATAATGGANTAAAAGTTGAAATTTTATATTTTGTGAAATATCTTTGAAAAGTTAGAGAATGTTGAAAATTTTTTTTCTATCATTTTACAATAAATATATTTCTTTAAACATCAATAATATGCTATTTAGACTCAAAAATTTTCTAGATTTTTTAAATTTCTGAATCTATTCTAAGTAAAATTTTCTAATATATCAGAATCTTTTCTCCCTTTTATTGGTATTTCTTATCTAGTACAAAAAAAATACTCATTTCTATATTCTTCCTAAAAATAATTAATTTAAGTAAACTGAAATTTCATTAAATTTCTTGAGATTAATTATATAAAGTCAACTTTGTGATGCTTTTTTTTAGGTTAATGTTTAACTGATTTAAAAAATTACTTTAAATTGAGTTTATAGAATAAAAAGATTTTCTACATACTAATTTAGAATATATTGCTTGGGTTATTAAAATATATTGAATATAATTAATGAAAAATATAATTGCAGCCACATTGACGACTTTACTGATTGGTTTTGGTTTCTACCATGTAAATTTAGATTCTGCTTCTGATTTTGAAAGATGGGCTTTAAAACATGGCAAAAGTTATTATGGAGATGAGAAAATTTACAGATAAACAATTTATTATCAAAATAAATAAATGATTGATTAACATAACAAAAGAAATGATATTACTTATTAAATGGCAGAAAATCAATTTATGACTATTACAAATGAAGAATTTATTAGACTTTATTTGAATACTAAATCATCTGAATAATTAAATGATTAAGATAAAGTTAAAAGAAATAATATACATAAATCTTCTGAACCAATCAATAAAGAAAATAAAAAATGGCCAACTGATTGGAGAGGTTTGATAAAAGTTCACAATTAAGGATCTTGTCCTTCTTCTTATGCAATGGCAGCAGTTAGTGTAGTCGAAGCAGCATATGCAATTGAAAAAGGAATATCTTTAACATTATCAGCACAATAAATCATGGATTGTAATTATATGTTTACTGGATGTGATCCTAATTTTGATAGAAATACAGCCTATGAGGCATTATTATACATAAGGTAATATGGATTATATAATGGATACTAATATCCATACACTGGTTAAACATAGAGTTGTTAAATAAATACTGGTGGACCTTGGAAAATTGCGAATTACTGGAGGGGACCTTATAATGATTGGTATCACTTCTAATCAGATCTTGATAAGCATCCTTATGAAGTTGCAGTTGATGCCAGTAAATGGTAATTTTATGGTTCTGGTATATTTTCTGATTGTAGTTCTGCTTCTAGCAATACAAATTATTATGCATTAGCTGTTGGTTATGATTCATCAAATATTTGGTTTGTTCAAGCATCTTTTGGAACTAGTTGGGGAGAATCTGGATGTATAAGACTAGCTCCAGGAAATACTTGTGGTATTTTAAATGATAGTCATGAGGTGGAATTATATTGATTCATTTATCATAAAACCATTAATCATAAAATAAAAATTTCACCCAATCTCCAAATATTAATCAATTCAATAAGAAAGGTCTTTCTAAATAAAATCATATTCATAAAAGGCATCTTTCCTTTATTTCTTTTTGAATTCTGTTTTAATTGCCTTCCTACTAACTTTATATAATAAGCTATGATAATACTATTATGCTATCATTTTTAAATTAATTATTTCATTTATAATTTTGAACCTTAGGCTGTATGTAGAGTCATTCCGTATCCAAAATTTAAAGATATTAAAACAATTAAATGATCAGAAATTTCATTCATTAAAAATTTTAATTTTTAAATTGCATTCAATAAATAATTCATTCCAAAATTCGTTAATATTATCATTATAGTACAAATCTATAGAAAATCTCTTATTATTACTTCTTTGGTTACTTTTGCAAAAATTAAATTTTTATAAAGTCAATTTCTAATTAATCAACTATATTCACCAATATACTATTTTATTTAAGTTTTTTGTTTGTAAAAATTTTTTGATTTATCAAAAATATAGCAAATAAGGAGAGAAATTAATTAATCATTAATTTTATAAATAAAAAAATCTATCAATCCAATTTTTTAACTTTTTGATAATAGTATTGTAAAGTGAAAAACATTTTTGTTAATAAGATGTTATTTGAATTCTACCTCATTATGTCTACAACAAAGTGATATAAATTAAATTAGATATTATTAAAAATATCATAAATGAAAATTCATAACACTTGGTTTGCTTAAGCCACATATTTAGGAATTATTGGTGCATTTTTTTTGCTACTACAAGTTTTACAGTTCCAGAATATAGACTTTATCATAGAGTTGCCAAAGTTTAACATTTTTGAGAATTTCATGATATCAATTTAAATAATTACATAGTTTATTTACTTTTAAGTTTCTGTTAGCACTTTTTATATTTATTCAGCTTATTTTATCAATTTAGAGGCTTAAATCTCTTTTTTTTACTTTTCTAGTACGTCTACAGGAATTAAGAGATATTCATTAAAGTTCATGAATTTTGATCTCATAGTTAATTAAATCAAAATAAACCTTAGAAAGTCCATTTAAAGATGAAATAAACTTCATTTATCTTCTTATTTTAATTCTAATGTAAGTAGCTCTTCTCCTATTAAATGTTCATTTGGAGAGTTTAGAATTTGTTAATTTTAATAAGGTTCTGCTTAAGGTTCTTAAGCCTAAAAATGATTTCTTCTTATGGTCATGTTCTTATTAATTTTCTTATTCTTAATAATTTAGATTTAATTATTTTGTTAATTATTAAGCAATAAAGATTGTCCTACAATAGAAATTGTAAGATTGTCTCTTTCTTAATAAAGTAGAGTAAATAGGTTTTAATATCTTTCTCTTAAGGTTTCATAAGATTTAAAATTAAAATAGCTGACTTTATTTATTTATTTCTATATTTCGTTTTCTTTGGCTTAAGGACTCCACTTCAAAATAGAAATATTTATAGTAAAGACGATTATGTAATATTCTAAGATTAGATATTGAGGTTTATTAAATTGTTTATCAATATTTAATTAAATTCAATACTGTATTCATCTATAGTGTTTTTCCAGGAAAATGTTTATGGATTGTTTTGAATTTTGGACCAAAATTAAGAACTAATCATAAATCAATCTATCTATATCAAGGGACTGACTGTTAACCTACCTTTTTATAATTCATAACTTGATTAATGCATCTAACTTTATAAAATATATTCACACTTTATTTCTTATTAAAATTATCTTTATTTTACAGACCTTTCTTGCTCTTCTTTATGAAATAAAGTTTCTTAAATTATTAATTCATAATCTTATTGTTAATAAAATGGCTATCCTTTATCTGAAATATAATTAACACCAACTTTTATTATTGAAAGAGAAATTAAAATTCTAAATCTCATTCGTGATTTTAACAAAATCTTTATCAGATTATCAGAGATATATGAGAGTAAATATATGTGTTTAATTAGTTAAATATTTATTTATTTTCAAATAAGGTCAAACACTCGCTAGAATTTTCACCATTAATTATCCTAATTTCTAAAACTCACTTCTGCTAATTTTTTTGTCATTATTTGTATCTAAATAACCTAAAATATAGTCTATTTCCTTTTAGGTTGGTAACTAATATTATAAGAAATTAAAACTTAAGAATTAATTTCTTTGGCAAGATTATTTAAAAGTGTAGTTAGTTCATCTATCTCAATAAATCCTGATTTATTTTTATCATATTTTTCAAAAACTCTATTGCAAAATTCTGTCACTTGTAAAGTATTCATCTATTTCCTTTAAATATAAATATATCAACAAATAATTATCAAAATTAAATGATCTTAAATTGTGAGTATCTCGTATTTTATTAGATGATGACTAGTAAATATCCATAAATTTAGTAAAAAAATATATTTAGTGTTTTAGTAATAATTTTTTTTGAGTATAACCATAAAAGCTTAAAATATTTCAACTAATTTATTTATAATAAAAATACTTAAATAAAAGATATTAGATTTGAGAAATTATTAACAAATATGATATTCTAATAAAGGTAACTGCATTATAAGTTTAATTATACTTTACAAATTTCTTATTGTTGTTGTTTTTTACATCATTTTTAAAAGTATTGTTTTGTCACTGCCATATTTTTTCCATAAATTGCAAGAGTAATTAGAAATTAATTATTCAACAGAAGCAGCAGAATTTATTGAAATAAAATTCTAGAAACAATGAGTTAGCATATTAATAAGTTTTCAGATATAAAGAATAATTATAAAATGATATAATAGAATTTTTTAGATTAGAATTGTTGATCAGTTAAAATATATTAATTTATAGTCTAGTCTGGATCATGAAGAAATTAATTAGAATAATAATGAAAAATAGAAGGAGGAAGTTAAATTTTTGAATTAACTCGTAATTTTTTTCTTTAATCAAAATTAATTATAGAAAAAGTAAGATAAACAAACATACAATCATTTGAATTTAAAGTATTTTTTTGATTATACAATAAGAATTTAATAAGATTATTATGAAGAATAAGAAGTTTCAAAATAATATGAATGAAAATTTAATTTTGAAGTATTCAATTACAGAAAAAGAGTAATATATTCGTTTATAAGAAATATATATTTAAATAGTTCTAAAGCAAAAAAAAAAATAGTTATTAATTTTTGAAGAGATCATCTAAAAAAATAAAATATCAATTAATAATAAAAATTTACATAAATAAATTATTTAAGAAAATTTAGAATTAATAAACTAAACAAATTAGTTTATTGATAACTTAATTGATCTTCATTTTAGATGATTTATTCTCATAGATTGCTAACTAGAAATAAAAAATTAATTAAAGATTTTATTAAAATTTAAAATAAAATGTAAATTTTTGTTAAAACCCTGACGGGAAAGACCATCACTCTTGATGTAGAGCCTTCAGATACAATTGATGCTGTTAAAGCTAAGATTTAAGATAAAGAAGGAATTCCACCTGATTAATAAAGATTGATTTTTGCAGGAAAGCAACTAGAAGATGGAAGAACTCTTTCAGATTACAATATTTAAAAAGAATCAACTCTCCATTTGGTATTGAGATTAAGAGGTGGTGGTATGGAACCTACAATTGCTGCAATAGCCAAAAAGTACAACGTTGAAAAAAAAATCTGCAGAGTTTGCTATGCTAGGTATGAAAACTGAAAATATTATTAGATTACCACCAAAAGCCCATAACTGCAGAAAAAGAAAGTGTGGACATTCAAATTAATTAAGAATTAAGAAGAAGCCTAAGGATTGATATAATCATGATTATTATGAATAAGTACAATAATACAATAAATCTGTTTAAGTTCTTGATTTATTACACATCATTTTTTAAGTGAATTACTATGTATAAGAAGGGGGATTATCGATTAATTCGACTACTTTCTATTCATCTTAAATTATTAAAATATTATTTCTCTTTTATTTTAAGATGTTACTGAAAATCATCATCTTTTGACTTTATTCAGTAATATAAATGAATTTTACATTATGTTGCAGTGGTTAGGGAGAAGAGAAAATAGAAATTGTAATGAAAATCTTAATATTCAATAATCAACTCATATGCCTAGTTTGTATATCAGAACTTCTAAATAATTTTATCAAAAATGCTAGTTGGGGTAAAATAACATATTTCATAAAGAATAATGATGAATTTAAGATATTTATTATCTCATTAGACTATAAAAGTTAAAATTCAATATGATATCTATTGATCGTTTATATTAATAAGGGAAAATCTTTAATCTAGTCCCTTAATAGCAAATATCTATAACCAAAAAATTTTGGGGAATTTTATTATTGAAATTAAAAGAATGAGTCTAAAACTATCTCAATCTAAAGAATTTTATCTTTTGCAATAAAAATACAGCAATTTTTATTATTTGAATTAAAAAATATAGATGTGAGTTAGATTGCTCTCTTAATTACATCTTAATTTTGTAAACATGATAGCAAAATTAGTAATTACATAGATTCAATAATATCATACAAAATAATAGATATAGTATTTAATTCTCTAAATAAAAGAAATGAAAATTATATTCTAAACTGAAAAAATTTAATTATTACAATATACATTTAAACTAAAATAAATAGATTTATACCTATTTTAATAGAATAATTCATGATAAATGGATAAGTAAGTGTAGATTAAATTAGTGTATTTCTAATACTTCTAATTTATTATTCATATTTGAACATTTAATTTACTAGAATAAGATTTAAAGCATTTAAATTTGTTAAAATAATAATAAAATTAGAATTAAGAAATTCCACAGTTTAAGGAATGTCATTAATATTATAATTTTTTTGATAGAAGTGATGTAAATTTCTTAGTGAGTAAACAAATTAATTAGAAAATATTGATTAAAGTTAAAAATAGAAAGGACTATACATTTATACTAAGAAATATTTGAATTAATACTAATATTTGTAGAGAATTTATCAAGAATAAGGATTTAGATAAATTTTATTGATGTAGTACTAAAAACAAGATCATTTATTTTTATTATTATTGTTTTATTATTTTTATTTGAACACCAGTATATATTATTTTAAATTAAATTTCAATGTCAAGGAGATACGATTAGAAAACCAATACTTTCACACCTGATGGCAGATTGAAATAAGTAGAATATGCAATTGAAGCTATCAATTAAACTGGATCAGCCCTAGGCATTTTAACAAATGAAGGAATGATTTTAGCCACAGAGAAATAAGAAGTGTCACATTTATTAGAACATTCAAAGCACTCTGAAAAGATTTATCCTATTGATAGACACATATTTTCTGTTGTTTCAGGTCATACAGCTGATGCAAATATTTTAATAAATTATGCAAGAGAGGCAGCAGCAAATCATAGGTAATANGCAAATATCTATAACCAAAAAATTTTGGGGAATTTTATTATTGAAATTAAAAGAATGAGTCTAAAACTATCTCAATCTAAAGAATTTTATCTTTTGCAATAAAAATACAGCAATTTTTATTATTTGAATTAAAAAATATAGATGTGAGTTAGATTGCTCTCTTAATTACATCTTAATTTTGTAAACATGATAGCAAAATTAGTAATTACATAGATTCAATAATATCATACAAAATAATAGATATAGTATTTAATTCTCTAAATAAAAGAAATGAAAATTATATTCTAAACTGAAAAAATTTAATTATTACAATATACATTTAAACTAAAATAAATAGATTTATACCTATTTTAATAGAATAATTCATGATAAATGGATAAGTAAGTGTAGATTAAATTAGTGTATTTCTAATACTTCTAATTTATTATTCATATTTGAACATTTAATTTACTAGAATAAGATTTAAAGCATTTAAATTTGTTAAAATAATAATAAAATTAGAATTAAGAAATTCCACAGTTTAAGGAATGTCATTAATATTATAATTTTTTTGATAGAAGTGATGTAAATTTCTTAGTGAGTAAACAAATTAATTAGAAAATATTGATTAAAGTTAAAAATAGAAAGGACTATACATTTATACTAAGAAATATTTGAATTAATACTAATATTTGTAGAGAATTTATCAAGAATAAGGATTTAGATAAATTTTATTGATGTAGTACTAAAAACAAGATCATTTATTTTTATTATTATTGTTTTATTATTTTTATTTGAACACCAGTATATATTATTTTAAATTAAATTTCAATGTCAAGGAGATACGATTAGAAAACCAATACTTTCACACCTGATGGCAGATTGAAATAAGTAGAATATGCAATTGAAGCTATCAATTAAACTGGATCAGCCCTAGGCATTTTAACAAATGAAGGAATGATTTTAGCCACAGAGAAATAAGAAGTGTCACATTTATTAGAACATTCAAAGCACTCTGAAAAGATTTATCCTATTGATAGACACATATTTTCTGTTGTTTCAGGTCATACAGCTGATGCAAATATTTTAATAAATTATGCAAGAGAGGCAGCAGCAAATCATAGGTAATAAACATAAGTTATAATATAGATATTAGTTTTAAGATAATATTGGATTAGAATAATTAATTATAAATATTTGTGATTACAAATAAAACAAGACTTAAGTTGGTGGATAAAGGCCTTTTGGTACAGCATTTCTTTTTGCTGGTTATGACAAAGAAAATGGTTTCTAATTATTTAGCACTGATCCATCAGGAAATTATGCTGGATGGAAGGCTACAGCAATTGGCAAAAATAATTTAGCAGCAAATAGTTATTTGAAATAAGATTATAAGGATAATTTAACATTAGAACAAGTTTTATAATTATTTATTATTATAGGGATTAGACATAGCAATTAAAGCACTTGTAAAAACTATGGATACATCATCACCATAACCATCCAAAATTGAGATTGTTGTCATTAGCAAATAAGGCAAAGAAGTAAAAAGCAAAACTTATAATGAAAAAGAAGTTTTAACTTTACTTCAAAAAAATGGATTTAGTAATGAGCAAATGTAGCAAGAGTGACATATTATTCAAAAAAGAAATAAATTATTTGTTCATTAGATATATTACATTTTATAATTTATATTCCTTTGACTTCCAATTATTAAAACTTTAATAATATGTATCAATTAAATTAAGAATTAAAGAAATAAATATAGAAATATTGATATTATAACTTTAAAGAAATTCCAATTATTTGATTCAAACAGTCTTTAATAAAGATCTACTATTTTTGATTTGATTTCAATATTAAATATAAAATTCAGTTTTGTCTCCTAAATCAAATAAATATGATATACTCATAATGTTGCCATATTTTCAATTAATTATCACAAAATTAATTAATCAAGTTAGGTAACAGATGAATCTCAACATTTTTTAAATAAGGATTCGAATATTATTCAATCTACAATCTTACTTATTCATATATTTTACTATAAAATTATAATAAACAATATATCATTATATAATATTAAAAAATTGTTAAATTAGACTTTCAAAATCCATAAATGATCATATAAAAATTGAGAATATATAAATAAAGAATGATTTATTCTATTTAAAAATTATTAATAAATTTTTAATGCTTGAAATGTCTAAAGTTGATTAGATACTCATAAAATTAATATTTTAATAATCTATTTAACAACATTTTATTAAAAAATTCCATATATAGATTCTTGATATCATTTTAGATCAATATTAAGTGATCAAAAATTACAAAAGTTTGAGAGTTTGAAACTTTAAATAATTTGATTAACTTTCTTTGATAGTTAATAAAAAGGAAAAAAGTATATATAACATATTCAGAAGAATTTGTTATAATAATAAAATTCAAATTTTAACAATATAATTAATTTAATGTCTTTAGCTAGAACAAGTTAAAGTTCAAAACATCAAAGGAAAAGTGAGAGTAGATTTCAATAGTAGATAAAAGCTTTAGTTTAGAATATAAATAATCCTCCTTAAAATTTAACAAAAAAATGGATAAAAGAGAAGGAAAATGAATAAAAATAATTATTTGAAGAAGTTAAATAAAGTGAATTTGCTGGAAGAACTGCGACTCTTACACAATTAACAGAGCTTGCTAGAAAAATTGCGAAAATGAGAAAAAATTTAAAAAGTGTTGCAGATGATCGTATGAGAACTCCAGCATCAGATAAAAAGAGTAGAAAATCAAATAAATCAGGAAAATCTGTAAAAAGTTAAAGTAGAAAGACTTTAAGCAAATTATCTTAATCAAGAGGTTAATTGAAAAGTATGGAATAGAGTAGAAGTAAATCATCAAAAAAAAGCGCAAAAGGATTAAAATCATCAAAAACACAACAAACTCCATAATTCACAAAAAAAGCTTTTGAAAATAAATTAGGTAGTTTTTCAAAGGTTGTATAAAAAGAAAACTAAAGACCAAATGTAAGAATAACTGAATCAAGAACTTCAAAACGTGTTGCAGATCGTAGCATAAGGTAAAATTAAAAATTATTATTAAGTAAATCTAAATCGTCTCGTTATTCATCTAAAAAAAAGAGTAACAATAGAGAAGTATATGGTTCGTATTATGATGATGGAAGTTCAATAACAGAATCTAGTGATTCAAAAGAAATGATTAATTTGAAAGTGAATCCTAAAACAACCTTATCAAAATATGAAACTTTAGTGGATAGTGAAAGAAAAGGATAAGATAATGAAATAGGTTAGTTAAGTAGAGAGGAAAATCTAATGATTACAACAAAATTAGAATCAATTTCTAAAGAAAAGCTCTTAAGAGAATATCGTGTTTTATATTATAGAAGTAAAGAAGTTAGAAAACTATTAACTGAATATTATGAGTAGAACTTAACACTTAGTGAAGAATTAAATGAGTTAAAGTAAATGTTATGCGAAAAATAATTAGAAATTAAATAGTTAAAGAAAGATTTAAAGTCTTAAACTAAAGAACTAAAGTGTATGTAAGCTGAATATAGCACAAAATTAGATTAATTAGGAAAATCTTATTAATAATAAGAAATCAATTCTGTACCTCTAGAGGATTATGATAGAATAAAATAAGAAAATGAAAAGCTTTTAATTGAGAATGAAATGATAAATGATGATTATTAAGTTATAACTTAAAAATTACAATAAATTGAGAATGAAATTTATTAAAAGAGATAATATGAACATCCTGATTAAGATATATCACAAAGACTTTAAAGAGATATTGATTCTTATAAGGATTAGATAGAAAAGATAAGAGAAGAAAACATTAAGCTTAAATTATAATTAGACAAAGAAATGCTAAATAATAGAGAATTAGCTTAATAAATAAATTTTAAGAAAAGTGAGATAGATGGAACAGTTGAGTTGAAATAATAAGAATTAACTTAGACAAAAGCACATTTATAGGCTGCAAATTAAAAAGTCTAAAAGTTAGAATAATAGATTAATCAGATGAAATATTAAATAATAGGAGATCAAGAGTCATCCTTCTAGGTTAAAGAGAAAATATAAAGATAAGAAGAAGAATTAAGAATAGCAAATATGAAAGTTGAGAATAGAGAAAAAGAACTTAATGAATAAAAATAAAAGGAATTGACTTTAAAAAAGAAAATAGTTGAACTAGAATAAAAAGTTGATAATTAATCTTCAACATCTTAAACTTATTTTGAACCAAATTTTTCTATTAATAAATCAAATAATGCAGAATAATGTATTAATTTTATTTAATTATAGTTATAAGTAAAGAATTGTAATTAGAAAGACAATTTTTAGCAAAAACTTAAGAATAGTTATTAAGTATTCAAGTAGAAAATGAATAATTAAAACGAAATTTGAAATAGTTAGAATTAGAATTATCTTTTGAGAAATAATCAAATGAATAAATTAAGGCTAGATTAGCATAATTATAGCAGGAAAAAGATATCACAATTTAAAGAGTTTAAAAGTAATTTGAGGATACAGAAAATAACAGATTGAAAGAATTACTTATTTCTGAATAATCATAAAAAAATTAAGAAAATATGTTATATAGTGCTTAATAAAGAATAAATGAATTAGAAAGTGAATTAAGAATATTGAATAAGTAAGAATAAGAATTGAAAAATTAAATTAATGATTAAAAAATATAATATGAAAGACTATAAATAAAAATGGAATAAAATGAAATAAAATTAGCAGATTTAAATGATTAAATTTATTAAGTTGAATCTGAAAATTTACATTTAAATGAAACCAATAAGTAACTCAGAATCTAACTTCAATAATTAAATAGGGAAGTTGATTAGATTGATAGAATAAAAGATAATTATAAAGTCAAATATTTAAGTAATCGATAAGAAAATAAAAAATAAATTCATTAATATCCAGAAGTATTAATTAACTAATATTTAGAAAGAAAATATGATGAGATAAACATATACAAATGAAGTTGAGAGAATAAGAAGTGAAAAAGAATAATTAGAAAGATTAAAAAGTTAAGAAGAATAATAACGTATTTAAAGAGATAAAAAACTACAAGTTATCAATGATTTACAATAAATGATTAAAGTAAACAAAAAATCATTTGATAAATGAATTAATTTTATTTTATTTTAAATTTGGATTAAAATTTAAATCTATGTATAAATCATAATTGTTTCATGGTTTATGTAATCCTTTTCTACATCCTTAATTACAATCTCGACATTAATTACAACAAGTGAAATATTCATCTCCTCCACAAGTTTTACAAGAAAAATATTTAAGTTAGCCAGAATGAAATATACATGTCTAAACTATTAAATTGTTATACTTCCTCATTGTATCCCTCTTTAAGAATTGTATTACAACGAATACAATTCCAAAATGAACCAGATTATTTGAGTTCTTTTGTTTCATCTTCAATTTCTAATATCAACATTTTAAGCTTTATAATTAATGTTTCATCGTTCTGTAATATCAACAAAAGATCTTCTCCAAATTATTTTTTTTTTGGATTCAAAAATTGAAGTTTGTTGTATATTGGATTTGTAGTGATATTCATTTCGAATGAGTGATCTTTGACTTTGATTAAATCTATTAAAGAAGAAAGTCTTTAGAGAATTTTAGTTTTTTATTTTATAAAATATTCCCAATCATCATTATCTATTCTTAATAATCTTTCCTCTTTTTTAAATGTGTATATTTTTTAACTAACTTAATGTATTTTTTCAGAAACTAGAGAAAACATTTTCGTTAATTTTTATTGTTCCAATTAAGTTATTTCTAAATTAAGACAATCAAGTTTTACCAAGAGTTTTTTAACATTATTAAATTATCTATTTGTTAAGAAATAGATCTTAGTATTATTGTTGTTATTTGCTTTTTTTATTTTCTTATTTCATTTAATTATTTTCAACTAAAAAGAACAAAATATTATTTAATAATTTCTAATGAAAAATACAGATCTTCAATCACAAAATTAAGTAGGTTGGCTTTTAAACTTAGTGGGGAAATTTTCTACAAAAGACTTATAAAGTTAAAATTTAAAGGAGATTGGAGAAGAATATATGAAAAAAATTTAATTGAATGCTTAGCTATTATCAGGATTTATATTTTCCTATGATATTTATAAACAAGAGTTTTAAGAAAAATTATTTCACATATATCCAAACATACTTATTTGTCAATCAGATAAAATATATACACATTTGATTTTAAGTAATTGCACAATAAAAAAAGAATTAATATAATATAAAGAGGCTAAAACATATGGGTTTATCATTTCTAATAATTTTGGGAATACTTATTTGTTCTTTTCATAATTTATTTAATATAGAAATTGGTATAAATTGATGAAATAATATTGCAAATTAAATGATTTTTTTGGTAAATATAAATTGACTGAACGAATGCTTCCAGGAGTTTATTAATGTTATAAAAAAACTGTAAAATATTGTTTTGATTATAGAACAATGTTTAATTTACAGCTTAAATATATAAAATGGAAGATTTTGATTTATGTCCTGAAATAGAAGAAATTGTTCATAATGAAATATAAATGTTAAGATCTGTTAAACATCAAAATCTATTATAATTAAGAAGAGTGTATGAAGATGATTCATACTTATTTATTTTATATGAACATTTTAAAGGTGAATCTCTTTATAACTTAATATTAAAAAATCAATTACACGAAGTCTAAATTGCATCAGTATATACTTTTTATTATAATATAGATGATTTACTAGATATTATAAACCTTAAAATTTCTAGATAAACATTAGTTTTATCATGGAAATTTGAACCCTCTAAATATAATTATCAACTCTAATAATCAATTGTTATAAATAATACTTATTAATTTATCTTTTAAAGTAAATTTTTTAATTATAATTATAGTAATATAAAATAAATGATAAATTAGATTGGATTTTGAACAGATAAGTAGAAGGATTCATAGCTCCAGAATTTTATTTAGGATTCCCTCCTAATATTACATCAGATTTGTATAGCTTAGGAGTATTATTATATTTTATGGCATTTCCAAAATAATTACCTAATGAATAACACTTTGAAAAATTTGATATAGATATGAACAAAATAAAAAAATTGCATGAAATAAAAACTTAATAATAATCAATTGATTAACTATCATGTTTGGATTAACTAATTGAAAAAAATATAAGTCTAAGTGAATTAGATTTATTGGTAAAATTGCTAGAATAAAATCCTAGTATTATATCTATAAATAATAGGTAAGAGAATTTAAATATCTGATTGTATGATGCACCATTGGTTTGTAAATATTAAGTGTAAAATAAAATAATTGAATGTTGTAAAAAAAAAGAAAGTTATTCTTCCATCTCTTAAAACTATAATTGAATTGAGATCTTAAAGCGAATTAGAGATAAAAATTTAATCATAATTATCTAATAATAATAGAAGATAATCAAGATTGACAATGAATCAAGGAGAAGATTTTGATTTAGGTAAAGTATGAAAATATTTAAGTTAGTTCCTGATGAAGGACACCCTTTATAATAAATTGCAGAATTAGATTTTTGTTAATTATTAAGAAATAGTAACTAGTCTAGAAAAATATGATTTTGAGTAACAAATAAATAATGTGAGTATTCATATTGAAAAACCATAAATCACTATTTTAGATTATCTTCCTTTTTGTATTTTTTAATATAGATATATATTTAAAATGGCATTATATTATTGTTATAAAATATCAATAAATAAAAATAAATCTTAGTGTCTTAAATTATTCTACTAAACAAAAGAGAATAAGGGGATATATTTATTTTTATTAATTTAATTTAAATTGAATATATAGTTTGTTGTAAATAAAAAGTTAGCAACTCAACTGAGATTTAGAATTTCTTTTTCTATTTATTATATATCATTTATTAACTTTTTTTAATAATCTGATAGGTTCTCTTTTGAGTTTGTTTTTAATTTTTTCTTTTATAGTTTTAAATCAATTGATATAACCTTTACTGATTCCTTTGTCTGTTTATGTTGTTTACTATTTTTTGTATTGAAATGCACTTCATAGTTGCTGTTCTAGATTTAAAATACTTGAATATTATTAATAGGTTCTTCAATTAACCTTTAAGTGGAGGCTTCAGTGTATTTGATATTTAGAAGTCTAAAAGGAGAACATTAGACATTAAATGCAGTGTTTTGAATCTTTGTGAGTGCTAACCGTTAACTATTATTACTAATTTACATATAAATTAATTAATAACTATCATTCATGAGCTAATTATTCTAAATCATCTGCATAATTTAATTCGAAACATTAAAATTGCCTAGAAGATAGACATGGTGTGTCTCTGCTTTCTGTTTAATTTAACTTATTTATCATTTCCTCTAATGTTTTTAGAGTTATAGGTTTAATATAGACTTCTTTCATTCCAGCGTCAGTTAAATTGATTAAATCATCTTCTCCAGAAAATCCAGTCAATCCAAAAATAGGAATTTAGATTCTTGATTAATCTTTAAATAAAAACTTTATTTTTTAAGTCGCTTCTTATCCATTCATTATTGGCATTTGATAATCCATAATAATTGCCTTAAAGCCTTAACATTTATGTTCATCAAATAAAGAAATACTAGTTTCAATTAGATGAACACATTATTTTCCATTATCAGCTTTTATTGATTGATATCCTAATTATTTAAGTAAAGATTCCAAAACTAATAAATTATATGGTTCATCATCAACAATTACAATTTTTTATTCACAAGTACAACCAGAACTCTTAAACAAACTCCCTTCCATATTTCTATAAAAACTAGATATATTATTATTAGAGATCATTTGCACACTTCCTTTTTTATTAGTCATATTCATATTATTTAATGAAGATTTTTTTGTTTTATTAATCATATTTGTTCTACTGCTATTTTCTGGATCTGTCCAAATATTAAACTTAAAAGATTGGCTCTCAATATCTAGAATCTTCCCTTCTAATTCAATCTAAGAACCTTCTTTATTATATAAATCACTAGGCATGAATCCTTCTGTTAATTGTGTAATTCTACATTTCACATGAATACAAACTGTAGTTCCTTAATCTTCTACTGAATCTATTGTTATGTAATTATCTTCTTCTTTTCCACTAATATACTTTATTAATGCATTTGATGCTCTCAATCCTAACATCATACCTGAAGCAGAATCTCTATCTAAATCTTAGAATGATTTCTCCTCATTTTTTAACAAATTTTATATTGCTTCTAATTTCTATTGATCTATTCCCATTCCACTATCTCGAATTTCGATTATATAGTATTCATATATATGAGTATTTGTTTATTATGGTTATGCATTTGAAAATGAACTTGGAGGATTTATAAATTATTATTTAAATATAGTGTTTTTTCTTAAAGGAAAATGAAATGAGCTCTCATTTAAATCTTGAGAACTTCTATATAATTGAGAACCTAAAGAAGGTTATAGAGTTTTCTTCTCAATTTCTTTATTATGGATTATCTTATCCTTTTCTTAAATGCCCTTTGTAATTGTAATATAGATTTATCCAGTTTTATTATTAAATTTTATACTATTCGAAATTATATGGATCAAAATACTTTAAAATTTCTCATAATCCAAATTTTCATTTTATACTTAATTTATTTGTTTCTAAAATATTATTCTAATGTTTTTCATTTCAGCCTCTTCCTAAAATAAATCTATTGCTTCTTATATAACTGATAACAATTTGCATTTCTCTATTTTTGTTACCAACTTCTTTTCTCTTATTAGATTATAATTTATTATTGAACTAATTATCAGATTTTAAATCCTACAATTATTAAATGCAGCTCTTAATAACTTATTTGTTTCTTTATCATAATTTAAGCTATTACATTAAATTACTTACAAGAAACCTTAAATCACATTTAATCTAGTTCTTAATTCATGAGAGATGGAACGAATTACCTAACTTTTGAATTAATTAAGCTTCTTGTAATAAGAAGATTTAAAATTTGGAGATACATCATAAAGATTTAAAAGAATTGCATTTTTATTTAATCCATATTGTAATTTAGTTTTAATTCTAGCCTCTACTATAATAGGATATTCATTTCCATAATTCTAATTTTCATATTAACATCTTAATGTATATATACATCCATATGTTTATTTTTCTAAGTTCTTAATCAACTTTAAGGCTTGATTTAAATTTATTTAGTTTTAATCAGTAGATTCAAATTTAGAATCAAGTCTATCTATACTATTTGAATTAAATTATTCCTTAACCTCTGATTATGGTAAAGTAAGATTCTCAAAAAATGACACTATTTCACTAGAAGCTGAGCTTAAAATAGATTCTTATGAGGGAAATCCTTATTTATTTGCAAGATTAATAGATTTTGTACCTGAAAGACCTCCAAAATTCAAAGAATTTATTAATCTTTTAGTAAAATTATTGGTAAATAGAACATCTTAGCAATTCTAATCTAATACACAAACAGCACTTGGAATGCTTTTCAGAGTTTGATCAGTAAATTATGAAACTTTGCTCAAATTTATTAATTGCTAATCCCAGAGGTACAATATCAAAATTATAAAAAATAAGATATTAATGGATTGTAAAGTCTTAAAATGGAAAGTGATCCCTCTAGCAAAATAATAAAGATAAGATTTTAATAATATCATAATTCTTAATTTTATTGTTCTAACTATTACCAAAACAAGTAATAAGTTTATAAACAACTAACAAATTGTTAATTCTCTATTCTCTATCTCATTAGTTAGATAAACTTCGATCAAAAACATCTAAAATGATGTTTCTATCAGAATAAATGTAAATATGATAAGTCTCAATTTATAAGATTCCCTTATATAATGAATAATTCTTTCAACAACACCTACATATAAAACTATAGCAACAAGTTATATATAAAAATAAAAAGTTGTGTAAGGCTTATTAAAAGTGGAGAAATATAAGGAGTTGTAAATAATTATGTATATAATTCCAATTATAGCATAAAATTTCACCAAAGTAATAAAAGTTGGCCATATTTTTTAAAGTATCAATTAATTATGTTAAGCACTGTATCTCTCATTTCGATAATCATCTAATGTTGTTGATATTAAGTCTTTTAATTTTTTTATATACATATTAAAAATTATTCATTCAAACTTGTTAGCTTGTTGCAAATAACAAAATTATTGTTTTCAAAATATTATTTATAATAGAGATAGACAATTATTAAGTTATGAAGATTTTTGTATATAAAGATGTTTTAAACAAGAAAGTTTAATATTTATACATTATTATAATATTATTCCTTCAATCATAATAGACTCTTCCAGTCATCATATTATAGAAATTTTCAAAGGTTACAAAACCATCATCATCAAGATCAGCTTTTCTAAATATTTTTTTTATTTCCTCATCATTTAAATCATCTCCTAGATCAACTGAGACTCTTTTCAATTCATCCCAAGTAATTCTACCTATACTCACTCAATAAGATATACCTTCACGATTTAGATCAAACAAATTAAAAGTTCTCATTAAAGAACTTCTTGTCTCTTTTAAGTTTTATTTAACTGTAGCCAATTTAATAAAATTATCAAATGAAAATCCTCCTTAATTGTCTTGATCAATTTCTCCTAAAACCTAATAAATCATTTTATTTTGAGCTCTGAGTCCTAATTCTTCAAAAGCCCCCTTTAATTCAGATGGATCAATTGTACCACTTCCATCATCATCAAATAAATCAAAAGCTTTCTAAATATAGATAAATTTCTATAATTATTAACCTTTAATTCAATAACTTCATCTCGACTTAAATTTTATCTCACATATATATCTGGATTGAATTATTTATCCTCTTAAACTGGTTTTTATGGAGGAGGAGGTGGTGGAGGAGGCTATTAAACATTCTTCGATTCTTTTTTTGATTGTTAACGAGGATTTGATCTCATTTATTAGATTTATATAAAAATATATAATGATAATTCAAATTAAATAATTTTATTCATTCTTCATATACAATAATATATATATTCTCTCTATTAATTCAGAATTCTAAATTTTAATACTGTCTTTTTTAATTGAATTTTAAGTGTAAATTTGAAAATTTAATTTTTTAATCCTAATTACTGGCATCATATCCTTCTTCACCTTCTTTTCATTATATATTTTTACTTCTTTCTTATATTTTTAACACTTTGATTATTTTATAGTTGCTTTATTTTTATTTTATTCATCCTCTAGTTTATACATTATCTTTATTTAAAAGATACTAAATTTATTAAAATATAAATTACCACAACTCCTCTTTCTATCTTGGATTAAAGTTTCACATTCGAATCAATTATTAATAATTTAAGTTTGATTGATCTAAATACGTGATTGATATTGATCTTAACTTCTTTAATTGTATAATTTATTGAAAATTAAGATTCCTATTCGATTCCTTAATTTAAGAGCAAGTTTTTGATTCATTTAAATAATTAAGATTTTCCTGAGCTAACATTTACTCTGAAATGTTTTAATTTAAAGCAATCCTATATTTAATAAAAAAAATTATGAAACTATATAGTTTCATAAGTTTTCTATGCTGCAAAATTATTTAAATGATTATATATTCTAGTATTAAATTAAGAAATAGTACAGTATTTAATGAAAATAGACCTAAATAATTTAAGTAAATATATAATTATGTTTAAGTTATAAAAGATATTAATCTTAAATCATATAATATATTAAATAATAAATAAATAATCATTACAAAATCTTCAATCACTACTTGAAGATGTGTTGATTTATAATAATAATTTAGTTTTCCAAAGCTGAAAACATTGTTGCAATTAAATTTCTTATATCAAATTATTTGTTAAGTTTTGAAAAGATTTTAATCTTAACTAATTTTAAGTAGGTTAATAAAATGAAGTCTTAGATTTGAAATCTCTTCTAATTTAGTCAACACTTCTACTTTCATGAATAAATTGACATCTAGCTCCATTCAGATCAGTAAAGGAATATCTGTTGATATTTTTAATAGTCTTTTCAGCCCATTTGGGTTACTTAGGTGTATAATTATTCATATCAACATTCAGAACTACGTCTATATTTTAATAATATTTGATAATGAAAACCTTTCAGAATTAATCTATTAATCTTTCTTATGAATTGAGCTTCTCTGCTTACAAGTTCTCTACTTAATTGTATCCTGCATGAACAATAAGTTGAATCTTAATCAGAAAAGAAATAATATATAATAATAATAATTTTGTATTAAAATTAGTACTATTTGGTATAAGAATGTTATAAAGTAGTCTTCAAAATGATTTTTTTTTTAATATTTTTTATTTATAATATATTTAATAGTAAGTAATATTACTCATTTTATTTTAAGCTTGAATCTATTAGTTCTATCTGAGAGAATATCCCTTGTTGTTTTTTCTTCTTAAACCATTGTACTTAGAAAAGGATTCGAAAATCTTTTGGATTCAGGAATTTTATGAATTTCTATCTTATTAATTATTTATTATGAATTATTGCGTCCATGTTTAAGATCAAAGTATATTGGACTCTAAACTCTTTCAGTTTAACAACTTTAATCTGCAGTTTAGGGTTGTATTTATGAAATTATAGAACTCTTATTGCTCAAATCACAAAATCTTACTTCTGATCCTCTATATGTAAATGATTTATCTTAATTTTCTTTTTCAACAATGAGTCCTTTGATTTAATTTATTATTATTTTCTATTTTCTCATATTTGATGCTATTTATTACTCTACATTTTAAACAATAACTTTAGTTTCCTACTCTTTTTATACATTTTAATATAAAGTATTTAAGTTTTTATGTAATCCATTATTAATAACAAAATAACTATTCAATTACTATTCAAGATTTTAGATTTCAATTGATATTGATCTTTTAGGTTATTCAATTTAAATCTAAGTTATAGCCTAAGTCAATTGAGTTTTGATAGCACATGCTTATTGAGCATATTTCAAAGTATTTTCAGTTTCTTCACTAAATTATTTACTTATACATGCAATAAATAGAGTCATAGAATTACCACTTAGAGATTATTTTAATATTCTTGTTAATTTAGAATTTCTATAAGGAATGTGTGATTTACATTAATTTAACATCATAATACATTATCCTAATGCCAATAGAGATTTATTAATATTTTAACCTTCTTATTAAATCTTCTATGTTCCTCCATTTTTATAATTATAACATCTTTCACTACCTGCCAAATCTGCTAATATTAATTTACCATCATATTTAATATTTTATTTTTCATCATAATTCACTACTTATATCTATACTATAGCATGTGATCTAGAAGAATATTAATTACTAGCAGTAGAAGCTAATTATCTTCGTTTTTATGCTTATTATATTAATTAAATAAGATGATCTTCATCAACTATGCATTATTATGATAAACCTGGAATTTAAGTGTCTCCATTTTTATCTTCTTAAACCTATAGATTTTATGCGTTTTATTCTAACAAATCAATAATCTGTTCATTATATATTTCATAAAAACTAATTTTTATAAATCCATTTTTCTTTAGCTAAAAAAGTTCTTTAACTGCTTAATATACTATGCCATAATGATCCTTTAATTTATTATTTTATTACATGTGAGTTCCCAAACATTGTATGAGTTTTCCCAGATCCTGTCATACCATAACATAAAACTGTCATATTGAAACCTTCAAATATTTTGCTTATAAATTTTGATAAAGTCTACTAAATTATACAATAATACTCCTTCATAAACTGATAAATTGGAATCATTTTCAGTAAATATTTTCTGAAAACTCATTTCTCTGTTTGATATTCTAAGCTAATTATGTAAATTTAATAGTTACGATATTTTCATTAACAACTTCAATTGTATTACTAGAATCTTAATGGGAGCGTATACGAACAAAAACCTAAAAAGGTTGGTTGATTTTCATATAAAATTTATTTAACGTATATATATAATATAATATTTATATAATTAATACTTAATATAAGAAAATTGCAAGTACGTTCACCTTCATATACCTTTAAATTATATTCTTAAACAATCTAATAATATTGATTACAATGAAACATAACTATTTAAATATGATTATATAATAGTTAAATCATAAAGAATCTATATCAAAACAACTATGCAATAATTCTCTCCTCCTTCTTTTTCATTATTAAATTTGTATCCTATTTTTGTTTCTATTATCTTTCATTTTAATAGCTTTCTAACGGTTTTTCTAAGAGTTCACTTTTATGTTTTTATTAAAGACATTTACAAAATAAGTAAAATCTTTCTTTGTCATTTAATTTCTTTTAAAGGAAATCTAAATCAGATAATAATAGAAATAAGCAATCAATATGTAATACTGCTTTTTCAATTTAATCTAACTTAAGAGTTGCAGCAAATTAGAAGTTCAGATTCTTATCTTTAGCAAGTAGTTATTGAATAAATTAATAAATTCTAATTTCTATCTTTTAAGGATCAATCATTTTTGATATACATTAAATTAAAAATTAACATAGAAGTAATTTCTATTTATTATTATTAATAAAATTACTAAATGTTATAATATTGATTATTTTGCAGTTCTTTCAATATGGCTTAATATGACATTTAAAGATTCTAAAATTAACCTAATATTCAATTTTAATAATATTACATATTATAATTTGGATCTAATAATGAAGAGTAATCAATAAAAAATACTTTAAAGAAATCTGGATAATCTAGAAATAGATTTTAATTCATTTTGATTTCTTTATTAATAGCATTTTCAATTATGAAATTACTTGTGTGTCTTTTTACTAAAGAGAATAATGCTTTAATAAGAAGTGGTTAATTAAAATTTAGATTATTGACAATGAATTCTTGATTATCAAGTTTAATCATTTTTTGATTGACTAAAGAAGTGAATCTACCCCAAATTTTATCATTAAAACTTTTAGTTTAAGTCCATTTCTCAAAAAATATATATTCTTCTTTAAATTAAATTTCTTCTGGAGCTTTTAAGATTCCTAAATTAAGAATTGTGTCATTTGAAAAGTTCAATTATATTAATATATCAACAATTCTTTTCTTATCATCACATTCCAATAAATAATTAAGTAATATTTCTATACCTTTATTAATTGTTTATGATCTTTTAATAGTAATAGCAATTAATTTTGTATCAAAATTACATAAATCTTCAAATTTTGGATTGATTCTTAAATGATAAGATATTAATAGGCTTAATTTAGGATAATATTATAATATTAAATCAAGTTCATATTATTATATTTATTCATCAAACATGAGTGAAAGAGACAAAACTTCTTTTTTAGTTTAATAATTCATTAATACTATATCTAATGATGAATTAAGAAATTAAGTATTTTATGTATTAAAGATTAAGTTAAGAAGTGGTAATTTTATTTATGGATTTATTAAAAATGACATAAGTTAGAAAGGAAACAAATTAGGATCACTTCTACTTAAAAATTGTTGAGCTTCAATTTATGAGATTTCCTTTCTAAGATACCATAACAAAACTATTTCTGAATATAGTTAATCAGGTGTTTAGAGTAATATAAAATTGGAAACATTATGAGATAATAATCTTCCTTATAAAAATTCCTTTAGAATAACAAGTTTAGTTTTTTGTTGTTCAAAATTTTGAATTAATGATAGTGTTTTGTGATGGAATCCTCTATTTGGACAAATAATTGTATAATTATTCATAATATAAAAATAAATATTAAATGAGTTCAAGGTAAATAAACAAATTAAATCTGATTTGAATCAACTTCAATTGATTAGTTTTTAAATTCTATAATAACTTTTGATGATTTAGTAGTTTTAAGTATACTTTATTCTGATTTTGTTAATTAACTGAATTTAGGAAAATGTAAATTGCCAATATTTGTGAGATATCCATAGAGTGATATTAATAATTTACGATGAATTGTATTTTCATATGAAAAAAGTGCTCTTTAATATTTAAGTAATAGATATATTAGATTTCTTGATTAATTGATTTTAAAAACTCTAGGTGATTAACGTTTTACTATAGTTTCTACATTTGTATCAGTATATTGATATAAATTCAAATCACCATCTTAATTTAATCTAGGTTTAAATGAAATTCCTAAAATTTACTATTTATATGAATGTTAATTGTACCTAAAATATTTCACATGCTTAAGCCATAAATGCAGGAATGAGTAAAAATTAACACACTAAAATATAAAACATAATAATAAAAGCAGCAAAAAAATGACCTTTTTATACAAATCCTTTAGATAAACTACCATCCCAATCATCTAAAGTTAGAGTTTACAAATAAATAAGTAATGTATCTAATAAATTTATTGATTCAAATGAATGATATGAAGATTTAATTATTCCCATAACAATCAATGTTAAAATAAGCATAAGGATATATGGAGAAAGGGAAGATGATAGAACTCTAATGGCAATATAACTAATATCTCTAATACTTGGATTTGTTAAGATTTTAAACATTATAAGGATTGGACTGTATTTAATTTATTGAGTAGTTATCAATTCTAAAAGTGAATAACAAAAAGCAATTGGTCCTGAAAGTACATGAAATGTAAGTTAAATGTTTGAATAATATGAATTATATGCTTCAATATCTTTCAAAACTATTACTGCAATCCAATGTAATGTATAAATGAGTGATACAAATATATGAAAGCAAATATAATGAAAATCATTAATACTATTAAGTTTATTCTACATATTTGCATAAAATAATTGAATTATCCACACAAGAAGAACAATTCTTGATTATTATTTTCCAAATATAATTGAATAATATTTTTAAGGTAATAAATTTTATGATCTACGAGATATAGATTATTCATCAATATCTACTTTGCCTTATTTAACTAATTCATCTAATATCATAACATCAATTTAAAATGCTTAAATTAAAAACCAAAAAAACATTGCCAAAATAGTTATAAAAGAGAATATTAAGACTATTACTGAGATACCAGTTTTTGGTAATAATTATTTAGTTATATCACCCCATCCATCTATAGTTAATATCTATAATAAAGTAAATGCACTAACTCCTATATTCTTAAAATAATGTCTATTAACATCACAATATAGAATAGTACATAAATATGTAAATACAAAATAAATTACTATTGATGTGAATATTAAAGGTAAACTATTTACAAAAGTATTATAAATATCGGATAAATTTTACTTTTAAAAATTAGTTGCAAACAATTTTAACGATTTTAATATTATTGAAAACCAGCAAAATTAATGAAATTACATGAAATATGCAACATTCAAAAATAATTAAACTGGACCACTTAGCAAATGCAAAATTATATTTATATGAAAATCACTCTCCATCTTCTTAACTCTTAATAATTTAAGATATTTATTTACTTGTAATAACTATCATATATATAATAAAGACTTGTTATGAAATCTACTAATAGTCCAATATACTTTTTATAATCATGTTATCTAGGAGAAAGCATATGTTCCAAATGAAGACTAATATTTATTATATAAGTGCCTATCATAATAAATAATAGTGTTTCATTTTCCCCTCTTAATCTATATTTAGATGATAATGCTTCATTAATGACATCAATATTAGGTCTCGATTGTTTATTATTTGATCCTACATTAGCACTATTTTCTAATTCAAATTCTTTAATGATTGAATCAGCCATCCTAGATTTTGCAGGAGTTTCTATGTCTGACAATATTTCTGAATCACATTATTAGATAGTCCATTAATTTTAATCAGTTACTTAGGTCGGTTGAGTTTGTTTAGGATTGGCATAACGAAAAAAATCTTCTGTATCTGCAGAAGAACTATTCTTCTTCTTCAGTATGATTGTTTCTCTAAAATAATTATTCATTAATATAAGTAATCAGTTATTATACAATTTATCTTTTAATCTTCTTGCTATGATTTAATAATTTTTGTTTTTGATTTCTGGTAATGTATTCACAATCCTTATGTTTTCTGAATTAGATATTCTAACTCTGTTATTGTTTCTCAAAGTGGAAAGAGATAATAATCGCAATTAATTTATCTTTTATACTTATAGACATTTCTAACTCTATTTAATACTCTCTATTTAATAAATAGGTTTTTTAATTTAATCTCTGCTGGTTCTCTCTATTGGAATTGTCTAATAAGTAGCCTTACTGAAATATTATATCAGCTTATACACATTTAAAATCTCTTTTATTTTATAAGATAATTGTTCTTAATACGTTGAACATTCATTTATTTCTATTCAATTGATCTTGCTGATAATTTTGAACAATCGCTGCTTATAGATTATCTAGATGACTATTAAATTATATCTTAAAAATTACTTAACAATAAAAACTAGACTTGATATTCACTATTTTATTAAGTAACCTATTATTTTCTGATATAATTTCCTATTACTTTATTATATCTTTCCTTCTTGAATCCAAAAATTTATTCCTTCTACTAGATTCTATAATTTTTATATAATTCTTATCATTGTTATTTTATCTATTAGATATCTCACTTAATCTTCTCTTATGACATGAATAACTCCTGGGCATCTATTTTATATAATTACCATTCTCTGTATTCCATTTAATATTTTGTATTGTTCAATGAAAATGATTACATAATTAATATTAAATAAATTTTGTAAAAAATCTAAGAAAGAAATCAATAAGTAGTTTCAATCATAATAATCAATTAATTATAACAGGATGTAAGAGAAATATAATAAATAAAAAAGAATATTAATTTAATAATAGTCAAAATTTTGATTATTAAAGTATAAACAAATATTTTTATATTTAAATGCTAAAAGTAAGGTAGAATATTTCAATAATCTTAAATCAAATCTTTTAAGTTGGTAAGATTTCAAGCACCTTTTACTTATATATAACTATTATATTTGTTAATATAACTAACAAAATATACAGAATTTTAGATTGTTTTAGTGGTTGTAAAAATAGTTGAATCTTGATCTATTAGATCATTGAAAATCTTACAGATCCAAATTTATAACATATATAAATATTCAAAAAGAATGTGGATTTTAATCAATTAAGAAACTACAATCATTAGATATATAAGTGTATGTTTAATTAAGCATATTCAAAAATAATTGTTGAATAATAAGAGTTGATTCAAAAGATTAATAATTTATTTGAAGATTGGAGAATGATATTTATATAATTAAGATTTAATTGATTAAAATATCTAGAAATTTTACAAAAATCAAGCTTAGATATTACAGAATAGTTAAGAGAACTAGATTAAGAATTAAATATATAATTTATTTATTAAATTGCCTTTATTTTTATTTCATGTCCAAAAAGGGCAAGAAAGGTAAAAAAGGAGAAGACAATGATGAATCCACAACCTAAATCATGAGATTTTACAATAGAAAGATTTAGAGTCTTGGAGTGGCATAAAATAAAATATTTGTTTAAGCAGTTGCATAAGCATTAGAAAATCAAGAACATTTAACGACAGTAATTAATAATACAAAATTTTAGCTTCATATAATTGAGGAAATTGGACCTAATGCAATTAGAGGTATTTTTGAAGCATTAATGGATCTTAAGTATAAATTAAATTCAAATATAGTTATAAACATTTGGCAAATATTTGGCTAATAAAAGCGGGTTTAGGATTAAATAATAATGAAGGTGTTAAATATTTGGCAAATTATATATAAAAAGCTCAAAATACTAAAGTCTTGGATTTGACAGAAAATGAAATCACTCCATAAGGTTGCACTTATCTTGGTTATGCTTTATCTCCTGCTTTCAAGGTTCCTATATAGGAACTTATTCTTGACTTTAATTATATTGGTTGTGAAGGAATGAAAGAATTGAGTAAAGGATTGGAGATGAATAGTAAAATTATATTTTTTATAATTATTTAGCCACAATTAGAAAGCTTTCTCTAAATTATTGTAGATTAGATTTAGAAAGTGTTAAATATCTTTAGGATATTCTATCCTTTTTAGATTGTGATTTAAGATATTTATTTTTAGAGGGAAATTATTTAAGAAATTAAGGGTAAATAACTAATTCATATTTAGTGTATATTAATTGTTTAGATCTTTAGAAACTAATGAATGGTTAGAAGAATTAAATATTGCAAATAATTAATTTGGGGAATCTGAAGATGTTCCACTTATTGAAAAAATATGTGAAGTATTAACCAAAAATAGTTCTATCTAAGTTTATGATTTTAGAGGAAATGCCTTATATGATGATTGTAATAATAATTGTTATGTAATAGCTGCAAAGAAATTTCTTGAGTGTATCAAAATGTATAAAACAGTTTGTAGATTAGAAGTTCCTATCGAAATTTAAAATGCTATTCTTGAAGAAATCAAAAAAGTTACAAAAAAAAGAAAAAGAAGAAAGAATAAAAAGAAGAAATCTAAAAAAAAGAAAAAAGCAAAAAAATGATTATTACCATTATCAATCATATTAAATTGCTATATATATTAATAATCTTCTAAAAATAATAGAAAATAGTAATACATAAAAATCTATAAAAAGATATAATTTATATGTGATTATATTAATATAAAAAGTATTAATTAAATAAAGAATTATATACAAATTTTATATCTACTATTTATTAAATAAATTTTATTAGTTATTTATTTCTATTACTATTCATTTATAATAACTATTTAGATAATAATATTTAAATTTAATAAATTAAATATATGAAAAGTTTAAGATTAATGAATAATTGTGCTTATAAAATAATATCATTTTAGCTTAATACAAACTTTCATTTTGAGAATAGTTTTAGAAATTCTTAATACGAAATCTTTCCATCTTTGTTATGATCAGTTTCTTATAAGAATAATTACCAAACATCTTAGTTTAATGTTCCCATAACATCTTCTACTTCTTACTTTGTAATATATCCATCCCCATCCAAATCAAATATGCGAAACGCTTATTCAATCTTCTTTTACGAAAGGATTTTAGATTGGTTAATGGAGGCCATAATGAATTCTATCGATTATATGATATTTTACCACTATAATCTATTTAGCCTGATAAGTTTTTATCAATTTCTTCTAAAATTCTTTCAGCTTATTATTCAGCTTCCTCTTAATTTTTTATTATTCTTTTATAACCTTAAATCAATTCTTCTTTACTAAGAACACCATCTCTATTTATATCTAAAGATTGAAAAGTATGTTATAAATCTTCAATTTCTTTATGATTAGTCATTTAAGATATTATATATTGAACAATAGCTGTTCTGAATTCGCTTGTAGCTTGAAATTGAGATAAATTATCTAACACTTTTTTATTAATAGGTTAATTTGTTGCATGTTTTTAAAACCAAGGATCACTCAAAACTTAGGATGCAGAATATCTTAAATTCACATCCACTTATATCATCTTTTATATTAAATGTTTTGCCTCTTTTGATATGAATTCCCATTCCTCATCTAAATTTTTATTTCATAAGTACTTGGAAATTTTAGTCTGCCTTATTTAACTTTTTCGAAGATTTCTTATTCAGTTTTTCCTGTAAATGGTGGATAACCACATAAGAGAATGTATAGAATTACTCCACATGACCAAATATCACATTTTTCTGTATAATTATGTCCTAAAACTTCAGGTGCAATATAATAAGGCTATTATAATTTATTATATATTATACAGTGCCCAATCTTTTAGTCATTTTTGAAGTATTAAACCTACGAGAACATCCAAAATCAATTATTTTAAGATTTTGGTCAGGTTCAGGACCTGAAAAAAGAACATTCTCTGGTTTTAAATCTCTATGTACAATTTTTTATTCATGACAATAGTTAATAGCAAGTAATATTTAACGAATTAATTCACTTGCTCTTTTTTCTGTAAATACTTACATTTTTTTAATTCTTTCAAATAATTCTCCTCCAGATAAATATTCAGTTATCATATAATAATTATTTTAATCTTAATACAATTCATATAATTTGACAATATGAGGATGATCAAGATTTTTTAATATATGCATTTCTTAAAATAATTTTTATTCATCCTCTTTTATTAATTCAGATTTTTTTATCTGTTTCATTGCTCTTATCAAACCTATATTTTAAATTAAATAAATATACCAGTTGTTTTATGAGTGACTTTCCATACTTTTCCAAAAGCTCCTTAACCTAATACTTATCCAAATGCATAAACCTTATTTATAGAACCTTTCTTTAAGTTGACAAATAATTCAACACCCATTCTAATAGTTAAGGAACTCATAGAGCCTATTGATTTTTTAGTTGGACTAGCACTTTAATCTTAAATTTATCTATTTGTAGTATAAATGCGAGGAGAAGTAAAAGTTGTATTATTATATTATTCTACATTTAAGGATTCTTTTCTATTAGAATTTTTTTTTAAAGGAGATGGAGATTGTTAAGGTAAATTAAAACCAGAGTCTAGCTATATTGGACTTAATTATAATAGATTTGTTTCTTAATGATTTGTGCTTCTAATTTCCTTATTATTATTATTTATATTTTGTTATTCACTTTCAATTGATATTTTTCTTATAAGATTAATTTGACCTTTTGGTGTATTAACTTACTCCTCTATTAACTCATTTCCAGCTTTGATAGACTCCAATTATAATAATTGAATCTATTGTTTCATTGCTTCTAGTTTTGTAGGTGTTTGAGATTCCTTACCTAGTGGAAGTGGTGCTACCATTTAACTTTACTCTTATTATGAAACACTCTATTTCTATAATATCAGTGCACTTGATCCTTATTCTAAGCATAATTCTGCTATTGATAACATAATCATCTTACCATAAGAGGAACTTTAGAATTTAGTGTGACAACAAGTGGATCCCATTTTTGGTTATGTTAGTAACTTATTTAATTATTATCATTTTATAACAAAGTTATTAACATGTATCATAAACCACTATTAATTGAAATCTTTTTGAATTATGATCTTTATTAATTAATACTCATTTAAGAATTTTGTATTAATATTTTCTTACACTATATTTGATTAAAATAATCTTTATTAGCTATCTATAAACATATAACATCTGTATTTAACGATTTTATTTTATTTTTTAAATGTTTACATTCTTTTAATAAATTAAGAATAAATTATTTATAGAATTAATAAATATATTTTGGCTTTTTTTTGAATATTTGATTAAAAATCTAATAAACCTAATATCTTAACTTACTTTTCTAATAAGGAGATTAAGGGAAATAATTTATATTTTAAATGTAAATTAAATTTTATTCATTTATTTGATATTAATAATTTGCATTCTATTTATTTATTTATTATGTTCGGCTTTTCAAAATAAAAATAATACCCAAATACATAAGATCAATTATCAGGAATGTTGATAACAAAGAATGCTCCAATTAGAAATTATTCAACTTGTAAAACAATTATTAATATTAATTCAGCTACAAGAAATTCAAGGATTTCTTATTTGTCAAAATAATAATACTTTTAGAATGATAGTGAAGATAAAACAATCACTAGTAGAACTTTTTCAGTAAATGAAGTGACAGAATTACCTTTAATATCAAAACCAACAAATATAATCCTTAAAAGACCAAATTTCATTCCTAGACCAAAATAACAATTTAAGAAGTTAATCCATGTTTAAACTTCGCCTACTAATTTTGAATCATAAAGAAAGTAAAAGTAGTTGAATTATATAGAGTAATTTAAATTCCCTTTAATTTGAAACTATAAATTTAAATATAGAAGCTGAAGATGTTTATATTTTATATAAAGGTTTCAGAAATTTAAGTTAATTCAATAAGATATGCATAATAAGTTATAATCTTGTATATTTATATATATTATAATAGCTATTTGGTGAATATAATAGTCATTATTTTAGTAACTTATAAAATCCTTAAATTAAACCTTTAAACAATAAACATCTAATAATGAAAATTAGAACTGAATCTATATTAATTTTATAATTGAATCCTAATCAGAAACTCAATTCTTTATAAAATACATAAATTGATTGGTTTGATTGTATTTATTCAACTAGAAACTACCATTCCAAAGAAACACTTAGTTATGAGTTAAATAAAAATAATTTATGGATCAATATCTCGAAGATTCCAAATCTATTTAAAATTCAAAATAAAATTATCAATTACTTTTATATTGATATCATATATTCTGAATCATCAAATATAATTGAAGTTGATAATTTTATCAACAAGATATTATTAATTGATGATGAAAATACTAAATTATTTCATTTATTTGTCAATGCTCCAGTAAATTTTCAAATTGTTAATTAAAGACTTCAAGAAATCTTTAGAAATAATTAAATTCAAGATTTATAAAAAATAAATCTGAATGAGATTATTGAAAAAATTAGTTTTGAAATGTAATAGATTCAGATAAGAATTAAACAATTAAAATATTTAAATGATCTTAAAATTAAAACAAAGCAACATTTTAAATAATTAAATTTAAGTCCTTCTCCATTTAGTCCTGAACAAAGAGCAGAAAAGTATATATAATAAAATATTATTAGAATGAGAAACTAAATTGTTGAATATATTAAAAGTAAATCAAATATTAAGATTTCTAATATGCATTTTGTTGTTGGTGATACTATAATGAGAAATATTGAAATGTTTAGAAATCATGAAAATGATAAATTATACAAACATTAAGAAACTGTACAACTAATTGATCATCTTATCAAAAATAGTTTACCATAATTTTAGAATAATATAAGCAAAGTAAATTATGCATTCTATTGTTTATGATAATTACTTGATAAATTAAATCTTTTTTTAAAATATATACAAAATGGTTAAAAACTCAGCATAAGATCCATAAGATAATTCACTCCAAATGAAAGTAAAATATTAAAGCAATTTTTGTGTAGATCAGATAATATTTGGTTTCTGGAAGAAGACTCCCATCTAAAGATGATCCAAATCCCAAAGTTATCAGCATGAGAATCTTTGCTAGAAATACAGTTGCTGCAAAAAGCAGATTCTGGTATATTGCATTATAAAATGGTTAGGTGGAATTTAAGAAGATTGAATAAGCTTAAACCATCTCATGGTTAGATCTTAGCAGTTTAAGAATTATTTGAAAGAAGAGATACAAATGTTAAAACATACGGAATTGTACTTAAATACTAATCAAGAACAACAATTCATAATATGTATAAAGAATTCAGAGACACAACATTAAATGGAGCAGTCTCACAATTATGTAAATTATTGCATTGATATTTTTTAGATTAAGAAATGGCTGGAAATCACAGAGCCCAACCATAAACTATTCATATCCTCAGAACTTCAGTATTAACTAAAAGTGCTGATATCAAGAGAGGAAAAACTAATCAATATAGAGTATCTCTTTTATCATTATTTTAGGGTGATTCAATCAAATTCCCAATTGTCAAAACTGTTCCAAGAGCTAGTCACAAAAAATTCAGAACAGTATTTAAAGCAAAAAGACCCAACCTCTATAGATCATGAACATCTTATTTAAGTACAATATTCATCATATAATAATAATTAAATATATATCTATTTATCTATTTATCTAATTAAAATTTTGTATTGCAATATCAAAATTATTCAGTTTGTTATATATATATATCAGAGATTCTAAAGACATACTTTTGAAATAAATTAATAAACTTCTTAGAAATTATTTCTTTCATCTTAATCAGAAAAGTCTATAAATGAATCATCACCAAATTCCATATCCTTTATAAAATTTTAGGCTTATTCTGCTGATATTCTATGTCTAGGATCAGGTTCTAACATTCTATCTAATAAGTTTCTAAGTCCAACTTTTTTTCTTAAAGTTGAAATAGTATTTTAACTAGATTAAAATATACTATGTTTATCAAAGATTGTTTTTTAAATACTCTTACCAATTAACCTAATATATCTATTTTTTTTACATTTCATGAAGTAATTCGCCTAAACAATATATGTCTTAGGCAAACCAAAATTATCTATCAAAATCTTCATTATTTTAATTAACTTCTAAATTATTTGGTAATATCAATTCATTTATTAAATCTATATCTTTTGTTCCTCTTTTTGTTCTCAATATTTCACCTACTTTTGTAATTTATCCAAATTCAGTTACAACAATTCTACCATTTTTCTATATAATAATATTATCTTGAGATATATCTCTACAAACGAATCCTTTTCTATGCAATAAAATTAAAAGACTTAGTAGTTACTTAATAAATTATATAATATATTTTTTACTTTTAATACAACTATAACTTCCTCTTTTTTCATTTTATATTATGAATTCATTCTCTCTCTTAAACTCCTTCCTTCTAAATGTTCAAATATAATATAAAATTTATCATTTTCTATGAAATACTAAGAAATTGATATCATATTTTTGTGTTAAAAATTTAAAACTTCTAATTCTAACATAAAATCCTAATATAATGTTTAAAATTAATACAAGTATATTATAATTAAGACTATTTGATGTCACTTTCATTTGATAAGGTCTTTAATCAATACAACTATGAACAAGTATAATCTACAAGAGCATTCATAAATATTATATATATTACTGTATTTTGAGATTGTTATTGTATATATTTTACACTATTAAACATTTTGACTAAATTATTATAGGAGACTTTCCCATCAAAAATACTTTTCAGTTATAAACAATTATGATAATCCACAATCATTATTTTCATCTTTTACTTCCATCTAAATTTGAATCCAATAAAGTAATTTCTGTCTCCATATATCCATGAAATTATAGTTGACAATTCTAATTGTATTGTGTATTTTATTTATTGTGCATTCTATTGATTTTTTATTTATGTATACTTTTCCTATTTGAATAGAGTTCTCTTTTTCATATATGAAATATTCAGTATCTCTAAAGAAATGCTTACTTTTGCACATCATGATATTAATTAAAATAAACTATATTATTCTGAATTATTTTCAATTAAATGATAAATCAAAAATCTTAAAATTGAGATTATATTAACTTCATTTTATTTTGATTCTCTTTTTTTTTATAAAAATAATTTTAAAATCAATATATTGTGTAAAATATTCATCATTTAATAAATTATTTAAATATCTATTATAATTAATAAGAGAAAACAATAATTGATTATAATGAAATTTATATCTTTAAAATTTATATCTAATAGAATTTTAAGAATTTAAGCTTGTATTTTTATTATGTAAATATAATTATAATTAGATTTTATAGTCAATTTTTTGTTATTAATTTTCTAAAATTTGGTATTTCTTGAATATGATCATGCTAATAATTCAATTAAGTAGACAGTGAAGTATTTGTTGGGATCTTCATTAATTTAAAATAATTTAAGGCTTCTCCTGCATCAATTCTTTAATCAGGATCTTCAGTTATCATTTTTGAAATTAAATCTCTATAATTTTGTGAGCTTATATTTTTAAGAATTTAATTATTTAAAGTAAAAAATTTGTTATTTTAATATAGTTCTTATTAATTAGATCCAGATATTAACTTTTATCCTGTTAACCTAATTAATAAATTTAATTATTTACATATAATAGATTATGGCTCCACAACTAAACACATCTATTTTTTATGATATCCTTTTTTTATTTTTCCTATATAAAATCTCTGGTGCAATATAACCAGGAGTTCCAAAATTCATTTATAAATCATTTTATAAATCTATAATCTAGCATGAGATTCCAAAATCAATAAGCTTTAGATTTTAAAATTGTCCCAATTCACAAAAAAGGATATTATCAGGTTTTATGTCTCTATGAACAAAACCTTTTCCATGTAAATAACAAAGAGCTTCTAAAATTTACTAAATTAAAAAAATGTAGAATACTTTTGTTATAACTTCTACCTCATTTATTGACATCCTACAATATTTAAGGCATTGACTGAGAGTTCCACCTTTTAAATATTCTAATACTATTAAATAAGAAGTCTCATTTGTGTAAGCCTCTATCAACTTTATGATGTTTTAATGAGTCAATTATGACAAAGTTTAAACTTCGTTTTGAAATAACTAAAATTTTGGAATATAATCCTACTTAATAAGAGTATTATTTCTCTTTAATTAACTCCTTGCAAACATAAACAATATTATTGTCTATTCCTTACATTGTGTATATCTAAGTAATAATAAATAAGAGTAAAATACAATGGTTTAGTCTTTTGTCTCTATTTTTCCTATTTATTTGTAGAAATAATCTATGTTTTTAAAAGTCACTCTTCCTGCAAGATAATTCTTTACTCTGAGAAGAACGTTCTGGTCAGCATAAAAATATCTCTATTAATTTTTCCAATTTATGGAAAAAGCTACTAATTAGAAATCTTCCTAGGAGATTTTCCAATCAATTAAACTTTATAGTTTCAAAGGAATTGAATACTTTGTATATTAAGTAGACTAAGTTAATAATCATTAAATTACTTCTCCTATATTCATACTATCTTGATTTAATGTGATAATATAGCTTTTATCAAAAAGGAGGTGTTTTCTTGTACAATACATCAATATGATTATTAATAAAAAAAGAAAGAAAGATTTTCTCTTTAAAAATGAAAAATTATCAAATAACGCAAATCTTAGTAGAGCAAATTATAGGGTCTTTTCTGTTTTAATGAAAATTCAAGTTTTTTATAGGAACAATCATTTACAATTGAAGACATTTTCACTTAACTAGATGACCTGAAATTAATTAATAATAATTTTATAAATCAAATAATAAATAATTAATTAAGGCATAAATACTGAATAATTGTTTATTTGTTTGATTTTGAAAACAGCTAGAATGTATTGATTCTTCTTTTAAAAGAGTTGAAAAATTACAATATATCAGTTGGTAGCAGCTAATTTAAATATTTGAGGTATATTAAAATTATTAATTAAATTAATTACTACTTTAAATATAAATATTTATTTAATAATTAAATAATATTAGAATTCCATTTAAAGATAAAACTTATTTTTTTAATAAAGACTATTAATAATATTTATCCAAATCTCCTTATTCTTAAAAAAATAATTTGGTAATTAAATCTATGAAATGATAAAATCATATATAAATCTCATAAAATAATATCTATATTTTTTACTTCATTCTAATTTTTATAAATATTTCCATTCTATAATGATAATTTTTATAAAAGGAGCTTAACATTAATATTTAACATATTAAATCATAATTAATATGTTCTATTATAACAATTTTAAATAAATTTATCAAATAAAAAAAATAAAATTATAATATAGACAAATTCAAATCAAAATATCTCAATACATTTCTTAAATTTCCTAAGATTCTTGTTGTTAGATTCTTTTGGATAAAGTTTCAGCTCCTCGAAATGTAAAAGCAAGGTTTTCAAGGGTATGAAATATTGGTAATTTATTTTTTTACATAAATTAATATCCTTAATTTATTTTTTCTTCTAACAACTAGATTTGAGCTTTTAAAGAATAAATCCAAAAAATCAATAATATAACTATTAATATAATTGCAAAATTTACTTCCAAATAAGGATACTATTGAAAATATAATAATTAAAACATCGTTCATTTGATCCTCTAAAGATGTTTAAAACTCTATTGTGAATTTCAAATTCATTATCTTTGTTTTATCTCTAAAATTAATTCCATAATCATATATTAATGGACAAACTTCAGTATCATCACAAAAGCAAAGAATCTTAGGATGAGTTCTGGATAATTACAATTTGATCAATTTTGTATTTGTAATCATATAAATTAATGAAGAATTTACTACAGAGATTTATTATAATCCTAAAATTTGTATATTTTAGATTTCATTTGAGTTATAGAGATAGACCTTATGATTATTTTTGGATTAAATAAACATCATATCTCCTACATTTATTATTTTTATTATTTTATTCTATTCTTATAATATTTCCCCAACTGAAATACTATTATCCATAAAATTTATTCTGAAATTCATAATTTTATATACATCATTATAATATAATCCAAAACAACTATAATATTCATTACAAAAAAATGATTTTGGATTTTAAAATGGATTTAATTCAGAATAAATTATTTTGGAATTGATATTGTTTTATTTTAATAGCAATTTTAATACATTTAATCCAAGATGCTAATCCATCAAATAAAAATAGTATTTCTTATCATCAATTTTTTTAATATCAAAGTCTATAATATTTTGAAATTTAGATATATCTATTGATCCAAAATATTTGTTTGTTTTATTTTAAAGATCATAAACATAAATGAATTTATTTATTACAAATAAAAATCCATCATAAGTTTTAATTACACCATGATAAAATGTAATTTAAGTGTCATTTAACAACTAATAATCAACCAAGAAAATAGGATTTTCACTTTTTTCATTATAATAACCTTTAAATTAAGTGTAATTCCCTTCAATTTTTTTCTATTGAATAATTGTTCCATCATGTGTTAATTAAGTTAAAATCATATCGTTCATTAGTACCCAAAGATCATTTTGTGTCGCTAATAAAAAGTAGTATTTATTCATTATATCTAGATCTTAATAGTTCATAAGAGATGTTGTTTGCAGAAGAACTTTTTCATCTTCAATCCAACAAAACTCTTTATCACTTTCTTCACTCATTGTTACATTTGTAGCATTATTTAATTCTAAAACTGTTTCTAACTAACCAATTTCTATCTTAAATTCATATTAATTGCATCTAACTCCCACGCTCAGTATCAGTGATAGTAAGAATTATTCAATCATTAATTAATATTTGTAATTCAAATTTTGATTTCAATTTTTATTTAAATTCATAGTCATCAGTCATTTTTAAAGAACTGGCTAGATGTAGATTGGATTAGATATAATTTAAACATACTCTATTCTACTAAATCATTTTTATATATTAATTTAAATTATAAAACATTTGAATTCAACTTATTTTACTATATATTAATCAATCCTACTATAAGAAATTCTCTTAAAATTGCATTCATGAAAAAAACACTCCTATTCAAAGTCTTTAATAGTTTAATTAATATAGAAAAAAGGATAAAAAATTTTAAAATAGATTTTAAAATGTTAAAATTCAATTAATTTTATTGTTAAATCAAAAGCAATCTTAGTGAATATTTAAAATAAATTATTATTACATAAGACTCAAAAGTATTAGGGATTAATTAATCATACTTATAAAAAAATAAATAAAAGAATGCTCTAAATAACTCATATTTCAGCCAACATAAATCATTTATTGTTTAAATTATCATATGAAATCATTTAAAATACCAAGATTAATTCACTTAAAATTTTCTAAATTGATTAATATAATTTTAGATGAATGTTCTAGAAACTTTGAATAATCAGTAATATTAATAAACTATTTTTGCAGTTATCTATGAATTAAGTTGCAGCTCTTGCATAGTCTTTAAGCAAAATGTTTAAAAGTAGTATCAACTGGGTCTTATAAACTATAATTAAATGATATGTAAATGTAAAATTAAAAAGTCTGTGAAACTAATTAATGAATCTGTAAATGATATTGTATAAATTGGAATTGAATTTTAATTAGTATTTATAATTAAATGTCTTATCCTCACATACTCATTCTGATTTTTCACCTTAATAATTGTATTTTTAATTAACTTTTCATTTATTTAATAATAATCATTAAATCTTAACAATACTCACATCTTCTTCAATTTATTTATTTATTATATATCATATCTATCTTATTTAAATTATGACATTATTAAGATTAATATATTTATTTTATCTGAATAATTATGTATAATTAAGTATGATTTGCATTCTGAAATTGAGTATTAAATTAATGTAATAATAAATTAGTGCTTATCAAATAAATAATTAAATTACAAAGAATTTTATAAATAATAAACAATGTAATAGGAATTCAAATTACCATAAAAGATAATAGAGTTGTATGCTAAATATCAGAATAAATCATAGAAAGTGAAAAAATTCTAACTTTAAGAGCATACTTTTATGCTTGAAGATCATTATGCTCCTGTAGAAATAAGTAATAATTTCTATAAATAAATAAAGTTGGAAGTGGTGCTTATGGGTGTGTAATATAAGCTGATGATAAGAATGCTAAAACCGAGAAAGATAGATAGGTGGCCATTAAAAAAATTGAGAGAGCATTTGAACATAGACTATATGCAAAAAGAACTTTGAGAGAATTAAAAATTCTTAGATTGATGAAGCATGAGAATGTAAGATTTTTTAGATTGAAATAGATTGTTGAATTAAAAACTCTCCTTCTTCCAAAATCTAGAGAAGAATTTGAAGATGTTTACATGGTTACTGAATTATTAGAAACAGACTTAGCACAAGTAATTAAGAGTGACTAAGTCTTAACAGATGAGCATATTTAATTATTCTTATATTAAATTTTAAGAGGATTGAAGTATTTACATACTGCAGGAATTTTGCATCGAGATTTAGTATCACATTATTTAAAAATTAATTTAGAAACCAAGAAATTTATTATTAAATAGAAATTGTGATCTGAAAATCTGCGATTTCGGTTTAGGTAGAGCAATGGCTGATCCTACATCATCCAATAATGCCAATATTATGACTTACTATGTAGAAACTAGATGGTATAGAGCCCCTGAATTGTTAGTGAGTTTTAAGAATTATACACCTGCTGTGGATATGTGGTCAGTTGGATGTATTTTAGCAGAACTACTATTAAGAAAACCATTTTTGAGAGGGGATTCAAGTAATTAATTATAAAAATTAATTAAGCTAAGCGATAAGTCAAATTGATTTTTGAATTATTGGGTACACCAAATGAAGCCTATATTTAATCATTTTAAGATGAAAAAGTTTAAAATAATTTAAGGAAAGTTATTAAGGAAACTGGTCCAAAATAAGGTATTCCATTAGAATAATTATTTAAAAATGCTTCTAAAAATGGTATTATTTTCTAATTATATGAAAAGCTTTGGATTTATTAAGGAAACTACTAACATTTGATTTTAGATAGAGAATAACAGTTTAGTAAGCCTTAGAACATCCTTATTTGGCTTAATTGCATTTTGAAGCTGATGAACCTAGTGCTTAATTAGTCAATTAATTAGAGTTTGAATTTGAAAAATATGAAATGACCAGAGAATAAATCAAAGGTAAAAAAGTAAATCTAATTGTATTAGATCTCCTTTATGAAGAAATTCTATTGTATTATTTTCCAGAATTCTAAGCATCATATGAAGCAAAGAAAAAATCTGGATAAAGTTTAATATCTCATATTGTGAACAATGAAAATGCAAAAATAGTAAATTATTTATTTAAAATAGTTTGATCCAACAGCAGATGATGATTTAGATAGAGATTGAATGTATTATTATGTTAAATTCAAAATTAAGTATTTTAATGTGTTATTACTATCCTTTTCTTGTTATTATTTATTTATTCATTGTAATCTTTTAAATTAAAATATGATATTCAATCTACTTCATTTTTATTTAGGTATATACTCATGTTATTCTATTTTTATTCTATTATTTATCACTAGGATTTATCAAAATATTTGAAAAAATATAGTATCTAAAAGCTTTAGAAGTATATTTATATATGAAATTGAAAAATCAATTTAAATCTTGATACACTATAGGGTAATTTTGAGAGACTTCTGGAAGAGAGAATATGTATTTATATATAATGGGCTATTAAATCACTGATATTGGATTTACTTTTTAAATTTGTCAAAATAAAGAACACAATTAGAACAAATCGATTAAGAAGAAATTTAAATTACTTATTGTGAAGAAATTGGGGGGCCAAGCTTGAAAAAGAAATTATTATTATATTATGGAGATTTTCAAATCAAAATTTTGTTGAAGTGTAAATAAATTTTAGAGAAGAGATGTGAAGTTTTAGATACTAAATGGAATGGATAAGTTTCATGTTTAATTTTAGTGAACAAAATTCAAAGAATAAAGGGTGGATTTTGCAATATTATTAAAGAATTATTGTATAATAATACTTATCAATTCTTTAGCATCTCTGAAGTAAATAATTATAGAGAAGTATGAAATTATATAATAAGAAGAAAAAACCTAAATGAATCTGTAATATTATTACAATATGAGATTTAACAGTTATTTCATCTGTATGTTTGACGTGTTTTGATTTATAGATATATTTATGATCAAAGGAACTAGGGACATGGGATGTCTAAACATTTAGGACCAGCTATAAAGTTGCTCATAGCATAGTTTTCTTGGTCACTGAACTTTCGTGATTTTCTCCTACTCCTTGTTTAAGATATCACTTGGATCACCTCACCATTAAGAACAACCTATAGTTCACCACAAGGTTCTTTGCCTTTAGGACAATAATAGATTGGACTTAAATTCTCTTAGCGTTGACTGCTGTCTGTAGAACAATTAGAATCAATGTTCAATTCTTCAATATTGGAAAGTGGATTCTAAAATAAAATAAATCAACAAGACCTTATGTTTCGAAGGTGGTGTGATATAGAATTAATCTCGTTCCTGGTTCTTAGGAACGAAGGGACACTTAGAGCTGTTTGCGTTCTAAGACTTTTTATACACTCTATTTTTGGTATTGCTCACTAGAAGCATTAACATTCAAAATCATACTTGTAGTATCTGGGAGAAGTCTTGTAATTTAAAAAGCTGAAAGGGCTTTTTTTAAAATTTATATTTAATTATTAATATGACATTGTAGTCTATTTTAATAAATATTCATCATTCATCCCCCATTCTAGGTTGTGTATCCATTCCATTAAGTCTATCCTTATATACTTCTAGCAAGAATTTATAATCAATTCGCCCATTTTTCTTGGACCAAGATATTAATTGTGGCCATTGTTCATCTCTAACAACAATTCCTTAAGATCTTAACATTTTATCCATTTCTTATTTTATTAACTACAAAATATATTTAAATAATTACATCTTCAGTAAGTGGAATTTAACCATTTTAAGTCAAATGTTTGAATATTTCAAGAAGATACTTTCTATTCTTTCCAATAGCATTAATTGTTTTATCAAATTCTTTAGAGCTTTCCCAAATCCCATTTTCTATTATAATATAAGACATTACCAACATATTGAAGTGCAGTTTGCTTAACTGGAGGTTTTCTTAAGAAAGTCTTGAATTTATTAGTTGCATTCATTAATCCATCATCTGTTAATCCTTCAAATTACTAAGGAGACTAAACACTATGTTTTGTCATCCATCCTTTATCAGTTTAAGCCATTAATGATTTTTGTGATGATTTTTTCACTCTTCCATTAGCACTCATTGGTCTAATAATAAAAAGATAGAATATACCTTTTCTTTTCATTAGGATTTGAAAACTTAGAAAAAGCATCCATCCATTCTGTTAAATCTAATAAACCATCCCTTCTCTTATCTATAAATTCAAATAAATCTTTAATAATTGCAAATGGAGGAATGTCTTCTGTAGCCAATCTATACAACATTTCTATCATATCTTTAAATTTATCAAAACTCAAAAATCCAGTATGTTGTGCATCAATCTATCTAAATGCATCTTTAGGTGATAATAAATAATGATAAATATGATCATTCACTCTTTATAAATGAATTGCTGCTCTTTCTAATATTTTATTATCTGCTTATCTAAAATCTAATCTCTTTGCAAAATCTCTCCAATTTACCATACTATTTCTATCAGTATCTAACATAGCTGATAATATATCAATATCTTAAAATGTCAATCCCATATTAAGACTTCTTATTACTTAACGAAATTCTAAATTAGTTATGAATCCAGTATTATCTGAATCATATTATTTAAATAATTCGCTAATATTTTTATTTGAATTTCTTAAAAATCTTCTAATTTTATCTAATAAACTTATATTCACTTAATTTCTTTCATCCATAGGCAATTCGCATAAACCTCTAAAAATCATTAATAAATTATTACCCTTAAGTCATTGGTCTAATATTTTATAATGATTATTGGCCTTCAGGAAGTTCTTAGACTTTAGTACCTTTTCCAAAAATAAGTGCAAAGGCATGATTACTTAAAGAACCATTTTTTTGAACTCTTGTCCATAAAGTTTCTATATCACCTTCAACAAATCTTTTTGGGAATAAAGCTTACAAAGCCTTTGTAAAGCTTTCTTTTGTTATAACATGGCTGTGCTCCATTTAAAAATAGTGAATTGCATTTTAAATGCTTGAAAAATAAGTAGAAAGTGCATCTTAGATTTCTTTAATCATTTAATCTTACCAATTATATTGAGCAAATGCATTCAGCCAATCAGATTCTACTAAATATCCTTTTTTATGAGAATCAAGATCAGAAAAGATTTCATAAACTAATTTTTCAGTTAAATCAAATCCTTAAAGTACATTCTTTTCATCAATCCATTTTTTAAATTTTTAGAATACTAATTTCTTACGATATCCAGAAACTATATCAAAAGATTCTTTTACACTTGGATAATGTCTACTAATTATTAATCCTATTTATTATCTAGCATTCATTTTCCAATCAAAAGAAGATCTTGATTCTTATTATTACTTTGCAGAAAAATTTGTTGTTTATCCAAATACTTATTTATTTTTACCATAAAAAAATCCTTCTTCTACAAATCTTCTAAAATCCATTAAAGTAATTTTTCCTCTTTTATATTAATCCATTAATTTAAATAATCTATTAATTTTAGCTTCTGTAATTTCTTTTTCTTCAATTTTCAAAATATCTTTTAGATAAGTTCTTAAATCAGCTTTATTTATTTAACCATCAAAATCTTTATCAAATGTTCTAAAGGCATCTTCAACAGTTATATTCTCTCTTTAACACCAATTTCTTATTTTGAATAGGATTTCCAATTCCCAATCCCAATCATCTTCTGATAAAGATGGCATCTATTAAATAATTGATTTACTCAAAAATTTAACAAAAGTATTTAAATCAATTAAACCAATTTTCTATTTATCCATAAAAGCAAAGAATCCATCTTTAGCAGGTTAACTTAGAGTCATAATTTTATCTATATTATAGAATTCACTAATTGATAAGAATCCATTATGATCAGTATCTAAAAATGTAAAAAGTTCTTCATATGACATTCCCTTTCTATTTAATTTTATTCTTAAATCCTTAAGTATTTAATCAAATTTAGATTCTGGTAATCCTTCAACTGGAAACAAGCTTTTTGATTAATTCATTCCATCAACCAAAGATTAAAACATTTTCTTTTGTCCCATAGTAACTAAATCTATAGATTTAGATTAAACACAAGTATTTTCAATTGCTGATAAATTATCTCCAAATTAAGGTTTAATCTTTAAACTTTCAACAATTTATTCAATTTAAGATTAATCCTTTCTAACATTAAAATATGAATATCTTTTTATAAATGTATTCATATCTTCATCACTAACAACACCATTACCATCAACATCCATTTCTCTACAATATTCTAAACATTCATCATGAGATAATTAAGTAAACAGATTCTTTTCTAAATATTAAGCAGAAGACTCAATATTGCATGAACCATATCCTGATTTTACTTGTTATAAAAATTATATAACAGTGAATTTTTTTTAAGTTAAATATTTACTTATTTTTTATGCAAAATCAACTAGATCTTTAGCTGTATCCTTCTAATCCATTTATTTATTAACATCCATAATCATTTAAATAAAATCATAGTAATTAATTAATGAATCTCTATTCTTTGGAAGATAACGAACTAATCTATTTATATCTTAAACATTCAATCCCAATGAACTTTCCATTAAGACAGTTTTAAAATTGGCAGTATCCAGATTACCTTCTTAATGTTCATCAAAATATTCAAAGGAGGATCTCAAAACCTTCATTTTCTAAGGATCAACTAAATGATCTCTCATTTTATGTAATGTATCTTTAAACCATGACAAATCATAAATTTTGTCATCTTCTTCAACAGTATTAAATAATGCTAATAAATCATTCATACTGATGGTTTCTTTTCCATCTAAAATTTCTTTAGCCACTTTAAGGGCTTTGTGTTAATTTAGAGATTCATCTAAATGCATTAAAGCAAATTTTAATTATTACAAATTAACAGGAGGATGATCACGATGTAAATTCATTCTCTATAACAAATCATCTGTATGAATTTAGAATTTATATACAACATCCTTTATATAATTTACATGAGTTTCTATTCAATTTATATATATAATACTTACTTTTATCAACAATAGCTTTAAGCCAATCAAATTTATCAATAAAACCATCATTATTAACATCTAAAGTCTAAAATAAAGTGATTATTTATATTTCATTAAGAGGTAAATCTATTTTAATTACAGCCCTCTTAAAATCATCAAAATTCATTCTAATTTTTCTTTCACTTGTTTTACCAAATGCCTATTAACATAGATCTAAAAATGACTAATTAATATTATTTATTCTAATATTACATCTTCAATATTTAATGCATGATCTCTAATATAATATTTTAATCTTTCTAATGCATGCACTTTATCATTAACTGATCTTTGAAATCCCATTCTAGAAATCTATTAAGTTGATGGTCTTAATTCTATCTAAAAATATTATTGATCATTTTAATATTACAGTTTTACTCATAAGACCCCCTTTTTTAGATTAAGCTTAAGAATTCTTTGCAGTTTTGGGTCGTGCATCAGGTAATTCAATACCAAGAGAATTAGTTAAATAATTCCTGGCACCATCATCAATCATCAAATTGTTTTCTTCAGGATGCTAACTCTTGCTCAATTATTGCAGGTACTACTATGTCAAACGCATGTCTCCTTTCGATTTTCTTTCTGACAATGGTCTTTTTGTAATTTCCTATAAACAAATATTGATCCAATATTTTACTTTACAACTATCCATTAGTGAATCTAAAAATTGTACAGCAGCACAATGAGATTTAACAAAGAATGTCCCCACACATGGTATTTCAACTTCAACAACATCCCTCTAAAATCATTTATAAGTTTATATACATTGCGTACTATATCAGATAATGATTTAATGACTCTTTCAACAGCCATTTTAGCTGAATCCTTATTTTAAGATGCATACAATGCTATTTCTGCCCAATTTACAATCGCATGCTAAATCTTACCAGATGTCTAAACTTTATAAGGTCTTAATTATCGACCTATAGCTATGGCAGTTTTTAGATTGAATCCATTTACAAATTCCTTACATTAAATTAATCGACTACCTTTGCAACAAGAAAAACTGGTTAACGTGGCTATTTGTCTCTTTCTACTGGATTAGTAACTCCATCTAATATAACATCTGGAGCACTAAAAGAAAATGTTCCAAATTTGTTCATCGCTACACCTCTACCCATTCGTAATTATCTTGAAACATGAAGGCCTTCACAATACAAAATTTATAATTACCGAATGCATTCCAAGCAGCAGAGACAGTTTCCTCATCCAAAGCCGCTATCAATGAGCCATTGCTTATAAATAACTCTACTTGCTTACTCTGCTTATCCATTTCGAGTGGCTATTTTAGAGATTATTGACTATGCATTCATGGTTGCCTTGCTTTAATAACTATCAATGCTATTCATTTATAATTAATTTATTAATAATGTTATCTTATATATGAATTTATATCTAATCTCAACTCTTCTCAATCTAAATATTCAATTTATACATACATTGTTCTATGTTTTATTGTATTAATTCTTAAAATATTAATTTTAAATCAATTTCTTAAGTCTTATATTATATATATATTACTTACTATAACCAAAACTCATATTGAATCTAATTTATACTATACTTATTAATAAATCTACTTTATTTTACTGTAATTAAAATTACATTATTTTTCATTTCTTCCAAAATATATAAAAAAGTATAGTTTCAAAAAATTACAGTATTTAATAACTTGATTAAACTATTTTAAACAATTATTCAATCAATTTGTTGTTCCTGATTCTATTAAATAATCAAATATATACTTTTATTTATTATAAAAAGATTTGACAAGTTTAAGAATTCTTTAGTTACTATTAAATTATTCTTTTTGAAATAAAATTATGTTGGTGTCAAAATTGATTTATCATTAATTGATTAATCCTAAGAAAAGATTGAATTACCTCCAGTGTGTAAAACTACTTAAATTAAGTCATATATTTTAGTATATATAAAAAAGAAAACAATAAGAATACATCAATAGACAAACAAAAGAAGACTTATCTATTTAAAAGCAAAAAATATATTTAAGATTATAAAAATATCCATTTTTTCTTATTATTTTATAACAAAAATCTTTCTTTGGCTTTTATAATTATTTTAATAAATATTTTACTTTTTTGCATTATTTAAAGAAATCTTTAAGATTAATGAAAAAATTTTTAATTAAATAATATTAAAACAATTTTATTAAATGAAATTTAATGAACTTTAAAATACAATATTATTAATTCTAAACAGACTATTAAGAATAGATTTTTGAAGAAATGTAAATTTATCAATTTTACAATGCTAAAATTTTATTATAGTAAAATAACAAATAAATTATTTTATTGCTAGCAATTTTTTGCATCTTCAAATTGACTCATAAATCTTAAAGAGCAATAGAAATTATAATATAATGGTTTTTATTTTTTAATTTTGAATTATGGACTAAAAATTAAAAATATAAAGTTTATTATCAAAACTTAGAACTTTTGTTTAGAATTTATTTAATTTAAAAAATATGAAATTAAGAGTAACTGTAATTGATTTAGGATAAAATCAATAACTCTTGAATTTCATATACAATTTGCTATTCCCAAATAATTTCTGATGAAAATCATACGTTTTTAAATTAGAATTTAGTATCAAATTTAATTAATTCTAAATTTAAACATCATATCTATATTATAACTATATCTTATTTATTTTTGCATTTTTTCAAAACTTAAAAGGATTATATTAGAAATAAGAAATTAACATTTTTAAGTTTCTATGAATTCTGATCTATACACCCTAATTTATTGAAAATTTTGAGTAGTTTTTACAATATAGAATAATTATCTACAGTTTTTTTATATATTAAATTATTTTAATGGCTTTAAAAAATATTATTGATTTGACTGATGGAGTTATTTTAAGATACATATGCATTTCTAATGACTCTAGAATAGATATAAATATATTTATTGGAATTGTTTGCAGACTTACAATTTTTACTCTTTTGATAATATTCAAAGATATAAAATAATATTCTATTGGTGAACTTATTGTTTGGTTTTTAGTGTGGCTAGTTTAACATATATATATATTGTGTATTGAGAAAAATTATATTATACTAGGTGAATCTAAAGTTCTTAGAAGAGAAATAGAATATAAAATTATGGATTCTTTATAATTATTAATAGGAATAATATTTTTATCATTGAACTTAAATTCATATATAGAAATATTAATCTTGGTTTTATTTTCAATCAATTTTTTATTGAAATTCTATATAATAATCTTTAAAATAAAAATAAAAGAAGGTTATACAGTGAATTTTTAAAAGTAAGGTGGTGTTTATTAATTTTATATTGGATTTTTATTTGGGGCTGTATGTATTACTTTATATTATATCAATTTGGAGGGTAATATTTAAAATATTAAAATACTTTGAGTGATATTTTGATAATAACAATGATTGGTTAATTAATATTAGTAGTATTTTCATTTATAATATTTTGTCGTCATAAATCGGAATTCTTGTGGAGTAATGATTGGGCAAAAGGCATATTAGGAATTTTCTATGGAATTAAAGTAGGAATTTTCAGTATCTTTTATGGATTTATTATTGGCTGTCTTTTAATCATATGGTACATTTGGGAATTTTGTTTTAAAAAAGTATTACATAGTCAAAAAAAAGAAAAGGTAGGAAACAGAAGAAATATGATTTATTATTAATAAAATTAATTATTAATATATTGAATTAAATAATCTTCTGTTTAATTAAAGATATTATATGTAAAAATTTATCATATATCTATATTAATTTATCTATTATTAAGAAATTTTACTATAGATATTCACCAATATTTAATTTAGTAATTTATTGAGCTTGATAATACTTATTTGACTTTGATATTTCTTGATTCTATTCAATAATTTTTGATTTTAATTTTAAGGATATTAATGTTTATATAATATTACCTTAAAATTGAATTATAATAGAACATATAAATATATATAATATTGAAAATTATTATTAATGTTTTAAAATATCTTGTATTTAATATTTCATATCTTGTCTTTATCCTATGTAATTTGTACCATTGGTTATAATTATACAAAATTATGGTTGTTACATTTGGTGCATCTGATAACAGATGATACTTTATAATTATATTATTTATTTACTTCCTTTTTGATATTTAACTGTCACATTGCAATGAGCACACTTTATAAATTCATAAGTTGGTTATTACACTTGTCTACATTGATAACACATGAATGGCTTTTAGTCATTAGATATTGTTTATGGAGTCTTACAAAATATACAAACTGCATAATGAGTTCTAGAATTTGAAAACTAATAATTACAATATATTTTATTTTTTTGTTAATTACTATTAGTTATATTATTAGTAATTATTGTGTATATTTGGTTGAACAACTTATTATTACTAATTCTAATTTAATTACTAATGTCAAAATAAGCTAATGATACCTATATTTGATAATTAGGTAGTTGATTATAATTGAATATATATGGTTATGTTTATTTATACATCTCTTGTTTTTATTTGGTTTAGTTGCAAGTTTCTTAAAATAATAATTTTAAATTACATTCATTAGTTAGTAAAACATAGCTTTGTTGTTCTGTCATATCTTACATTTCTATAGAGTAATCTTTTTAAGGTTCTTAATATTTTTTGCTTGATTGATTTGATAAAAGTCCTGTTTGATTTTAAGAAAAGCCTTGATCCATATTAATAAATTAATTAGAATATTATAAGATTATATTTTTTAGAATATAATAATTTAAATCATTTTTTCCCTTGTTAAGGGATTAAGAACTCTGATAAAAAGTCTTATTCTTATTGTTTAGTTAGATTTAATTTTGATTAAGCTGATTAATTTTAAAGTCCTTAAGGTTATTGAAAATGCTATTTTTATTATACTTCAAATTGATATTATTAATTTTAATAATCCTATTCCTAATAATCTTATCCCAAATATTGATCAAATTTTTATTAATCATTGTAATCATATTATTCATTTTCAATATTTTATATTTCTTTCAATGGAACATTACTGACTTATTATCTAAATCCCTATAATATTTAATTTAAATAATACTTATAATTATTGCATTAGTCGTTAATTTTCTTCCCTTAGTTTTTTTTTTTCATCTGTAAAATAATTTGGATACACCTTAATTAAATAATCATTATAATTGATTTTTTCTATATTAGTTTTTTGAATTGCTTATTTTAATCTAACACTTCCATCTTCATATCTCTTAAATAAATTTGCTATTTATTCTCTAAATTCTTAATTTCTTGTCTCAGCCAAAGGTCTATTATTATTGCAAAACTGAATACCTGGTTCTTTTTATAGTTTCAACTTCTCTTTACAAACTAGATAAATAATTTTAAGCTGCTTTCTAATATAATTAATTTCGTTCTGCCATTTTATCTCTAATATTTTATCTATCCCTTCGACTATTATTGATAATAAATTATATATTACAATCTTTCAAGTGATTCATCAATAGACTCTTAATTCATTTTTAAGTTATCGTATATTTATTAATTAAAAAATTAAATTTCAATTATCAAATAAATGTGATCCAAAAAAGAAGTCTAAGAAATGATTAATATTGATATTCAAACTAGTATAATCTCAATTTTTAATCTGTAAATAATAATTAGTAAAAACTAATCATTATTTCTTTAATAAAAATACTAAAAAAGATAAAGATATTAGAAAATAAAAAATAAAAAATTGTCATATAATAAAATTATTGTATTAAAAGCAATCAGTTAAATTATTATCATTTTTAAATAAAGTAAAAGAGATATTGTTCAGAACCTAGTATTTATTTAAAATCTTTCACATATTTTGGATATTCTTTTTTTATCAATTCTCTGTATTAATAATTATCTTTTCTCTATACTTTTAATTGTTATGAACCAAATTACTCAAAAATTTTCACATATATTATTTTTTTATAATTTAGGTAAAATAACAAATTAAATAGATTGATATTTTATTTGAATTACCTGATAAAGAGTTGAAAAAAGATTCATCTGACTAGATTTATTGATTATTTATATATATTTTAAAAAATCAATTATTTTATTTACTTTATAGTATGATTAAGTAATATAAATTTAATTCATATGATGTAAATTTCGATCTTTGATGGCAAGAGTTTAAGCATTAAATAATTAGTTGTGTTTTTGTTTTTAAGTATATACTGAACGGTTAGAATATCTTCTTCAATAACATTTAATTACTCTTCTTCATTAATTGAAATTTAGATAATAGAAGTTTCAACATATATTCTTTTAAAGAATTGCAATCAACAATGAAATATTCTTAAATTATTGTTGGATCTAAATAAATTATTATATTTTTTATAACTATATGTATTATTCAATTAATCAAATAGTATTTTGAGATGCAAAGAAAATTAGTTAAATTCATTAATAAAGAGATCTTGTTAAATTGGTAATATTCACAAGCATTTTATTTATATTATGTATTTTAGATTTATAAAATAATATTTCCAAATAATATTTGAAAGATTTTAATAAAACTTTGATTTAGCATTATATAACACTATCTAATTACAGTATCTAATTAGGAAATTAAAAATAACTTTTAAGTTTTGTTTTTAATATGTTAATTTAAATTAGTTTTGTCATTATTTAAGCAATAGTATAATTAAGATTTCAATAGAAATATTACCTTATTTGACATAGTTATAGCTCTCATCAATGAATATTAATCATATAAAATATAAAATTTGAAATGTTTTTAAAAATGTAGTTTTTTTCAGTTGAAAATTGATCTATTTTATTCAATGAAGGGATTAAAATTGTTAACTATAGGGATTTAAGTAGTATATGTTTCAACCTAATTGATTAATGAGTTGATCCATATAATTTAATTAAATTAATGAACTAAGATCATGTTAGTTAATATACTTAGAGCCAAACTCCTAATAATTAAGATATCAACCCTTAGTTGTCAAGTAATTAATCATTGCATATCATGGTAGAATATTAATAAATAAAATGAAGAACCCAGAACAATTATAACTAATTTAAGAAATTGATGAGGAATAATAATAACCTTAGAAACAAAGACCAAGTCTTAGCATAGATTCAGACAAAGAGGGAACTGGGATTCAACAGATTAAATAACGACCATCTAGTTCTAGTCCATCAGATTAAAAGACAGTGAAAAATAAAACCAATCATAGCGGCAGTCAAGCTATAAATAGTGGCAACGGACGTTCCAGCAAAACTCCTCAAGATTTTTAAGAAGAAATAATCCCTCAAGTGAGAAGCATTTTGAAATAAGGAACTTTTATTAGTCATGCCTCTTTACCTAGGAGTAAAGGTATTAGACCTAGCAGATTATAAAGGTAATTATTATAGGTTATTGTTTTTAAGTTTGCAGAGTTTATAGTAATCGATAAGAAAAAATAGAGTATATCCAGAGGAAATTCGAGATAATTCAGGGTCTAATTAAAATGATTCAATATCAGAAGATTCATTTTTTGAGGAAACTGAATAAAATTAAGTAGAGGATGAAACAAGATTTAGATTTGATAAACGGTATTAAGTTTATTTATTGAAGTTATGCTCATCTTTCATATATTATATTTCCTGATGATCCAACAAAATTGTTATGGGATATTTTAATTATAATAGCATTATTATATGTATGTTTTGTAGTTCCTTATGAAATATCTTTTAAGAATGACGATACAGAAGAATCAGCAGTTTAATTTGGTTTAAATATTTCTGTAGATATTATTTATGGGATAGACATAATCATAAATCTCTTTAGCGCTTATGTTGATGATTAAGATGAATTGATAGTAGATAGAAAGATAATAATTAAACATTATTTGACTGGTTGGTTTATACTGGACATTATATGTGTTATGCCCTTAGATTATGTAGTTGATGACAACAATACAACTGGTTTTCAGAAAATTGCAAAACTGCCAAAAGCATATAAAATGGTTAAGCTTATAAAAATGTCAAGAATGTTAAAGTTTTGTATATAAAAGAAGAAGTATGGAGAAATGTTGAATCAATTTTCAAATATCAGTGTAATTCTGTTTAGTTATCATAGTAAAATATTAGGGTTATGATTATCTCATTATTATCAGTAATCCTAGTAAGTCATTTGTTTTCTTGTTTTTGGTATTTTATTGGAACAATTTCATCTGAAACTTAGACTTGGATTGACCAATATGTAGATAATGAATCTAATTTTGAAAGATATATAATGAGTATGTATTGGGTCTTTTAAACTATGGCAACTACTGGATATGGAGATATTTCAGCAACTAATAGTACAGAATAGATGATAGCAATATTTATAATGATTATTGGAGTGATTTTCTTTTCTGTTACAATAGGTTCAGTTAGTTCTTTGTTAACTTAATTAGATTCTTAAAATTTGAAATATAAAGAAAAAATAGATACTTTAAATGAAATTGCTAAACATCATAAAATAGATAATACTTTATATGCTAAAATTTGTAAAGTGTTAAAGTAAGGATACAAAAATAATTAGAATGAAGTAGTTGAATTTTTACATCTTTTGCCTTAAAATTTAAGGACTGAATTATCATAAGCTATGTATAAAAATGTATTTTTGGGTATTGATCTATTTAAACATAAACCATTAAGATTTACAGCATATATAGGACCTTTGTTAACAATACTTAGAATTCCAGAAGGAGATGTAATTTATAATGAAGGGGATTATGCAAGTGAAATATATTTTATTCGTGAAGGAAGTGTCTCATTATGTATAAAAGAATGTGATTATCATCCCTTTGTAACAATAGATGTAGGATAATACTTTGGAGAAATTGAATTGATTAAAGAAACCTAAAGAAAATATACAGCTATTGCTTAAAAATAATGTGAACTATTGTCTCTATCTAAATCAAACTTTTATAAAATATTTTTTTCAGAATTCAGAGAAATAGGTGAAGAATTACATGAAGATGCAAGAAGGAAAAAAAGAGATTATGAAGATAAATTTACTAAAACCAAAGCTTATTTATAAGGATTGGAATAAAAAGCTGAATAATAATTAACAGAATCCAATAATGAAAGTAAAATTAAACTTGGTTTAGAAAAATTCAAATTAAATTTAATGTTTTAAGCTTAAACTAAGAAAGGTATTTTAGAAAAAGCAATAAAAGATGCTGAATAATAGACATCAAATGAATTAAAAAGAAGAATGACACATTTAAAAACTGTGTTATTGTAAAAGGGTATAATAAATAAAATGGATGAAAAGAGTCCTAGTAGAATCTCTCCTAAATTAATCAAAACAAATACTCTAAATAGTGAAACATAAACTAGAAAATTTGATAAAAAAAATACATTTTTACCTATGGATATCATTAAATAGGCTTAATAATTAAGTTCAGATGAAGAGAATAATGTCAAAGATAAATAATAGTAAGATTAAAATAATCATCGAATTACTAAAAAGGCTATGACTACTTTTCTCTAACCTGAAACAAGGGAACATCAAGCTGAATTTCTATTATCTCAAGATGGGATGTTAAATTCTCAAACTCCATCATCTTATAATACAAATATACAATTTTTAAAAAATAGAAAAAAATAATTGTACCTCTGATATTATATATTTTATTTAATTGTAAAAATCTCATTATTGATATGAATAACAATATTTAATTGTGCATTATAAGATATATAATTAATTAATTCATTGTTCTACAATTACCTATTATTCATCTGTTTGATACTAGTTTTCCATCTTAATTTCCAATTCCTATTTACATATTGGACAATGTTTCTCTTTACCCAACCATAACTTTATGCATTTTGAATGATATATATGTTAACATGGAAGAGCTCTGCATTTATCAGTAGTCTCAAATTCAATTTAACATATTGAACATCTTTAAATTAATATAAATGTCTATTACAATTATTCATCTGTTTTGCATTAATCAAAGTTTATTTTTGGGATAGTCTTTATTTGTTCTTTACTCAAACCTCTATTCACATATCCAATTGTATCTTCAAGTTAAAGAAGTTATTCATAAGTCAGATTGTCAACATCAACAAAAACTGGAATGTCTTCATTACTATGACGAATTTAATATAGAAAGTGTCTCAAATTATTTAAATTAGTCATATGCTGTTAAAATCCATCTTGAGAATCTTATGAATTAAATTTATATATCATACATGCTTCCTCTTCTTCTTATAGATTGAGTTAACTTTCCAATTAAGTGATGTGTTCTATTAAAATCTGTCTCTCTTCCATTAGTTTATGTGATTACATTTATAATTCTTTGCAACAATTTTCTCTTTGTTTAAGTAATTGAAGTAAGAGTTAAATTTTAGTTTCTTTCTCATCAATAATCTACTTTTATCCATAAGAACTTTTACTTTCTTAGACTTCTTAACTAATTCCTCTAACAGTTTACATGATCTCAACAAATCCTCGATAATAGGTGAATTGACAGGGTGATCTTGGGGCCTACGCCTCTAAATCACTGTAGATCTGGTCATCTTTATTTCTGGAGATTAAGATTATTTGGAAACAAAAGGATACTTTTCATTTTTTAATAATTTTAATGCTAACTCTTTTCTTAATTCAGGAGAATGGCTTTTTCTTTACATGTTCATATTTTTATGATAAATATTTTTATATAAAATTAATACCAAATTTGTATATATTTATGTTGTTTTATCTCATTTATGTATAAAAATATTTATTAAAATATTTATATAATAAATATATTAGATTATATCTAAATAAGTAAAGAGTCAAGTATTAATAATATTTATAAATTTGTATTTATTAAAAAGATTAATGGTAAGATATCGCTCCTATTTGAAAATATATTTATATATTATTAATAATTATTTAAATTTGACTTTTTGATAAATCATTTTATATTTTTTAAATCTCAAGAAATCTTCTTTTACATCAAATCAGCCTTTGGAAATAATTTCTAATGATTTTATAATCGTATTAGGAGGAACAGGATATGTAAGAAAATTATTATTATTATAGACTAAAAAAAACTAAATTTAAATAATTTTCAAAGAAAGGTTGTGGAAAATGTTGTTGAATAATATTTAGTCTGTCAGAATGATTTTTTTATATAATATAATTATATACGTTTGAGTTTAATAGATTAGTTTAATTTAAAATATGACTTCTTTTTTTTCATATTATTATAAGTTGTTTTTTGATTAATATAACTCTTGTTTATCATTTTTTTCATTTAATTCAGTCATACAAGGAACTATATCCTCTTCATCTAGTATATACTCTTATTATATATTTAAGACATCCTTCAATTAATTTTATTGTTCTATTAAAGAAGATCTTTTTTCTTCTTAATAAATTTAAATTGCATTCTATTATAATTTTTGATATTTCTTTTCAAATAATTTTTAATCAACTAAATTTTAATCCATATATTTTATTATTTCCTCCTCGTAATTATTAATCAGCTAATCAATATTTTTCTTAACTTTATGTTCCAATGAATCATATTTAAGCTAAATATTATTATAAATTATATCAGTAATGTAATTTTTTATTTTTTGGATTTCATAATATATTTTACCTACTAAACATTTCTAGTCTATTTTTTAAATATAATATAAAATTGGAAGGCTGGAATAGTGTTAAATTTATTAAATTATCGCAAACTAAATAAAAATTTTATTTAAAAATATTAGTTACTTTCTTCTGATTTTATTAAATTAACAATGAATTTATATAGTTTGAGTAGAATAGAGATTGATTTGAATATAATGTATAAATTTTAAGGAAGAATTTCAGATAATATATTATTGTATTGAAGGAAAATAATATTTAAACTGATTTGTGTGTTCTGATTATATTTTGAATAATTAAATTAGTTTTTACTATCAATCTATTTTAATAATATTGTGCAAGACAAAAATTTTTCAATATTGATTTTAAAAATAATTATATAATATTTGAATTGGATATTATCTAATAGTCTATATAAGGTATAAGTATGCCAAATTAAAAAAATTATATTATTCATTCCATCTATATATTAATACTAAACATATTATTTGGATGATAAATATAAATTATGCTTTTCTTTTTTTTATTAATTTTTCTTATATAAATAATCTCATGAAAGTTTGAATTAGAAAAATTTATAAAAAGCAAAATGACCAAATTAATAGAAAAAAAAAAATTAAACAAGTGGACTTTATACATTTGAATTAAAAAAAAGGAATAAGTGTGAAGAGGCAGTTTTATATTGTAAAATAATTGATGTCATGATTACTTTTATGTTTTTGCGTTTTTGGAAACCTTTACTAAATTCTTGCTTTTTAGTTAATATGGAAGGTCTTTCATAATGAATGTTTGATATAGAAATATTAGATTAAGTATTGCGATAGATGTAGATAATAATAAATTAGTAAAAATAAATACCATTTTCTATGATTAAGGATGTTAATCGAATTACATAAAATATATTAGTTAGTAATAGTAATGATACAATATTTATCATCTTACTTGCTAACTTAATTAAGTAATTATTTTTATCAGAATTTAATTATGTTCAATAAGATGTAACAAAAATAAAGTGTCTAGAAATCATTAAAAGTGTAAACTATTACAGAAGCTATGCAGAAATAGATGATAGATACCCTCTTCCAAGGAGTAAGAATCAAACAGGATCAATTTTGGCTATAGATTGTGAAATGGTTGAATGTGAGTTGTCAATTATAACGTTTATGTTTTTTTGGATCAATATTACAAACCAAGATTTAAGGTGATAAATTATATTACACGAATCTCTGAGATTAATCCATATATAATAAAAGATAAACCAGTTTATAATGACTTTGAGAAATAGAAGCTTTAGCCTTTATTTAAAGGTAAAAATTGTTATTATTTATAGATAAAACTATAATTGGACATATTCTGAAAAGTGATTTTGATGCTATGGAATGGAATTTAATGTTGAAGATTACCACACAAGAGATTTGATGAAAATAGATTTTTTTAAATTAGAAAAAGGATCAAGTAATACTATAAATAATATGAGGGCTTAAAAAAGATGTATTTGAAGTATTTGGGCTAACTTATTCAATAATGTCAGCATAGTTCTGAGATTGATGCAAGAGCTGCCTTATTATATTTAGAAAATTTAGTGATGAAATCAATTTGTAGTATAATTAATTAGAATGGGAAAAGACAAATAAAAAAAATAAAATTCAAAAAATAATTTAAAAAGTAAATAAAAAGTACCTTTGAAATAATATCAAATTAAGAAATTTTAAACTTCAAAATAACATAATGAAAAACCTTAGGAAAGGAATGATGTAATGAAAGTTTAAATTTAAAAGAAGACAATATCAAAAAAGAAAAGTTAATGATGCAAACATTAAAAAATTAATATTAATTTAAAAATATGTATAATATTAAAATTTCTCCCAAACAGAAATCAGATGACAGATCTATAATGAATTAAATATTGAAAGAAGAAGCATTTTTCTTGAACCAAAAGCAAGGAGATATTCATTCTTTTGTTTTAGATGATGATTAAGATTAGCTTCTTAATAAATTATTAAATGTTCATAAGATGACAAACATAGATAAAGAGAATTACACTAAGCATATCAGCTATTGTGTTAGAAATTTAGGATAAAAATCAATTGATAAATTACCTATGATTATGGAAAAATATGTAATATTGTTGTAATATTTTAATTTAGAAAAATGAAGATGAAAGATTTTAAATAATGTTTATAGAATAACTCAATTTGATATATGAAGCAAATTAATAAGCTTAGTAACCAGTCATACAAATTTTGAGCTTTTTCTTGTTGAATAGCATTTTGAAAATCAAAGAGTTTGCAGGTTAATAATTAACAAAAATTGCTCTTCATTTATAAGGAGATGAAAAAGGAAATTAACTATTACCTATCATAATAAAAATGGCACATGATGACATCAATCAGGATAATAGAATAGTGGCATTATAATTGATGGGTAAACTTTCATCAATGTTTGGGATATAATTAAGCGAATCTTTTATAGCATTTGAAGTAATGTCTCTTGGAGAGGATTCAAAACAAGATGTAAGAAAAGAGGCAGTAAATTAATTGCCATTGGTTGCAAAAGTAGTTGGAAAAGATTTTTTTAATAAGAAATTGTTTCCATTTTATATGAAAAAATGCAAAGAAACAAATACAAAAGTAAAGACTTCATGTGTTGAGCATTTTTTATAAATTGTAGAATTGTCATCTTAAAATTAAAAAACTGTTGATCTTACAGCCCAAATATTATAATTCTAAAAGTACTGAATTAATTACATTTTTAGTGATTCTAATAAATATGTTAAGGGAGTAGCTTATAGATGTTTAGCTAGATTTATTGCAGCAATTGACAAAGAAAAAATTGAACCAAAACTAATAGAAAATTATTTGAAAATGGCTGATTCTGATATAAGAGAATTACTTCCTGAATAGTAAGTAATGTTTGCATGTGCTTATGGTTTTCCTGCAGTTTTATAAACAGTTGGAGTTGCAAGATGGTAATAATTGCATAAATTATTTAATCATTTATGGAAATAAAAAAATGAAAGAATTTGTAAAACTTTGGCAGCCAGTCTTCATGAAATAGCTAAAATTATTGGAGCAGAAAGAGCTGAAATAGATTTATTTCCTATTTTAGAGACTATATTTGTAAAAGAACCAAATGATAATGTATTAATGGGTTGTGTTAAGAATTTATCTTAATTTTTGAAGATATTTTCAGATGAAAAGAAAGAAGCATTTTTAGAAATATTTTTTTTTATTTAGAGAGATTAAAAAAAATGGAGAATCAGAGAATCTATTGCTAATTAATTAGATGAAATGGCTCTTATCTTTCCAGCAGATATTATATTTAAAATGATTATTCCTATTGCTTTTAGATTATGCACTGACAATGTAGCATAAGTTAGAAAAATAGCATCTTCTAAAATATATTCATTCTTTGAAGGAATAAAAAATTCATAATTGTATGAATAATATAAGATCTGTATCATTGAAAGTATGATTGGTTTTTAAAAGTCATCAGTATTTTATCAAAGATAATCGTATATTTTTCTATTATATATAGATTTATTTAAATGTGTTCAAAAATAATGAATTTAGAGGATGACATCTTTGAAAAACATCTTCTAAAACCTTTATTAGAATTAGCATAAGACAAAGTTTAGAGTGTCAAGTATATGTTATATATGGCAATAGAGAATCATTTAAAAAATTAGGGTAACTATTGATTTAAAATTAAAAGGAAAATAAAAAGGAAATCCATAATTATTAGAAGTATTTAATACACTTTAAAATGACAAAACTATTAAATCTCTAGTCAAATATTAACCAACTTTGGATGTTTAAGTTAAAGAGCCAGAGCCAAAATAATAGGAGAATATAATTGCTAATCCAGAACCTATCAGTTAGGAGCCTTTGTTAGAAGAAATTGATGATGACGATATACCTTAAAGAAAAGTATAAGAAGAACCAGAAATTTTAAAATAATTGAGATAAGAAAAATAAGAATTTATCAAGAAATAGGAGGAAATCTAAAAGGAGTAATTAGTTAAGGAAGAAATAGTTGAATTAGTTGAGTAGTTATCTTTGAATGAAAATACAGAATCAAATGTATAAAGTGATTAAAATACTGAATGCATCTAAGATACTTCATCAGATTATAACATTTAAAATAATGAGTCTCAAGAATTATAATAGTTTGAATAATTATAAGGATAAGGTGAATAATAATAAAAGCAGAGTGATGAATTATAAGTGAATGAAGAATATGAATAAGGATCATAAACTGATTAAAAGGAGATAAATACTGAAGAAGATGCTTCATAACTTTGAGAATTTTTTGTGACAATAATTAATTATAAATATTAAAGAAAATCAATTTACTTGTGTATGAAGTTTAAAATTATGTCTTTTAAATCTTCTTTAATTGTTTTCTATATATTCTTTACAAATTAACCCTGCTTCATTAATTGTTTTAATTTCTGGATTGAATTAAACAACCTTTTTCTTACTTTTTGAATTTCCTTTAAAAAAGAGTGTACTGACATTTGAATTTCCTTGAAAACCTGGTGTTCTTATATTTCTTATCGGTGTTTTTGAAGAATATTTTTTATTTAATTACTATGAATCTTAATTTATTCTAATAGGAGAGTTTTAATGAGACAAAACTTATTTCACTACAGTTGATTTCTAAATATTAGAAAATCTTCCAATTTTAGGAAGTTTAATATATTTTCTTTCAGTTGATATCTATTCATTATCTATAAGTTTAATATGCAAATCTTCTAGTTAATCATTTTTTTATTATTAATTAGAAAGCACAGAATTATTGACTATACTATTAATATCATTTAAAAAAAGTGAGGGTCTTAGAGGTCTATTTTAGTAGTTGATAGATCTTTATTTATCTTCATTTTGTATTTATTCCAATTTTTACAACAGTATATGTTATTATTCTGTGATTATGAACATATTAATGTTAAAATTTATAAATGATAAGTATACTGTTGATAATTAAATTTCATGTGTAATTATATAATACAATTTAATTATTTGTTATGATTTATTTAAATATTAATATCGAAATTTGTTTTTCGATTAGTGTTTTATAACTAATTTCCAATAATCTAAATATTGGAGTCTATAAACAAATAAGAATTTAGATTTTCTATTTTAATTATTATTGCTAAAGATAAATATCTTATAGAAATGCTAAATTATTGAGATAAATAGATATGAGAGGGATGAATAATAAATCATAGAGATTGTTAGATAGTTCAACTAAAGACATTTGAATTATTATATATTTATATATAAGTGCTTGAGTATAATTTATGAAAAATTCAAATCTTTTTAATAATTAATGGCATTTGTTAAGCTTGTTAAAGGAAAACCATACTTCAAAAGATTCTAAACATAATTCAGAAGAAGAAGAGAAGGAAAGACTGATTATTATGCAAGAAGCAGATTAATTGTATAAGACAAGGATAAATACAATTCCCCAAAATATAGATTTGTTGTTAGACACACAAATACTAAGATCATCTGCTAAGTCATTTATGCTACATTGAAAGGTGACAAAGTAGTGGCATCCGCTGAATCAACTGAATTAAAGAGATTTGGTTTGACAACCGGTTTAAAAAACTATGCTGCTTCATATGCCACAGGATTATTATTAGCCAGAAGAACACTTAAGACATTGAAAATGGATAAATTCTATGAAGGCAATAAAAATATTGATGGAAACTTGTATGATGTAGCTGATAAAGAGAATCCAGAAAGAAGACCATTCTTTGCTGTTCTTGATATTGGTTTGGTTAGATCAACTCTTGGAAATAGAGTATTTGCTGCCTTAAAGGGAGCTGCTGATGGTGGTATTCACATCCCACACAATAACAGAAGATTCCCAGGATTCTCTGTTGATAATGATAAGAAAGAGAAATATGATGCCAATGCTCACAAAGATAGAATCTTTGGTGTTCATGTTGATAAATATATGGCTCTTTTATAAAAGGAAAAGAAGACAAACAAAGATGGAAGATCTAAATTTGATGTCTAATTCCACAATTGGGAATAAACATTGAAGACTGTATATTTTAATTTTATATAAATAGACTGGTGCCAAATCAGTTTAAGAATTATTCAAGAAAATTCACGATGAAATCAGAAAGAATAGTGATAGAGTAAAGAGAGGTGTTAAATAAAATCCAAAGAGAGATCACACTAAATTCAGAGCCAAGAGATTAAATGCTAAATAAAGAAGAGCTAATGCTTTAAAAAAAATCGATATTGCCACCAAATAAGCTGCAAAATTAAAGAAAAAGGCATGATTTCATTTATATTTGGTACATTATAAAATATCCCTTACCTATTCTATTATTGTATGTATTTTATTAAAATAATTAATTATGATCCAAACTCATAATGAATAATGTGATCACTTCTAAAAAGATGAACTTAATGCATTATCTGCTATCTATTTATCAGACTATGAGTAATTAAAAGATGTGCATCCTTATTCATTTTAAATAATTGTTGCCCCATTTGTACCAGCAGATTAATTTTATCATGATAATGTAGTTTATTGCAAAATATTCATTGCCTTTCCTGATGATTATCCATTAAAATCATAAAGATTTCATTTTGAAATTTAAGGGTTGAGTAGAAATTTCACATAGGATTATTTAATAAGAGCAAGAAAGGTTTGTGAATAAGTAATTGAACAACATGAAAAAGAAGCAGATTGTTAACCAATAGTCTTTGCAGTTGTTGAATCATTAAGAGTAATAATATTAATTACATTTTAGGATTATGTTTATGATCAATCAATGTATTTATAAGAATTATATGATCAATAAAACTCAAAGACTGATGATAACTATATATATATACCACCCATGCCTAAATTTGCAACAAACACTCCTGTTACACTTGAAAGTTTTACTATTTGGAAGAAGAAGTTTGATTAAGAGATTTATGAAATTAAAAAGAGAGAAAAGAATTTTACATAATTAGAAGAAATGATGAAAAAAATTAGTGGAAAGTAATATTTTGATAGAAAACAAAACAAAGAAGATGATAATGAAGTCTTAGAAATTATTAATGAGGATGATGATATTGTTGAATTAGAAGATGAAGATTATTAAGGAGAAGAAGATGATGAAGAAGATCAAGATAGACCTGTAATTATATATAATTTATTTTTTAGTTGTATGAAAGAGAATAACTTGAATGATTTTTATAATTATGTAATTATCTATAAATATTGAATTAAATGATTGTTGGAACAATCATTATTTCTATTTTATCATCTATTAATTAATGAAGATTAAATTCTTTTAGTGATTCTTCATTAATCTTTAGATATTCTAAATATTTTCATTCAAATAAATGATTCTTTAGTAGTATTTCTAATAATAAATACACTAATTGATTAAATCTAATCCCTTAAACATTTAATATTAATTTGTAATTATTCTCTTATTTTATTTATAATTATCAAACTCGAAACATAGTTTTCTTTTAAAAATTGACATTTAAACCATTTTATTATAAATTATTTATACATGAAATTTAAATTTAAATTGAAAAAAATCAAAATTATCTCATTTTAGGATCTATTGATTATATATTTACTAAATTTTAAAGGTAAACTTTAACAAATATCAAAAACTAAATTATAATTTATCATAAGATGTGTTAAACATCTTGTAAAAATTACCTAAATAAATCATAACAAAAATTTTGTTAAAACATTATAAATCCTAATTGGTTTGATATTTGTATATAGATTTTATCTATATAAAAAACTTAGCTAATCTTATTTATGAAACAATAAAAAAATTGGAAAGCTTTTGAATAATCACAAAAAAAGCTTTAATTATGTTCCATTTCATCACCAATAAATGGAATTCCTCTAAGAAAGTGTTATTCAAAGAATCAAAAAATATGAGTTTCTTCCATTTGTCACTAAATAGATGAAGTACTAAAATCTTCGAAATTTTGATTATTTATAAATCCATAGTACTGGAGATTATAAAGTGGTAAAATATTTTTAAATTAGTAGATTGAACACAAAATATAATGATTATAGTTTTGCTTTTGATTGTAAATATGAATAAAAATTTATGATAATTATTATTTATATTTGATGTCAACTTAGTATAGAGTACCCTCTAATGACAATTACATTCGTGACTTAGAAAACATCTCTCAAAGGTATATATGATGTATAATGAAAGAGAGCGTCATGGATTGTTTAACTAACCACCACCTTTATCATTGGGGGATTAATATAACGATGCTTTGAAAAGTATAGAATATTTTCTAATTATGAAGGCTAAGGCAAAGAGAAAGGAATTCTAATTAATAAAAAACTCTAAAAAAAACATGAACCTGTTTTGTTTTCAGAACCTGGTTATACTACATTAAATGATCCATATAAAGACTAATTTAAAGCTAAATAAATTTACGACAAAGAGAGAGAATTAGCCATAAAAAATACTAATAGTTTTAAACCGAATGACCATTAGAAATCTGTGTATATAATTTAACTTATTCAGTAAACATTCTGAATTTGAACATATGAAGGAATATAATGATAAAGTCTTTAAAACTCGAAATTCAGCAGGAAATGTAATTACTTAGGCTAGGAACTTTTTGACAAATCCAGCAAAGAAAGGATTAGGCAGAACAACAATTAAAAATTTGTTTGGTTAGATTGAATATATTCCTGATCCTTATGATAGATAGGAAGAAATGGAAAGATAGGAGAGAATCTAACATAAAAGTAAGTAATTGCCTGGAACAACAAGATTTGTCACAACAAGTCATGGAAATAGGCCCTTTACTGCAGATGGTGTCTTATTAGATGGAGCAGGATATACAATATGTAATAATATCAATAATTTTTTAGAAAAAAAACCACCTACATATAAAGGAAATCCATTTAGACCATCAAATTAAAATAAAAAAGGATTTTAAGGAACTTTTGAAGTTCTTTAATATATGGAGGAAGGAGTTCCAGATATCAAAACAAAATAAAATACATTCGAAAAATTAAGTGCCACCTAAACATATGAAAAACCTTGGAGACCTAATTCAAATGGAACATTTGCTAGACCTTGTCCTAGTGTGTCTTAATAATTACGAAATAGAAGTGCAGGATCAAATTAAAGATTATGAAATGCTTATGATAGAATTTTCATATGTAAAATTGATTCTAATTATTTTTCTTTAAAAATTTCTTAATATATTAATACATTAATGTGAAATATCATTTTATTTTCTACATACAATAAATAAAGATATTATACAAACTTTATAATGTTATTGTCAAAAGCAAAATAGATAGTATGTATTTCAAAAACAGGTGAGAGATTTAAATTTGCTAATCCTGACCTTTGTATTTTAGAAAACGCATCTGTAGCAATTAATGAGTAGGGAATGATTGTTGATATTGGAGATATCGATGAAAAATATTAAAATTATAAAATTGTAGATTGTAGAGGCAGATGTGTATTACCAGGATTGATTGATGCTCATACTCATCCTTGTTATGCAGGAGATAGATCTGGAGAGTTTAAGATGAAATTGGAAGGAGCAACATATATGGAAATTCACAATAAAGGAGGAGGAATTATGTATACATCTAGATGTGTGAATTAATCGAGTTAAGAAGAATTAGAATAGATTTTAGAAAGTGGAATCAAGAGAGCTATTAGAAATGGAACAACTACTATGGAAGCAAAATCTGGATTCGGTTTGTCCACAGATGGCGAAGTCAAATAGTTATTGACTATTGAAGCTGTAAGCAAAAGGAGTCCTATAGAAATAGTTTAAACTTATTTGGGAGCTCATGCTTTACCACCTGGATTGAGTGAGAAATAAGCAGAATAGGATATTATCAATAATCAAATTCCATAAATCAAGAAATTAATAGATGAAGATAAAATCCATCCTGAATTTGTAGATGTGTTTTGTGAAAAGGGAATATATGAATTAGAATCTACTAAAAATATATTATAAGAAGGAGCAAAGATAGGATTGATTCCATCTTTTCATGGTGAAGAATTAAATCACTTAGAATCAGCAAAATTAGGAGCAGATTTAGGAGCAATAGCTATATCCCATTTAGAACATGTAATTTATATTTATACTATTTTTAGTTATCTAAAGAAGGAATATAAGCTATGGCAGAAAAAAAGGTTGTTGGGATTATTCTTCCAACAACTTAATTCATCTTAAAACTTTAACCTCCTCCAGTTAGAGAGATGATTGACAGTGGAGTCCCAACTGCTCTAGCCACTGATTATTGTCCAAATGCATATTGCATGTCTCTTCCTTTCACTATGAGTTTAGCATGTTTGAATTTGAAAATGAGACCAAATGAAGCTTTATGTGCAGTTACTCTCAATGCTGCCGCTGCATTAAATAGACATAAAACAATTGGTTCTATTGAAATTGGAAAATAGGGAGATTTTGTCATTTTAGATGCTCCTACTTGGGAACATCTAGTTTATTAAATTGCTGATTCTCCAATTTGGAAAGTCATCAAGAAAGGCAAAATTATTTATGAATATTTATGATACATAAATAAAATTTATTAAAATAGTTTTCTGTTATAAATTAAAATTAATTTTATGAATATATATAATTTTAGAACACTTTTTTTAGTAATTATTTAAGATAGTACAAATTGATTGATGCTAAGAAATTTGTTCGATTTTTAATTTAAATTAAATGTCTAAGGAGAATAAATGTTCACGTTTCAAAAAATCAAAAAAGCAAATTGATACTCTTAATGACTTTTACCAAAAACAATAGATCTGGGGATAAAATACAATAAAAGAAATAGCTAACCTGACTAATTTACCAAAGGAGAAAATATATAAATGGTATTGGGATCAAAACAAGAAATTTAGGTAAGAATTACCATCAGATGAAATTGAAGGAGAGATAATAGTTAAATAAGATCATTTGAGTTCAAATACCCATGAAATACTATATTGTAGTGGACTTTAATTAAATTAAGAATTAGATGAAAATTTAAAAAATAGGCTAATCAAATTAGCCAGAGATTTGATTTTAATAAAATGAGGATTATTTATTTTCAAAACAAGTCAAGTATATATTTCAAAAATTTTAATTATTTAAATATGTAAATGTACTTCTTCATTCAATATTTATTCTTTTGATTCTGAAATTTTGAAATAATATTTGTTAAAATAATTGAAAGTGTATAAGTTTAAATTGAAGTTGTATTCATAATAATTAATTCATATGATTTCTAATATATGCTTACAAAAAAAGTAAAGGATAATTTTTATTTTATATTAATAATGAGAAATGACAATTCCCCTGTTAATTAATAAACTAAGGGTAATCTAAGTTATCAGAATTAATCCCCAAGAAAACAACATACACCTTAAGATACAATGTCATAGATTTTATAATTCAATCCTTAATTGTCAAATCAAAAATCCACTTCACCACATAGACCAAAAGATTAACCAAAAGAAAGCTTCTATTTTGTTTAGGATGATGGCTAAAGATAATAAGAAACATAGCTTAAGTTTAATAAAGTTAAGAATAATTACCATATTACTAAGCAGTTAACAAATAGAAATGATAAATAGAGAAAGTTAGTTGATCTATCAAGTAATGTATTTGAGAATAATCAAAATATTGATGTAATTCCTAAATCTCCTGAAAATTAATAATTAATTAATACATCAGTTTAATGGACAAATGTGCATTATGGTAAAGTACTCACATCTGTTAATGAGAAAGCAGAATTCGGAAAAGATTATGCAAAACAAAGAAAACATCAAGACTTACAATAATAATATCAAGAGGGGACACAACATAAAAGTCCTTAAAAAATAATAGAGAATGAGATAAATATTTAGTCTAAGAAATAAAATTAATAATTCTCTGATATTTTTGGATAAGAATTAGGAAATAAAGAAAGAAAGTGGTTAAGACCATAGCGTAGTCTTTCGCCTTAAATAAAATGGACTACATTTGATAGTACTAGAGATTACAAAGATTTTGGTGATATGAGTATTAAAGTATAATACTATATTACAATATATAGGAATCTAAATTACGTAATATAAATACTGATAATCAAAAAGATAATCAGAAAGACACTCATAAATTAAATCATCCTTTGACTTCACCATTTTTCGATGTAAAATATATTATAGTAATATTGATAGTGTTAAATATCTTATGAAAAGATTAAAGGTTAATATAAATAATAGAATTAATTCAAAAATATAGAGAATGGATCTTAAAAGAAATTTGGACAAGAAAAAAAGATTGAATAAAGTAGTAGTAATAAAAAGTATGAAGGGATTTACTCATGGAAAAATAACTATTAAAAATGAAATTATTTATTTATTTTTTTTTGTAATGTAATAATTAAAGAATAATTACATTGAATATCTAAAAGATGGAATTTAGATGAATAAAGTAGAAATGTAGGATTATGGTGGAATGTTTGGAATTTAAGCTATTGATAATATTCAATCAGGAGAATTTCTTATTAAAGTTTCCCATAATTATGCAATAAGTGCATTCACAGTATTCTAAAATGAATAATGTGTAGATATTATGAAAAAGAATCCTCATATATATCCATCATTACAATAAATTAGTAATAAAAAAAGTGATTTTCAAACATTAATTCTTTATTTGACAACATAAAGACATGGAAAATTAAAGTCAATATTTGATCTTTCAACTAATCCTACTTGTTTGCTTGATTGTGATTAACCAATACCATTTGATTATTTAAGAGAATTAAAACATGAATTTGAAGAAGAATATAAAGCAGCCAAAGATGAAGTAATGGAAATAGGATTAAATGCTGATGATTATGATTGGGCTTATAGATATTGTATGAATAGAAGACTAAGTGTTAATAATGATTATCCTTTCTCATTTTTAGTACCTATGATAGATATGATTAATCATGGTAAGAATAAAGCTATCTTTGGCTTGGAATAAGAAAATTATTAACCAGAAGAATACATTTAAAATAATTATATGAAATTTAAATACATTTCTTAAAATAAGTATTGGTTTAGTCAGGAAGATTAAGAAATAATAGGGAGTCTAAAAGTAAATGAAAGTGAAAGATGTTCTAAAATATTGAATAAATTATTGGAAAAATTATTTTAAGAATTACTTAGAACAGGATCATCAGATATATGGATTACAAAATTGATGATACCAGATGATTCAGAAGATGAAGATGAACCTACTACTTAATAAAGCAATCATTAATCTCAATAATTAGATAATAAAGATTCAAAAGTCTAAGCTGCAGTAAATGATGATTATCTTAGAGATTACTATGAATAATCTTTGGATTAAAGTGAACATGATTGGTACACAGATATACAACGATAAACTCTCAAATGTCCAGCATATCTTACTGCAAGAGCAGTGGATGATATAGAAAAAGGAGAGTAGGTCTTAAATTTATATGGATGTTTGGGTAATGAACATTTATTGATGTATTATGGATTTGCACTCAATAAAAATAAATACGACAGAGTTAAATTCAGAATATTTATGGATTGCAGTACAAAGTATGATTTTCTTACAAATATTGAAAAATTGGTTTAATTACATTATGTTCCCTATAAAGAACTATTAAATTTAAATACTAGAGGAATTAGTCTTAATTAATTAACCTCTGAATTTAAAATAAAGAAAAGCTAATTCAATTTAGATTTAATTAAATTCCTTAGAACTTATTTACAATTATTAGATGGAGATGAATTAATTAATCATGAGACTATTATAGTTCTGTATAGAAGAATTATTAATTCTTTATATAAAAAGATTTCATCACCTATTATTACAAGAGATTCATATTGGGGAGAACAACTATATAATTATTAAAATTCAAAAGCAAGAATCTTAAAAGCTCACTTAGAAATGATAGATAATCTGACAACTAAACCAGAAAAGATGGATATCAAAGTGTTTATGAGATTAAGAGCATATTTACTTAAATAAAACTGAAATTATTTATTAATATTATCAAGAGTAATTCTCTTCTAATAATTCAGGATATTCTTTATCTATCTTTAAGACTAATTCTCCAAATAATCCATTTGCCCATGCAAACCAAGATCTTGTGAAACTAGAAGGGTTATCTTTGAAAAAGCTTTCATGCATAAACCATTTATTTCCTGTAGTTGTTACTAACATTCTTAAACATTCTCTCAGTTCTTATTTATCATTAGTAGTCAATCCTTATGTTACAATAGCCATTGGCCATATGTAATTAGTTCCAATATGAGGACCACCTATACCTTTAGCTGCCGTTCCTTCAAAATAATAAGGATTAGCTGAGCTTAATGCTTTTTTTCTAGTTGCTTAATATAATGGATCATCAATTTCAATAAATCCATAAATAGGAAGAGAAAGTAAACTTGGTTGATTTGAATCATCCATAAATACTTACTTACCCATTCCATCAACTTCATAAACAAAAGCTCCATCCTTTATTCCATATTTATATATAGCATCTCTAATTTCAGAAGATAATGCGAAAGCCTCTTAAATTAAAGGTTCAGCAGCTTTTCTTAAAGACCAAGATAGTTAAGCTTCACTTAACATTTCAGCTGTTTATTTTAAAATTGCTGAGGCCATAGCATTTTCTGGTATATTAAATTAATAGACTGTAGAATCATCAGAGGCTCTAAAAAATGTTCTTAATAATCCAGTTCTTTTAAGTGGTTCACCTATTCCATTAATAACTGTATCAGTTGATCTACCATTTCTTTAAAAAGTATAAGGAAATCTGAAGGTTGTAAATTATTCTGTTTGATCTGCTTGTTAATCTTTAAATGTTCTCAATATTCTTTAAACAGCCTTTAAGTATTTAAAATTTATGATAGATGTATCATTAGTTTCTTTATAATAACCAACAACTAGTCTTAAAACAGCCACCAATGAATCTATTTCAAATTTTCTCTCATGTAAATGTTATGACATTGCGTGAACATTAACACCTAAAAAACATCGAGTTGTATTATCATTGCTCCATTCTGATTATTTCTTTTGATAATTAAATGCATTAGCATATGGATCAATTAAAACTTAATTAATTTATCGATTGATAGCTCCTTTAATTAAATTTTATAATTTGCTATCCTTATTCACAAACTCCATATAGGTCCATAATTAATTAGTACTATCTCTTAACCACATTGCTGTAATATCACCTGTAATCACAAAGGCATCTGGAACATTTGGATCATAATTTGTTACTGTTGTATCAAGAGTATTTGGAAATGAATTGATAAAAGTATATTTAAGTTTATTATCTTTCATTTTTTCTGAAATCTATAAATTATACATAAATTTACTCTGCTTATAGTTTTCTCTATTGCTTCTGATTCGAATTTCTTTTAGGTAGGTCTTTAATTTGATTATGCCAAAAGATTGCCTATAAGCAAAGAAGAAGCAATTAATATAAAATTCATAATATTAATTTAATGGAGCTTTAATTCTTTTTATTATTAAAGACCAGAAAAATTAGATAACATTATAATGATATGATTCTTTAGTTCTATATAAATTTTTACTCAATTTTATTTAGAATATCTCTTATATTTCCAAATAAGTAAAATTTTATTAGTAGAATTCAATTAAAAAATCCTAAAATTTAATCATTATGCAGTTACAAAGTAATAAAGAAATGATAGATTAAGATTAAATAGAAATTTATTTATGAAGGAAAGAGATAAAGTAATTGATGAAAGAAAAAAAATAATAAAAATTGATATACGTGGTTTGAGTATATAATTATTTAATTGATTCATATATTTATGTTTCCAATATTATTGAGTCTCTTCACTATCTCTTGGTGTAGCATTGAGGAAACCAAAGAAATCATGCAAGATTGGGATAAATATATGAGAGGCTTTCTACCTGATGATATGATCTCATTCTAAATTGAAAAAGGAGGCGAGGAGATATTTATTGAGACAATTAAGAAAACTCCCACTAACATAAGAGGCACCTTCTTTATTCCTATATACACTATGGACACTATAGATTTTAAGGTTATTGATCCTTCTGGTTCAATGATTTATGCAAAAATGATGAAAAAAGAAGCAGTGTTTAATTTCAATGCCACTGAAAAAGGAGATTATCAATTGATATTTCAAAATAAAAGAGCAAAAGAGGCTAAAGTTGTTCAATTTGCTATTGATGTTGCCAAATCTGATAAAGGTATATATATTATTGATATCGTTTTTTTTTAGAGGAAATCGAATAGAATGATATAGATCCTATTGAAGATGGTGTATAAGGAGTACTACAGAAAATAAGAGATGTTTTCTATAGCACAAAATTGAATGAATTAAAATCTAAAGGAGCTTTGGCTGATGTATAAAAGATAAATAAATAATTGATGGTTTTGACATTTATAGAAACTGTTGCTATTTGTGGAGTGACAGCATGGTAAGTATATTACATAAAGAAATTACTCAATGATAGAAGATTAGTGTGATTATGTTAATATATTTATTCTTCGAATTCAATTCAATTAAATGTCAGATCCTAATTCAAGAGCTGCAAGATTGAATCTCAATCCAATCTCTACATCAAATTAGAATGCTTAAATCTTAAAGGTATATATATACCACATCTATTCATTCTAGAAATTGGCATTTAGTATCAATAGTGGATAATCTTCCACTATTAGAGCCCTAAGTGCTCCTAATACTGCTTAAAATAATAGAATGCAATTAGAAATCGAATCAAAATATAGTAATTAGTATGAAGAGCTAGCTAAAATTGGATAAGGAAATTTTGCTATTGTATTTAAATGCAGGAACACTCTCGATTAGTCGATTTATGCAATTAAAAAGACTAAGGCATAACCTAAACAAAACTTAGAGACAAGTGATGCCAGGTAAGAAGCCTGCATTTTAGCAAATTTATTTAGTAAGAGTGATACAAAACACATTGTTAAGTATTATAATTGTTGGATAGAGTAGAATCAATTTTTTTTAGTTATGGAATATTGTGATTATAATCTAAAGTATTAAAAACAATATTAAGAATGGGAAATCAAGATCATTTTAAAACATATTTTAGAAGGTCTAAAATTTTTACATAGCAAGAATTTAGTCCATATGGATATTAAACCAGAGAATATACTATTTAAAAAAAAAGATTTGAGTTTTAAGATTGCAGATTTTGGATTGTCAAGACTTTAATTTGTAAAAGAAGACGAAGATATTAGAGATGGTGATTAAAGATATACAGCTCCTGAAATCATGGAATATGTATTAAAAACTATATCTAGATGAATTTTGGTACTCCAATAGATTTATAAAAAGTTGATATATTTGCTTTTGGATGCACAATTTTTGAATTAATGATTTAAGAAGAATTGCCAAAATCTGATAATTAATATCATGAATTAAGAAGAGGTATTACCAAACTCAATTTTAAAGATGTAGGTAAAAAAACCATCCATTATTTTATTTAGGAATTTAATATTCTGATTCTTTGATTTAAATTGTTTGTTAAATGATGGCCCCTAAATAAGAGGATAGGCCTACTGCTGAATAATTATTAAAAAATACTTATCTTTATGTACCTAAAGAAAATAAATTAAGATTTTTGGAAAACTCAAATCATATATTATTTGAAGAAAAATAAAGAATTTAAATAAAATAATTAAAAGAAAATAAAAGAAGGAAAACTATTGGATCTTCCTTGGAATTTAAAGGAAAACCGTGTGTTTAGAATGATGTATAAAAGATGATTGAAAGAAAAAAATAAGAATAAGACGGAAGTTTTAGAATTTCAAGAATTGATTATTATTAATAAGAGAAGGAATTGAATGGCAAAATTTTAAAATCTTCTAAAGATATTAGTGAGAAGTAAGATTAATCTCAGTATCATATAAAATTTGAGTACTAGAATTCTAGAAATAAAAGTGCTTGATATCTAATTATATATTAAATTAAATATTATAAAAGGGAACAAATATTCTTATTTTGTATTTTTAAAAACAACATCTAAATATGGATCCCGAAGAAAAATAATTAATTGGTTCAATCCTAAGTGGTATGTGACTATAATGATAATGTATTAGATGAAAGCGAAGTGAGAATATGTGAAAGGAAATAACCTCGAAAAAAGAGTAAATTATCACTGAACGCCAAAGAGTTTTAACCTACTTTGATTAATTCCATAGAATAAATTGAAATTCTAGGAGATAATCATGGGAATGACACATTGACTTACAATTCTACAAACACATAACCTTATATGTATATATTCTAATTTTACATGTTAGAATTAACGAAAGATAAAAACAGAAGAAATCATCTATTAAAATTCATCATGATTTAAAGTAACTATAATTTTCACCTAAAAAACACTAAACTATGCAACCTATAAGTTAAGTTTAAACCTACTTTTTGACATTTAATAGCCATCCTTCTCTATAAGAAGATAATTAAGTTTAGCTATAATTGAGGTAAGATGATTATCAATTTAGAATTAGTTTGGTAATACATTTAATTATATGTTAGGAATAAATATGTGGGAATTAGAATGCTTCAAGAAATCTTCAAAAAATTTTTGATAATGGTACTCCATTATAAAGAAGTATGATATTTGAGACAATTGAAAAAAATTTAATTAAGACTTCAAAAGATTTATTTGGAAATTATTTGGTTTAAAAAATATTTTTATCAGGTATTTTTATAAAATAATTGATTTAGGTGAAAAATAATGGAAATTTAGTTTATTTTATCAATTAAAAGGTCATTTTGTTGAATTATCTAAAAATCAATATGCTTCTAGAGTTATTAATAGAATGATAGAATTTTTAAAAGATGAAGATAATCATCTTGAAATTGAATTTATAGACGAGATAAAATATTAAATTAGATAATTAATAAATGATAATAATGGTTGTTTTGTATTATTAAGTTGTTTAGAGAATTTTGATGAAAAAATTTGTGAATATATGAAAAAACATATAGAGTAATCAGTCTATTCTATGTCTTAACACACATATGGATGTAGAATTATATAATTTATGCTTTAAAAATAAAATAGTTAATCATTATTAGATTAAATTATGGATGTATCATAATAACTTTGTATTTGTGAATTTGGTAACTACATAATTTAGTTTATATTGAAGAGTAATTTTAAATAGTAAAAAATGGAACTGTTCAGAATTATTAAGAGTAATTTTTAAACATTATCTTACAACAAATATGGTAGCAATGTTGTAGAAGTATTTCTTGAAATAATTGAATAAGAAGATATAAAATTTGTTACTAATATCATGTTGAATGTTGATCAAGAAAATAAGTAGATTTTATTATAAAATTTTAGTTATTTATTTGTTGCTTTTGCAACACATCCTTTTGGAAATTATGTTTTTAAAAAATACTTATAGTTAGATTAATAATATATCATTCCAGTTCTTGGAATAATAAAGAGACATCCAGAATTACTATAATAAATCAATACTTCTGAATATGGATAAAAGATATTCTCTGTTGTAGAAAGATCCATTCAATTTATATGAATAAAAATGTTTGTGAATTGTATTAAGTTTGTATTATGCAGTATATTAATATAAATGAAATAGTATACACTTCCAAATTAAATTGTTTAATATTACTCTCCATTTAGATCGAATGCATAAAAAACAGTTATTTAAGATGGTGAAAATACTTTTGTGATCGACCCTCAATATTAATACTTAAGTATAAGTAAATAATTGCATTCTATTAAATAAAGTTGGATAAGGATCGTATGGAGTTGTTTTTGCTGCTAAAGACACTAAAAAAGATTAAGGAAGAGACTTAGTTGCAATAAAAAAGATAGTTAAGGCATTTGAATAAAGGCTTTTTGCAAAAAGAACACTTAGAGAATTAAGACTTTAAAGGTTATTCAGTCATGAAAATGTATCATTCTCTTCTATCTGTACAGGTGATATCGATTGAGAAAATAATGCTTCCAAAGTCCAGAGAAGAATTTGACGATATGTATAGAAAACCTGGTAGATTTTAGATACATTGTCTAAGAATTAATGGAAACAGATTTATCTACAATCATTAGATAATAAACATAATTAGATTAGGATTAAATCTGCTTTCTTTTATATCAATTATTAAGAGGATTGAAATATATTCATTCAGCCAATGTTGTTCATAGAGATTTGAAACCAAAAAATTTATTGATAAATGGAAACTGTGATTTGAAAATATGTGATTTTGGACTTGCAAGAGCACTTGATCCATAAATCAAAGTAATCAAACTAAATTTCAAATTTAGCTTAAACCAAAAGTTTATAGTCCTTATGTTTAAACAAGATGGTATCGAGCTCCTGAATTACTTTTGTAATGGAGAGATTATAATTAAAGTATTGATATGTGGTCTGTGGGTTGTATATTTGCTGAGATGCTTAGGAAGAAAATATTTCTCCCAGGAGCTTCAGCAAAAAATTAAATTGAATTAATATTTGATGTATTAGGATCTCCAAATGAATAAGTCTTATAAATGGCACCAAAATCTCCTCTCTCTATAAGTGTGAATTAAATGTAAAAAAAGAGAGGCAGAGATTTTGAGAAATTATTCCCAAATGGATCTAAAGAAGCTATAGATCTACTGAGATAATTATTTGAATATGATCCAACAAAAAGAATAACTGCAGAATAAGCATTAAGACATCCATATTTATCGAAATATCATATACCTGAAGATGAAGTACTTATTTAAACAACATAGCCTATAGCTGTTCCTGTTAGATATTTAGACTTTGAATTTGAAGAATACAATCTGACCATTGAATAGTGGAAAGGTAATTATATTTACTTATATTACAGATTGTATTTATGAGGAAATTCTATTATACCATTATCCTGAGTTTTCAAAGGATTATGAATTAAATATCAAAAAAGGATATTCAATAATGAAGCATATTATTAATAATGATAATGCTAAATAATTGGATTAAATATTAGATGAAGATGAAGAAGATGAAGATGATGATCTACCATAAAATTAATAAATATAATGAGTTTGAAAATATATAGGTTGTTAAATGAAAAAAATTAGTGAAGACAATAATAATTAAACTTATTCAAATATATTTTAGAGATTATATATATTTATATTGTTGTTGCTATGTCTAATAATTTATTGATATATAATTATTCTTCATATTTAATTTTATAGACATGAATAAAGTTGCTAATGAAGTGTCATTTTGATTAGAATGTTTATATTTATGCCATTTATTGTAAAATTGTGTTATATTAATGCATGATTCAAATAAGCATTGTATCAAAAAATAAAAAATTAATATTATAAAGTGAATGAAACCTTGTTAACTTCCAGATGACATAATTTAACATTATTCAAATTTCCGTAATAAAAAAAGCAAATTGAAGGTGAGTACTATTTTAGGTTCAAGATTTGAGATTGATGATAAATATGAAATCTTAGACAATAGTATAATTTATTGTATTATATGACTAGTTGGTTAAGGAGCATATGGTATAGTTGTAGCAGCAAGAGATAATACATTAGATGCTGAGGATAATTTAGTTGCAATAAAAAAGATTGAAAAAGCTTTCGAACATAAAATATTTACTAAGAGAACTTTAAGAGAATTGCGTCTACTAAGATTATTATAACATGAAAATGTATATATCGATTATATTTAGATTATTGGAATCAATACAATACTACTTCCAAAATCAAGAGAAGAATTTGAAGACATGTATAAATTAAAATGATTTAGTTACGTTGTTCAAGAATTGATGGAAACAGATTTAGCCTAAATTATTAAGTCAGACTAAAATCTTGCAGATGAACATTGTTAATTTTTCCTTTATCAATTACTAAGAGGTCTTAAATATATACATTCTGCAAATGTAGTCCATAGAGACTTAAAACCACGTAATTTATTAGTTAACAGTAATTGCGATCTAAAGATTTGTGATTTTGGATTAGCAAGAGCTTTAATACCTGATTTAAAAGTAAAATTTACAAATTATATCAACTCTAGGCAAAAGCAGGTGTTTTAACTGATTATGTTGCTACTAGATGGTATAGAGCTCCAGAATTACTATTATCATGGAGAAATTATACATAAAGTGTAGATGTTTGGTCTGTTGGTTGTATTTTTGCAGAATTGTTAAGACGAAAACCTTTCTTACCTGGAATGGACACCAAAAATCAAATAGAATTGACATTTGAAGTAATTGGTACTCCATCTGAATAAGAATTGAATATGATTCCTAAAGAAAAATATAGAACTATTGCAAAAGGACTTCCTAAAAGACCAGGAAAGGATTTTAATAAATTATTTCCAAATGCTTCTAATCTAGCTATTGATTTATTGAAAAGTTTGCTTACTTTTGATGCAAAGAAAAGAATAACAGTTGAGGATGCTTTAAAACATCCTTATTTATCTGCTTTACATTGTCCAGATGACGAAGTAATTATTAATGTATAATAATTTATAGCCTATTGCAGTTCCAGTATAAAGAATAGATTTCGAATTTGAGGAGTATAATATGACACTTCAATAACTAAAAGGTATTATATTAAAATATAATAGATTGTATTTATGAGGAAATCTTGATATATCACTTCAAAGAATTCAAAGATGAGTATGAGACCAAAAAGCGAAATTCTTCATCCATCATAAATCATATAATAAAAAATGAAAACTCAAAAATAATAGATCCAGATGCTGATGATGATGACAACGATTCAGATGAAGAACCAATTTGATAAATATAATTAAATATATGGCAAAAAAATCCTAACCATAATTGGATTTATCTTGGGTAGTCCCTAATGCATTGTGCTGGCAAGATCTCGACAATAAGGATCCTATGTTTTCACCAGCTGTCGTAATAAGTTCAGATGGCAAAATAATCACAATTAAGTTGGAATCTGGTGGATAGATATAATGCAAACCAACATAAGTGTTAGAAAGAGCAGATCCAACCATATTAGGAAATAAAGGGTTTGATGATATGGTAAATATGGAAATTCTTAATGATGCAGAATTACTAAATAATTTAATTTATAGATTTGGGAAGGATATTATATTTACTTATGTAGGTCCTACATTGTTAGTCATAAACCCATTCAAATAGATTCAAGGTTTAATGGGAGCTGATATTAGAAATTAATATATAGATGATATCGTTAAAAAGAATAGGCTTATTAAAGATTTGCCTCCTCACGTTTATGCTATTGCTGCATAAGCCTATAGACAATTATTTGAAAATGAAAAGAATTAAGCTATTGTTATATCTGGAGAAAGTGGTGCTGGTAAAACTGAGAATGCCAAATTTTCTATGAATTTGCTAACTTCCATAGCTTCAGATGGCTCTTCAAAAGATAAAATAGAAGATTAAATTTTAGGATGTAATCCAATTTTAGAAGCATTTGGTAATGCAAAAACTGTGAGGAATAATAATTCTTCAAGATTTGGAAAGTATGTTAGAATTATTGTTGATGATAAGACGAGATAAATTAAGGGGGCAGAAATTATTAATTATTTAATGGAGAAGTCAAGAATAAATTAATAAGGTAAAAATGAAAGAAATTTTCATATTTTTTATTTCTTTTTACAAGGATTACCCTAAGAACTCTTAAATAAATTTGGAGTGACTATGAAGATGGAAGAATTTAATTATCTTAATTCTTCAAAAACATATACTATTCCAAATGTTGATGATGCTGAAATGTTCAAAGAAATTTAAGAAAGCTTTTCCATTTTAGGAATGCAAAATGATTTTGAGAATATTGTTTAAACAGTTCTTGCAGTATTACATCTTGGAAATCTTGAATTTAATATTAGTACTTTAACAGACACATAACCAGCTTCAGTCAATGAGAGTTTAGTGGAACATCTATTAGAACTATCAAATTAATAACTATCTTAAGCTTTGACTCTTAAATCGAGAGTAATTAATAAGCAAACTATATTGTCTCCATTAACACCTGATGAATGTTAATTTACAAGAGATTCATTGGCAAAGGATATTTATGATAGATTATTTAATTGGTTAGTTATTCAATTAAATAAAGTCTTAAAACCTAAAGTTGAATCCAAGACATCTGTAGGGTTACTTGATATTTACGGGTTTGAAGTTTTTGATAAAAATGGATTTGAATAGATTATGATCAATTATACAAATGAAAAGTTACATTAACTTTACATTTAATATGTATTTAAGGAAGAGGAGAAAATTTTTATAGAGGAAGGTCTAAAGGATCATTTGGGTTAATTAGAATTTTAAGATAATACTTCTGTAATAGAATTAATAGACAAATAACCTGGAGGAATATTCAGTATATTAGATGAATCGTGTTCTGTAAAATCAACAGATGATGGATTTCTATAAAAAATAAGAACTGTTCATAAATCAAATCCATTAATAAAAACACCTAAGATGCCAAGTGATCCTTCATTTATATTAGTACATACAGCAAAAGATGTTTGTTATACTGTTACAGGATTTCGAGAAAAAAACAAAGATGAAATGAGTGTTTAAACTATATCAATGATAAGTCAAACTAAAAATCCCCTTTTAAAATAATTATATACTATGGAAGGAATGAAAGAGAAGATGATATCATAAAAGATAAAAAAAGAAATGATTGAATTGATGACAGAATTGCATTAATGTGATGTTCATTTTATAAGATGTATTAAACCTAATGAAAGTAAATTGCCTAATTAAGTATTTTCTGAGATGACTCTTAAATAAATAAGATATTTAGGTGTTTTAGATTCCTTAAAAGTGAGGAAAGAATCTTATAGTATCAGAAGACCATATTAATTTTTTTATAAAAGATATGCTGATATGACAAGAAATGAAATATATAGTAAATTAATAAAGAAACCAGATATTAATTTTAGACAATTAGTTTTAGATATGTTTAAATAACACATGCCTCATATTGATTCAAAATAAGTATTGTTTGGAAAGACAAAGATATTTATTCGTAATTCAGGATTATAAATGATTGAAGATTCATATAATAAAATTGTGACTCTTAAACATTAAAGGGCAGCAAAATTGTAAAGATCATATAAAATCTATAAGATGAATCAACATTTGAAAAAAATGATGAGAATTGCTATGACTCTTCGTACTTTAGCATAAAGAATTCGTTTTAAGGTATAAGTAAGAAAAAGAGTAAAAGCAGCATCAGTTATTCAAGCATGGTATAAAAAATTACATGAAAAAAGACTACAATAAAAATATGAAAAATCAGCATTATATTTGAAATTATATTTTGAAAGATATAATGTACTTAGAGATGTAGCAAGAAAGAAATTAGCTATTAGTAAAATACAAAAATTTGGTAGATATGTAGTACAATCAAAATAAGAGAGGAAGGTTAGAGAAATCAAAAATGTATTTTAAAAAATTATTGATGATGCTTGGTAAATGATATTAGTTAAGAAAGCAATAATTATATAATCAAATTTTAGAGGAAGTTAAGTTAGAAAAAAAAATAAGAAATAAGTTCATTAAATAAAAAATGCTGGAAGAAAAATAAAGATGGAGGCTTCTGTTATAAAAGTTTAAGCAGCAATTAGAAGATTTATTGCAAGAAGTTAATTTAGAAGAGCTCATGATGCTGCTTATTTAATCTAAGGTTATTTTAGAATGAAATTACTTTCAACAATGTTTCAAAGAATGAGAGCAGCTGCAAGATGTGTTTAAAAATTTGCTCGTATATATCTATAGAAACAAATGGCTTATAAAAAGAATTATGAATCTTTTGTATTGCCTTGGGAAAAAAATGTTTAATAATAAAAACATGATGCTTCAAATTTATGGGTATTAACAAATGAGAATATTGAAAACGAAGAAATTTAACCTTTATTAGAAACTTGTCTCATTTAATGGAGACCAAGATTACCAAAAATTGCATTATTCTCTGTACCTATTGATATTGATATACTTTCAGATATCTATTAATGTTACAATCCAAATTATTCTTATTCAAGAACATTGCTTAATATTATTATTTAATAATTTAGAAAAGATCATCCAATTTAATCATATTTTACTACTGAAGAAAGTACTTTATGTGTTACATTGGGTGGAACTGCCATATTTGAATTTGGAAGTGGGTAATTAATTTTAAATAAAGATACTTTTGACACAGTTGAAAAGAATATATTTCCAGATTTCATTCGTATAAAGTCTATTAGTTGTAGTGATGAATTCATTTTAGTAACTACTGCAGATGGTTCATTATTATAATATGGTGATTAATATAAACAAATCAAATACAAACCACATTATATTAATAAAGAATGTACAATGTCATCTAAAAAATATATTGTAAGTGATAATAAAGTGTTTTCATTAATTAATTTAAATGTTAATATACCTATTAAATAAAAAGCTAAAATGATATCATGTGGAAATCAATTTATTGTTACATTATGTGAAAGTGGTTAATTGTATTCATGGGGAGAAAATTATGAAGGAGAATTAGGATTAGGTGATAGAAGATATAGACATGAACCATGTCTGATTAATATTGAAAAAGTATTGTAGGTGTGTTGTGGTTTCAAACATGTCATTGCAAAAACCAGAAGTAAAATATATACTTGGGGATGGGGTGAAAGAGGTCAACTTGGTAATTCTGAATTAAAAAATGAAGTAATTTAATATTAATTAAAATAGTTTTTGCCTAAACCTTTGAATATAACAGCATTATGGGTGTCTGCAGGAAGAACTAGTTCTAGTATTATTACAAATGATCGTATAATTATGTAATGTGGTACTAATTCTATTTTAAATCATTAAGAAAAGTTTGAGCCAGTAACATTGGTAATTCATTTATTAATTATTAGAGCTTCACTTTAAATTCAATGATACCTATAAGAATAATATCAACTTGGTCTAAAATTATCGAAATAACATATGTTACTTTTGCTAATACAATTTCATTGCCAGAAAATTAATTATCTAAATCTTTAAAAATTTTAAATCATTTAAATTAGATATGGTCAGAAAGCAGTGATCCTCATTCTATTGATCCACCATTTAATTAATCGATTAGTAATTATTTATATGAAGCTTCTATGAGAAAATCAAATTAATTCAATAAATAATAAATAAAAAATCATTTTAAATTATAAAAAGAAATGCTTTACATTGAGGATGATAGAGATTGGGCTATGAGAAAGAAAATTTTAGTAGAAGATATTAAATCTCATTAAAAAACTGTAACTAAAACAGATAAAATAAAAGCTATTAGATAAAGATTCTTAGATTTAATGAGTAAAAGTGAAGATTAAATGACAAATGATGATAAAGCCTTTATTAATTAAATTTAGAATAATGAGAAAATTTAAGCTTTACTAAAGAGTATAGAATAATGATTGTTTATTTCATTCAAACATTTTATAATCAATTATCAAATTTTTCAATCTACTTTATATTTACTCTGGGTATTGATATAATTTTTCTGTATTTTCTAATATTTATTTTATTAAATCAGATGAAAATCCTTTCCCAATATAAAATAACTCACTTGATTCCTATTTAGAACTTAAAGGTTTTTCTCTATAAAATTCTTTGAAAAATAATCTAAAAAAGTCCTAAATATAATATTTCTGGATATAATACATAATTGAGTTTTTCTTCACTTCCTACAAAGGTTTTCATTACTAAGTTACCATCAGTTTTTAATGTAAAAGTACTCACTTTGATTAATCAAAATATTCATTTACAAAGCAATGCTATTTAATTTAATGTAGTTATTCCTTAATGATCTGCTTCATGTTCTCCAGAAACATTGGGTGCCATATCTGAAAGAACAACATCAAATTTATGATTTCTAATTTATTTCATTATTGATTTATCCATAATATCTCCTTATATAAATTTAACATTTTATATTGGTAACACTTCCAATAGATCAATTGCCACAACTTTACATTTTTCAGACACTACTTAAGACCAACTACCAGGAGCTGCTCCCAAATCTAAAACATATTAGTTAGATTTATAGATTTTATATTTCTCATCAATTTACATCAATTTAAAAGCAGCCCTACTTCTTAATTATAACTAATTTAATAGTTTCTAATACTCTTTTAGATTCTTTAACATAGAAATCATTAATGTGTTCCATATACCATCTCTTTGTTTTTTTTTAAGAGCTCACAGAAAATGAATATAAATTCTTTAATTTTAACATAAAATTTAATTCTTTATAAAAAGTGATTATACTAAAATATATATAATCTAGAAGATCAATATATGAATTAAATAATCATTTTTATTTATTTTTGATTTCATTTTTACAACCTTCAATAATCTTTTTAAAATCATTTAAATTTTATACTATCTATTTTAATTTAATCGAAGCTTATTAACCTAATATATATATTTTATAAATAATTTACATTTAACATCGAAATTCTCTTCATCTTATGATTATTTAAGTAGTTTCTTATCTTCTCTTATTTATTTCATAGCTTTATCTTTTTCTTTATTTTAATCTTCATAATCTTATTTAATTTTTTAATAACCATCTAAACATCTTTAGTTTATATTATCAATAGCCATAAATATTCTACCAAGATTCAAATTCTCTTCAGTGATTCTATTTTCTTCTTCTTCTTTTTCAGATAATAATTAATTTCTCTCAATCATTTTTTCTTCTATTAATTTTTGATATTCTTTAATATCATTATTCAATTATAAAACTTCATGATTTTTTTCCTTTTCATATTGTGTAATAATAAACTTCATTTTTTCACAATCAGTTTCCATTTTTTCATGTTCTTATTTTAAAATTTAATGTGAAATCACAAGTCTTTTATATCTATCAGTTATTGAATCAAGATCAGAATATTTATCAGGATAGGCTTTAATAATACTATTTAAATATTCTACATATTTTTTAAGTCTCTCAGCTATTCTTATAAATTTGAATTATTGTACCCTTTCTTTCCACATTTTCAAATATCTATTAATCTTAACTCAAATCATGTTATAATTTGGCAATTTCCTTAATTTTTTTTTCTTTTTCAGCTCTTTCACTTTAATATAAACTAATGGCTTTTTTCTTTTTGGTTTCATTAACTTATAATTCTTTACAAAATTTAAGTAATTCTGTTTAAATTTCTTCATCTTTTTATTTTATCTCATTTTCCTTTGTCTTAAAGTCCTCCTCTAATAAATAACTTGATATATATATTTACCTTATTATTTAAATTAGAATAGTTAATTCTCATAAGCCTCATGAACTTCAAACATCAATCTTCTTTTTTCAAGTAACTTCATAGCAGGATTAGTAGTATTAACACTAGATGCTCGTTTCCTAACTTTTCTATCCATAGAATGAATAAATATTTATAATTAAAGTATGTACGATATATCAAATATATTCAAGAGATGTATAGAAGAGAAAATAACAATTCTTACAGGGAGATCTAGTAGAGCAGATAGATCATAACTTAATTCAAGTATGATGATGTCTAGAGTAAAGACAAAAGACAATCACTATCAATTTAATGAATCTAACTCACTCAACAAATATGATGTGGAATTATCTTACCAAACAGAATTGGAATACAATCCTAAATTCCTTATTAAAAATAGAGAAAAAAAAGAAATATTATCTGATTGTTCTGAGTGTTATGAACTACCAAAGATATCATTATTAGATCAACAACCAATAAAAAAATATTCAATGTGCAATAGTTAACATGATTCATCTGGAATGACTTCAAGAAAAAATACTTATAATAAATATAGATCCTTTTCTAATCGTTTAAAAGCAATGAAAGTTGGTTATCTTTCATTAGATCCAGACAGTACTTATACTTAAGAGATTTTCAAATAACTATCAAATTCAAGCATTTATTAAGAAATCACAAAACCTTAAGTATACTATATATCAATACTTAGTTAGTCAAATATCTAACCAAGTAATTAGGTAGTTAGGCCAGTGTTTAAAGATTAATTAACTTGATGTAGTTGCCTTATTCAATTACTTAAGCAGTTTATCGATCTTTCTTACTTTAGATTAGGGAGATGAGTCAGCAATGTAATAAATATTCAAGATTATAGAAATTATCTAACTAGTCTTTAATTGTTATGATTTAATATCTAAAACCTATTTAAATACAAGAGATTTATTTGAATTATTTAAATCTGGAGGTGCAGCACAAAAAGATGCAGATATAATCTTTAAATATTTAAGATTTTAGGCTATTAGAAATCCATTTGAATTGAATAATAAAATCTCAATAAAAAAGAAGGATAAAAATAAACATTAAAAATAAGTTGTTATTACTATGATGAAAGAAAAGGCAAGACGATTATCTGAAATATATGCTAGAAAACCAAATTAGGATAAGAATGTTGTTACAGAAACAATCTTTTTAGAAATATATTAAAATTCTATTCCTGAATTTTTTAAATGTCTTGTCTATATATTGGCCAATTATAATTGTGATTGATGAAATTTTTATATATATATTCTACTTTATTTAATATTTTGATTATTATTATGAATATTCATTATATAAAATAGAATTCTTAATCAATTAAAGTTTTAGTCTAATCCTTAATTTATTTAAGATCAGGGATTGGATTACTCTATATTACATTATTTTATAACTAATTATAGTCTTAAAGAATATTGATATATTCTGTTGGGAATATCAATGTATATCTAGGATCATCATTTACTTCATTTTATTATTATATCTATTCTAATACTTATTTCTTTCCTTTCAGTTAATCAATCAATTAATTTACTTTCTTCATCTTATTAATATAATTTTATTTAATTTTTTCATTAATGTTACCTAATTCTTTTGGTTAATCATCTTCACTTAATCTTTCATTTATTTTAGTCAAATCTTATTCTTAAAGATCTAAAATATCATTAATATCATTTTCCACTTATTAAAATCTCTCAGCATCAACAAATTCATCCTCTTTTGGTAAAGTCTATATAAAAGGATCATAAGTAGTATTTATTAATTAATATGGTAATTATATACAGTCTTTAAGTATAGCTAAATTAGTATCTTGATTTATTGAATTATTGTAAATGCATTTTGTCAATTTATAAATAAAAGATAAGGATGAATCAAAAGAACAAATACCTTAAATCAATTTATTAAGATCAACATTCTTTCCATGTTTAGATTAACCCCATATACCTGTTGTTAATAATTAACATTTTATTGATTTTATTCTGCTTGCTAAATCACAATGATCAATTTAAAAATATTAAAATAAGGTTTCTGAATGTAATTTCATTAAATGTTCTATGTAATTTAATCTTTATTCAGTATTTAGTAATAATTCTTCACTATAAGGGTAATCAAGTTTTTTTAGAAGAAATTCAAATTTTTATAATTTCATAAAAAGTTGATAATTATTATATTAATAAAGAGAAAATCAAATTTTAAATGGATGAATAGTCATCGTTGACATTTCTTTACATTATTTTTCATTTTTAAATCTATTTTAATCTGAAATTATTTTGACAGGAGAATTGGAGAAATCTTCTACTTATATTGAATTCATTTAAGTTAAATTAGATTTAAGTGCTTATTATCTCTTAGAATAACTTTATGTATTAGGAACAGATGTTTATTATTTCTTAGGAGCTGAATATTATTATGATACCTTTGATACATTAAATAAATCCCAATTTCCTTTTAAACAAGCATGATATTCAGAATATTTTTCAGCTCTCATTCTTTTAATATAACTTCTAATCAATTTACCATTTTGAACTGGATTAACATCAAATACTGAACATGGTTTTATTGAATTTCTTCTTGAATACAATAAACTACCATCTTAAGATTAATCAAGAATTGGTGTTTTATATTATTTTGATTTTATAATTCCTTAACCTGGTGATGCTCCTGCATCTCTAGTTAATTATTCTAAATTCCATCTAGGTAATTCAGATAAATCTTTTGACCAATATAAATTATAAAAACTATTTTTATCTTCAGAATTATTATTTATTTATTATTATTATTATTATTATTATTATTATTATTATTATTAAAATCCATTTACTTTAGAAACTTAAGGCATTTATATAGATCTATTGATTATTTATACTTATTATTTTTATCTTAGTATTTATTAAATCATTAAATTTCTTGCCTTTGCTAGTTTCTCTAATTACATTATATTAAAATAATTTAAACTATCAACTACATAACAACAAAATTAAGCTGATATACATTTGACTGTGTATTTTCTTAAAGAGTCTCTTAAAAATTCTTCAAATCCAAATATTTATAATGCTCCTAAATTATATATATTTGTATTATTATTAATAAAATTGACTTCACCTGATATAATCATATAAATCCATTTTCTTTAATCTTCTTACTTAAATATATAATCTCCATATTTAAATTATTTCTCTTTTAAACAAACACTTAATAATTGTAAATCACTAGCTACATTCAATTTTTCAAGAAATGAATGTCTAATTTCAAAACTTCTCCAATATTTTTCATCAAATTACAACTCTATTAAAATACTATCCTTCTCTGCAATTACAGTATAAGAACGTTTACCTTTTGCTTCTCCAAAAGTATCTCCAGGAAATAATTATGCAAAAGGAATATTTTAATTTGATTAAAAATATTATCTACTCAATAAAGTGATATTTGGTACTAATTATAGAACCTAAGATATAAATATATCATTTGATTGTTATCTCATTAATTTTTATTTTGATGGTGTGCAATCATCTTCTTTAAAAAGGCAAGTCAGTTAGCCACATAAAACATGATATAAATTTTTTCCAACTTCACCTTATTAAAATACAATTGAATTTGCTTTGCATATGATCATTTTACATTAAATATTTTGAATTTAAGGATTTATATATTAGAGTTTGTATTTCTACGTTTACATGATTTGGTAGCAATCTAAAACATCATTAATATTATTGATTAAAATCATTTTATTTATAATTTATAATGAAACCAAATAACTACAATGACGATGATGAACTCTATGATACCCTATGTAAATATTCAACTTTTATCTCATAGTTTACCCGAACTAAAGAAATAAAAGAAGTCATACACTCGTTACTAATCCAAATAACAACAACCTGTAAAAATTTCAATCATAAAATTTTAAATAGCTAAGAACAAAAACTGTTTGTTCAATAGATAAAATAAATTCAAAAGAATTTTGTGAGAAAGCTAGAAATACAAAAAGAACCCAATAACGAATTAAATAAAGTTTAAAATATACAGAATCAATCAAATTAACATTCTTTTGGATTTTTTTAACCATACAACAACATATAAAAAATTACATAAAAATATTAACCCCCTTTAAACCAAATGAAGTTTCATAATGAAATACCTCCATAACCTTTACACCCTAGATTCAAAGTTTAAGAAAACTTGTAATTTAAGAAAAGTCAAACTTTAGAAATTTGCAGTGTATGTTTTTTACCAAAGGATGCAGATCATCAATGTAATGATGAATATGGATTCATTAATTGTCCATATTGTAGTGAAACCATAGTTAGGAATTTTTTGGATGACCATCTTGTTGATTGTATTCCATACATTGATCATTAATTCTCAAACTTAGATAAAAAAGAAGAATGCATTATTTGCATGGAAGATTTAGTAAAAGATAAATAAACATTAAAATGTTCTCATTCTTTTCATAAATCTTGTATTGATTGTTGGATAATGAAAATTCAAGAGTGTCCTGTATGCCGAAAACCAATTTGATAATATATAATTATTAGTATTCATTTTGGTTGATGTATTCAATGATTTGGTTATTTTAAAAAAACAAATTCTATTATGAAATTCTACCTGATAAGTAGTAATTTATTTTGAAACAATATTTACTATTTTTTATCATTACATTTGTCTAGTTATTAATTTGTTAGTCAATCTTGATATCAACTTAAATTGAAATTATGAGCAAGTGATTTATAATTGATTTTTTAAAACCTTTTAAATTAGGGATAGTATAATATACATTAATGAAATTCATTATTAGAAGGTATTTCTAATACATCTTCTTATTATTTAATTAATTATTTACAAATAATACTATAAATATATAAATATGTGGCAATCTTTTTTAAAAAAAAAATCATTTTATTATTGGATTATAAATAATTAATATTATAATTCAAGAAATATAATAAATAAAATATCCCCATTAATAATTAATTATTATACAATATTTTCAAAGTCATTTAATATACTTTATATTTAAGAATATTTAATCATTCCAAGAATTATCTTAAGATATTTGTTATTAAAAAAACATATTTAATTATTATACAATATAATTTATATTAACTTTATAAGAGGAAGAAATGAACAAATATACATTAGAATTTAAATCAAAAAAATTAGAGGATGAATATTAATAATAAAGAATTCGTACTATCAGCATACCTGTGTTTTAATTTGGATCAGCATGCATTTTTGTTGTTGCTACTTTTAAACTTATATAATTGGTTCTATAAAATAATTTAGAGTTAATACCAATATTGATTGTTTGCCAAGTATTTTCTGTATTGTCATTTATTTTATTGCATTTTAAAATACATAAAATTAACTTATAGCTGATTTTGTTGTCATACTTATTAATCGCTTATGAGCTAATTATTAAAACTGATACAAGTTTTTAAGCATTGTCCTTATATTAAAGTAATTTTACAATGTGTGGAGTAATTATAATACTCATTTCAGAATTAAAAGAATCTTTAATTATTATAATATCAACATTAACATTTAAGATAATATATGCATTGATGATGGAATCAGAAAAATCTTATACTATCTACAGCTCAACTCTTATACTCATGTTTTTTATGTGTTTTTTTTCTTATAAATTAAATGTGTTGAATAGAACCAGTTTTCTTTTGAGTTAATATGATTACATGTGGGGTATAATGTTATATATTTTTAGAAAGTATATTTCCAAAAATTGTTGATACTCCATATTTAATATTTACATTCAGCGAAGAAAAGTTAGAATTTGTATTCAAATCTTAAAGTAATATACCCTTTGAGTGCAATAATTCTTAATAATTAAAATAGTTTTTAAGAGATTGGCATTTAAATTAAGATTCATTAGAAAATACACTATATAAATTATATTTAAATGAAGATATTAATGAATTTCATTCAAAGAAAATCTAAATTATAAAAGATAATAAAACTAAGTAATATATTCATTATTCCATTATGAAATCATTATCATCTACTTTTATTATAAAATTTAATGATTCTTTAATAAAGATAGATGATTGTAAAATTATATTACAAAAAACAGTTAAAAAATAAGAATAATTAAGAATGAAATTAATAAAAGGTATTTATAAAAATTTACATATTTCTTTAAATCTAAAACAATTAAATAATTTATGGTCTATTAGAAACAGTTGCTTAAAATAAATTATGAATTTCAAAATACTAAAATATTAATGGAAGACATAATAATTTGATATTAAAAAATTCTTATATTTAAATGATTATTTTCTTTACAAACATAATAGATTAACTTTTTTTAACCCAAAAAATGAGAATATTATTACTATTGTAATATAATTGAAAAGACTCCTTTTTGAAATACTTGATATGACTTTTCATTAAGGTCAAGTTGATATATAAATTTTAGAAACTATTACAATTTAATATGAGGGAAAGGAAATTAATTGTCAAAAGGATCCAGTATTATAATTAGTCTGGAGTACCTTAGTTGAAAAAGCAGAAATGCAGAATAATTTTTGGGTAATATAACTTTATAGAGAACCTTGTGTCAATTTTACAAATTAAAAAACTTCTAAATGAAATATAATTATTAGGTGGTTATACATTTTTATGCTACTCAAAAGTCAAGCTCAGCTAAACTTAATAATTCATCAGTTGTTAATTCATCATCAGCTTATTTTTCTCCATAATCATATTCTGGATTTTAATATTATAAAGCCTAAATAGATTTACTATTTAATTACTTTAACAGCTTAATTATATAGTCCTAAACAATTATTTATTCTTTCTCCATATGCTTCTTAAGGTGCTTTAGTTCCATAAAGATCATTAGTTTCTTTGGTTATAACTATTTAATTTTCATGATCAATAACAGCTGCTAAAGTTCCATCTCTTATAGCTTTGGCTACAACCTATTCAGCATTACATTAACTTGGAAGATTTAATTTTTCATGAATATCATTTAATGAAATTCTAGAATAAGATAAATTAATTCTTCTTAAACCAGCCTTGATAACTATTTATGGTAATCTAAAGTTAAATTATTCAAAACTTAATACCTTTAAATTAAATTAAAAAGTTTGTCTCTTCTCAATATATTTTCTGATCTTGCTACTTCTTATTGGAATTCTCCTAAATTTCCTTTGATAACAGTTGAAACAATTCTATAGTAAGGATAAAGAGCTTATTAATATTCAGGAGAAGTGAAAGTATCTCTATTTGGAACATTACCTAGTAACAATTCAACTAATGCAATCACTTTGATAGCCTAAACTTTAAATCCAAAAGCTGTATTATCTGGAGCTTTATGACTTGCTTAAGTTAGATTTTTATAAGCTTCTTGGTATTCACCTCGTATTGCATGAATGAGTCCAGTATAATATAAGAATCTAGCCTATTAATTTCCAAAAGCATGTTCAGGGAATTCTGTCTTTTTTAAGAAATTATAACTTTATTCATACTAATTATAATGAATAAAGTTTCTTAAAATTAAGTTTATTAAAATTGCTTAACCATTTTCATCTCTATTTTAACATGCATTTCTATAACCTTCAAATAAGACACTTTAATATTACATATAAATACTCTCTAATTTAATTGAGTTTGCCTAATTTCTCATGTGATTTTGATAAATATTCATAGATAACTCCTAATAGAGTATCTAAATATCTTTTATTATTTTATTGAACTTATTATAATAATTATTTTCCAAGTACATTCACTTATTCATAAGCTTCTGATTATTTTTATTAAAAGAGCCAAATTAAATAAAGGCATTGTATGAATACATTTACTTCAATTATTTTAGTTAATTTTGAAACAACTTGAGCACTTAATCCTAAATCTTCTGTGAAATTGGCATCAAAATCATTTCCTTATTAAACTGCTACATTTGGAAAGAATGTATTAAAGAGTTTGACCAAATGATGAGACTTTACAGTCTAAAAATTAATAAATTTGTATTACATTTCTGAACTTTTTAACAAAGATTGATACTTTTTGAATTGCTTTGATGTCTTTAGAACTGACTGCCTTTTCTAATAATAAAATTTAGAGTTTGATTTCAGAGAGGACTGTTTTTGGTTTTTGTGCTTGAGCTTAAGGTTATTAAGCAGATGAAGCTTGTGTTTAAATTTGAGTTTTATCTTGAGTTGCTGCAGCTTATTATTCCATTAATTTAAATTATTGAAATTAAATATAAGACATTGGGATAAATTATTACAAATTAAATAATCACAAAATAATATTCCAATATTGTAGAGTTGATGATTCAAATTACTACAATCATAGTTCAGATGTTATTGATTACTTTAGAAAATTAATATAGAATTACTAAAAAATAATTAAAATTTAAAATAAGAAATCAAATAGTATAGTTGGAACAATAAAATAATGAGAGATAACAATTTTTGAGGAATGAAAGAAAATAATAATTTAATTTTAAAACTCTTATTAATAAGTATTTAAATTGGATTTTTGATAATATGAAGATAATTATTGAGAAACTATTTACAATAAAAGGATATTTGATACTTTATATAATAAATGTAGTTTTACTTTAGATTTATATATTTATAAGTTAACCTTAAACTTATAAAAATTACTATCGAAAGGACATAAATTGAAATATAATTGAATACATAAAACCTAGAATAATAAGGAACATCAAAATCAATGAAAAACTTAAATAATCACCATAGGTATTCAATATTTTTAAAATGATAATGAACTATTTTTATTTATGAAGAATATTTCATTCCATAGGATTTTTAATTTAACCATATGCTTAAGATTGACTCATAGGAGGATATTAAAAATTTGGTATTTAAGCATTTGGCATTTAATTTTATGGCTATTATTAATAAGGGGATTATTATAGGTTGCAACTTGATCTATTATTTTAAGGTGGTTATCCATATTATTACTACATAAAATTAGATGGATTGATTTGCTCAGAAGCTCTACCTTATTAATAGGATTAATTTATAGTTTATTAATAGGGATATCCCTATTATTAAGGAGGTGGATATTGTTGATTTAATTAAGATTATTATGAAGAATAAGCTGGAATTTATTATTAATATGGAGGTTATGGTTGCATTTATTATTAAATTGGAGGTGGTATGTTAGGTTATTAAACTTAAGGTAAAATATTAGGTGGTGGTATATATTGTTGTTATGACTCTTATTATTTCATTTGTTAATTTGCCATAGTCATGCCCAATTAATTGATATCTACAAATTAAGGAGGGTTTGGTTTCTTGCCTATCAATTAATGATATTTGACTATTTATTCTGGAATTTCAGCTAATACATGTCTTGCTAAATTAACTTGATTTCCACCAAAATTACGAAAAGGAACAAATTAAACTAAATCTCTTTCAGCTTTTCTGTTACCAGAATAAAGACCTAATAAATATTTAATTAAATATACCTTGATCTCCATCTAATTCTTCCATCATAGCAAAGTTTTCATTACCAACTCCAATTATAATAATAGATAAAGGTAATCTAGCACTGTTAACAATTAATTATTTAGTTTATTCCATATCATGAATGATACCATCTGTCAAAATCAATAATATTGTATAGATCTACATATATTAAATAATAATTTACATTTTATTCAGTTTATTATTGTACATATATTTATCTGAGAGCTTCTTATATGATAGGTCCAAAGTATGTGGGTCCTGAAAATGTAACATTTGCAAGTGCATAATTGTAAAGATTAGCAATTCCTTATAATTCAAAGGCATTTAATTAATTAGGATCTCCAGATAATGGAAAACAATGAGAGACTTGACCTGATCTCATTGTAGGAAAGTTTAAATTGGCACCAAAACCAAAACATGGGACCATTTTATCAAAATCATATGCTAGAAGTATTTCTCCTACTGCATTAATGGCAAGTTAATATTAATTTAAACTATGTGGAGATCGAAAGTGCAAACTACCTGGTTAATGAGGTGCACCATTAGAACCAGTAAAATCGATTGCAGTCATTAAATTTAATTATAATCCTCCTCTTATCTTTAGGTAATATATAATATTTATACATAATCTTAAAAATTAGGTTTAATATATGTGCTAAATTAATCTAATCTTAATTTTCCTGGATTCTTATGTTTAGGATTTGTTAATTAATATTCTCTAGTTTATTATAATTCTGGAATTGTTGTTATTAATTCTCCAATAAATTGATGTTTTCCACTTTTTTCCCAATCCCAACATTCAATTTTAATTTTTTTATCATTTGAATGAGCTAATTTAACACTTTATATTTCAAATGTTTTCCATAATGGATTTAAATTATCTTTAATGACTTCAGTCTCATATGTTTAAATATATGTAGAATCATCTCTTTATCTATAAAATCTAAGAAATGGATCTGATTTATCAAACCATCCATCTGTATTCATTAACTTAACTCCACTCCATTTCATAATCATTACTTCATTTCCCTCTTATATCTTATCACACCTTATTATAAGTTTACCTCTTCTTTAACCAAGTTCTAAAATAGAAGTTTGATTCTTTGCTCCAAATAAAGTACCAATTGTTGTTTCTATTTAACCAATTAATTCTGAATTGCTTCCATCATCATCTCTTACTTCAAATTTAATAGGTTAAACTGTTTCGAAGACATAATCAAGTTGAAATGATCTCTTAAAATTAGGATTTAAATTATTTGGAATTGTTTCTGTATTCCCAATCTTAATCCATTAGTTATTTGTTTTAATATAAACTATTACAAAAGGATCTGATTTGCTGAAATAATCCAAGTCTTTTAATTGTCTCCCAGAAATGAAAATCTCAATTTACTAATAACAATTACTATCCATTATATTTAATTATATAAAATAACACACTCATCCATATTTTTAATATTCCCAATTTCGATTATCTAGTGGACAAGTCTACCTATTCTTTAACCATCTCTCTATACAATGAAAATGATATGCCTATAATAAAATTCTTTTATACATGATTACATGTTCCCCAAGCAACAATACATTCACCTTATCCTTCCTATGCATCACATTCAATACATTTTTCCATTATATGATTTTTGCATATAGCACAATTATCAACTTTTATATCCCAACTCCATAAAGCAACAGCGTTCCATTTCTTTATTTCAAACACTCTTTCTGGCTTTTAATCCATCTGAATTTATTATACTTTTTTTTTATTTTTAATCAAAGCCAAAAAAAACTAAAGGTACCTATTTAACTATTTAATAGTATAAATTTCTCATTCCAAACAACCATATATGTTAGACTTTTAGTTTTTATGTAATTTTTATAATGTAGATACATATCTTGAAAATTAATCTATTTAATATATAAATCATAGTAACTTTTCAAATATAACAAAAGCTGAAATTTTAGAACCTACCTCAATTTGTATACTTAGAGAATTAATAAATTTTAAATATTTATTTCCATATCCTGAGTCTTAAATATGCTCAAGAATCATTTAAAATCAATTTCAAAATTATAGAAGGAGTAAGTCCAGCTAAATGTTTAATAGATATTATCAAACCAAAACCAGATTTTAGGAGACTTAACAATTATTTTTGAATTTATTTATGTTGATGAATTAAGATTCAATTTATTATAAATTGATCATGTTTCTGTTTATTATATCTTCAAAAATAATCTATTAAAAATGGCAGGACCATCTCTAATTAAAAAAATGGAATATAAGTTTCTCAAAGAAATTAAATAATTTACAAATGAATAAGAAAATAGATTATAATACTAATTAGAAACAAATCAAATAATAATAGACAGAAAAAAGTATAGAAAATTAGCTTAAAAAATTACTATTAACATATAAAAACTGCAAAAGGACCTAATCCTTTATAAATAAATAAGAAGATTGGAAAAAAGACCAAAAATATAAGAAAAGAATACATAAAATATTCAGAATCAGAATATATTAATAATTACATTATTGAACAAAATTCTTGATATTTAATAAATTTTGTTATTACAATCCTCATTGACAAATTATCTGTATTTTTATTTATCTAAATCAAACTATATATATATTATAAATATAGTAACTGTTTATTTTATAACTATTTTTAATCATTATGATTGAAAAAAAGTTATTCTTTTTTGTATTCCTTATCCTAATATGAGTTAAATGCTATTAAAACACTAAATTTATTGTTGAAATTAAGATCAGCAAATAAAACTTAAGTATTACAAATTATAAATCAAATTATTATCCAAATACTCTCATAATGTGATAAGATTATAAATTTCAAGTTTTTTCTGACATAAATTAATATTTATGCTAACTTTACATCATAAAATAGCTTCCTAGCCTGATTTAAAAGTTGAAAATACACATTAAACTAATCCTTAAATTTTAAGGTCTTTAAAACCTGCTTAATTTCTGAATAATCTAGAACAACTTAAAGAAAGCGAAAGTTAACTTTTCGTACCTCTTAAAGCAGAGGCTATATACTAATAAGGTGCACAAACCGATAGAGTTTAAGAAGTGAACATTCGTTTCCCTAAAATCTAATAAAATTCATCACAACTCATAAATAAACCTTTAAACTTGATGCCTGAATCAAAGCATAATCAACTTAAAGCCTAATTGTAGAATATTTTTTCTCAGTAAAATTCTCTCAGTGATTCTCATATTATATTGCCTGGGCTTCATAAATAAAGAAAAGAATCACATATGTTTATAAAAATGATAGAAGAACAATTGAGTTTCCCAAATTAAGAGTCATAAAGAACAGTTTAAAATAGATTCAGCAGAAGAGGCAAGAATTAAACTTAAAGTTAAACTAACTTAGAAACACCAATATTTTAGGATTCAGAGAATACATAATAAGATGATCTCAATAATTAAAGAAAAGTTGAATTTTAAAAACGTGTTAAGGTAATTAATCTACAAAATGGAAGAATAGCAACAGAAATTATAAAAGAAGAGGATGAAATACCACCTCCTATTAAAGTTAAAAGAAAATTTGTTTCCTAAAAAACGAAATTTTTTCCTGATAATTAAAACAAATGATTTTCCAATTTGTATTTTCTTTATCAATAATTATTAATCTTAATAATTAATTATGTTGAAGTAATTATAATATCTATAGTGTTTCTCTCATGTAAATTATTAAACTAACGATCTGACATACTTTTTACATAATGGACAAGATCCTTTAGAGGCCAACCAAGAATCAACGCATCCTGAATGAAATCAAAAATTATTAAATAATAATACCTATGTAAACATGGCAAAAATCTAATTTTTTCATTTTCCTCAAAATTTGAAATACAAATACTACATTTCTTGTTTTCATCATCCCAACAAGAGGCTCTACTCTATCTAAATACAATTTCACTCAAAGCTGCAATTTCATTTTAATCTAATCCATATTTTGGTTATTGATGCATCCTTCTTCTTCCTTATTCTTATCTTCTCATTTAATGACTATAATATTCTTATTCCATTCTATTATTTTATTAGTTTCTTCTATGTTAATGATGATGATATTGATCATAATGATAATTTTATAATTAATTATATTATCTCTAATGATAATAGATATTTTAATGTGGATATCTCATTTGATTATTTTATTATTATTGATCCTACTAATAATTGGCTTATTAAATTTATTATTGATTTCTATTTCTTTAAACTCCTTCTTAAGAATTAATTTCCTAAATTTATTGTACATTTCTTTAATTCTATTGTTGTTAAATACTTTGCCTTGTTCCTGCAAATGGCCTTTCTTAAGTTTCCTTTGATTCCTCTATTAATCTAATAGGTATCAAAGAACAATCTTTCAGGTATTTATCATATATAGATTATGCATTTATATCATTGTCATAAAGTGGTTATGAAATCAAGAGATTCTCTGAAATTACATGATTTTGTTAGTTCATTCTATTAGCAGTTAAATAAATAAATTTATAAATTAATAACAGTATACTCATTATTATTTTAATAATTTTCTAGCATAACTCTCTTATTTAGAAAAACTTTTCCAAAGTAATCCAATAGCTGTCATACCTCCAATTGCTAAAATATAAAATTTATAATCTTTAAATATGCTGTAATTTGCTTTTTATTTCATTTTCCTTAATTCACTAATGGTTTTATTGATAATAACTTTGCATTATCCATATCTTTTCAATTCATAAAATGCCATATTTTATTGTGTGATTGTATGGTTAATAATGTTGTTTTATATACAAAAATTTTATGCTAATCTGTTAGCTGAAATATAACACACCTATATATAGATAAATAATAATACTTTCAATTTAATCAAGAATTTCTTCTATCCTACATATAATTCCTTTAAATCAAAATATTTTTCATAATCAAAATTAATATCTCCATTAACAAACAGTAGAACTGTAATTGTTTTTAATTTATAATAATCATTAAATGCTTAAAAGAAACTAAATTACAATATATATTAATACTTATCATCAGTACTTGTTTAAAAAAGCAATTATTTTAGAATATGAGATCTTATTTTATATAATTCTTCTTTTAATTATGAATTTGTTATACGAAACTTAACATCTATATAAATTAATTCTCCTTTATTAAGTTCACCAATTTCTTTGAAATATTCGTTTTCATATAATTCTATAAATTCTGAATTTTGTAAAAATCCACTTTTATTTTTTTTTTCAATTGATTAACTTAATGTGCTGCTAGTATTATTAATATTTTCTTCTGGAACTAATAATTGTCTAAATTATTAGATTAATTTTTTCATAGAAACAACTGATTTTGCAAAAAAGTATTTTGAATGAATCTTTTAACGTTATTACAAATCAATTTAATCCTATATATATCTAGTTAATATAGTTTCTAATGTTTTCTTATCTGAAATCTACTCTATTAAGGATCTATATAAAGTATTTGTTAATATTTGATCACAATTATCCGTAATTAAGTCATAAAAATACTTTTCTAAAAAATGTGATTAATTTTCAGGCCCAAGATCATGCTCCCAGCAACTCTTTGAACTCGAAATATCATCCAGCATATTAATTTCTAAAGATATTTAATAAATACAAAAAATATATATATTTATATTAATATTTGCAATAAATTAATACATACTTCACTATCATTTTTTAATATAATTACATCTATAAGAACAAGAATTATGAAAATATTAATTTAAAAAGTTAATGAATAATCAATTATATTTATGGATAAGAATTTTAAACATTGTTTATCATCCCTTCTTCCTTTCTAATATATATGGTCTTATTGATAGACTTATTAATCAATTAAAAATTTTAATAAAATATGTTTATTGCTGGAATTTAAATATTTTTATTCTTAGCAATTTAATTATCTAGCACAGATAGAATGTTTGAAAAAATAATGAATAAATAATATTTTCTAATAGTGCGACAAGTAAAATGATAACTTAAATCTCTTCTGAAATTAATTTTAGCTAGTATATACATACTTCCTTAAATTAAGAGTTTTCTTAATTTTTTTCCTTTATTTTATTAAGTGAGGTATATAAAAATGATAATCAATCTATTTTCTAATTTTTTTCAGCATTTTTTCTTCAAGATAATCATTTCTAATATCTACAAAATAGTGAAATAATTGGATTTATTTTAATTGGAATACTATTTTTTAATTTCATTTATTTTGTGCTCTTCTCTTACTATAAGGATTCAAGAAATATCTTTAATCCTTATAGTAAGAGAAATTTGATCTTTTTTTAACAACATTATTGTTGATTTATTAGGATTGTCTATAATTTTCTATAAGAGGGAGGTTAATAAACAATTAAGAATCACAAAATTTTAATTAAGAATAGGCTAGTTTAATTTAATTCGTGGAGAAATCTAGAGAAATTTTGAGAAATTGAGAGAATGAATTTACCAATTAATATGCAAAGTATTATATTGGTATTTTTGGAGATTATGAATTATGAATAATGATATTATCTGTATTTAAAAAGAAAGGTAACATTGAGCTTATGAAAATATTCCTTTTAATGTTTTTCCTTATTTAAAATTATTTGTAGGGATTGGTATTAATCTTATTAATATTGATATTTAAAAGATATAATTAGTAGAAACATAGAAAAAATTTGAATCCTAAATTGTAGATATTTGAAAGCATGGATTAGAATGATAGAATATTCTTCTTATATAAATTTAAATGTATCATTTATCATTATTGATTGGTTCATCATCAAAAGACCTCTCTATAGAATTGACTACTGCAAAAACCACTCCATTTAGAATTACATTATACTACCTATGTGGATCTAAAGATATATATGTTTTGATAACTTGTATAATCATATTCTTTTGGTTAAACTTCAGCTTGAATTTTTATTGAGTGATATAATATAGTGTTTTGTTTATCTTAAGTTATCATAAAATTTTAAAGGTTTAATTAAGACCTTGTAGAATAATTAAAGGATTTATTTTTCTTTTCCTTGGAAACACAAACTCCCATTCTTCAAAAATATTAATTAATATATGTATTAATATTTATAGATACTAAAATTGATAATATTTATTCATTAAGCAATTTTTCAGATTATGCCAGCTATTTTTTTAAAATAACTCTATATATTCATTATACATTAAAAACGTGTATAAATAGGAAAGATGATTAAGTCTTTCTATAAACGTGATTTGATTATTCTGAATAATCTAGTAAATAATCAAATTAAAATTAACAAAAAATAAACGAATTCTTTTAGCAAAATTCATTAGTTTTGTTTTTATAGATTTTAGAGTTCGTTAATTTTTTTAATTTACTTAATTTTTAAATAAATTTACAAACTATTAAACATAGTTAATTAATCAAATCTCAATTTCAATTAACAATAATATTAAAATTCTTAAGTTGTCAAAAACATGTTTATAAATTAAATACTCATTTAAAAACATCTTATCAAAATTTAAATTAATATTATTTAATCATATTACTTGAATTTTTAAATATAACAAATAGTTATTAAAATTTATAGTCAAAAATTTAAAAATCATTCTCAATTAAGATGAATTGTGATTGTGTACGTTTAAGATCTGAATTAGAAAATATTAGAAACAAATAATCAATTTTATTAAAAGACCATTAAATGCAATTAGAATTGATAAGAACAAAAACTAAAGAATAATATGAAAGTTTATTGGAATCACAAAAACAAGGATATCAAGGTTACTAAAAAATAAATGAATAGGAAATCAACAAATTAAAAGAAATAATTGCTATAAAAAATTCTGAAATAGAAACTCTAATTCATACTAACTAAAAATATCGAGCTTAGTTAAATTAGGAAGAATAAATAAGCAACTTAAAGATATAAAATCTGAAAAAGGAATCTTAGGATATTGTCACATTAATTAATATATAACAAGGAGAAATTAATAAATTAAAGTAGGAGCAACCTTAAAGAGAAGATTTATTAAATGAATAATATTAATTGCGTTTAGAGGAAATTTAGAATTATTACTCTTAATTATTAAAGCAAATTGGAAAAGAGAAATAGGATATACTTAATAAATTAGATGAATTAATTTAAAAAGAAAAAGTACTTAATGAATAAATAAATAATCAACATTCATAAATTTAATTGTTAAAAATAGAATAATTAGATAAAATATCAATAATCAATTAAAATGAAAAGGATATATAAAAATTGTAGAATGAGTTAAAGAATTTAAATAATTTATAAAAGAAAAACGAAAATGAAAATTAATGGCAACAAAAATCTATTTACAATAATTATGAAATAGTTGTGCAAGAATATGAAAAAGAATTAGATAATTTAAAATACTAAATTTAACAACTTCATAATTCTTATGAATAAGTATTTTAGTATTTTTATTTTAGCTCACTTATAAATGTAATGAATTCAAAGATGAAATTTATAAATAAAACTTAATTATTTAATCTTAAAATAATACTATAAAAGAACAAGAAGCATTGCTAGATAAGTTAGAAAACAATTCGTAAAGTAACAATATGTAGTTTAGTCAAATGATGGAAAATTAAAAGAAGAGATTAGAATAAGCCTATTCTTATCAATTAGAAAACTTGAAAAAATCATTTTAAACTTAGGTAAGCATTATAGCAATATTGTAGATTATATTATTATAATAATAATAAGCTGATGAAAGTTTAAAAGGAAAATAAAAGTTGATAAAAAGAAGTGTTGCAGAATTTTGATATATTTATTCAAGTATTTTTATTTTATGAAACAAAAGAGAAAATAATTTTACTATTTAAACTTGACAATTCTGAAAATTTGTTTTTCCTTTATTTTTCATTTATATTATTTCTTAAATTCTTCTACACTTTCCTTTTTTGCCCTGAATAAGTTGTTATAAACAATATTCGCATTATATAATTTAATATATTATCCAAGATAGTTCCTAAAGAAATTAAAAGTAATATATTTTGATTAATAGTTATTAGTCATATATTAACATAAATCATGACATTATATGATAAATACTCATTCCTCGATGTCTTCATTTGATAAAATACAATCTTCAATAGAGTTAATAATTTCAAATCTGACTCCATTTATAAGCACATTATATTATCGATGAGGATCTTGATTAAGAAATTAATTACTTTATGGATCATAATTTTGAGGTTCAGAAGGAACAATAAAATTTAAATGAGGATTAATATAAATTTGTTTTGGATTAGTTATTTTTTCTAGAATTGAAGGGTTTGAGGAATATTACGAAATAGGATTAGTATTCATAGGGCTTTGAATGTTTTTACTATTTTGGCAAATTCCCATAATTTTCTAAATATATGAAAAATTTACACAAAAAAATATAGTTTTTAAATTATAGAAATAAGGGATTAATACTGAGCATTTTTATATTACTAGTCCTTTTCATATTTAACTATGATTATATATTGTTATGAAATGATAAATGAGTTTACTAGGTAAATTAATGATTGGAATAATTATTCAGCAAATATTTCAATGTATCTTTTATAAGTATTTAGTGTAATAAAATCTTTTTACTCACATCTTGAACCTTTTAAATATATATGAAAATACTTTCAGTTTTGATTATTTTTTGCAATTTTCCTGATTAATCAACAACAAGGTAAGTGATATTTTAATTTGGCCTGTTGATGATTTATAAATTCTTAATAAATAAAGGTTTTAAGAATACTTAAGAATGAGATATAATAAATGGAAGCTTTTAAGTCATTATTTAATTTGATTAAATACAATAATATAAGATTACTAAAATTTACGATAAAATTATTAATTTTATATTTGTTGAGATTTATAAAGAATTAGACTAAATTATATTTAAAAAAATAAAATTTAAGCAAAAGAAATAATATAAAATACAATGAATTATTATCTCTTAAAACTAAAAGAAATTAAGAAATTATTGGAAAAAATAAAAATGCTATTGTTAAAATTCTCCAATATTGCTGCTTATTTTAAAATTGTTTAATTGACAACAATATTTCGATTAAGGATAAACAATTCAATTCCTCTTTTATTAAAATTATTTTACATCAATCTTAATATTATTTGGAGTAAACTATTGTTGTTGCTGTTATTTTCTTTTCTGTTAATATATATCGTCAAAACAAACTGAGGAGTTGCTTTCATTTGGAAACTATTTTTTCACTTAATTTACATCCCAAGGAGGCTTATAAACACTTGAAGCATTTGAACTATCAAGGTGAATCTAAAATTCTTTTTATACAATTGGTTTATATGCCAAACTATTTTTTGGAGATTACATATTTTAATTGACTTTTATAGTTACTCCTTTTAATTGATCAGGTTTAGGTATTTCTTTATTCTCTGAGAAATTAGAGTTTAATTATTGATATTACTTATTTTATAGATAAAGATTAGATTATTATTATTATTATTATTATTATTATTATTATTATTATTATTATTATTATTATTATTATTATTATTATTATTATTATTATTATTATTATTATTATTATTATTATTATTATTATTATTATTATTATTATTATTATTATTATTATTATTATTATTATTATTATTATTATTATTATTATTATTATTATTATTATTATTATTATTATTATTATTATTATTATTATTATTATTATTATTATTATTATTATTATTATTATTATTATTATTATTATTATTATTATTATTATTATTATTATTATTATTATTATTATTATTATTATTATTATTATTATTATTATTATTATTATTATTATTATTATTATTATTATTATTATTATTATTATTATTATTATTATTATTATTATTATTATTATTATTATTATTATTATTATTATTATTATTATTATTATTATTATTATTATTATTATTATTATTATTATTATTATTATTATTATTATTATTATTATTATTATTATTATTATTATTATTATTATTATTATTATTATTATTATTATTATTATTATTATTATTATTATTATTATTATTATTATTATTATTATTATTATTATTATTATTATTATTATTATTATTATTATTATTATTATTATTATTATTATTATTATTATTATTATTATTATTATTATTATTATTATTATTATTATTATTATTATTATTTAATCTATTTATTCTATGATTAATAGTCTTATTAAAATTATTATTTTTCTAAACCTTAATATTCCATTACACGAGTTTAATTATTTTGTTTCTACTAATAATATAGTAAAACTGCATTACTTATTAATTGTTTTATTTTTCTATAAGTTTCTAATAATTTGATGTAAATATTTCTGATTTAGGAATATTTTTATAGGATGGACCAATTTACTATTCTATTCTACTTTTTAGGTTCATTAGATCTGAATTAACTTGAAATACTAAATCTTATTCTTCTTAATCTTCATCAAGTTAATAATTTGGATTTTAAAGAGAAGCTTCATTCAAAGCTTAAGGTTTTTTATCTTTAATTATTCGACTATATTCTTTATTTATTTGTTTCTGTTCCTAACCACTATCAGTATCAGAAGGAAAGTTTTTCTTCAATATAACATTATTCTTCTTGAAAATTTCTTAAGATTTATTGGAAATAGGACTAGGAGATTTACTTCTATCATCTAAATCTGTAAAATCTTCAGAAGATGATTCACCTGCTTTTTTTTATCTTTGATTCTACCTTCCTCTATTTGATATTTGATTAATTGAATTATTAGTTCCAAAACTATCCATCATTTGTATATTTTGATTTTAAAAAGAATTGGTTTGCTTATATAATTAAGTTATATTCACTTCTTAAATTGTAGTGTTTTATGTAATAATATTTGACTTAAATCTAAAATCTTTACTAATTCTCTCAAATTCATGTTAAAAAGTCAATATTTTATTTTCTTTTTGTAAAAGGTTTTTGATATCTTTCAGATTATAAAATGAATTAATAGTAAACTTACAATTTGAAAGAAAATGCCCATTTATGTATAAACATTCATGAATCATCAAATTTTCATTACTAAAAAGTAAAGCCTTATTTAACAATTCATAATTATCTGGTTCATGAAAAGTGAATTATCTATCATATTAAAATTTATTTGATGAAAAAGACTTATCTGGATGAGATGGGCCTATTTTTGATTAGCCCATTATATATTATATATTATTATTATTATTATACTATATATTATTTAAATTAACTTGTATTCTATCTTTAAAGATATAATTAAATTTGAATGGAATTAGAGATCTTTAATAAGCATTCAATCAATTAAATCATTATTTTACCTATTAAATTTGATGAATATCTCTGATACTCAAATATATATTAATTTAATAAAACAATATAATAATGGCAGCTGCCGTTTAAGTGTATTCAGATGCCATCAGAAAAACATTAGAAGCTACATTATGTTTGAGAGCATTTCCATCAGAAATAATTGAAAAACAAAGTAAACCAGAAATTGAATTGAATGGGTAATGATATTCATTTCTATAATGTTTAGTTATTCATCAAAAACTAGACAACTAGTATTGTCACCTATATATTTGTGTAGAAGTGAAAAAGAGAAATGTGTTATTGAACCTTCTATTAATTCAACAAGAGTAATTCTAGATTATAGAATATATAGATCAGCTTCTCAATTAAAGCTCTAGATGAAGTAGATAGATTAATAGGTGAAAAATTTGCTAAGTATTTGGCAGTCAGAGCTGATTATTTTGAAATTTTAAGAAGGAAACCAATTCCAGTAAATTTTTATCTTATTATTTTTAGGGATATGACATAAGTTTCTTGATTTTGGATTCTCATTTGGAAAAATACAGTGTTCAAGGGATTATTAATTTTATTATAGATTATGTGGAAAATATTGATAAGGATCTTAGTGACATCAAATTAAATATAAACACTTAAGCAAGAATTACAGCTGCTTGTTTTGTAGGAGGATTAGCAAATTAATGAGTATTAAATAAAAAATTATATATTATCAGTTGATCAAATTTTATAAAATAAATTTGAAATAATAACAAAATATGAAAGTCTAATAGTAAAGTGATTATGACACTAGAGTTACCTATGTTCCTTAGAAAAAGAAAGAATTTTAATATCATACTAAATAACCAGAAATTAATGTTCTCTAAAACTATTAATCTTAAAGCAATAAAATAGAATCCATACCTGGTCATATTCGATCAAAATCATATGAACATGATTGTTTTACTAAAGCATAAAATACATTCGGAATTAACACAGATTAATCATAACTATAACCATTAAAAACTAAACGATAACATAGCATCTCTTAAAAAGAAAATGATCCTGGATTTTTATCTCCTAAATTCAGATTTGAAAGTTGTGATACTCTTATTACTAGAAAATCTTAAAAGTAATAATTTCTTATTTATCATTTATTTCAGTAGTTTCATTAATGAATTATCAGAATGTGTGGATCTTTCAAAAGTGACAGAATTATCTATGCAATCATAGATATCTCCATGTAAAACCTAAAGTGAATTGTATTAAAAAATAGAAGCAAAAGATAATTTAATTGATGAACTATAAAAATAATTGACTAACACTTTAAAAAATATGACATAATAGATAGATTTATTAAGAAATGAGAAGAATAAAGTTATTTAATAATAAATTAGATAAATTGAAATCTATGAATAATAATTATAGGAATCCAGATAAGAAATATAATAAAAGAATAAGGAATTATAGCTTTTAAAAAAAAATCAAAAGGATATTAAAAAAGTACTTGATTTTAGATAAGAAAAATATATAATAAATTGTAAAATTTGAATTTATTTTATAATAGCTACTCCTTAGAACTTTTAATCTAAAAAAGAATGTATGTGTTCACAACTTGAAAGAGAAAATAAAGCTTTGTTGGCTAAAGTTGATTAATTTAGATAATAACTTCATGATCTTAAATAAAATCTTGAATTTAATAATCTCTCTATTAATAATCAAATTTCTGTTATTGAGAAATGTGACTTAACATAATTTGAAAAAACTTTTAAACAATTAGCAGATGAACTTAATTTAACTATTGATAGCAAAAATATTAATTCTAGTTTTAGTTTATTAAATCATGAAGTTATAGAAGGTGTGAAAACATTAAAATAATAGTTTAAAGAAAATGAAAAATTTATAAGATGTTTAAAAGATTTAGTTATATAATGTGCACCATAAGATTATTTTTGTTAATCAGATCCAAGCTTAAAAGAAGTTTGGAAATTCATTAAATAAATATTATAATCTTATCTTGAACATAAGAAATAGGCATAATTAAATGAAGTAAAATTTTATTAATTATATAAGGACATAGTATTTACATTATGTAAATATTTTAGATGTAATAAAGGAGAATTGAATCATAAAGGAGCTTGTCTTATAGTGGATTAAGAGGTTTATTAAAGAATAGTTGATAAAATTAAAAGAATATTAAATTTAACAAATTTAAGTAATATAAGAGAACTTGATAGAAAATTGGATTATTATTTACAATGAATAAGATTGAAGATAATTTTGAAGCATTTTTGCTTATATTTTTATTTAATTCCAAATCATTTTAGTTTAATAAAATATTAATCGTTTTTTTGAATCATTAAATTAATAATTTAATTAATCATATTCTTAATTTGTTTATTTAATAGATGCATAAAATAATAGTAATTATAAAATTAATTATTGATAGATATTCTCTTTTTATATTATTATTCAAAATATTTTATATAATTTTTGATTTACAGAATATAGATTGATATTTATGAGTTTCTATATAATTCATGTTGCCTTTTTGAAAATCAAAACATTATTAATTTTTAATCAATTTTATCAAAATAATAAACATTTCATTTTTGTTATATTTTATTTTTTTCTTCTAATTCATATTATAGTCTTTATTTTTCCTCACATAATTATGAAACTTATTATGTTAAATCAGAAACGATATTTTACATCAATTAGTAATGTTCTTCAAGTTCATTTGCTCTTTTTTTCATTTCTTCTACATGATATTCCTCTTATTAATGCATTGTTGATTTTAAAACATTATTTTCTTATTATAGTTATTAAACTATAGAATTGGAATTTTTCAAGTTTTTATTTGTAGAAATTACAATTTCTTGTAATTTTTTGTTTTCTGATAATAGAACACTAAAAGTATAAATGATTAAATTACTGCAATTTACTAATTGTTTTTGATTAGGAATCTAGACTATCTTAAATTTATTTATCTTTATCCAAAACAGATTATTTTAATTATTGATTTTATTGTTTTAAGGAGGTAATTTCTTTTTCTAGTTTTTCGTTAAATATAATCACTGCTTATAATTAATCTGTGAGATATTTAACTTAATCTTATTTGGCATTTGCAACTTAAACTGACTTAACACTTCCGCTATCACTTGGTTCATAATAAATGGAAGATCTAAATTAATACATTTTATTGACAAAATAAGTCTTGTATAATTAAATTAATGAAATTTAAATATTATTAAATTCATTTACTTATTAGTAGATGAATGAAACAATTGCTTAAATTGATTCATTAATCTATTTCAATTATAATAGAATTGGAACATAATAAAAAAAGTAATTAAAATATTTCTAATTATTAATAATACCTGTTAAACTTCTTTATTTCTAATATTTTTGAAATGAATATATATAAATTTATTGAAATCATATATGTTTAATTTGATATTTTCAGTACTGTAGAATATTTAATTAATTATGATTCTTCAAAATACTAAACAATTTTTTAAGAAAAAGGTAACGTTTATGAATTGTATTATATTTGAAATGGAAAATAAGATTATATGTGATAAATTTATAAAAAAATAAATTAGATGAATATCATATCATTTCATTAAATTAATGTTATTTGAAGGGTATGATAAATGAACAATTGATTTTGATTATGTTAATATTTAAATAAATAAAAGATGTTTTTATATTTACTAATACCTACACTATGTTTTGCATAAAGATTTCTTTAAGCAGATGAGACTTGTTATGGTGTCATTTTAGATTGTGGATCTTCAAGCACAAAGACTACAATATATTCTTGGCCATGTAGAACTAGTAAAATATATCCTTTAACCGACATCACTTAAGAAGTAATTGAATTAGAAAATTTGTTAGTCATAATAATTAAAGACAAGTCCAGGAGTATCAACCAAATATCCTGATGAGATCTCTACATATTTAGCCCCTATATTTGAATTCATAAATTCTAAAGTGCCAGTAACTCAAAAAGAATATACACCAATATTCATGGGAGCAACTGCTGGAATGAGATTATTAGATATCAATAAATAAAATGCTCTTATAGATGAGATCAGAAAGCAACTGAGTAGAAGTGGTTATTTATTTCAGGCTGACAATTGGGCTAGAGTAATATCAGGTCAAGACGAAGTAATTACTATTTTGATGTATAGGCCACATATCTTTGGTTAGGAGTTGAGTATCTTTTGGGTAAAACTGACGGAAGTTTAATCACTATAGACTTAGGAGGTGCTTCAACTTAGATTGCATTTAAAGTGGATTACATATAATATGAATCAGATATAGTTACTTTGACATTGCCTGATGAAGACATCAATTTATATGCCATCTCATATCTTGGTTATGGTAATGATTAAGCTAGAGATGCTGTTCTTGCAAAAAGCATCAGTGGAACTTAAGTCATTAGTCCATGTTATCATCAAGGATATAGTGGAACTTGGACCTATTAAAAAGTTTAGTATTCTTTATCAGGAAGTGGTAATGTAGAATAATGTTAAGCTTTGATATAATCTTTCTTAAATAGCTAATGTAGAACAGTAAAAGATGAGTTATGTGGAATCAATGCTATTGATTAACCATAATTACCTACATCTTATTCAATTTATGCAGTAAGTGGTGTAGCTACAATTGCTAACTTTCTTTAACTTAATACTTTCAAAGTAATTCTTTTTATAGATAAAAAATAGTTACCATAATTCTTAAGTTAAGCCTAAGAATTCTGCAAGATGAGTTGGTCATAAGTTTAAGCAAATTCTACTTATTCATCAAACCAATATGTAAGCACTAACTTTTTCTTATCACTCTATGTTCATTAATTATTATCAATAGGATATAATATTCCAGATACTATGTAAATTATCTTAATAAATTTTAGGGATATCAATGCTCCTTTACTAATTAATTCTTAAACACCTACCTGGGCTATGGCAGCTGTTCAATATTAATTGGCTTAAGTTGACTGTGATTTAGATAGTTCTATTTGTCAAGGATCAATTTTAAATTTGATGGCATTCCTTTGTTTAATGATATTATATTCGTGATTTGTGCTTATTTGAAACTATTATATTTAATATGAATATTGAAAAATAATTAAGGGAAGATTACATTCATGACTTTCATACTTTTCTTAGAAAAAATGAAACAGAAAGTAAATAAAAAGTTAAAACAACTCTCCTTCCTTTACCATGGCAACCTAATCATCCTTTTAGATTATTATGGGATGTTATTTCTATGCTGTTTATTGTAATTCAAATGATGATCATTCCTCTTAATTTATCCTTCGAGATTGATGATAAGGGACTGTCTTTGTTCATGGAAATTATGGATGATTTCTTCTTATTGGATATTCTTATTCAATTCAATTGTGCTATTTATATAGATGGTAAATTAATATTAAAAAGATCAACCATCATTTGCAATTATCTTAAATTCTGGTTTTGGTTGGATCTTATTAGTTCATTACCATATGATTATTTTGTTGAAGTAAATATCAACATTATGGTAGGGAGGCAATGTACAAATGATAAGAATGTTAAGATTCTTTAAATTTCTTAAAGTAATCAAAATGATTAAAGCTTTTAAATTAAAGCTCTTAATCAGAAGATTAGAGACTTTTCTAGGAAATGACTTCTCATCTTTAATGGAATTTATCAAATTAACATTTATAATAGTAGTTTTAGCTCATTGGAGTGCTTGTATATTTAATTTGACTAATCAAGACAATTATGATTACTTAACATCATTCTATTTCACGTAAAATGTCAAAATTGATAATTTAGTATTACCACTATGATCACTGTAGGTTATGGAGATGTTCTACCATATACAGCAGAAGAATAAATATATACAATTTTTGCAATGATTTTAGCATCAGGTGTTTTTGGATATACTGCAAATAGCATGATATCTATCTTTCAATATGAAGATCCATAATTAACAGAATTGATCATGAAATAGTAGATCATCAATAAATACACTAAAACCCATGGTTGCTCAGGTAAATTAAGACTTAAAATTCAAAATTATTTAGAATGGGTAGTAGAAAATGATTATGAAGTAAGATCATCATTAATTATTTCTGATCTATCTGAAGAATTAAGAAATTAAGTAATAACTCATATGAACTTAAGATTCTTCAAAACTCTTCCTATAACAATGAATAGAGCCATCAAAATTAATGAATATAGTAAATCTATTCAATTATTTTTAGTTCTTCCTCCAGAAACTATAATTAATGATGAGCATCATATTTATTATATTATTTAAGGTAAAGTATCAGTTATGGCCAATAATATACATCTTGGATATGCAGAGTAATGTTTTGGAACAATAAATTTCTTTTCAAATATTCCAAGAACTGCTGAATTAATTACTACTGAAACTACTAATTTAGTCAAATTGTCTAGATAATAATTCTTATAATCATTAAATTATGAGTAATTCTAAAAATTTCATATGATAAAACAAAAATTGGAAAATAATGATTTTTTAGATCTAAATATAAAATGTTTAGGATGTAATCGCAAAGGTCATGTCATTAAATATTGTTAATAATTTCATTATGTATCATCAAGATTAATGAGACCAAAAATTAAATTCTTGAGGATTCGTAATAAAAAATAAAAAACTATTTACAATTAAAAATAAATTGAATATTATTTAATAATGCAAGCAAGAAAAATTAATACTAAAAAAATGGTTAAATAAGAAGAAATTAATTAAACTATGAATTAGAATTTTGACATTGATGAAATCAAAAATTACATTCATTTTGATATTGAGTGGAACATCAATGATGTTTTAAAATCATATCGCTTAAAAACAGTATATCGATATTGCTAAGCAATAATTAAAAAGAACTTAAAATTCTTAATTCGTTAGAATCTTTAAAAGTGTAATAATGATAAACGATTCCGTTTAAAGAGTGAACTCAAACCTAAGTATATTTAGAAATATAAAGATTAAAATATGTAACACAAGATAATGGATTGAAATACAGTATCATTGTTAAATTTATGATTTATTTTTTAACTTTTTCTCTAGTTAAGGAAAACCAATAAACACAGCTGTTATATTATCGAAAGTTTTTCTTTATAATGACAATCTCATTATGGCTTCCACAGCCTTACCACCAAAAATATGTATATTTGATGTTTGTACATTCCAAGCACATTATATAACTTCTTCTGTACTCATTTTATCATAGATACCATCACCTTAATCAAATGATAAAATTACATGCTAAAATTAAGAAATCTTAATCTGTAATTTATAACTAAAAGATATCAGGTTCAGATGAAATAACATTAGGAATACCTCCATATTTAGTTAATTTAGCTTCAGCATCTCCAAATGTTCTTGAAACAGCTAATCTTCCTGGCAAAACTCTATGTGGTCCTAATTAAATTTCACCATTTAATTATTAAAGTTATGTTTAATAAATTTATCCTCCAAATTTATTAATTCTTTATTATTCTTCTTAAGTTGATGGTTTATGATCAACTGTTATTGATTTCCCTTTTCCACCTTGAGAAATAATTGCTCTTGAATCACCTATATTTGCAACATAACAATTATTATCAACAAATAATGCAAATACTGCACAACAACCAGATTTATCTAACACTTTTTAATCAGCCATTTCTAAATAAGTTTTCTCTGCTTTTGAAACTCCTCTTTCAATTGCAAGTTTAGGATTATTTGGAAAACAATCTTCTTTGATAATCTATTTCATATCATTATTTTTACATATTAATGTAAATTATCTCTCATAAAATCTGCACATTATGGTCCTCCATGACCATCATAAACTGCAAAAAATGAACTCTAAGGCCAATAACCTTAATTCACATTAGAATTTGGTCTCATTAAATTTAAAATAATTGAAACTCTATCTTCGTTATATTATCTAACTAGACCTTAGTGAGTATTTGCTGCATATGCTGATATTATCCCTATATTTTTCTATGAAATTTTTGATGGTTCTATTACAGGAAGACTTTCTAATGGAAGTAAAGGAGAATTATTTCTTTATTATTATTTACTTTTAGTGACAGTAGGTTACGATTATCTTGATCTCAATATTTCTTTTCTTAATGGAGGTAAGACTGTTGAATCATCTTGTTTTGGTTAATCTAAGCTTACATTTACTCTCTTTGCTGTACATTTTGGTTACGTTTTTTGTGTAGATAATTAAAAATAAGAGTAATCTTTCACTAAATGATGTTGATTTTGATATTTACTTTTATTTGAATCATCTATATAACTTGACTTAGTCTTGCTAATTTTAGAAGATAATTAAGAATTTAATGCTTAAGCCGCTACATAATATTGTGATCTGATGTTCGGTATTCCTTTAAGTTGTTATTATTATTTCATAATATAAATTATATTAACTTGAATCTAATCATTCAGTTTCTTCTTTGAAAATATCATTTACCCAGATCCCTACTAATTCAAACTTATTAACTATCATTTTTCCATAACCATGTTTTAATCCATTTTAAAATTCTCCATCATATATATCATTAATTCCCTTTAGAATTCCTTTACCATGCATTTTATTTTCGAAAAATTCACCTTTATTTTTTAATATTCATACCTTTATAATATTTTCCATCAGGATATTTCAAATAACCTTTACCATGCATTTAATTATTAAAAAAATCTCCTTCATATTCCATTCCATTTCCAAATAATAATATACCATTGCCTTCCATTTTATTATTCTAAAAATCTCCATCATATTAACAATCATATTTCAAATTTTTCATTATTCCTTTACCATGTCTAATTCCTAAATCAAAATCACCTTCATATATTTCATCTTCCTAATCGAATGTCATTGTTCCTTTTCCATGAAGTGTATTATTTACAAATTATCCTTAATATTTCTTATTCCCTTGAATTAGTATTTTATCTTTAACAATCTAATTATTTTCCCAATATCCTTCCTTTAAGTTATTATTATTTCTATTTTTACCATTAATAGTGTAGGTTCTAATTGCCTACCCCATCCTTTTATCATGTCTTATTCGAAACTTCCCTCGTAAAATATTTCATTCATCAACATCACTCCATATCCATGCTTTTTCTTATTTTAAGTAAACCCTAAAAAAAAATAATTTTCATCTAATTCCTATTCTACATATTCTAAATCTTTATTAATTTCTAATTTTTCAGGAGAATTATAAGGTCCATGTTTTTTAAACATTTCTTATAGCCAAGTTGGAAAATTCTCATCAATTTTCAATTTTCGATAAATGAATGATTGTTAATTTTTTGGTGTTTCTTTTGATTTATTAGAATTATCACTATCACTATCATTGTCTTAATCCATTATTGATTTTCCCCATCTTTTTTTTGAAATAGCTCCTCCCATCCAAACAGAGAATATTAATTTAGAGTATAATTTAATATTCTATTCAGAAAAATATTATTTATATGAATACATTCCAAATCATAACGAATCCAAACGTAATTACATAATGAATTCATATAATCATGATATCAATATATAAAATGTATACTCATAAATTAATTTGATAATAATATCAAAAAAATACTTTAATCTCTAAGAAATTAAAATACTACTTCTAAAAAATTAATAGATATAATAAATATATACAGAAAAGATTTAAATTATATAATTTACTTCATGATATTTAGTGATTAATTTTCACATATTCTTCTAATAGTATGATCCAATTGGATAATTTATAAATAGTAAAATTGTTTCATTTTCATTAAATTAGCAATCATCTAATAGTAGGCTTTGAATCCTACTAATAAAATAATTTTCATTGTATTTTTAAGAAAAGAGTTGTTAATTTATACCTTCTATCTTAAGTTCAATATTATTAAGATTGTGATTTAGAATTAACAGAACTTTTTCTGTATCATTTAAAGTGATTTCTGAAACTATTTCAAACAATTAAATTAAAAAGATTCTTAATTAATGTAAATATTAACAAATATAAATTGTATTCTCTTTCCCTTAGATTTCAATTTCAATATTTGGGAAAAATCTACTTTTGTATATCCTAACTATTTTATTTAACAGTAAATTAAACTCAATTTTCTTTATAATTTATTTATTTAAAAATAATACACTGAATGCTCCTAAATTAAATATTTTTTAATGATAATAAATTTGATTTTATTTTAAGAAATCTTTTAATTTTATTTATTCTTCTTCTTAATGTAAGACCTTTACTATTTATTGTTGATATTCTTAAAAAATAATTAAATATTAACGATGTTGTGGATCTATAGCACATATTTTTATTATGAAACTAATTTTTCCACATTTTACAATTAAAATACAACCAAACTTAATTAAATCAATCTGATTTATTAAAATGTCCTCTAAACTTTCATTATTTGATTTATAAAATCTTAACATATTTCTTGTATTACATCCATAGCATATCTCATCATTATAACCTGGAAATTTTTTAATTTGATTTTCGCTCAACAATTAAAAAATCTATTAATCTTCATGAAATTATAATTTAAGATATGGTTTACTTAGCAAAAATTAGCCTAACTTTTTAAGATTGTTCTCCTTCAAGTTTTATATAAAATATCTTCTGGCATTTTTATCGTTTACATAAATTGTGATAAGAATTAAAATACAAGCAAAAGCTCCTACAAATATAGATAAATAATCTGGTCTCTTCGAATAAATTGTAGTAATTAATGTTCTTATTGCCAGACTACAAATTACTTAAAAAAATGCATGATCAAAATTAGAAATCATAAATAGCACTGCTTGAAATTACATAAATATACATCCATAAACATAAAATTCAGTTTAAGTTGTATTTAAAGGGTCAACATTTAATTACAAAATTCCTATTGTAATACTGCTAAATGTCAATCCAAATTATATCAATTGAATCTGTTTAAGTATAAGTATCATTATAGCTTAAATTATTGTCAAACCAACTAATATGGCATTTATATACCAAGTTTCTGAAGGCTTAACAAAAAAATGGAGTACTAATACTGTAATATTAGAACAGAAGGAAAGAAGTAGTATAAATAAAAAGACAGGCTTCTTTATTGACTTTGCTTTATCAATCTAATATTTCTCTTCTAATTCTTTTTCATCAAACTTCAACTTGAGATCATTAAAAAATTTCATTTATTTAAAAACTGAATTGAATACTATATGAACAATCTATGGTTAAGAAAATAAAATTATTAAGAGTTAATAGATATTTTTAGAAACACTTTAATAGGTAATGGGGATAAGAAAAGAAAAAAGAATTTAATAGCATTAAGAATTAATGCTATCATGAGCTTATCCTTATCTATCGATAAGTATTTAGAGATAAAATATTTATTCATAATTAACAATTATAATTTTAAATTATTTAATAATGAATATCACAAAGACATTTATAACATAATTAGAATAGTATATAAATAGAGTTTAAAGCCATTATGAAAGTATTGTTAAACTAATATCTGATGCTGCTTTATTAATTGGTGAATAGAATATTTAATTGTAATAAACAGTAATGATCAAAGAATTTTGGTATATATTTGCACAATTAGATGAATGGATTAACTAAGGAAAAATAATTTCTTAAAAATTGATTGAAGTTAATATAATACAATATTAACAATAATAAATAATTGAATTGTCTATTTAAGAAGAAAAGAATTTAAAAGAAAATGTTAATTTATTAAATGAATTTATTGAAAATTTAGAATTTTTATCTGGAGCTTAGTTACTTGATATTAATTATGTAAATCCACCAGAAAATTAAGTTGCTTTTAATAAAGAATATGGAATACAAAAATTAGATTTTGAAAACAAATGCAGAAATATCATTGGTTATTAAAGAGTAAGAGGAGATGGAAATTGCTTTTATACATCTTTTTTCTATTAATACCTAAAGATATTATTATAAAATTCAAGATAAAATAATAGAATACATGAATTTATTAATAAGGTTAATAAATTAAATTTAATATTATTTTTTAATGGTTAGTCCTTAATAAAAACATAAAATGAAATTGAAATAAAATAATATTTTAATTAAGTTATTTAAGAGCTACTCCAAAACAATTCTAAATTATTAGAATATTTTTCAAAAAGTAACAAAATATTTTATGTATGTTCAATAACAATTTTTAGAAATATTGTTAGATCAATATATGAAGAATAAAAAAATAAGATATCAAATTTTCTTGATGGAGATTTATATGAAGAGATTGTCACTTGGTCAAAAGAATGTAATACTAATCAAGCCATAATTTAACTTCTAAGTTAAGAATTAAATTTGTAATTTTTTGTTATAATAAATATTTAGTTAAGTTAATTTATATTTTTTCAGAAGAGATGGTATTGATCTTGAAATTTATAATTAAAATTAGGATTTATATTAAATTAATTTACTATTTAGACCAGGACATTATTAAATTGCTATATGCTAAAATCCATATGTCAATTGTCATCAGATATCATATTAATAAAATAATTGAAATAAATATTTATAAATAATCTTTTATAGATTTATTTTAATAAAATAAGAATTAAGTTTATTATCAATAAGAGTTTTAATTTTCTATTAAAAAACAAACAAAATTGTAAAGATAACATTATATAAAAATTTAAAGAATTATTATTGATAATAAATAAGATTACATTGATAAGAATTAAATTGAAACAAATTATATGTTTTTTTTCAAACTCTTTTTTTTATTTATATTTTATTAATAGCATAATTTTGATTATTTTAGCATTAATTTTCTTTGTTATTTTAATTTTTCATATTTTTCATTTGCTCAGATTAATTAATTATACTTTTTAATTAAGTTATTCCTACTTTTAATCTATGATAAATACTTTAATTTAAAGTTTATTTTAACTATTTTACATCTTATTATAATTCTTCATCTAAATCAAATGTTTATGCATAAATATTAATATTAATATGTTCTGTCTTTGAACAATTTCTTTAAAGTTTAATAGGAGAATCCTCAACATCTTCTTCTACAATAGCTATTAGAATTACAAAATGAATTACGTTAATCAGCTATGTATAATGACATTTTTTTATTTAAATTCATCATGGCAAATTCATTAGTAATTGATGTCCTTAAGTTATTATAGTAATTAATTAAATCAATAGCTTATTTTGATAGATTCTTAGAATGTCCTTTTTTTTTTTACATTTAATTTAACGAATATTTATTAATAAATCATATAAAATAATACCTCTTCACATTGTAATCTTCAAATTCCTTAGATCCTTCCATAACTTAACTCATTATATCAGCTGCTCCAAAACAATAACTCATACCCCTTGATCCATGACCTGCATTTATAAATACATTTTTGAATCCAGGTACATCACTAATTATTGCAACATCATCTGGTGTTAATGGTCTAAAACAACTTCTAACAGTAAAGTCACTCATTTTAAAGTCAAATCCATTTTGTTCATTAAATCTATTTAATATTTAAATTGCTCCCCATTCACTACTTGCATCAGTTGATGGAGTATCAGTGCAAACTTCTGCACATCCTGCTAATCTTAAATGCCCATTTAAATTTGTTGCAAAATAATTTGGAGTATTTAAAGTGAATTCTTTAACTAAAGTTTAATTGAAATTTTAAGGAGCAGTTCTTCCCATAGCCCATCCTTTTGCTGGAACTATAGGAAGATTTAGTCTTAATTTATGTGCTAATTCTTTACTTTTATGTGCTAAACATATAACAAAACTATCTCCCAAAACAATTCTATCATAATATTAATATATACCCTTTATTTGTTTAAATTCCTTTGACATATTTATCTGTATCTAAAACAAAATTTTAAGCAGAAGTTTAAAATGCAATTGCAAATTAATTTGGAAAGTTCTCTTAACAATATTTGAGCATTGCTTATGTTAATTCTCTTGTTTCTAAATTTGATTCAGTAGTTAATATCAATGCTTTTTTAAATCTATTAAAAAGTTTAAGATTTGGTTCTGTTTTTAAATCTGATTTAGTGAATTATTCAATTTATTCAAAAGAATCAACTTTAATATGAGGGATACCTAATAATTCTAATCTATCTCTATAAGCATTAACTTTTTAATCTGAAGCAAAAAACCCTAATTATCCTTTTGCAATTAAATGTCCTTTAAATAACCCAGAAGGCTTTAATTTTTCAATGTCCTATAATGTTAAAGATCCAATTCTTAATTATTTTTTTGAATTCAATATTTAAGCATTGCTAATTAAATAAATTAATTATAATACTCTGTCATACTCAATAACAAACTATTAATACCCCATTATATAAAATTGGTTTCTAAAAAAGCATTCATATTAAATCTTACTGTAGTTAATTCAGGTTTTTCAAATATATTTTTTATCATATAAATTAAGTTATCCTAGTCTTAATATATTTTTAATTACTTTTGTGACTAATGGTAAAAAGTACATTGGATTAAAAACATTTCCATTAAAAGCACTACATTCTGATGCAACAGTATTAGCTTATTCAATAACAGTTACATTATACCCCATTCTTAATAGTTTTAATGCTTATGAGATTCCAATTATTCCTATTTGTAAATTTCAATATTACCCCCTCCAATTACAACTACTTTTTCTTTATTCTTGAGATTATTAACGCTATTAATTGGATGAGCTATTAATTGTTAATCTTTGGATTTGATCATATTTTTTAATGCTAAATCATTGATTTATTCTTTTGTGAGGAAAGTATTTGATAAATATTCTCTATACTTTCTTCCTTAATCGAATCCATAAACTCCAATAGCAGCCCCAACAATTAATTTGAACAAACTAAATTTACGTTTGGGTTCCACATTTAGTGTTGATGTTGAGAAGCCAAATTTTAAAATGTTACGAATCATTTTAGATTAAATATATTTATTAATATTATTATTTTTACAATATTAAATGATATCATTTGACATCATATAATAATGATTCAATTATATATAGATATTCTAATTCAAATGAATGATGAAATAGTTTTCTGTATATTTTATAATTTTAAAGTAAGTTTAGAGATTTAACAATACTTTAAAATTATTAATATATTATTTTTTCAGATAAATAATATAATGTACTAACAGAGATTTGGTGCATCTAATAAAATGCAATAAAAAACATTATAGGAATATGATATTAAACCAGTAAAGAATCCTATTAATCAGGAAAAATAGAATGTTCAACAAGTTTAATAAATTTACAATCTTTAACAAAGAAATACAAGAGGAAACTAAATTGAAAATGGAGAGAAGGGAATTTAAATTAAAGTGTTTTAAAACTCAACTAAATCTAATTTAGATTAAAGATCTTCATCTTAGTAATCTAAAGAAGATCTTTCTCTTTAAAAAAGGTTGTTTTCAGGCCTTGAGTTAGATTCATCTTTTTCTAAAATAAACTCTACTACATTCTAGGAACAAGATAGAAGTCCAAGAAATAAAAGTGATATCATACAAATCAAACTTTTAAAACCTTTAGATTAGAAATTCTTTAACTTCATTCGAGAATACGGTTATATAATTGGGGATTTATCTAAAGATAATTAATCTTCATTTACTGTAAGCACAATGGAACGATCAAGATTGCTTTCCAATGAAAGACAAATTGTTTACAGCAATTCTCCTCCACCTTCAAAAAGTATGATTTAATTATAATTCTTTATAGCTTTTCGAACAAAACTCTTTAATCATGTTAATTGATAATTATTTTAATTTATCTATAATTATAGTTAATAAAAATGTTACCCTTATTCAAAGTTTTCTCATTGGTTGTGAGGGTGTTTGCAAGACCAGTTATAGCTAGAACAAAGGCTGCTCATTTAAAGAAAGCTTAATCAGGACATACAAACTGGATCAAGAAATTTTATGTTCGTTTAGGAAACTTTTAACATAAATGGGACGTAATGAAATATTGAAATATAGTAAAAAATAGATAGCAAATTTATGGGTATTGATAAAAAAAGTAGTGATTTTTTCTTTAAGCCTTTGAATGACGAAGTGGCGTTAGAAAAAGTAATCTAAATTAATAAGTTTGTAAGGGAGTAGAATTCTTTTACGAAATCCTTATCTATGCATTATTGATAACACTTCCAACATATGAAATGTATTCTGCATAATAAGACTCTAAAAAAAAGAGTGAATAAAATAATGAAAAATTAAATGTAAATCATTATCTAAAGTAGAATTTGATGAAATAAATTGAGGAGAATAAATAACATTCCTAGATCAACATCTAAAAATTAGAGGAATAAGATTAAATTAGATAAGATTTAGTGAAATAATTAAATATCATTTCTGTTTAGTCTTTTGCATAATTAGATGATTTATCAAAGGTTTTAATTCAAATTATTACAATAGAATTGGAATCTAAGATCATAATAATTGATTGAAGAAAATCAAAAATTAAAATAAGAATTAGAATAAATAAAATTAAAGTATTCTAAAGATGAAGACTAATGAGTTTAAAATTATATATATCTATAATAGTCCATAATAGGATTTCCTTTTGTTTTTGATGGATATTAAAATAATTACCATCTTATTTATATTTTACATATGAAATAAAAAATAATTATACTTATCATCCTAAAACTAATATTAATAAATTAAAATAGAATATTAGCAAAAACTTTATTATTAGAATTCAAAAGATTTATATTAAATTAAAAACAATAGTGAAAAAGTGTAAATATAATAAATAAAATTTATCAAAATAAGTACTTTTGTATACTTAAAATGCCATTATTGAAAACATATAACAGTATTTCAATATTATCCTTAAAATCCAGATATAGAAATATATTTATAAAATAAAACTAAAAATTTAAAATTAGTACTGATTATAACTTTTAATTACTTCAAAAATTTAAATGAGCTAAATTCTTAAAATCATCTAAACTCATTGGACGAGGACATGCTTTTTAATTTTGTTTACAATCTTCACATTCATCAGGTAAATATTCATCTCCTAAATTTTCTATTTTTTTAGATTTATCTGTCCACAAAGGAAATCTATAATTACATCCAACTCTATGAAAATGAGCTCCTAATTATTATTTACTAATTAATACCATGTGCTATAATTGGGGGTCTAAAAGCACTACAAGCAAAACAAAATTCTATCAAACAATTAGTACAAGAAACATGTTCACATCCATCATTTTTCATATAAATTTCTAGACATCCAGGACAACAACTAACTCTTTCATCCAATAAAGCCACTTTTATCTCATCTAGACGTTATGGACATTTTGATGCACCATGATCTAAATTTCTAAATTGTTATATTGAAAACATATATATACTTGCAAACACAACAAATCTTATGAGAGCATAGTGGACATCGTAATTCATTTTAATTTTATGGAGGCATACCTTTTATACTTGTTTTACAAGATTAATTAGGACAGGTTATATCAATAATTCCATTTTTTATAGCTCGTTCTGCTAATTTACTAAATTCTTCAGGAGTCAAAACATTTTTAATTTCTTATTAATCAATAATACGTTAACAAGGTTTTATATTATCCCCATTATTGAGTTATATTGGACATTTAAAATATTTAAAATTCCATTGTCCTGAATTAAATTTAACCTTTATTTAATTAATTTAATAATACTTTGATCCAATCTTCTAAACAAGACTAACAAATCTTATGATCATCATGTAGATTTCTGATTCCACTAGCTTCATTAATTTCTGTTTAGCAAATAGGACAAAAAAAAGGAGATATAGAATATAAACTTTTCGATTCATTCAAGGCTTCAGAATTATGAATTTATTTATGTAAATTGTCAATCTCTGATTTTTTATGTTTAACATTTTATCTCATAATTTAAGAATTACTAGAATTATTGTTTTAATTTATCATCTATTTTTTTGGTACAAATCCTAAACTATCTTTTTTTTTTCCTGAAGATTTCAATAAAAGTATGTCTGATTTGGCTCTTAAATGAGATGATCTATTCTAAAGGGAAACAAAATAATCATTTTATAAATTTAAAATTTCTTCAAAAAAAGTATTCTCTAAACCTATTTAATTTGCAGAAGATTTTTAATAGATGACTTCACTTCTAAAATTAGTTGATTAATTTATAATTTTTGTTGATCTTAACTTATCATTCTTATTATAAGATTGCTATAATAATGTTAAAGTAGTTGGTGATTTTGAATTATCAATTTAATTCTATGTAATTTCTTTTGTTTAATATTTAATGTCTTACTATTCTTGTTAAAATGATACATTTTATATAAGATTACTTTGAGAATTTTTACAGTCTTATTCATGAATATCAATATTTTAAGGAAAATCATTCTCTAAAACTTTTGGTTATGGCCTATGAGACAAATTTAATTTAATTTATTATTAAGACTAATTTGTTATTTAATTAGGTAAAGATGAAAATAAGGAATTTTTTACTAGATCTTTTGGGACTGAAGCTTTATCGGTTAAGACTATTTAATCTGGAGAATTAGATTAAAGTTTCATATATTTATTTACAATTTCTGTTATGTAATCTCTAATGATTGTAACTTAGGATATGATAGTATTTTCAATAAGTTCTTCTGTATATATTAAATTCTATTCAGAACTTAATACAAATTCTTGGTGAATTTTTTGATCTAAATTCAAAAGTTAAAATAAATTGAAACTATCTTTTGAAAATTATTCATTTATTTTTATAGTCTATTTATTGGCAATGAGTGTTTATGCTTCACCAAGTTATATAATCTATAATACTTTAGTAATCCAAAATTTATTTAAATTACAAAAATCATTTGAAGCTTATTTTAGTATGCTCTCAATAATTTATTATATGATTTCTACAATAGATTAATCAATTTGAAATAATTATTATTTGTGATTAATTATATTTTAAATATAGAGAATATCTTGATTCGATTGCAAAATTCTTATAGTATATTTATTTTAGTAGATTTCTAATAAGAATGCAATCTTTTTTTCTTAATTTTATTATTACTGTATTCTTCTTTTTGTTACGTAATTACTTTATTGATCGAAATAATTAATAAAAAAATAAATAGGAAAATTAAATAAATGTGAGATAGCAATGACTTCATAATCTTCCAAAATAAAATAGTTTAATGAATTTATTTCTAAATCATCACTGCATAATTTTTTGATAATTTCTTCCTTATTCAACTATTTGATACATTATCTTATTGAAGTAATCATCTCATTATCAGGCTTAAGATATTCACTCAAAGCTATTCCTCTTGACAATTAGAATAGAGTATTAATTCCCTATTCATTATCTAAATAAGAGTATATGTACTTTCTTTTGTTTTATAAATATTCTTAAACTTTTTATATATTCTTTTAATCTTATTACTAATGATCAATTATATTATAATCAAATGGTTATAAATTAGTTATCAAAATATAAAAGGGGTTCATAATATTTACAATTTATTATTTTATTATTGGTGGTTAGTCTATATCATTTGCAATTCTGTTCAAAGATTCATATATATTTTATAGTATTGATAATTGTTGCCAATTTGTTAATGCATCAAAAATATTCGCCATCATCAAAGCTGACATAAACTTATATCTATATTTCTAATTATCAGGTAATTGATATAGATTAGAACATAAAGGAAATTCACAAACAAATGAATTCCATATATCCTTCTATATTTTTTCATCAGGGATTACAGATAATCCTGTTGAATTATATTCCATTTATAAAACTCAAATATATATATATAAATAAGAATTTTTTAATAAATAATATCACTTGATAGATTATATTGTAAAATTGTATACTGTTTTCAAAAATACAAATAGATTAGAGTAAAATATCATCACTTTTTATCATAAAATAAGTAGAAGTCAAAAATAGTATTACTCTTTAAATAAATAAAAAAATACGTAAGAATAATCGATCTATTTACTATTTCAATAACTTTTATTCAATCATCAATTGGTATTAATAAATGTCATCCATTTTTATATTTCAAGTTCTAATTTAAATTAGAATATATTTTCCATTAATTTATTAATCAACATCTTTATTTTCTTAATATCCTTTATATGTGATACTATTACTTAGTTATTAATATAATTGATTAAATAGTATAATTTTATAATAATATAATTAAAATGAAATAAAATTGTAAACATATGATGACAAATTTAAGAATGCACAAACATTATTTAATGTTTTCTGTAGTGCAGGTATTGCTCTCAATTATGATATTAGTGTATGTATGAACTTTTAACATTTAGATAATAATTGACCCAGAATAAAAGTAAGCTATAATTAAATAATTAAGTCTCAAGGAGAATATGGTAATAGAAGCAGAGATAATATTGACATTAGCAATAATGATAGATATATGTATTAGAATAATTGCAGAAAGAGAAGTAATATTATATTTGATTTGTTTTAGTATTTTTTTAAAGATAACTGGAATATTATGGATTTAACAGCTTTCGTATTGATATTAATCTTAATCAGTCTATATTATGTATTTGAATTGCATTTGTAAGTCATTATCATATAAATGAATATAGATAGATAAAAACTAATATCATTGAAGTTGATGATTCATTAGGGTTGATTTTAATATTCTTACGTTATTTTATTTAGATAATTAGAATTATCATTGCAATAAAACAGTATATATATTTTTTAACTTATTTTAGATCTCATAAAGTAACACAATTAGGGAATGTGGAAATTATACAATTTGAACCAATTGATTTAGACAATTCAAAACATTAAGCTAGTGTATACATTGATGATCATAATGAATCATATTCATTTATTTGATTATTCTATATTTATATTTATTATGTAAATTTATAAAACTTCTCTTTCAACTTAGGGATTCAGACCTTAATCAACAGAATATTATCATAGAATACAATCTGCTAATACTGCAAATACTATTCATAGCAATAGAACAATTCCATAATAAACTATTTCATCCAATCGTAGTCAAACTAGAATTACAACTGCAAAACCTATTAGATCATTTATCATTAGTAAAACTATTAAATCCAAACCTATTGAAGATGAAGATTTTGATGAAATCATTAAAACATCTCATGATCAAGATCTATTTAGTATATTTTTTATTAAATTAGAGTTCAAGCATAAATGTAATGCACCTTAACATTTAAGAATGGAATAGATCTATAGATTCATATATGACAAAAAGACAAGCAATAAGTAAAAATATTCTATGCAAAGTAAAATTAATTAGCAAGCCTTGCCTGTGGCTAGTGGCTCAATTAGTATTATGTTAAATGTTGCCAGAAAAGATTATGGATTTAATTTACAATCATTTAAAAAAAAGATAGCTCCAAAATCTAAATTTAAAATGAAATGGAAAACTATTTAATGGTTATTAAAGAATAGAAAAGATGCAATAAGATAAATATTTTAAAATTATTAATCTATTGTAAAATAAGCCAAAGACTTTCCTGATGGATTAAATAGAGAATAATTCTAAGGATTACTTATTTCCTTTGGATTAGGAGCAGATAAGAATTTAGCAGAAAAATTATTTTATGTATTTGATGAAGATTCTAGTGGCACTGTTGATTATAAAGAACTTATAGTAGGTTTAGAAGTTTTGAAAGATGATACAATTGATGAAAAATTAAAAAGTAATTTATCTTAAACTTAAATAGAATAGTCTTTTTTGATTTATGTGATGAAGATGGATCAGGTAAAGTAAGTGAAAAAGAAATCTTTAATATTTTAAAGTAAAATATCATAAATGAAAATGATAAATATTAACTAAAAATGGTCATTAGAGAAATGATAAAATAAGTTGATTAAGATGGAGATGGAGAATTAAATAAAGAAGAAATTCTATAGGCAGCAAGTAAAAATCCTATTCTTCGCAGATTACTTGAATAAACCATTTCTAATGTAAGAAGAATAGATGCAATCATATAAAATGATTTAGAAGAACCATTTCATTAATTTGTACCTTCTTCTGCCAATTTTATATAATAAAAGGAGGGAATACATTTTGCTACTCAATAAAAATTAATTGATGCTTTAGAAGAAATTGATAAAGTAACTCTTTCATTTAGTACTAGATCCATGAAAAAGGTAAGAAAATCAAAGAATATACAAAACCTGAAAATCAAATGGGACTTACTACCTATTAAGGATTGCAAGAGAAAAAATTTCTTGATGACTCTTAATTTGATTGATCATATAATTTTATAGATTAAATAATAAATAAATGTCAACATATATAATAAAAATATTTTAACTTTTTAGATCATAATTACCTAGAATAATGCAATTGAATATCACCTCCCCTATACAATCCAATTATTTATATTGTTATTATGAAACAAATACTGTTATTTCAAATTTCTTTAGTCATTTCTAATTTACTATAAAAATTCTTAATTTTTATGCTAAAATGATAAAAAAATAAAGAATGAATATCAAGTTCCATATTTTATAAATCCTACTTATTTTGGATTCAAAATCAATTAAATAAAAAGTCTTTAATATTTTAAAAATAAAATAGAAAACATCTTTCTACTTGAAACATAAGTTTTAGTACTATTATTAGAGTATCTTTTATATAAAGTTATGTATACTAAATAGAGTTTAGTATATAACAAAATTTAAAAGAAAAAGGATATCAACAATTATAATAATGAAAAAAAATCTGATACAATCAAAGAATTATTACATAGATTTAATATTATTTATTAACCTTAATAATGTAATTAAGAGAATATATAATAATAGTAATTATCAATATAAAAATTGGCAAAATATATAAATGTATAATTGAGATTAAAAAATAATTAAACATGATTTATGATAGTTAGAATCATATCTGATATATACCAGGTTTCTATAATGAGTATTAATGGATAACAAAAAATGATTTTATTATATAAAAATAGAAATTCAGTGGAATTAATAAAATATTATAAATTAAGATAAGCAATATAGATAAAATATAATATTTATGAATTGATGAATTAACATGATGAATTATGAATGATAAATAATTTAAAAAAATTACTTAAATGATTTAATAGTTAAAAAATAAAATTTATTATAAAAATTTATGAAGAATTATAGTTCTGAATAAAATCCTGATCAATCAGATCCAATAAATTATTCTAATGATCTTAAATCAAGTGTGTAATAGGGATATAGACTATATTAAAAGAGATTTGCGATATTATTTTTATTCACAATGGCGGAATTATGCAATACAGCAGTCTATGCTACTTGCAATCCTATAGCAGTTGAAGTATAAACTGTATAATTCAATAAAGTTAAGTTACATCTATGGTGAAGACACTTCAATAATCACTCTTTCAGCTACTTTGTATTTATTCATGCATCCATTATTTACATTTCCTGCTAGTTATTTGATTATGTACAAGGGAAGTAGCATGTCAGTGAAAATAGGCGCTATTTTGACTTTGCTTGGAGTCTTTTCGAGATGTCTTGTTAGATAGTCGTAAGAATATAAAATTAATATAGTTTCATCTATGTTTTGATTGGTTAAACTTTGTGTGGAATAGCCAGACCATTAATTCTGAATGCTTAAGCTTCAGTTGCAGTTGAATGGTTTCCAACTAATCAGAGAACTAAATTGATGACAATGTTGAATTTCATAGTCACATTTAGTGGAATATTGGGATATATAATTCCTCCAATATTTTTTGCCGGAGTTTCAATTGATGAGAATACTCCTAAAGATGTATTAGATACAGGAGATTCAAGATTTATGTATTTGCTATTTTCAGAAGCAGTATTTTCTGCAGTATTCCTAATACCACTTTTAATCTTTTTTGAAACAAAACCAAAAAGTCCTCCATCAGCAGCTGCTAAAGGACCCACTTAAGTAATCTCATTTACTGATAGCATTTGTTAGATGTTAAAAGATATTAAATTTGTAAAACAATTAATTCTACATTTTAGATCTAAATATTTTTATCATTCACATTATTTTATGGCTCCTACAAAGGATATGGTGTAGCTCTAGTATACATTTTGAAACCTTATGGATATGGTAAATCTGATATTGCAATACTTTCGGTTATGCCTGTAATTGGAGGATTTCTTAGTTCCTTAATTATTCCTACAATATATAAAAGTTGGGGAAGATACAAACCTATTATTATTATTTTAGAATTTTGCACTATATTTACATTTTATGGATTCCTTTGGGGATGTTATTTACAAAATTATGTGATGATGCTTGCAATGGCAACTTTGTAAGGATTTTTCATTTTGCCTGCAATACCATTATTATTGGAATGGGGTTGTGAATAGATCTATCCATTAAATGATTCCTTTTGCATTGGATTACAATATTCAGGTGCCACTATGGGAAGTTCTTTTATTGCTCAAATAGTTAGTATGGTTATTCATGGTAAGGATGCAACCAAGTACTATTATACATTAATAATTTTAGATTTGATGGATTTATGGGAATCACAATTATCTGTTCTTTATATACTTTGGCTATTTTAAGCATATTATTTCTTAAAGAAGTTAAACATAAATTAGCATTAAAAAAATCATTTGTTTCTCCTTCTGATTAAATTGATTAAAGTTTTCCACATCCATATACTGAAGTAAATCCTCATGATTTGGGTCTTTTTGATCCTGATAAAGTTTAGGATGAAGATGATGATACAGGAGGAGATGATAATTTAATAGATGATGAGAAAAATGATCATAATTAAAATAATAATAATTCAAATCATAGATCATATTAAGGAGGAAACTCATTTGGAGGAGGAACAGGAGGTGGAAATGATGATTGATTTATATACATTTTAGTACAATAATATAACTAATTAAATTTCTTATTTAATATATATGAGAATAAATTTATGCTATGTAGAATTTCAATACATATATAATAAATTAAAAGAGAAATGTGTAATATATCTAATATATAATACTATATTCAATCTAATAATTATTATTCTCATAAGATTCCATCTTTTCTTTCTAAGCCATCTTTCAATTAAGGACTTGCTTATCCAAAATTTCCTAAGGTATTTAATATATTTTTAGTTTTTATAATCTTAGTACCTTAAATTGTTTTTACAAATGGTTTCCTTATGGTATCAACTAATTTTAAACCTTGTAATTTTTCACCAAGTCTTTTTAATTTCCATCCTTTTTTAATTGTCATAAAATAAAATGAGTATTTTGATGATTCTGGATATTATCTTTTTTTACCAAAAAACTTTTATATTCTTGCATATCTTTTGATTACTATATCATAATTGCTAAATGGGAAAAAATGAGTAAATATCTACATTTTATCAAATTAAGAAAATATTTAAGGTATAGTTGGTAAATATGTTTAATTATCCATTACAGAAGTCATGTTCTAATTACCTTCAGTAGCCTCTTAAACTTATTTTGTATATGTTTTAGTAGTAGAGTGTTTCTTTCCAGCTTATCTTTTAATATTATTATTATTATTAGTAGATATTTCAATTTCAGAGGTTAACTTATCAGGAGTTGCACTTCTTTTCAAGATTTCTTATTACAATTTATTTTGAGTAAATGTTCTAGAACGAAGTGAAGCTTATCTAGGTACAATATCTTCAGATGATTCTTTTCTAATAAAAGTTATTTTCTGTTTTTGAGTTCTGTCTTAACTTTTTGAAACTGATGGTATAATAATTTAATCTTTCTCTTCTGATGAGGATTCTTCAGAAATTGGTTATTCTATTTCATAATCTTTAGTTAAATCAAACTTTTTGCTTTCTCTTAAACTTGCACTTCCAAATCCTGCTGTTTATACTGTTCCTCTTGGATTAACTACTTTTCTAGTATATAATTTTGAATCATCATCTTCTTCAACAGCAATTTGATTAGGCTTTTAACTAACTCTGCTTAATGTTCTTGAATTACTCCTTTAATTAAGTGTTGATGGTACATCAATCTCAACTAAGAAAAATTAATTTAAATATCATACTTTTAGATTCATCTTCATAAGTATAATTATCATTAACCATTTAAGAAGGTTATTCATTTTCCTCATTTTCATTATCAGTGGGTTATTAATAAAAATCTGTTTAAAAGTCTTTTGCTCTTTAAATTATATATTTATATTGACTCCATTTATATTTAAATGCCTTTGCACTTCGAATTACTAAACCAGAACGAGATTGATTATATGGATAAAGTTCTTTTTTCAATATTGCTTCTTTATCTGCACAAAAATGGAGATAATTACAAGAATCTATTAAATGAGAATTACTTTAACAACTATAACATTAAATCTATAAAGAACTAAAATCTCCTTATTTTAATTAATGTTTAACTTCACAAAACTTTTCATAATCATTTGGAAATGAAGATAATACCTTTAAAAAGTTTTCTCTTTTTATTTTAAATACTTTTGTAAATCCTCTTGAAATGGCTGTACATTTTCTAGGTTCTCCTGTAAAAAATGAAAGTTCACCAAAGAAATCACCTTAAGATAAATAATTTAAACTATTTCTTTTGACTCTTTCATTTAGATTATTCATCCCTTCAAAAATTAATTCAATTTCTCCTTTTGTAATAACATATAAACAACCATCATCAATTTAATTAATAGTTATTATTCTCTCTTCTGGTGAAAAACTTTATTCTTCCATTTATCCTAATAAACATTTAATCATTTTTTCAGAAAATATCTTAACCATTACTTTACAATTTCTAAGAATATTTCCTCTTAATTAAAATTAAAGTTCATCTTATAAATGACTACTTAATTTACAAATAATTTATGATACTTCATCATCATTCATATTTTATTCTTCTTACCAAATATATTCTAAATAACTTCTAATCCTAGTCTAAAGTTCAAATTAAATCTTATTCTTTGACATAAATGTATTTATTAGAGTAACACTTCTACTATATTCCATAGTACCTTTATACATATTTGATACAAATATTCCTATACTATTTACTGAATAAGCAAAAACAATTGAAGCTATAAACATTGTTAAATTATTAATCAATAATTCTGAATTATTTTTTGCAGTAATATCTCCATATCCAACAGTTGTCATTGTCATTGTAGCCCAATATATAGCTGTATTATATTTTGATGCATTTCCTTAATCTCTTAAATTATAAGCATCCAACCAAGAATATGAATCATTATAAAAGGCTACTCCATGCCATACACATGCACAAATATGTGCAATAAATAAAATTATCATTGTTAGTTTTAGTAATCCAACTAAATCATTTAAGGATCCATTTAAATTGAAAAATCTTATATATATATTATTTAATATATTTACTCTTGTATTTATGCTAATATTTTATTTATTTTTGTCATTCTCAATACATAAAATATAACACAAAATAAAATCTAAAGTGTCAAATTATTATCTATATCATGATCTTCTTAACTGTCATTTAAAATAAAAAATTGTATTGTTACTGTACTTATTGAGACCTTATTTACTAATATACATCTTTATATTTACAAGATCTACAAATGCATATTATTTAAAATAATTAATAATGATTCTTTTTCTGTCTTTAATTATTATTCCTTTATAAATGAATGCTAAATTCAATCCAATTACAACATCAAAACTTAAAATGGTTAATAAAATTATCTCAATCATTTAATTTTTTGATTTTTAGTTTAATAGTTATCCTATGTAGTCTAATTAAAATGAAATCTTGTAAGGCAGCCAAAAAAATATCAAAACATATGTGAAAATTTAAAATAAATCCCAAATAAATATTAATTTACTATATGGTGTGAATACTTCTAATTAAAGGAAAAATTTCTTTATAAATTCACAAATTTTGATTTCCTTCTTGATACTTTCTTCTTCTGGGTAAACTTCATTTTCAAATTATAAATCATCTAATGCTTAAATTTAAAAAGGTGTTAATTGATGTAATTTCCTTAAATAACTTCTATTCCATAAATTATTAATGAAGTTATTTTGTAGACTTTTAGAGATAATCAGTTTTAAAAACTATGGTTTACCACCAGTTTCTAATTCTTCTTCTATAGCATAAGCTGATTAGTATTCTGATTTTTTTAATCCTTTGTATGATTTACGCATATCCATTGGGACAACATCTACTAAGTCTTTGCTAAAATCTTAAATTTTTGATTGGTCTCGTACAGTAAATGAGTTACTGTCAGGAGATTTTTAATAGAGATCTCCATCTCCAAGTAAAATTCTTTCAGAAACCATTACCGGATTGGGACCATGAAAGTTTTCCTCTTAAAAACAAGATTATTAATTACATTAGTCTATTGAGTCACTCATTAATTTAATATATATATAATTAATTAGATTTTAAATTAGAAAACTTCTATAAAATTGATACAATTATTGTTTGAATTAATTATGCTTTAACAACAAATTAATCCATTAATTTTAATACAATATTTAATCAAAATCTTAGAGATTTCAAAACAGTATCATTTTATTTTGAATTATAAGTTCTAAGAATTTATTCATTTCTATCTAGTTAATTCTTTTATTTTTTTATTTATGTATTTGGTAAAGTTTATATTCTTTTGGAAATATTATTAATATCAGGTTTTTATTCACAATTGAATATTTCATTAATATAATTTCTAATCATACAATTAGTTCTTCCTCTAATATAAATTTCATAATTTTTTGATTTGATCATATTTTCAAATCCATTAATTCTCTTTGAAGGTGTCTCAAAATCAGTTTATTTGTCTAAATGTTATGCTGACTTTTTCATATAAAATATTTTATTTTAAACTGTGTTGTTTATAGATTAAAACGATTTCGATTTTACCTCGTTTCTAATTAAACCTTTTGTTCTTTTAACTAAAAGAGTTTTAGTATTGCATCTTAATAATAATTTGTTATTCAATTATTAATGTTAATCTGTAGGCATAAACAAATCAAGACGCTTCTCTTTATCTGAAGCAAGCCAATAATCAGTACTTTTTCTTCTTAGTTCTGTTTCTTTAAATGATTGTCTTTTTCGAAATGATTAATTCTTAAACTTAGCTAATTACTCTTTAAACCCTACATTAAGGATTGTAGATATTTTATCCTCTATTTATGTTAACATTTGTAAATTATTAAATACAATTATATCTAATATTCTTAATTATCTTAAAAATCTTTAATTATTTGTAATAAATAAGTTAGATCCATTCAAAATAAGAACTAAAAACAAAATACATAAATAATAATATGACTTTAATCTTTATTAATAATTTTTAATAATTAAGACAAAAACTTCTATTTTATTTAAATTATTAAGATGTTTGGAAAAAATATATATTAGGATGATGTTCCAAATTTTCCTGAAATCTCTGAAGATTATTTTGAAATAAAAGATGAAAAAACAATAAATGAATTAATGGATCTATATAATTCATCGAAAATACTTATACCAGTGAATGGCTCAGTGTCTAATGAATTTAGAGAAAAATAATTAGGATTGCTTAGCTTATTTGATTTGTTAGATAATTAATTAAAATCTAATTAATGCAAACCAGATATATATGAACATAATGAAATAGATTGCAGTATTAATACTCCATATCAAAATTTTGACTATTATAATTTATCGAATATTGATTATGATCAAAATGAAGCATAGAAAGAGGCTGCAAAATTCTTATCCAATAATAAAAATGAATTATAAGAAAAATTTGAGAAAATGTAAATTGAAACTAAACATAATAGCAAATAAATATAACATGAAAAATTAACTAAAAAAATGGAACTCTTATCTTTTTAAGATTAAGAGTATGAATGATGATTGTTATACATTTAATTTCTATTGTTTATCTTGTCAAATATTTTTTATTAAATTTTATGAAAAGTGTCATTGAATTGGTAAAATACATTCTTTTATTAGTAGCTTAATAAATGTAATTTTCCAAAAAGATAAATCCACAATTTTGGATAAATTTAAGATGGAATCTTATTTGCATAATTGGAAGATGAATTGTAATATATAAATCCTCCAAAATTATTATAGCTTTAAAACAGATTTGAAACAATATTTATGGAACCTGATTATTACTCGTTTGTAAAGAATAAGAAGAAATCATAACTTATATATTAAAGAATTTACATAAGAAATTGCAAATTCTGATTGCAATGATGAATTAGCTAAATTTATCAAATATTTTCTTGAAACTATTTTTTATGTGAAAAAAGAGGATGCCATTTATTATATGAAATAATGTTCTGATAATTAATAAGAAGAAATAGTATAATTCATGTAAAGTGATTTATTGGAATCGAATAGTTTATAAGATTTAGGTCAATCAGAGTTTTAAACAACAAATACTATAATATCTCTCGAAGAAAACTTATATAGTAAAGATAATATCATTATTTAATAAACAAAATAAATTGAATAATTGAAATCTGATTATCAAAATATGTTATAAGAAATGCAAACTAAAATTTATGAGTAGTAAGAAATAATAGATAAATTAAAAGCTTAAGCTGATTTTTTCTTAGAAAAAGTAATTTGTGATGATTTTGAAGAAGCTTGGTTTAAATTTTAAGAATTTACATAAGATTAAGAAAAAAATAAAAAGTAAATTGAAGACCTTAGTAATTTAGTGTAAAATTAATAAAATGAAATTTTGAATAAAAGGAGAAAAAATTAAAAATTAAAGTCATAATTATCATCTAATCAACCAACAGAAAGAGCATTAGACTATGAAAATTCAGACTAAAAAGATTCTTCAGAAATAAGAACAATTGAATTACTTAAAAAGGAAATCTAAGTTTAAAAGGAAGAAAATCTCAAACTTTTGAGTAAACATACATAATATGAATAAGAAATAAGTAAATTTAGAAAAAAATTATATGAACAAGAACAGGAAACTACTTAATATAAAAAGAAGATGGAAAAATATAAACTAGAATTAGATGATTGTTTAAATTCAAATTAACAAGATAAAAGATATTATATAGAAAATTTTAGACCATAAGGTTTATTATCTTCAAATACTAGTTAAATTATAGATATAGAATAAAGAATTGGTGTATCACCCTAATTAAATTGTTTTGATTTCAATTAATCATTAAGTAAATTTGAGCATCCTGTTAGTTATAATAATTAATCTTTTAAAAATCCTGATGAAAAAAATTTAACTAAGCTTTAATTATAAATAACAGAGAAAAATAATAAAATTGCCAACTTGGAGAAATAAATTAATTTAATTTAACATGGTTCACATTCAAGAGGAAGTTCATTAACAAAGTTTAGTCAAATACAATAGGAAAGACATGTTGAATAATCTAATTTAATGGAAGTAAATAATATAATAAAAATTTTTTTAGAATTTTAGATTTTTTTTATAACATTCTCAATAAAAGGATAAAGAAGTAAAACAAATAAAAGAATAATAGAATGAAAATTTCTTAAAAATATGTAGGTAATTAATATACTAAAATGAATAAATTTAAAAAATGAATTCTCTAATTTTTGATTTTTAAAATGAAGAATAAATAAAAGAAAATAGTTAAAATCAAAATGAAGATCCATAAAATTTACATCAATATTATCAGTAGGCTTTAAATGATAAAGATAAATTATTACAATTAATCACAACAATATTCTATGAAAATGTAAAAATTTGAACATTTATTTTTTGTTTTTACTTTAAAGAAATCATTTTAAGAATTCTTAATTTTAATTTATCAAATACATAATTGTTGTATTTAAGTAAACTTAGAATTATAAAAGAATATTTTCTGTAAATAGTTTTAAAAGAATACATTAATTCAATTTAGATTATTACTAAAAATCCTTTCAACATATTTAATTTTCTAAATTTATTCAAATAATTAAAAACATATTAAAAGCCCTATAAATGTTGAATTAAAAAAAAGGTTCTACATCTTCACAAACTTCTTAATTACATTAACTATCTAACGTCTTTGAAATAATAGCAAAGTATAGTATTTTATGTTCAGAGGATAAGTATTATAATATCTAATTCAAAGTTATATTTAAAAACAAAGTATTGCATAGTTAAGTAAATATGAAAAACCTAGATAAAGAAGGTCATAATCTTTATTGCAGCAAGTTTTAGAAAAAAAAAGTGAATTATTAACAAATTACTAAAAAAGAAAATACTTTATGAAAAAAAGAAAATATAATATCTGATACATATATGTATTTCTATATAAAATTTATAAAAAGATGATATTTAGATATAATAAGTATCTGTCTAGGGATTGTAGATAGATAATAAATATATTGACAATCCTAAAAATATTTATCATATAAAATAGTTAGCATTAGTATAATTTGTTAAAATTTTATATTGAACTATTTATATTGAATTTAAAATAATTATACAAATATTTTAGATATATTATATAATATATAACTATAAATATTTCAAAATTTGAATTATTTATAATAAATCTATTTTTTACTTGAATTTATATCAAATATTTTTATTTAATAAGATTTTATATATTTAAAATGATAAAAGTATTAGAAATTTATATTTGAATTAGATTGAAAAATAATAATTCAATTTGTATGTTTTGAGTAAATCTCTCCTTAGAGAATTTTAAATGATATAATTAAAGGTTTGCTTTATTGGGGATTGAGTAATATTTTCTCATTTAAGATATTTAATATTTATATCCAATGTTTTTATTCATCATCTTCTAACTTGTGATTTTTTTTGATATAATTTAATGTTTAAACATATTCATTTAACCAAACCTTTCTTAATTCAAAGAATTTTTATTCTACTTCAGAATTATCTAAAATATAAATAAATATCATTACTTCTAACTTTTAAAAATTTATTTTATTATTCATCACTAAATAGTTCTGATTCCATGCATAAGATTGAAAATCTATCAAATGATAGATATTTCTCATCATCTAATTACATGTCAGCTGCTTCCTCAAATGTATCTGTAAGTTTAATTTCATCATATTTCTAAGGTTCTATATATTTATTCAATAATAGCCATTCATGAACATCTACAAATCCATTCCCATCTAAATCACAAGCATTAAAGGCATTAATAACGTATAATTTAGTTTTTTCAATATTATTCCTAAATACTACTAAAACTCTTAGCATCATTTAATCAAAATCTATAATTCCACTTTTATTCTTATCATCTGATTCTTTCAATTATTCTATTTCCTATTTCAAATAATTCATTTCTTCACCAGAAAAATACCAATTTTATAAACTAGATACATAAGCAAGAGCTCTAAGATAAGGAACATAAAATTTCAAATTATACTCATTTTCTTTAACTTAAACACCTAATTAATGTTAATTTTGAATAAATTCATGTGCTTAAAGATATTTCTATTATTCTTCTACTGTATAATTAACTTTATCTTCCAATAATCCTAAGAATTTTGCAAATATATTGACTCTTATGATATTTAAATATTTTTTTATTGATAAAATCAATATTAAAAATCTTTACTCAGTAATTTTAGTATATCCAAATTATTATAAAAAATAGTTATAGATATATGATGCCATATCTTAATCTCTTAAAAGTTTATTTTCTCTTTGATTATATATTTTATCTTAATAAATGGTAAAAATAAATTTAAGGACTAATTTGATTGGCATATAATTTGTGAATTTTGATGGATTTTTATTTTTTACTTTTTCTATTAATAATCTAGATTAGTTTCTTTGAAACTCATAAGATATTGAAATCTAATAATTTATATATTAATAAGTACTTTACTACCCAAATTTCTAATCTTTCTAATTTTTCTACCTTATTTATTTTAATTTTTCTTTAACATATTTTCATCAATTTAAATCTCAGTGTCTGATAAAATCTCAAGAGGTCTTTAAAAATTATTCTAATTTTCTAACAATTCTAATCGTTTTAATAATTCTTAAATTTCATTTTTTAATTGTTAGTTTTCATCTTTGATTTCAACTTTGTCTTTAACAATTTGAATCAATTAAGAATTCAATTCTGAAATTTCTTATTTTTAAAATAATGATATTTTATCAATTTCTAATTATCTTTCATGTAAATATTTCATAAAAGGTATTAAATCATTTCTATTTTATTAAAAATTTTTTTCATAAATATTAGTATTAGAAGTTGGTTATTAAGATATCATCATAGTATTATATTAATTTTCATAAAGATGTTAATTATATTCTTAAATGGATTTGAATGGATTGTCAGTCTAGATTTCTTCATTTAATGATAAGAAAAAGTCTATATAATGCAAAGTATTATCAATGTAGTCTTAATTAATTACATCATATTTTCTATCCATCAAAGAGAAATGTGTTTAAGTATCAGAAATAGAATATAGATCACTGATCAATTCGAATGTAGTTTAAGTTTCTTTAGATCGATATTCAATTATTGTATCATGATTTAGAATAACTTCATCTAATCTATATTCACCCATATCTATACTATCTGAATAATTATCTAAAGAAAATGAATCAGATTTAATCATCATTAATTTTTCTAAATTTTGAGAATTTGATAATGAATCTATAGATTTTTTGATACTATCAATATCATCTTAAACTTCTTCTCTTTATGAGTTTCCCATAGTTTATTTATTTCTAGAATTTAAAATTTTAATTTTGCGAATAAGATAATTTTTATCTTCTTATAATTTTATTATTTATTAGTGTTTTAAATTAATTTCTTTTGATTTTAAGGTTAATTTTTTGATTAATTAATTATTCTTATCAACTATGATAATGAAATTAGTTTCTATATCTTTAATTTTAGATTACAATTGAGCGACTTCTTAATTAAGATTATAAATTTGTAATTCATATTAAACTTTTTTAGAATTAAAATTCCTATCAATTCTATGAATTTCTTCTTGTTTTTCAATTTCAATTTTTTTTTCATTAATATTTAAATCTATTTATTACTCATTTAATTCATTATTTTTAGCTTACATAAATTTATTAAATAATGATCCTAACTCTCTAAATTCTTAAGATAGAGTATCTGCTATAAATTTTTCCGTTTATTCAAGCAATGAATTTCGATATTCATTATTAATTTATTCTGTAAATAAATTTTCAATTTATTGCATTTATCGTCTTTTTTAAGTATAAGTAGTATTGAAGTTTATAGATTTTTCTCCTGTCATAGAATTATGTCTAGGAGATGCAGGAGATGTAGGTGAAGATAAGAAATTTTTTTTCTCAAAACTATCAATCACAATACTTTAAAGACAATTTTAAGATGCTTATTAACGAGATCTTAAAAATCTAGTTGTTTCTTTTAATATTATTAAATAAAGTTACATTAGCGTTATCTACTTTTCTCTTTGTAATCTTGTATAATTTTTTGAGAATCAATTTTCTAAATCTAATCTTGAATTAATGTCTTGAAAGTCTTTGGATTATTTCTTTTCAAATTTATGAATGCTTTTTAAAAATTAACTTTAGGGCTGTAAAACTTTGAACATGTAGCTATCTCCATTTATTATTTATATTTATTGCAAATACTGAAAATATATTTTTGATTTGTTTCATCATAGTATATTTAATAATAATATTTTCTTTTTAATAAAAGACCATGTTATTGACATACAAAGAATTTTTAAAGAATGCTAAGATAATACTTGGTTCATAAAGTAAAGGAAGATAGGGATTACTAAAAATGATTGATTTATTTAAATTTGAAGTATTTCCTTCTACATTTGAAGAAAATCTAGATAAATAACTTGATCCAACAACTTATGTTTAAAAAACATGCGAAGGTAAAGTAATTAATCTTCTTGAAACATTCAAATAAAATAATTAGGAATGGGATATTTGTATATTTGCAGATACTGTATGTGAAATAAATGGTAAAATTATAGAAAAACCAAATGATAAAGAAGAAGCATCTAATTTTTTAAAGTTATTCAGTAATTCATTACATTTAGTACATACTTGTGTTTATGTGGTTGGAAAAAATGAAAAAAATGAAATATTCTAAGTGAATGGAATAGAAACCACAGAAGTCCATTTTTAATATTTACCTGAAAAGAGTATTCAAACTTATGTTGATGATGAATCGAATTGGAAAGGAAGAGCAGGAGGATATGCTATATAAGCTCTGGGTAATATGTTCATTAAGAAAATAAATGGGTAATTATAATTCAAAATTATAAAGTGATTATTCTAATGTTATTGGATTGCCTTTACCAATATTAGATAAATTGATGTCTTAAGTAATAGAATTTTTGATGAAGAAGGATTGAGTATTGAAAATATTTATATATAAACTGATATATTAACCTCCTTTATAATATTATTTATATTAAGAAATTTGTTTCTAAATATAAAGACTATTATTTTCATAAAACCTTAGTTATAATCCAAAATATCTTTATTAAAAATCAATTTAAATATTAAAGAACTATTAAATAATTATATTTTAATAATAATAATGGATTTTATTATTATATTTCATCAATAAAATAAATTTATATGATTTTCACTTACGCATAAAATGCTCTTATTATCATAATCAACACAATATGTTGCTACATTTCTTCTTTGATCTAATTATATAATTGTATCAATTACTATTTATTTCATGTAAGAGAGTTGTTATTCTGTAATCATAAATTCTCACTTTTGTATCAGAAGATTAAATTAATACTATTCCTGATTAGAATTGAATAAGTCTTTAAGGTAAAAATTAAATAGTAAACACTCTAACTTATACTTTCTTGTCACAATCCCATTATCTAAATGTTTTATCTAATCCACAAGATAATATTTAATTTTCTTCAGATATTGCTAATACACCTGTAACACTATCAGTATGACCACTAAATTTAAAAACAGGTCTGCTATATTTATAATTTATTCCATCCCATAATCTAATTGATTTATCTTAAGATCCAGATGCTATTAAATTTATTTTCTTAACAAAAGCTACACTATATACATCTCCAGTATGACCTGAATAAGTAAAAAAGTATTATCCATTATCATAATTCCATACTCTAACAGTATTATCAACAGATCCTACTAAAAGTCTAAGATTATAATAATTTATTTACAAATTAATTATTTTTGATTTTTATACTTATATTCCTTCACATACTGTTAAACATACAGCTTAACTAACTTATTATTCTAAATCAAATTTAAGTGCAATTTAAAAGGCTCTTTCAGTTTCTGAATAGAATTTTTCCCATATTTTAATTACTTTATCTTGACCACTTGATACAAATAATTTCTCATTTAATCCTTTTGCTAATATTTTGATACTATCTTTATGTGCATCCATAGAAAATAATTCATCAAATGAATTACATTCATAAAGTACTAATTTACCACATTTAGTTCCTATAATTATTTAGCTTTCTGATGATAAAATAGAATTAACTATATATTATGATTAAAATTAATTTTAAATCGTTATTTTTTTAATTTATTCAACTGAAATATTGCCTAATTAAGATGACATTGATTAATTTACTGATTTAATTTCATTCTATTTATTTAAAGGTTTAGATTTAGGATCAAAAATCAATTAAATATCATTTTCAAATTACTGAACATCTAAAGAAACAAGAGTTTTCATTAATTATTTTGTAAAATCTTCTAATATTTATATTGTATTTGTTTATAATGATATTATTTTCTAATGAGTAATTTTATCTGATTTAATAATAGCACTTTATAATGATGTTATTGAATCAATACAATCATAATCATCTTTTTTTCTCATTTCTTATATTTTTTATAATAATTTTTAATTTTCTTCCATCTCAGTTTAATGCTATTCTGCTTTCATCCTTAATTTATATAGATTTTATAATAAAACTGATTGAATATTTTAACATAATTGTTCTAAAAAATTATTTGTATTTTTTTTGAATTCTGTTATAATATCTAAATACTTCTGTTCTAATTGATTCAAATCCTAATGTAAATCTTCTTCTTAAATTAAACTTTAAGCTAATGATTCTACCAAATCAATATCAATTATGCTATTGTTTTATAAAGGTTTTGTAGTATTATCAATAACTTACTATTATAGATCTGATGGTAAAAGACAGAGAGGACATTAAAGTCTATCTAATTTTTTACTATAGAAAGAACATTGCTTAAAGGGGTGGATTTAACAATTCATAAATTTAATGAATAATTTATACGTTCGAATATCTCTTATATGTGGTGCTTTGTCAACCTCTTATTTTGTGAATTAGTATTTTGAAGAGACCTACTTTCGTAGACTCCGATTCATCAGAAAACTAGCAAGAACCTATTTTAAGAAAGATGATGGAACAGAATTGTTCGATGATTAAATTATTGGTAATGTTGTTGCAAGAAGTGATGGAATGCATCTTCATTTTGGTAACATGAAACAATATGTTGCCTAAAAGTTTTGTACTCCTACAGCAATCATTTATGTTTAAAAAGTTGAAGCTATCAAAAAAATAGTATAAAAAGCTGCTAAATATGGATTTAAAGTTACTACTATGGATGTTGATAGTATTGAAGACTATAAATAATAGCTATAAAATAATCTTAATTTATCTTAAAAAGAAATCAAAAGACTTACTTATTGTAAATATCCTTTTTTGATCATTAATCTTAGGAAAGTTTAACATAAAGAATATGATTCATAAACTTAAATTGTAAAAGTAGGAGTAGGAAATCGAATATAAGATGTGAATTAATTCTTGGCATAATATGGTAGAAGAATTCCATTATCTGGTTAATAAAGACTATTTACAGTATTAAGTGACAATTCTACTCCCTTAGATTCTATAGAATATGATAATCTTAATTAAATTGTTACTGGTTTGGTTGCTATTTCACCAACCTCTCATTAACTATAAACTGAAACACCTACAGCTTCTCCTATAATCAATTAATTGTTTATTGGGTAATAACATAGATTTGGAATTGTATATGAAGTTTCTCTTAAAACTGAATCTTTAGAATTACCTGTTAAATAAGAGATTAATTTAGATAAAAGATACATTAGTAAAACTAATTTATACTATCTATTTGATTCATTAATTAAATTATCTTAATAACATAGACAAAAAGTAATAATTTTTAATAAATTGATTAGATTTAATTTCTTTATGATTGTTATTCAAATTAATATAAAATTATCTAATAAGGAACATAAAATCTTCCAGATTTGAAATAAACATTGGATAATGTAGTTGATAAATATGTCACTCGATAATTGTGGAATCAAAATAATAATAATAATAATAATAATAATAATAATAATAATAAATAGATAAATAATATTAATTTAAATGAAGAATTATCTTTACAATTAAAATATTAATTATCTTCCTCCCAATTATTATCATGTCTGTTACAACTCAAAGAATTATAACTTAAATAATAATAAAAATAATTTTAAGTTCAAGTTGATTTCAAAACTGGATTTCTAACAGTCAATATTAATAATCATTTACCATCAAATGAAAAATTATAAATGGTCAAATCTTTTACACATTATATAAGTAATAGAAAAGGTAAATTTATTTAATGTAATGATAAATTAATTAACAGAATGCTTAAATTAGAAACTTATCCTATGGAATTAGGATTAAATTCTATGAGATTGGAACATTAATTTGCTGAATTATTAGATAAAAATAAAGTAATGTTTCATGAGTTTTTATAACATACTGAGTTAGATGAACAAATTAGTTGAGTATCCAAATTGTAAATTATCAATAAAAAATAAATTAAAAATTCATTTATATTTTGCACGAAAACTACTAATGTTCTTCTCATTCAAAATAAAAGAATGACTATCCAATAATTCATTCATTTCCTTTACAAAATTTATTAAAGATTAGGAATTCTATTATATTTATAAACTTAAAATGGCATTATTATTTTCTAATTCTTTTAACTTAAAATTATATAAATAATAAGAATACTCTATTTTCTTAATTAGAATTCTTAGTAGAAGATGGTTATCGTTTAAGTTCTAAAAGATCACTTTCATATCTCTAAATCAACTTCATTTTTTATTGTAATTTTATTGTACAATCACTCTCCCTTTACTTTTATTAATACAATATTCCTTCTAATTCTTCATTCTTTTTCCTTTGTCTATCAATATCTTCATCCTTTTAGTTTAATTTGAATAAAAATTCTTTCTTCTATTTCTCATTTTCCTCTTTAAGTTTCTGTTCCTAATTTCTAGCTTTTGAAATAATTTATATTTTATGAAATGCTTAAAAATTTAACCTATTAAATACCTACAAATTAATTCTCTTAAGCATGTTTTTCACAAAAATTAAATAATCCATTTAACTTTAACTTCATTCTTTATGCTATCGATAATGCATTTATCATTAGAGATTGCTTTTAATTTATTGAACTATCCTTAATTTAAAATAAAGCATATGATTTGTCATTATTTTATCTTAATTATTATTCACAATTTACTTTTATCGCAAAATAGATGCTATTTTCAATAATGCTGCATCCATTTTAGTGAAAATCATTTAATATTTACACATCATACCCATTGTTTCTAATTACATCATCTATTATTTATGTTATTCATCCAATGTATTAAAATCTTGGCAATTATCGTTAGCACTCATTGAATTTTAAATATAATATATTATATAAAAATATAAAGACTATTATTTTTATTATTAAATGCCAAACAATAATTTTCATAATTTTAGGTTTCATTTAATTGGGAAATTTTTCTTTTTATCTAAACATTATATAAATTGACTTTAGAAATTAATATTATATTGTTAACTCATAAAATAGAAATACATTATTAAATATTAATCATTAAAAATTATATACATAAAAATAATAAAAGAAACTTTAAATTATTATAAACTGATATAAATCTGATTATAATATACACAGAAGGGATCTAAAAGTTAAAAATTATTTAAAATTTATTGATAATAAAATAATGGTGAGAAGATCTAAATCTATGGAAAGGACAATTAAAGAAGGAAATGAATATTTATAAAGAATGGAATAAGTAGACAGAATAAAATTAAGAAATAAAAATGGATAATAAAGATAAAGGGAGTTAAGAGTAGTATAAGAGTAAAAGAAGCAAAAGGAAACTCCTAAAAAAATAGTTCAATAAAAATAAGTTAAGGTAAAAGGAGAAAAATAAGAAAAATAATAAAATAAAACAAAATAGGATCTTAAAAAATAGTCATAAATCTCTATCTCTAAATCTTCAAGGAAAATTGAAAAAAAGACACCTATTCAATTATAAAAGGTTTAAAAAAATGACATTGTTTAGCCAGATGTTTAAAAGAAATAATAATCTGAAAAAAAAAAGAATAATAATGAAATGGAAATAGAAAAGAAGAGTGTTATAAAGAAATAAGAAATAAAAACAGAAAAAATTATACCAAAGCCTTAATAATAATAATAATAATAATAATAATAAAATAAGTAAGGACCTAGAAAAACAAAATCAAATATATCAGTTGCTTCAGATGCAAATCAACCTTCAATTGGAATGGTTGACTGTGTTTTTGTTGTAGATACTACAGGATCTATGGATATATATTTAGAAAGAACAACAAATACAGTTTAAATGTTAGTAGAAAGAATAAAATAATAATCAAAAAATGAATAAGTAAGTGTAAGATTTGGATTAGTTTGTTATCGAGATCATCCTCCTTAAGAATTAACTTATGTTACTGAATTACACGATTTATGTTCTAATAGGGAGATACTAAAAGCAATTTAAAAATCAGATTGTTCTGGAGGAGGTGATGGTGCTGAAGCAGTTTTAGATGGATTAAATGTAGCAGCATAATAAATAAGTTGGAGAGATAGCAGTAAAATACCTAGTCTCAGATATATATTTCATATTTGTGATCAACCACCTCATGGGAAAGAATTTGGTGGGTATAGTGAATTATGGGATGAAACAGGATGTCCATGTGGTTTAAAACCTGATTAAATAATTCATAGAATTAATATGAGATAAATTCACTATAGATTAATTAAGGCAGATTCAAAAAGATTAGAAAAATTCGCTGATTATTTTAGGGGGAAAGTTGTAAATTATGATGAAGTCACTTTAGAGAATGGAGTTGCAGATGGGATGGAAATAAAAATCAGTGATATGGTTATTAGAGAACTTTGTCCAGATATTCTTCTTGATTGAATTTTATGAATTTATATATCAAATAATATTTTATAAAATATGAAAGAAGGAATTTTCGATGATTTCAATGACAAAGAATAAATATTGGAATTTACGAAAGGAAAATAAACATACATTAGAGATATGGGAACAGTTACAGATTATAAAGTAAAAAATTAAGGAACAACTACTAAAAAAGAATGTTAGGATTTTGAAGTACTATTCTTTATATTCAGCAATAAATAGACTAAAACGAATTACAATAAACAAAAGGAAAGCTTTATATTATGTAATTCGATTAAAATAAATTGTCCCAATTCTTAAAAAGAGTATTGCCAACAGTTATCAAAGAATTAGATGAATCATTAAATTTGAAAAAATATCATAGTAACAATAAATTTTATATTCATTTAGGTTACAAACCAATTTCTGAAGTTTAAAAGAAAGAAACTGAATTAGTTTACATTCTAACAAATACTTAAAATAAATCAATAGAATTGGAAAAGAAATTAGAAATTACTGATATATAATGGAATTCTAATGGATTGATGATAGCTGCATCTTATGGTTGTTTAGAACATATGGGTTAATGTTCTCATACATCTTACATTAATTGTTGGAACATTTTTAAAAGAGATTTCAAACCTGATAAACCAACAACAGTAATAGAGACAAATACATGTAATATGTGTATGTAATTTCATCCAACCAAACCAAATATTTTAGCAGTTGGTAGTTTTAATGGAGAATTATATCTTTATGATATCTCAACAAATTCTGAATTAGCTCATTCAACTATTGATGAGTATTATCATAGAGAAAGTATAACTGCTGTTCTATGGTTATAAGATGAGTCAGTATAAAATACATAATTATGTAGATCATGACATTAGGTTGTGAAGGCAAAGTATTAATATGGAATCCAGAAAGGGGAAATGCTGAATTTAGTTTATAAAACCCATTGAAAGGTTGTTATTTGGTAAGAAAAAAGGAATCTCAAACTGAAAGTGTAGGAGGAGTTTGTATTTCTTAATCAAATGAAGATCCTTTTTCTTTTATAGTTGGGAGTGAAGGAGGTTCAGTTTTAAGAGCCTAGATTACTCCAATCAATTATACAATGACTAAATAAGCATATTTAGATTCTAGAGGTAATTATTTATTACATTTGAAAAAGATAAAGGACTTATTTGGAAAGAGGAAACAATATTATTTATGTAGAATTTAAATTAAAAATGTTTACCAGAAATAAAATTGCATGTAGAAAATTATTGCAAAGAAAGAAAAATTAACAATATATTTATCTAATAACTTGTCAATTCTAAACCAGATATAAGAAAAATGTATGCCAATCCTATAAACTATGCCTATGAAGCTCATTATGGAACAGTTTACTGTATTAATTTTTCTCCATTTGTAAAATCTGCATTCATTACAGCTTCAATGGATGGATAAATTAGATTATATTTATAAAATACAGCTAGATGTTTGGCTGTCTATGAATACATTTAAACTTATATTTTATCTGCTTAATTTTCTCCCACTAGACCTTGTGTTTTTGCTGCATGTGATAGTTTAGGATAAATTCTAATTTTTGATTTAACTTAAGATACATAATAATAAGTAAAATATAATTTATATTTATAGGTAGTTACACTTAAAAATGATGGTTAGAGTGCTTCTTGTTTAAGATTTAATTAAAGATAATAAGATTTATTGGCTTGTTCATATCAAGGATGTGAGGTGAGAATATATTAATTAAATGATGAATTAACATAACCAAAAGATAATGAATTGAAAGAGCTTTAATAATTATTAAGTTGATGTATAATTATATAATTTTATAATATCATTGAAGATTATTAATTTTATTCAAGGAGTATCTATATTAAAATCTGTTGGTAGAACTCTATTTAATTTATTAAATTATTAGATTGATCTTTAAAAATCAATCATGTTATTTGATCTTCTGAGACTTTTTTTATTTGAAAATCTTTTAATAAGTTCTCTTTTTTTCTCACCTAATTGTTCTTCATCATTACAAAACTTTTTCTTTGTTTTATGGAACTTTTCAAAATATTCATTTGGATAAGATAAATATTTTATAAGATAAGTCTACAAATACATTTTTCTTTTTTCTTATGAATTTAGTATCTATTATAAAATTATAGTTGTCTAAGATTAACTTTAGAATTAAGATTTTTTTTTAATTAAGGATTTTTCAGTTAATTATTCTAAAACTAATGTTAAATTATTTTATTTTAAATAATGTAGATATTCTTTAGCACAATCAAATTATTTATTTAAATCTAAATCTTAATTAAGAGTTAAATTTAATCTTTTATTTAAAAAAGAAAGATTTAAAAAATCTTCTTTACTAAGATAATCTTCTAATTAGGGTTATTGAAAATAAGATGTAACAACCCAATACATACTTTTATTAAATATAGATTATGGAGAGAGTTAATTTTAAGAATCTGTTTTTTTTTAGAATCCACTTGAAAAATGTCTTAATCTTATTATTTTTTTAACAATTTTCTAAAATTTCAATCTAATTCCAATATTTTTAACCCTTATACTAGCTCTTTTGTAATTTGATCTCATAGTTTTATTTTGAGGAACTTAAATATAATTAAATTGTTTTACAAGGATTTTATTACATCTCAATTTTAGATATTTATAAAATGTCATGTAAATTTGGTAATTATGATTGAGATCTACAGCTATTATTTATAGTAATATCACGAGCTCTAACAATAGGAGATTCAGCTCCTATTTTTTCAGGTTATTGTTCTAATAATTTATTAGATAATGAATAAAATTGAATAATTGGCCATTCTCCATGATTTCTAAACATATTACTCATTTCAGATCTAAAATAAGATATTAAATTAATACAAAAACCATTAATCTAATATTGGATGAAACATATGTCTTGGCCTTCTCTTCCTAACAAATTATTATCTTTTTTGACTATGATAAAATTGATGACTTTTTATAACTTTTTCTCTATCCACAACAAAATGTACAACAGGACAATTTGATATTGTATGTCCACTGCAATTACATGACATACATTTACTTTATACATCAAGATCATGCATTAAAATTTAATCTTTAATAGCACAAAATGTTTCATAATCAATAGGATTTTCTCTTAAGACATCTAAAAATTCACTTCTTAATAAGACTGTTAGTTATACAAATGATTCACTTTATAATTGTAATGTAGGTAATTAACCTGTTAATAATTCATTAAGACCAAAATACTGACCTTAATTAAATTTAATTAATTCTGAATTATCTATTTTACTATTATTTTATAAATGTAATTCTCCTGATTCAATAAAACAAAGACATGGTTCTATAAATTAAGGTAATTATGATGTTATTGTCTACTCAGGATTAATGAAAACAGTTTTTAATAATCTTATTAATTTTGATTTAGTTTGACTAGTAAATGTATTTTTAATAAATTCACATTTATCTAATATAGAAGAATTAGCTTCTTCAATCAATTTATTTTTTAAATTTTCTGATAGTGAATTAATGAGTACTTCTTCCATTTCATTCTCTTCTTTCATTTATTAACTCCAATAGATCTTTATATATTATCTTATTCTAATTTAATATATGATAATATAAATTACTAATATTACAATCCAAAACTGATATTCTTTTTACTCATATATTTATTTATTATTCTTATTTTCTCTGATGTATTTTCAGTAGCATGATTAATAGAAGAAAATATTTATGCAACTGTATTAATAGTAAAAGAAAGCTGAATACAAGTTGTTAACATAAATAATATTGTTAAAACCTTTTCTAGTTCATCTTTAAAATAATAATAATAAATTACTTTAAGGTACAATATCTCCATATCCTACACTAATCATTGTAACAGTAGAAAAATAAAATGATTCTAAATATTATGATACACTAGATTCATTTTTTAAATGACGATCATCTAACCAATTACTCCAATTCATTTAACCTCCATAATCACCAATAAAAAACCATAAACAACTATATAAATGTACAAAATATAATATAGTTAATAAAAGTTTTGCTAAATTTAAAATTGATGATGATGTCTTGTCTAAATTTATTGATTCTTCTACATTCTTAATTATTTTTGTAAAATAAGAAAATTATGTTACAAAACACAATTACAATAAGCTTATCCAATAACTCTTAATATAAAAATAATTAAAGAAATTAAATATTATCACTAAAATAGCTAATCCATCACTAATAAACCCATTTTTAAGATAATTTTTAAATATTTTATTTTTATCTATTATTGGCTATCCATTTTCATAATAAACAGTACTCATTTTCATTATATAATCTATTAATAGAAATAAACACAAAGGTACTGTCAACCATATACATTATAAGTACAATAATCCTTTATTAAATGCCAATTCCAAAGGAATCATAACAAAAAAGTAAATTAATACAAAACAAAATGAAATATCCCAAATTATTTTATGAATATCTTATGGATAAATAATTGGTAATTATTTAAATACTGTTGATACAAAATTAGGACATTCTAAAATTATGCTTAAAACAAGCTATAAAATATTTTTAGATTTGCCTTTTTTACTTTTACTCTTTTAAATACTATTAATTTCCCCTAAAGTCTATTCTTCACCACTTGCTTTATCTCCAACTATTTAAAAATGTTTGTGTTTAAAAAATAACCTATGTCTTCTTGATGCTGATAGTTTTGTCAAAAATCTCTTTACTAAGTAAGAAACCATAATTGATTTAGCTTATATTTTACCTGTAATTTCATGATTCTTTTTCTCGTTTTTCTAAAATGCAGGTTTGATCTGTAATTCCTGTGATGATCGATATTTTCTTGTTTTGATGAATGTTTAATGTTCATCCGATTGAGTCTTTATTCTATTTGTTTCAATCTCTTTCTCTTTCTAATATTCATTCTGTATTTAAACTAATTCAAAACTGGCCTCCATACAAGGATCCTTATAGTCATCTATGTTTTCATCTGTGCAAAGAATCAATTAAGGCTTTAATGTTAAGGACATGGATAAATTTAAAATTTTATTATTTACTCTTTGAAATATAATACAAATAACTTATTTGTTTTTTTAAATATCCAAATTAGTTACATCACCAATATATGTGTATAACCTCATCTTCAGAATTATGATACATTGTTATCCATATTAAAAAATTTATTTATAATGATTGATATTAGACTTGAATATATAATGTAAGTACTTAAAATTAATAGTTTATAAATAGTATGCTAATTCATAAACTTAAATACTCATTTTTCATTTAATGAAGATTTATTAGATATTTCTATCTTTGGTTTGTTCCTGATTGATTTTCAACAATATATTAGATTTCTCAGAAGAATTTAGAAAATATTACATTTCTAAGGCTGTTATCTGAATTTTTTCTCACATTTTTCACCTATCAATTGACAGGCAAGAATTTAATTAAAAAAATAATTATTTTTCTATTTATTTTTAATATTGAAAAGTCTATTTAATAGTCATACTAAATATTTTTATTGAATCACTATTAATTACTATCCTTATTCTTTCTTTATTGGATGCTAATACAAAATAACATAATTAATTTAATTATATTTGATATGTTATATACATTAACCAAACTTCAACTAGCAATAGTTAGGGAGAAAGAATCAATAATCTTCTTAATTTTCACTTTACCTAATTTAATTAAGATATATTTTTTTTCTGATTACTAATTATTTACAAAAGTTTTTTTATAAATAGCAATAAAATTACTAATTCTTTATAATTCATTTATTATTCTACTGAAACAGCAAAATTTATTATTCTTATTTACACCTTGAATTTTAATAGATACTGTAATAATTGAATAGTTTAAATGAAGATATAGAGTTAGAATAAAAATTTTAATTTTGTTATCATAAAAATCATGAAATTTGAAAATGGTATTTTTATTATTGGTATTATATATCATAATCAATTGTTTTAGTTTGGCATTTCTAATTCCTAATTAAATGGTTATGTCACTATAAGCTTTTATTTTCTCCATTTAAGAAATTCTAATTTATATCCCCATTTTTTATATAAATATGATATAACAATAACCAACCAAATTAATCCAACTACAAGTGCATACATTGTTAAGGTGTATTAAGCATATGTAGATTTATTTCCAGGGTTCTATTTTAATAAAAAATAAAGATTACATATTCAGATTAATATACAAAGGAATGTGTCAACTGGCAGAGAGAATATGGAGAATTATCAGCATGTAAAGTTTTATTTTAACATTAAGTTGAATTTAAAGTTACAATATAGGATTTTGAAACAATTTCATTAGATAGACAAGTTATTTTTGGGTCTTCAAAAGTTATTTCAATATATTTAAATGCATATTTTGCAATTCCAATCATAATTCTATTAGAGGAATTGTAAAATTTAGAAAAATCGTATTCTTTAATTTTAAGAAGATTATCTTCTTAAAAGTAAGTTTATTGTTTGACAGCTGGATTTATGAATTTATTATAAATTGAATGATAAATAATCTTATGTCCATCATCTCCAATTAAAACAGCATAATGTTCAAATACATTTACATTATTGATTATCATTTCATCAATATACAAGTTATTGTAATAATAAGACTTAGTTTAAAAATCAACAAATATTTCTACAGCATAATACAACTAAGTATTTGTTTTTGCAATAAGAAAGAATGTGTTTTAATAATGATCAAAGCATTTAGTATTAGGGAGAAGAATACTCATCATTTGAGTAATATTATTGATATCAGAAATATCAAAAATATATAACCCAGATTCTGAATCTAAAAGATAAATTTTAGTTTCATCATCATTTGAATCAACATCAATTATAATACCATCTTCAATACCTAATTATTCAGGTGTTAATTGTCTTCTATGTTTAATTTTACCATTATTTTAGATATCATATAAATCAATACCTTCACTTCCACATGCAACAATAATTAATTGAGCTCTTGAATTTTTATGAACATTATATATCTGCTTTCTTAATTAAATATCTTCAGATTCCATTTATATATCTCCTATATTTCCATCTGTAGAAAAACTTACACCTCCAAATTCTGTGATGGCATAAATTTTATTTGAACCTTCATCATCTATTAAATAAGGATGAGGCATGTAGAATTAATCAACCATTGTTTAATTATTTATTAAGTCTTTAAATGATTGATTTTTTGGGTGTAAAACTATTTCCCCTAATCCAGAAGATATATCAATTTAAAATATTGAATAATCATTCCTAACCTAAAATCAAGATGATTTGTACTATATATGCTTTAAATTTATTATCAGCTGTTGCCAAATCAGTGAAATGCATCCAAGGTTAAGTAATTAATTAGTCTAATTATAACTAGAGATTAAAATTAATGCCAATGCTTCTTTATGTAGAATAACATCCTGAAAAAGTACCAAATTATTTTTCTTCTATCTCTAAACCATTCAAATCAGCTGATTACTCTGTATTATTATCAAAAGTCTCCTTTAAGGATATAGCAAATACTCCAGGATATCTATAATTATTATGTAAAATACTTTGTATAGCCAAATTGTTTTGTTTATCTCACTTTATTTGAAAAGTTTGCAGATGGAATCATTTCAGAATATGTTGTAATATTTGGTTGACTGACTTTGGTATTTTATGCAGAATAAAGTAGTTGTAAAATAATCAATACAATCATAAAAATATTAATCTTATCTAAACTTATACTAATTAATTATGTTAACAACTATTAATTTGAAAATCAATAACTAAATACTTGAGTTTATATTGAATAAAGGGGATATCTTATGGAAAAAGGTTGAATAATTTTGTATTGAAAACAATTTACAAAGACATTAGGATCAAATATTTAATCTAATTTACAATGAATTCCAAAAAGCAGAGAAATAAGAAACAAAACCTTAATAATCATTTAAAGCTTTAAATCCTTCTTCCAAATAATTACTTTATTAATAAGATAAAAAAGATAAAATCCAGAAATAATAATAATAAAATAGAAGCATAAGTCCTTCAGCTAAAATTCTCACACCAAAAAAGTCTACTCACCAAAAATAGCAAATTTCTTAATTTGTTCATTTCTAAAATAATCAATCTGGAAATAAACAATTAAGAGAAGAATTTTAATCTGAATAAAACAAAAATCAAATGGAATTTCAAAAGGAAAATTGTAATTTCAGAGAAGTTCAATTATAATAATAATTTGATAAAATAGATAATACTTTAATCTCAAATATTGCAAAATTTGATAATTTAATAAAAGCAGTATATAAACAAATTGAAAATATATCAATTGATAGTTCTATTTAACCTATTTGCATATAATTATATAATCGATTATTGAGTACATAAGAAAAGAAAAAGTCATTAAAATTAAATATGATAAACTATAATCTATTGGAAGATAAAGAAATTTATGTTTTGGAATAAATTGTTCAGAAATATTCTTTATCTTTAGCAATAGAAATGAGTAAGACTTAATTTATAATTTTAATGATTGGATTGATTATTTCAGATGAAGACTAAAAGAACAAAAATGGCGTTAAGGTAAAAGAATTAATAAACTTCAATCCTTCCTTAACTCCACATTATCAACTATATTGTTGATTACTGTAAATTATTATATATATAAATATACAATAATCTTATTTATAGAAATATCAACCTGTTTTTAAAACACCAGCCTCTATTAATTTTTCAATTTTGGCTGCTAATGAAGGATTCTATTTTATTGCTTTTAATCCATCCTAAGGATGTTCTTTCATATCATTCAAGAGGTTAATAACCTAATTATTTAATATATATTATACCTCTGGTTCTCGAAGTATCTATTAAATTTCTGGATCTTACATAGCTCTTTTAGCCCTTTGTTATTATTCTTCTTCTGATCCACCTCCTTACAAAATTGAAAATCTCACTTTTTCAAGACCTTATTACATTTCCAAATTATTAGGATCCAGTTCTAATCCCTTTTCATAAACATTTTTTGCTTTATGGAATTCTTTCATAACAAAATGACAATTTGCTTTTTTAACATAGGCCTTAACATATTTTGAATCTAATTATAAACATTTTTCAAGGTCTGAAACAGCATTAGGAAATTCCATTAATTTCATATATGCTGTTGCTCTATTGCAATAATATTTAGGCTCCTTTGGATTTCTCTTAATAGCATCGCTATAACAATGAATTGCCTCTGGGAATTTTCCTGCCTTAAAAGCATCACCTCCTTTAGTATTTGCTTCTTCCCCTAATTAAGGGTTAATGTAATTTTATGCCTCAACATCTTATTTCATTTTTTATAATTTTTTTAAGTCATCTTTCACAGATTACACATGATCTTCTACTAATGATTTTTCATACATTTGAATTGCTTCATCAAATTTATTTTATAGTGATAATACTTTAGCCTTTCTAGCCAACAATTTGGCTTTCTTCTAAAAACTGCTATGGACTTCCAAAACTTTGAGTCCTTCATCAATTACTTCTAATGCTTAATCATAAAGCTTTTATTCAATAAAGACTGCAGCTTTATTATTATATAACAAGGCTTCATCCTTATTCAATTAAAGAGCAGCATTATAATATTAAAGAGCTTTCTCAAAATTTTTATTTTTATATTCATCATTACCTAAATTTTTTTGTATTTCCCATTCTTCAAATTAAGGTTATGGTTTTGGAGGTGGTTAATTATGTTATTTTTAAGAGCTTTATTCAGAATGAGTATGATGTTATTATTCAGGCTATGGATGAGGTTGTTCCTCTTCCATTTTTTATGATTATTATTGAGGATGATCTTTTTATTCACCTTCTGGTTTTTTTACTTTTCCAGCAAATTCTGAAAAAAAAATTGATTATGCTTCAGGATTTTCCAATATTACAGATAGAGCAGAAGAAATTCTTGGATCAGTTTACATAAATTAACTGGCCATCTATGGTTAAGAGATCATTAAACCAATTAATTACATAAATGTTGGATCAGAAGCAAATGAAGATGTTCTTGGATCTTTCTAGAGAATACCTAGAAGTTTTATAATATTTGGATTCTTCAATGCAGAAGCAAATGGATTGTTCTAAGTACCTTACAATTCTGTCTAGGCAGCTTTCAAACCCTCTTAAAGTAAAGAATTATTAGGATCTTTGGCTAAACCTTATTGATAAGTATCAACAGCTTTCTCAAAATCTCCAAGATAATGTAGGGCTAATCCTTTTCTTTGGTAACCTAATTTAAGAATTATAATACCTTTTGCGAAATTTGGATTTAGTTAAATACATTTTTCAGCATCTGTTAAAGCTTCTTAATATTTAGATAGTGAAGCATATGCTCCTGATCTATTACTGTAGAGTATGTGATCATTTGGATTCAATTCAATTGCTTATGAATAAAACTTAGCTGCTTCTTCAAATTTATTTTCTTTGAAAGCTTAATTACCAAGATCTTTAAATTATTATGCTGTGGACATTATTTTAATTATTGAAATAGATAAAGAAAAAGACCGAATTTCATCTCATTGTTAAATTCTAGATTATTCGATTTATTTATTTTATTAATTTATAAAAATTTGTAAAAATATAGCTATTGTAATTAACATTAATGAAAAATTCATAAACACGTTTTCAATTAAATTTAATATGAAAAAAGAGGAAGCAATACAATAATCTCTAAGATTCACCTATTTCTTAATTGGAACAATAGCGTTTTCTTAAGGTAATAATAATATGTATTTATATAGGTATAATGGGTTTGTCTGATCTGGCAATTAGCTATATGCAAAAAGATGATTATAAACAAGATCCAGCTTAAACATAATTTTTTTCAACAATCATTAGTTTGCCTTGGATTGTCAAACCCTTTTGGGGCATAATGACTGATACAGTGCCTTTGTTTGGATATAGAAGAAAATCCTATTTAATATTTTTTGGACTTTTAGGATTTCTATGTTGGAATTTATTGTCTGACTATGGTGTAGAGAATAGAGAACTTGGATTAATTTTATTGACAGTTATTAACATATGCGTTGCATTTTGCAATGTCATAGGGGAAGCATTATTAGTTGAATATTCAGGACATTCGGATGATGATACTCATTAAAACGATAAAGCAAGTTAGAATGTGACTTTTTTCTTTGGAATGAGATCAACAGGGACCCTAGTTACTGCATATTCTTCTGGCAAACTATTATAATTGTTTGACAAACGCTATATTTTTAAAATAACTTCAATTTTTCCTTTAATCTTAGCTTGTATAGCAATATTTGTCAAAGAAAAAAAATATTCAAAAGATGAACCTGAAAAAGATAAAATAAAAACAGTCGAATCACTCAAACTATTTACAAAATTTGTTTCTTAACCAGTTATTTATAGGTAATAATAAAAATAATCTAGACCAATTTTGTTAATTATGGTATTTATGTCATCACCATCAATTTCAACAGCTATGTTTTACTTTTACACAAATGTATTATAATTTGGCCCAGATTTTATAGGAGAATTACGACTTTCTTATTCAATTTGTTCTATTCTTAGTGCTTACCTATTTAATAGATTTTTAAGGCATGTTAAATTTACGAAAGTTTTTGGTTATAGTACCTTCGTATATTGTTTAGTATCATGCTAAACAACTTTGCTAGTTACAAGAAAAAATGTTAAATTAGGTATTCCAGATAGGTTATTTTGTTTTGGTGATGGTGTTTTAAATTAAGTTATTGGAGAATTAAACACAATGCCTGTATTAGTACTAGCCTGTAAAATGTGTCCTAAAAATATTGAAGGGACTATGTACGCCTTATTGATGTCAGCAATAAATTTTGGAGGAATGGTATCTTAAGAATTAGGAGCATTGCTCACTTACTATGCTGGTGTAACAGATGATAATTTTGATAACTTAGCAAAACTAATTGTCATTTGCTCTTTTTGCACAATGCTTCCACTTCCATTTTTAGGAATAATTAATGAAGAATAAATGGCTAAAGCTAGAGAAAAGCATTAGTATGAATCTATACCAAAATAAGATGAAGAAATTAATGTTGAATAAGAAGTTGAAGAGATAACTGATACTAAATGTGCAAACTTATAAAATGAACAATTATTAATTTGATTATTATATAATAATTCCTCATTGTTATTCATATATGATATCATCAATATAATCTTATTTAGATTTTACTTAATAATTTTAAGGTTTAAAGTAATAAGAATTTATGTCTTTTTTTATTTTTTTAAAATGTTTTGTACTAGACTCATCAATAGTGATTGATGTTTTCTTTTAAATCTTAGGTATTTTTGACTATTTATCAGTTTATAAATTAGCTAATCTTTGTAATTCTGCCAAAGAGCTAAAACTATGTAGTAAAGTTGGAGGTTCAAGGACATCAATCAATTTTTGATTCATTAATTTTTCGAAATCACTTTTAACATTATTACTTAATTTAATGGATTCATAAGCAGAATAGAGTTTTCTTAGTTTTTTTGAAGTATTATATTAATGACGTGTTTCAAATAATTTCTTTTTTTTGAAAGTTAAAGTTAAACTTTATTTATCAAATTAACCTGTCATACCTTAAAAAGATTCATTCCCAGTAAACCTTGAAGATCCAACTATTGGTTTTGGTAAACAATTAAAGACTTTTAGTTATTCTTTATTAAGTAGTAAATGTTTTAATTTTTCCATTTCTTATAACTTTTAAATGATAACTAAAATATCCATATCCTTCTAAATCATGCTTTTTGATTATTTCAATATTTTTTTGTTATGTTAACCTATATTACTGAATCTCCAACACGTCAGATATTTTATTATTATTACAAGACTGTATTTTAATTTCTTATCACCAGTTAATATAATATTAATAATCTATTCTAAAAAGTTATTTTTATAGAAGTCTAAATTTGAAGAATTAACATATTAAGTGACATTTGATTGTTTTACTGACTCAATTTATTCAGTTTTTATAATGGCATCATCTGTAAGTAAAGCATTTCTTTTAGAAACACTTTAATTAGTAATGAGGCATTCAGAACCTGCTGATATCAATTATTAACTTCCAGTTGTTTTAGAAATTGCTTTTGTAAATCTACCTAAAGTTAGAATCTTAATAGCACCTATTTTAAACTTACTTGCAATATCTTCTATTTATTTTATATTATCAAGTATTTAAGTTACAAGAGTTTAAAATGAAAAAGTAAGTTCTCCTTTTTTTGTTTCTGGAATATCAAATTAATATAAATCATTAGCAAGCATAATTTATAATCCTGTTTTATTGTATTTTGTAATAAAATAACCAAATACTAAGACAATAAATTTAGTTATTCCTCCTACATATGATATTAATTCATCAAACTTATAATATTATTTTTTATAAATATCTTCAGATTAAGCCAATCTAATAATAAATTGAGAAATTATATTATTAGATTATATATTAGAAGATATTTAAGATAGTTTTGTATCTTAAATTGAAAACAATTCGTCTTGATATATAGAGTTTAATACTGAGATTGGAGATTCATCTATATTTACATTCAGTTTTTCAAGATAGATATCAGTACTTGTCGTTTTGGTAAAAGATGTTTCCAAATAAAAATCAGTATATATATATTTTTATATACTTTGTTCTTAATTGAGATTTACCAATGTATTGAGAATTAAGGTACTAATTTTCACTATGCTATCTTGTAATCCTTATTCAGTTACTTCTTTACTTGTTGCACAATCTGGCTCATCAATGCATGAAACCAATACAATTTTACCAAATTAAAATACATTTGATTTATATGTGCCTTGTTATATTAATGAATAATTTTTAGGCAAGCAAAAATATTCTTATACTTAACCCTTTATCAATTACTAAAAATTGTATTTAATTAAAATTTATACATTATAACTATTAGTTTAATCCAAATGAATAAAATGATCAAGAGAACATTTCTCTAAAGACTGTAGGGATGTTCCATTTTTAATTCTTGTTCCATCATCATTAAGTATTTACAATTATTAAGAGTAAAAGGCTTTAAATATTGGCTTTTGAAATTACAATTATAGATCAATTGAAAATCCAAGCATAAAATTATTTATACTTAGCTTTGACATTGGAGGATCTAAATTCAGTAATTTTGAACTTGAAATCTAATAAATTTATCAAATCATTAGATACAGTATAGTTTTCACGTTTAATCATGGAAATAGTTCCTCTTACAAAAATCATTAAAATAACTGTAGCAATTATCATTGTTAAAATTCCACCCAAAATAGATTTATATGCTTCTTTATGATGTAAATTCAACTTTATTTATGCCCCAAAATGATCACATTTTCTAATATATTTAAGTATTTTTCTCATAATTATTATTTATTAAAGAAATATAAATTTTAATAATGGAAGATTAAAAATCAATAATGCTTTAAAAACTTCAGAGTAATGCCATTAATATTAGAAATCTAAGTATTATTGCTCATGTCGATCATGGTATGATTATTGCTATAATATTATAGGAAAAACAACTTTAACAGATTAATTAATTTCAGCAAACAATATAATATCAAAAAGGCTTGCAGGAAATCTTAGGTATATGGATAGCAGAGAAGATGAATAAAGAAGAGGTATAACAATGAAATCAAGTTCAATATAAATTATTCATAATAATCATTTGATCAACCTTATTGATACTCCAGGTCATGTTGAATTTTCTTCTGAAGTTCAAGCAGCATTACGTTTAACTGATGGTGCACTAGTGCTGGTAGATGTTTTAGAAGGATTTAGTTCTTAAACATTTAATGTTTTAAAATAGATGTATGAAGAAGGAATAAAAGGAGTTCTGGTTTTAAATAAGGTTGACAGATTAATATTAGAAAAATAAATGGATCCTGACCAAGCATTTATTTATATGTCTCAAATTATCGAATAGGTGAATGCAGCTTTAAGTTCATTTTTAAATGAATAAATTCATCAGGTGGAAGAATAAAAAGAATTTTCCTTAGATGATGAGACCATTAAGAATTTAGAAACAAATCTTTATTTTTGCCCGACTAAAGACAATGTTGTTTTTTGTAGTAGTATTGATGCCTGGGCTTTTACAGTTGGGACATTTTCTGCAATTTTCGCAAAAAAACTCAAATGCAATTAGTAAGCCTTATAAAAATTTTTATGGGGAAATTATTATTTTTAAAATAAAAAAGTTTCTACAAATCCAATTAAAGAGGGATAATCCGTTTTGTTTGTTGATTTCATTTTAAAAAACATTTGGAACATCTACAATTATAAAGATAATATTTAAAAAATATAATCCATAGCTACTCAATTATAATTAAATGGATAAATTGCAAATTATAAGTAACTAATGTCTAAATGGTTACCATTCGATTTATGTTTATTTGATAGAATAATAAAAGAATTGCCAAATCCAATAGAAGCATAAAGGGCTAGAAAAGATATCATATGTAAAAGAATAAACAGGCAAATCACAAAGAATTATGATGCTAGGTATGATGAATTATATTAATCAATACAAAATTGTGACCCTAATGGACCTTTAGTTGTTTTTGTAGCAAAAATGATTAGTGTTCCTCCAGAGTGCATAGATGAAAAATAACTTAACCCAAAACCATAAGGAATCCTATCTTATGCTTTTGCTAGAGTGTTTTCAGGAACTCTTCATTTAAATTAACCAGTTTTTGTAATAGGTCCTAAATCAAAAATTATTAATAATGTAAATCAAGTTGATTAAACAGATATTTAATAATTTGAGATTAAAAGAATTTATCACATGATGGCACAATATTTAGAAGCAATTAAAATGATGCCTGCTGGTAATTTAGTAGCAATTGGAGGTTTAGATGAATTAATCTTTAAAACCTCTACAATATCTTCTGTCAACTATTGCCCATCATTTGCTCCTACTTTTGTGAAATTTAAATCAATTGTTAAAACTATGATAATGCCTACTTAATAGGAAGATTAACCAAAAGTTCTGTAAGCCATCAAGAAATTATATAAATGCGACCCATCATTAGATGTTTAAGCTTTAGATTCTGGAGAAATTGTATTAGGAACTTGTGGGGAAGTTCATCTATAAAGATGTATCACAGATATTGAAAAATTATCAGAATGCAAAGTCAAAATATCAGAACCAATAGTACCTTTCAAAGAAACAATAATCTATAAAAATATGTTAGAAGAAAGCAATGAGAAATTTCATAAAAAAAAAGCTAAAGTTTTAGTTCAAGGTGAATAGAAACAAAAAAAATAATAGTAATTTGAATAAAAATCAAAAGATGATGATATAGATGTTGAAAAATAGAAATACTTTAAATAAAAGTTATAGGAGGGTGAAGACACAGAAATTATCAAAGACACGAATATTTTAGAGCATGAGGATATAAGGTACAATTAATTATTGAAGGAAGAAGTTAAATTCAAGTATGACCAAAAACAATAAGTTAAAAAAATGGATCATAAAAATAAAGGAAAATAAACAGTCAAAAATTTATTAGTAGAAGTATAGAATAAAAGTAATCTTGTGGAAGAGTTAACAGCAAATCAGAAAATTGCTGTTAAAGTTAGAGCTATTGGTTTACCATTTGAATTAACTACATGGATAGAAAATAACTAAAAGTAAATGAGAAAACTCTTATATGAGAATAAAGGAGATCCGAAAATATTTTTAGAAGAGTTTGATCTCATTCGTAAAACACTTAAGATAGATAAAAAATTGAATGAACTCATAGAAAATCATTTACAATGTTTTGGTCCAAAAAAATTTGGTCCAAATTTGTTAATTAACAAAATGATTAAATCAGAGGATTCTTTAATTTAAAAATTGAAATAACAAACTTTAAATTAAAATCAATTTCCTTTGATATAATAATAATAAATTATCTAATTAGACTTTTAATAGGAAGTTGAAGAATAAAATTAAATTTCATAAATTGAGAATAAAGTGGAATCAACCAAAGATAGCAAATCTTAGTTAAGCGATACAACTGGGTCAATAGCAAAAGGCTTAGAATTATATTTAAGTTAATAAGATTTATCATAGGATGCAATGAATAATGCAATTAATTTAGGATTTGATTTAGCCTTAAATGCTGGACCTTTATGTGCAGAGCCTATTATAGGAGCTTGCTTTATCATTGAATAATTAAAATTTTCTGAAGAGGAGTAATAATCGTAATAAGATACTTATGGGCCTATCAGTGGTTAACTGATATCAGCAATGAAAGATGCTTGCATAAATTCATTTTTAGGAGCCCAACCAAGATTAGTAGAATCAGTTTATAAGTGTACACTTTAAACAGATTTTATGAATTATGGCAAAAGTATTGATGTTTTAAATTAACGGAGAGGTAATGTTTTAAATGAAGTTCTAAATTCTTGCACTTCATTATTCACAGTTTAAGCTAGGTTACCTCTAAGTAGCTCTTTTGATTTTTATTGTCAGATATAATCAGCCACATCTGGGCATGTTTCTGCCCAATTAGATTTTGATGGATGGTCAATTATTTAAGAAGATCCATTTTATTAACCATACACAGATGATGTAATTAATTATCTCATATTTAGGATATTGAAGAAAATGGAATTTAGAAAGTTGAAAGAAATATAGCGCGTGATCTAATAATGGCAACTCGCAAAAGGAAAGGAATGAATTTTGAAGAAAAAATAATAGTAGCTGCTGATAAACAAAGAAATCTATCAAGGAAAAAGTGATATATATATTTATGTAATGAAAAACTTTCATATTGAACAGAATAATATTGATTTTTAGGAAATTTATATATCATTATTTATTATTTGGAAGACAAATTTTGAACTAAAACAGTTAATAGAAATTTACATGATGTAGAAATGAAATAGTATTTATCTTTTATTTTATGCTCACCTCAATTCATAATCAATCTATTTTGTAAAATTTCATAAATCTATGTAAACTCAATAAATGATTGTTACCTTATTTTATAAATGAAAAATTCAGCTTTTGAACTAAATAAATGGAACGTGATCATATAATTGAATATTTGATTACCTTTTTTGTTGTCCATTATTTTATTTTTGACTACATATTTTATATAATCTCTCTTGATTTAATTTAATTCTTAAATATATTTATA